TGCAATGAGCTCCGCTGTCATTATAGATACATTAGTTTTAATATTATAACATACACTATGTTTTGCAGTGGCAACATAAAAGGCTGCTCCAAGGGAGCTGTCTTTTTTAGAGCCATCTGTATATATCATATGCCATCCCGGGTATTTTCCATTAATCTCGTTACATACTTTCCATTTAATAGAATATCCTTCATATTCATGTTTACTTTTAGTCACACAATCTAAATTTACATTAATAAAATCTCTTGTATTTATGTATGTTGTCCACTTATTTAGTTTAAATCTAGGTAAAGGTGCTGTACAGTGAACTTCACAGAGTTTGGTTTCATTATATGCTGAAGCTAGTAAGGGTTTTTTTTTGTTTTGCCAGTACCGACAAAGACATAAAGAATTCAATTTAGATATCTGTTCTATAGTTACATTATAAGCAAGTGATTGACTTTTTAAGCAGTATTTATATGCGAGGTATCGTCTTCTTAAAAAAAGAGGCGGTAAAGCAAGTTCACTTTCCATCACGTGAATGGGAGTGCTTTTAATAAATCCACCAATTATACGCAGGGATTGGTTTTGTATTTTATCTAATTTAGAGATTTGTGTTTTAGAACTGTTGTCATATAGAAAGCTAGCGTAATCAATGCGACTTCGAATTAAGGATATGTATAATCTCCTCACATGTGTCTGATGTACACCCCACGTAGGGCCAACTAAAACTTTTAACAAGTTTAACAATTTGGACGACTTTTGAACTATTTCATTTATGTGTTTATTCCAATTGAGACATTGGTCTAACCACATACCTAAGTATTTTATGCATGGGGACTTCGACAAATTATAACCGTTAACAGTAATACTGGGAATTATTCTTCTGTGCCCTCTACTTAACACACAATACTTCGATTTACTTATAGATATATTAAGCCCTATCTCATCTAATAATAAAATTAATATTTTTAATGCTTCTTCTATATCTACTTTGCATTGATTCAGATTTTTATTACTCACAAAAATAACAAAGTCATCAGCATATTGCGATATCATGACATTTTTAATTAATCTACATATCTTATATGTTACTATGTTAAATAATAAAGGCGAGATAGGGTCACCCTGAGATAGCCCATTAGATGCCCATCTCGTAATTATCCGCTGACCATCATCGTTTTTAACTGTTAAATGCCTCTCACTCAGGAAATTCCAGAAGTAATTACAAATTTTAGCGCCTACTTTAATTTCATCCAAAACTCTAATTAACGCATTGACCGAAACATTATTATAGACTTCCACAGATAATTGTGATACTTTGAAGCAATGAAAGGATCTAAATTAATCGGTATTTTTTTAAAGTAATGATGATATTATGATGTATATTAACTCTTATCTATACAAATAAATTGCATTGAAATGTCTGTTAGTAATGTTAAAATTTTAGGTTATAAAAAACCTATTATACATTACAAACAGACATTTCTTGCACATCACATTGCTCACACGGTTATTTTTTTTCTGTCTGTCTTTTTGTTCCGCGTAATCTTCAAATCGGCTGGACTGATTTTGATTATATTTTACTACCAGGTAGCTGTCTATATAAGGAGTAACTTAGGCTATTTTTTCTCTCAGAAACACCCTATAAAATTTTGCCCGATCTGGGAATCGAACCCGAGGCCTCATGGACTGCAGTCACCGTACTACACCACTAAGGCAGCGCTTCTAAATTCCACGCGAACCAAGTTGCGCTTGGTTCTAATTCACCAGCTAATTACAATACAAAGCAAAAGCGATTTTTGTTTGAACAAATATCGAGAACCATCAGTTAGATTTTAATCATTTTGTATTTATCAGTTTTTTTTAGAACAAGCAAGGCAAGCTTAAAATATAAAAGCACATTATGTCAAATTAATTATGAGTCAAAACCACTAATTACAATTAAATAAGTCGGTTAAATTTCGATCTTCACTAATTTATGACTAAAACATTCTCATTTAAATCGCAACTGGTTTTAAAAGCGTTTGATTATTATCGATGATTAAAATAAACACAACATTATTGAAACTAAACACATTATAATTTTTTTCAAGTCAATGTTTAATTGCGTCAATAAGTCATGACTTTTGAATTTGGTACTTATAAATTTGAATTTACTTTAAAGCTCTGTGGGAAAATATTGTCAATTCCGCAACGTAAGTTTATTCGATCTCCTGCTCAATTCTGCGTTAACCCTTGTTCGTTCTCCCTTCCGACAATTCAACCCAAGCACATCGAGTCCTTGAACGTTTAGATAACTATAATACCTACCTCTTGGACAGGTGTAACTAGATAACTTAGTTTCAGTCTCTCAAAAGGAATAAATTTTAACCTGTATTTGCAACATTTTTCATTTCTGCTCGGTTCCTAGGTAGCGTGATATTATATGATCTATAGTCTTCCTCGATATAGTTCACTGCTGAAATGTAAGGCTTCCAGAAACCTTTAGATATAAGCAATAACTCTTTATATTTCTTACTTTGTGTATCGTGCTGTGCATGGTCTGAATTCACCTTACTTTAGGTTTAACATTTATAATAATATGATACGGTTACAGACATGTGGGACAGACAGACAAAAAAAATTAAACTGGTTTTTAGGCACAGGTATCGTGCAAATAACCGTGTGAGCATGAAAAAACCTTTTATTTTTTAAAATTAAAAACAGACACTTCAATTTTATTTATTTGTATAGATCATATAGTTATATAGATTTCGAATAAAGATATGTTTATTAAAAACTGCTGAATGTAGTTGTGAATATAAATAACACGAAAGTCAGAAAAGTGATAAAAGTACACAGGAAACATAATTTAGTTTTTTATTAGATGTTTTAATTAATTTGCAAAACTTTCACTCTGAAAGTAGATTTTAAGGCAGCTATAAATTTAATTAAGTATCTATAGTGATATAGTCAGACTTATTGAAATATAATTATTAATGATGTTTTGCTTTAAGATAACTTAAATATACGATATTATTGACCCCACTGCAAATCATCACAGTTCAGTATTTGCTTTTATTTTTTAGTTCGTTTCACTGTTTCAGTGCTTTGGAAAGTAAAAATAACATACTAAACTTATAACTAATTATTACAATATGACAAAACAGATATTTATATAGTATATGGCTTGCTTACTACTTGCCTAAATAAAATAATTCGAACCTACGAATAATTTATTGTAACTTTAGTTTTAAATTTCATGTGATGAAAAAATAACTTGATTACGAGCACTTTATTTGTTTAAAAATATTTTGCTAATGTATTTTATTGCAAATTGGAACACTTTACAAAGAAATTTAATGTAATAGTAGTAATAATAATAAATATGTATAAATGATTTGCATTGTTTTTCGTTTTAAAATTGAGAAATCTGTTCAAAGTTCAAATATTTTTTTGTAAATTAACTTCTTATGTCCAATATTAAATTTAATTTTAAAAGTAATTAAAATTAAAAGCCTTCCTCCACTATTTAACTAGTAGACAAGAATTTCAGAGCCTTTGATTTCCCTAATTCTCAAAATAACATGCCTTATGCCGAGCCTTACCAATATAAAAAAAAATTTAGGTCCTCATAATAATAATCGATGATGAAGCTGTATTAGATGTAAGCTGATTGTACTTTCAAGTGCCTTTGGTTATAAAATATACACCCGAGTTCATTATAATTGGCACATAAGCACGCATAAATAGAAGATAACTGCTAATAGACTATTAATAGGCTTATATTAACATTCAAACCATGACAAGCATAAGCAATTTTAACAAAAAAATAGATTAAATAAACTTCACAGACAATTTTTAACACCGTCAATGTCAAAATATAACGGGACATGAGTTTTTAACAGTTTTGATAAAGAGCGGAGAACCCAAACTGCATCGAGATTACATCCAACACATCACGGGTATTTCATATTTTTTCCTTATTTAGTTATAAAACTGCAACCGGTGTTACTCAAAAACATAACTGTTATTTATATGCTTGCAAAATTCCAGTACCTAACCTTTTTTAAGAAACACTAAAATTCTTTGTCGGCAAATAAATCTTGGAAGTATCATCTGTGTCTTACAAAGTAAAAAGTTAAATTACAGTTATGACATAACCCTGTGTTGAACTGGCTGTATATAACAAAAACATTGCAGACAAAATATGCATCTTAAAAAAAAACTAAAAACAAAATGGCTGTAGGTACAGCGTCCTCGTCGAACGTATAAACAATTTTTTGTTAAATAGTAACTTGCAGTTTTTATAACGTATTATTTAACTGTACCTGTGCTGATAATCAAAGCCATTGTAGATGGTTATTATTTGTGAATGCTGCATAGTTTAGATTTATCTGTATTATCTAACAATACAGAATAATTGCCTGTCTATTTCAGAACGGCATTATGTGTCTAGTGTAAATGCGGTCAGATAACAGAGGTACCTATCTCTAGTTGCGATCACTGATAATGATACGGTTAAGTGGTTAAAATGTAATTTCTTAGACATAATACAAAATTGGGCTAGTATACACGTCTTTCGGGAGATTATTGGCACTACTTCTTTCGATTAAGTGAGGTTCATCATCATCAACAACCTTTAATAGTCTACTGCAGGACATAGGCCACTCCTTAGAAAGAAGCCTTTTGGCTTACTTATGGTAGTGGCCAACCCGTCTGGCCAGCGTGATATATCACGCAGGCCAGGGTTGATATACCTTCGCAGTTGGCTCCCCTTAGTCAGATCTTACGGCACCCACGGGATGAATAGGGGTGGTGACACTCTGTATTCTAAATCCGTCACCGCACGGACGAGTGAGGTTACCGGACGCCTAACCTTCGACCTGCCCCCAACCCCCACCCCTAACTCTGAATGGGGGAGCAACGCACTTGTGCTTCCGGTGTCGGCGGGCGGCGGAAGGACTGACTTACCATAAGGACACCCGCCTTCTCGTTTGCTCCTTTACCATAAAAAGAGATAGAAAGATATTTCTTACCAGTAACAAATCTCCTAGTTTCTCCAGTGCCCAGTATATGCAATAGAGTTCCACCAACTGATGAAGTACTCTCCTCAAAGGTTCCGATAACGAAGTTGTAGTCTTTTCTACCTCAGACTTGTAAGTTGATAGAATGACAGCACGGCAATGAGCCTAAAAATAAAAGGAAATTAAATGTTTAAGTCACTTAGTCCTAATTATTATAATATATGTATTAAACCGTTCTGTACATGACAATGTGTTGTATACAGAAGGCTTTTATTTACTTTCTGCACTTTTTGTTTACTTTCAGACACTTCAATTCATTATTTATTATTACTAAACTGAACTAAACGTATTCTTGGTCTAAATAAAATAAGAATTTATGAGCAAACATAGCTTGCTCCTATTTAGTACCTTTTATGTTTCTAGAAACTTACCTAAATAAAATATTATTCTATTGTACCTATTAAGTTAGTTAGGCAATTCATAAGTTGTGCGAAAGAAATCCTAAGTACATATCTGTATCTAGGTAGTAAATGTTTTTTTTTTATGGTTGATTTGTCACACTAATCTTTTGAACTGTCAGTTACTGTGATTTGACGAGTTTGATTCTATTGTTTTCGATAGAGTATCATGTGAAACTGAAAACGCCAAGACTACGTAAGTATTGCAGCTTAATTTGTTTAAAGACCACTTAATCACTATGCCAGCATGGATGACAATGCAGGAATCGCTGATTGATTCCTGCATCGTCTACATGCTAGACAACGAAGAGTTAACACAACTTATTAAAACTTTAATGGGCCAGGCAGGCTCGACCAGAGTGATATCACGGCCTAACAGAAAACCGGTGTTAAGTAGTTATTTAGTGAGAGAGGTTACCGGAGCACAAATCCTCACCCTTGTCCTGATTCTGGAGGGAGGGACTGAAAGGACGGCAATGATCTTGTGACTCTTGAGTTGCACATGTCTATGGGCGGTGGTAACCACATACCATCGGGTGACCCGTCTGCCCCCGTTCGTTCGTTTGCCCCCTATACGATAAAATTTTAGCGGTATTATTTAAGAAAGTGTTGCGTATATTTAAAAATAAAATACGAAATGCCATTATTTAATATTTAAAAGTAATTATGAAAATTTATATTTAATTTAATTATGCAAATTAATTCCTTTCTGTGGGCGAAAGAAATTTAAACGAATTTTAAATGAATGATTTCGCTGGTGGTCAATGATGTTATGCTTATCCCATATTAGGAGGACTCGTATTCAAAAACAACAACATAAACTATCGTTTTAATTCCTTCAATGCAGCAAGAGACATTTTATATTCAATAGAATATTTATTAATTCCATTAGTTTCGCCAAATTAGGTGTTATTTGACTTTTTATTATCATAAAATTAAAAAATAAACATTTGACTAATTTTTCTAATTTCTTCAATAATATAAATTGTCTATGAAAATTTAAATAACTTCAATTATGATTTGACATTTATCATTTTATATTAATCTATGATTTAAAGATTCTTGAGAGAGAAAATCTGAGAAGTGGACAATCTACAAATTACTTGATCTGAATTCGATAAATAGACAAATATTGATATATTTGTAGGACCTGGTAATTTTAAAGAAAAGGTTTCAGGCAGGTCCATTTGACTGGGTAGCCTGCTTTTCGGCCAACTTACTTTTATAGTGGAAATTAAAAATGATGCACCTATATATTATTATATGGCATAACTTATTATCCCTATACGAGTTTAAAACTAAAAAGAACAATAAATCTATCAACATAAACTTATTAAAGCAACGCTCTCACAAACCCAAACAAAAAATATCTTAATTATAATTTTACCAAATCGCTATGTAATCTATAAAGACATAAATAGCTGAGAAATTTATAATTTAAGGCGAGTAACTACTGCTTTAATGATTAACGTAGACAGTTTAATTGAATTAATAATAACACTGCACTTTTTAAAATTCTCATATTTATGTTCTCACAACCGTTATACATATATTATAAATAATGAACGGTATGTCTATAGTCACTAGAAACCATAAATTAAGGAAGTCCATTAGCATAGACACGAGAATCATATCATGTAAATAATTAAAAATGGTAATGCGCGATTGTGGTTTTTGTGTTAAAATTACAAGAATCCGTTAGGTTTCACTTTTCTTTATACTTTAAGTTTGACTTTACAATCCGTAGGTATGTGTCGAGAAATTCAAAGGCCTTAAGATACAAATCTGACTTGTTTTGGGTGTGAATTCCATAGAATTTGTACATTCAATTTTACTGTATATATATAAATCTTAACATGTTTAATTCCTACGATTCACTCCTTTTTTTGTTTCAATAAAATAATTTATCTGTATGCCAAAAACAGTGAATGATCAACAATATTTTTTTACACACTTTTAAACTTATTTTGGAAGAACTATGCACGCATATTTAAAAACTGGTAATTATATTAAAATGAAGAAACTGCAATCATAAAACTAAAACAAATTACCTTTTTAACAGTCTAAAAAACGTGGCTTGATATTTAATACTCCAATGTAAATAATTAAAAATACATTAAATTTTAAAGCAATGGTCAGCTTAAAAGTAAACGTTTTATCATTTATGCCTTGTACTTTAAACCTTCATGCCTTATGATACATTTTTTTTAAATTTATTTTGGTAAAATACACACACAGATGATATTGAACACTTAATCAGCACGTCATTATGAAAATTAGATATACTCCTAGAAGAAAGAAAGAAACGTTTATTTGCACAGAACACAAGTGGTACCAGATTTAACAGTGGTGTATTGTTCGAGCTATGTTCTGCCTGTATACTACTACTACTAATTACATTTAAACACTAATAAATACATAATAACTTTTAATACAAAACGTCAAGATATTTCCTGATTATATTAACTAACTAGTTGGTACCCGCGTCTTCGTTGGCTTGGAATTTACAAAGCGCTGCCTTAGTGGTGTTGTAGGGTTCGATTCCCGGACCGGTTAAAATGTTATAGAACTTTTCTGAGAGGAAAAATAGCCTAAGTGACTCATCATATATACAGAAACCTGGTATTAAAATATTGTCAAAACCAATTCAGCCGTTTTAAAGATTACCCGGAACAAACAGACAGACAGACAAAAAATATTTAAACTGGTTGTTAGGCATAGGTATCATATCATATCAAATAACCGTTTGAGCATGAAGAAAGCCTATTATTTTGACATTACACACAGACACTTCAATTTTATTTATTTGTATAGATTAGAAATGAGGAACACGCTAAGGCAACTGAAATAAACGGTTGTTAGTTTATAAAGTAATGAACTAATTATTCATATATTTTAGATAGATAGATATATACTTTTATGTGTCAAATATAAGCAGATATGAAAAAGGTTAAGTTTTTGTTTTATACCAATATCCTAAACATTTTGTCATTGAAGAATATGATAAGAAGTCAATAAAGTTTTGATAACTAATTAATCTAATAGAAAAAAATAAATTAAAAATAAATAACAGCTCATTTCTCTACTTATGATTAAGAGTTGTGAATATATTATTATATTGAAATAGCATATTAGTTTTGTCATTTATCAAATAATATTTAATACTAAGACTGGTATAATTTCACAAAAAAACATTTTTATTGACTGAGCCATATATTATTTGATTCTTGAGAAAGTGGTTAGGCCCCTTGACAACATCAGGTTTCATAACCAAGAAGAGTCTTTTCAGCAAGACAGCACCGGATCATGAAACTCGACCGATCCAAGCGTGGTTGGGAAAGAACGTTTCTGACTTCATCAGATCTGAATACTGACCGTCATTTAGTCCCGATTATAATTTAAGATCAACTGACCTGAAGTGATTTTTTTTTGTAAAAATATTTATGACAAGACTAGGTATTCTCGATAACACAAAAAAGGCAATTTACAACTATAGCAACAAGTAAATCGTAATTATTTAACACAACATTAAATCAATTCGCATATAAAGGATGTCTCAGTAAGAGGGCACTTTTTAAATTTAGAATCATTTTTTTTCGTGTAAATGGCAACTCTGTAATTTGACAGCTATCACCTATGTTTATTCCGATTATTAAAAATGGAGCGCTTTTCGAAAGAACAACGCGTTATAATTGTGAAAACTCATTACGAAAATGGAGCAATTTACGCTGAAACCGCTCGCAAACTTCGCCAAATTTTCAGTCGAGAAAGTGTGTCAACCATTCAAAGAGTGTTCAAAAAATGTGAAGAAACTGGGTCAATTTTGGATATTAAGAATCCTTTGCTTCAACGTATCGGTCGTTCTCTTGAAAACATTGCTGCTGTAAACGAGAGTGTCGCCGAAAACCCGAAAACATCAATTCTTCATTGTTCTCAACAACTTGAAATTTCACCAAGCACTACGCAGCGAATTTTGACAAAAGACCTCCACCATCATGCGTATAAGATTCAGCTAACTCATTAGCTCAAACCAGCAAACCATGGAAAACGCCGGCCATTCGTTCAATGGGCAATGGTTTATATATATTTATATATACTTTTTTTTATACATTCTACCACATTCTCACAACGCCATCTAGTCCTAAACTAAGTAGAGCTTGTACTATGGCTACTAGACCACTGATATAAATACATATCATATATACTTTTTTTGTAAATACATATATTATACATAGAAACACATAGGTACAAACATTAAATGTTCATGCACACAAATGTTTAACTTAGGCGGGCATCGAACCCGCGACCTTTGGAATAGCAATCCGTTACACAAACCACCACACTATCAAATTATATATTAACCAAATTAATATATAGTATAAAAGTGGAAACCTAATACACAATGTCATGACCTTTATGTTTGAAATATTTGCTATGGTGACACTGACACAAAAAAGAAACCCAGTGCTATGTGTAATTCTGCCATCATAACAGGCCTCAATAGCCATTAATTCAATGCCAATTTTTTTTTACTGGATCATGACTTGGTTGCGGTGCACAAGGTTGGCTTCAGACGAAAAAATTCCTCTTCATGGCATATACGAAACTTTAGATACACATTAAATTACGATAGTCTGTACGAAAGCTGGCCATCATCTGGTAGTTCTGACCAGTATTGGCATTAGACGAGAGAACTTCTTCTCAATGGTCCACAGCATAGGTGCAACTTTGAAACTAGTTTAGACTAGTCCGCGAGTCCAGTTCATAAATGATATTAAAGTGCAATGCTCAATGATTTTTGTTAAAAATATGATATATAATAATATTAAGATTTATATTGTATGATCATCATCACCATCAACAGCCTTAATCTGTCCACTGCTGGACATAGGCCTCTCCTTAGAAAGGAGGTTATATTGTATATGATGCCTATATTTTTGATCGTAAAAGTGTGTTCACAATTTATTCTTCCTCGGAGTATTTCACGACAAAATTACTGAATCTAACAGTTCGAAGTGAAATTATTAAACTGTTGGATAAGTCCATTCATAATGGATGGCATAGTGGTTTGCGTAACGGACTGCTATTCCAAAGGTCGCGGGTTTGATTCCCGCTCAAGTCAAACATTTGTGTGCATGAACATTTAATGTTTGATTTGGTCTGGGTGTTTCTATGTATAATATGTATGTATTTACAAAAAAAATTGACATTTGTGTTCAGTAAGGTTTGCCATTTTATCATGTCACGTTTCACTTTAAACTAACGCTTGGAAATTGTCCAAAATTATTACGCACATTCGCGTTCTCCTACCGCTACAGTAAGAGCGCTTCGCGCAAAAAACGGTCGTCATAGTGCTCCTTCTGTGCGCGCTATTAATCGCATAATAACAAAATTTGAAAGTGAATTCACTCTCCACGATATTGCTGTGCCTGTGAGACAAAGAAATGCCCGTAGTGAAGAGAATATCGCTGCCGTTCAGGCCAGTGTTGATGCGAATTCTAATCGATCAGTTCAACGCCGTTCACAAGAGTTGGGGCTCTCTCCAATGACCACCTGGCGTATTTTGCGGTTGGATTTGGGCCTACACCCATACAAAATTGTTTTGGCACAAGAATTGAAGCCATCCGACCATTGTATCAGTCGTGAATTTGCCGATTATGCAATGGAAATGATGGAAGCCGATGACGATTTTCATCGTAAAATCATCTTCTCAGATGAGGCCCATTTCTGGCTAAATGGGTTTGTTAATAAACAAAATTGTCACTATTGGAGTGAGTCAAATCCACGTGAGGTTCATGAATCACCATCGCATACGCAAAAAAATAACAGTTTGGTGCGGTTTATGGTACGGTGGAATCATTGGTCCGTACTTCTTTGAAAGTGACGAAGGAAACCCTGTTACTGTGAATGGCGAGCGTTATAACTCGATGTTAACCGAATACTTCTTTCCGGAATTTGATGATATTGATGCAGACGACCTTTATTTTCAACAAGACGGTGCACCACCTCACATTACTCGAGTGAACATGGAATTATTGCATGGAAAGTTTGGTAAGTCGTTAATTTCGAGAAATGGACCGATCAGTTGGCAATCAAGATCGTGTGATTTAACATCTTTAGACTATTTTCTTTGGGGTTGCGTTAAATCTAAAGTGTACAGCAATAATCCAGCTACAATTCGTGACCTAAAAACCAACATTCTCGCTCGTCGAGCTATAGCCGACATACCGGCCGAAATGGCTGAAAATTGGCGTGAGCGGGTGACCGTCTGCAAAAAGAGCCGCGGCGGTCATTTGGCCGATATATTATTTAAAACATAAATTGCATAAATCAATCGGATGCATTTTTCATAAAAAATTGTGTGTTTTATTCAATTTCTAAATCAGGACGTTCTTATTGGTAGACCCCATATGTATTTATATCAGTTGTCTGGAAGCCATAGTACAAGCTCTGCTTAGTTTGGAACTAGACGTTGTGTGAATGTAGTAAAAAATATAATAATATATAAGGTTAGGATTTAATTTTGAATGTTTTAGATATCAGTAACTTTCAGGGTCTGCTAAGTCTCGGTAAGGCGTATGGTAGGTTACTTTGTACAGTGATTTCTTGACTTGTTTTACTTCATACAAAATGAGGGGAGAGTTAATTTTGTTAGGATCTACATAGGAAGCTATCTATCTGTACTATATTATTTTAAAAATCAATTACCTCTGCAGCTGAGACAAGTTGAACAGATGACATATTCCATGCATCTTCTGGAGACAAGCCTCGTTTTGTATATTTCTTCAGACTGGAGACAGCTGATGATATTTTTCTGTTGAAATATAATCAACCTGCTTAATCCTTAACTGTTTTGAATTATCAAACTTCATGATGGCACAGTGATTTATTGCTCAAATGTCTATCTTTATCACATTTGAATGCAAAATTAAAATCTTACCCCACAGCAACTTTTCGAAAGCCTCTTATTATTCCGTCGATTGTGTTTTCCCAACGCTCTAGACCTGTATTTTTGTCCTTTAAATATGACATGGTTGGGCCTAAAGGCATGCCTGTAGCGGCCCAATCCCATGCTTTTACTAGTGATCTGTAAAAACAAAAAACAACATTCACCAACCCACATAAGCTGAGTTTTCAATTATTATTTGAGTGTTTATTACTTTTCTACTGCTTTTCACATTTACAATATTAACTATTAATGTTGTCACTGTGAAAACTACTACCGAAGCCGGTGTTTACAAGGATCTGGTCTAATTAGACTTATTAATACATTTCAACTTGTCTACTAGCGCACTCTTAACAAGCACATGCAAACAGTACAGATTTATTGCGATAAACCGATTAACTGTCTACTGCAGTCTACTGCTGAACACAGCCCGCTGCAATCGTATGTGCCAAAGCATCCGGTCCTTCGTAATCCGCAACTACCTTCTTACAATCGTCTTTCCACCTTGCTGGCTGGAAGGGCTATACTAATCTCTACTACCTACACTAATACAATGAAGCTAACATTAAATTAGTTGAACTTGGCAATCTCTCGGCAACGGGATAAGATCAGATAGATATCAGCACGATTACATTTAAACATGTCTCGGTAATATAACTAAGTAATTTAACTACCTAGCAGTCTGCAGCATAAGCACGGTGTTTTCTCCCTCGTAGGTGCAGGCTGCAGTGACCATTCCATATATCTGAGGCAGGTTCGATGATAGCATGTAGCCGTGACCCCCGCAAGACATGCGACATCGTTCCACCATGGTTGCAGTATCTGCTGTTGTAACAGCTTTTAGGCAACACGCTAAGGCATGCAACTGAAATGAGCGGTTTTTTGTTACTTACTTATTAAGTAAGGAAGCTCCTCACTTTATTATATTTTATTATTATACTAACAACAGCTTATAATTATTTTAATTGTATTTTTCTTATGTTTGTTGTAGTCTTTCCGAACTCCGTCATTAATCAACCATTTTGGAAATTATTTATTATTTGGAGTGTTCGGTGGGAACAAAGGGTAAGTATACCGTTCCAAATATAAAATGTATATGTATCGTTGTTCCACCATCGATACATATACATCCGTTACATATAACAGATAAAAAGTAACTAAGGTTACTTTTAAGAAAATACCAATATCGGAGGGGAATATTTGTCTATACTATAATTATTTCAATAACAGTCATAGATTACACAACTGGTATGCAACTATGTACGACTATACGGCCTACCTCAGGTAAATCACTCGCGTTTCCAATTTTTAGATCGTTGTTAACTTTCGTATACAAGTCCCACAACCACTGTGCAATTAAACGGATCGCGTGACTAGATGCTATAGCGATGAACAGCTTGTGTTGCTGGGTTACGTAGTCCAGTATCTGGGGTTCTGGTTCACTGCAAAACGGAATTACCTTTTAAAGAAGATAGTCCGATCCGTTTGCAAACGGTTTATTCCACTCTGTTCACCTGGGTGACTAAAATAGATTTATTGGTTTCCTAATTTCACCTTGGCATAATTTCACCTAGATGATATCACCCAGGTGAAATAATTCGATATAAGCGGAGGCCTTTGTTCACCTTGGAATTTATTCACCCAGGTGAACAAAAACGACTTTTTTTATTTATCTTGTGTTCTTTTATCACCAATGATAATAAAAAGTTTCGAATTTATAGACAACTTAATATTTAAATCGGTTCAATGTTCATTACATTTTTTACGAAAACAACAACTAATATCAAGTTACTTAATCTAATTTATATTGCCGAATAATCTCTACTTACTCAGGTTTCAGTGGGGATTGTCTTCTAACCGCGGAGTATCTAACTGCAATGGTGGCCGATCTAGCCAATTGGTTTGACATGCCATAAACAATAATTACTCTCACGTACACCATGGTGCCGTAAGCCAGCTTGTTGTTTGGAGATTTTATAAACGTACCGTCCTAGAAAGACAAAATAAGATTAATACAATACGACTTATCCGGTTTGAAAATTTCGAATTTTTGATAGATTTTTGTTTAATTGATGTCACTGTCGTAACGGCCTTTCTATGGACATACCGGCGTGCCACCAACTCGCGTGTCAGTCCTATTTCTCTATCCCCTCCGCGCTTAACCTCATTTAACAACCTTCTGCCTTAATCTCGTCTAAATACGATTATAATCCCCAATATAGTTAGTGTCTCAGGCTAAGTAAAAGAAGTCAACCGAAGTTCATTTTTTATGTAATGCGCCTGCCAGAAAGGATATCGCAATCGGCATCACGGCAATAGCACTTACTTTCACGCACATAATGACCGTGTTCCTATTTCTTAGACACAATTTGTCAGTCAATACATTGGATTGGGCTTACATCGCAAACAAAGTTTTTTAACTAACTCTTGAATTATATTATTAAAAAAATCTTTGAATTACTGGTCGTAAAAGCAAAACTTTTTCTCCAAATATCGCGGGTAACAAAACGCACAAAACTGTTTGGTCCATCCGAGCGGTATTTGAAAGTACTGAATCTTTTATTCGTCTGATTAAATAAATAACAGTGATAGACTATCTAAAACATTATGTAATAGGTTTCCTGAGACAGTACAGATGTTACAGTCAAATCGAGTTATTGCTAATGCTTCGTACTCACATACGGTTTTACTCTGTCGAGCCAACATGTCCAGTAAAAATCACGGCATATGGGCTCTCATCTACACATTCAGCATTGGGGAACAAGCACATAGATGCGAAGGAAATTACATTTATTTAATTCCATAGAGCCGGCTCGCTGTGGGCCTTCGAGATGTGAGTTTTGCGGTCCACACGTTTATTTTTACTGGTTTTGAAATAAAACTATTAAATAATATCGCATGTGACTACGGAACTTAACAATCTCCTCAACCCGTGAACAACCGTGAAATACAATATATTTTATAAAACACCTACCTTTAAAACCTGGCTATTCTTCATCAACATTCTGTCTCGTTTTATCCTATGATGTTCAAAACCCAGAAATCCATTATTGACAGTATTAAAACCAAGTTTGGCACCAATTTCTCCAAGTTTGATACCTGGAAGGGGGAGGTGAGTTTCTTCGTCTCTGAGCTGAACCATGAAAGGCTGAATACCACAACTCTTTCCTTTTATATAGAGGTGTGCCATCACCACGCAGTAGTTTGCTGTATGAGCCACTGGAAAAAAAAGAGAAAAATGTTGAGCTCCTGGTTTGTAAGTTTGTAGCTTTTTTATCATTTTTAGCCTGTAGACTGTATGAGAGCCAATAGAGATCCTTTTAAATGACCTTCATATATTTTTAATACTATTATCATCATCAACATTTAATAGTCCACTGCTGGACATAGACCTCTCCTTAGAAAGGAGGTTTATACTTTAAATTAATGTATAAAGTAACACTACACTAACACATTAGACCAATAAATGTTATATGCAATAGAAAAAAAAACTTGTAAAATTATTTATGGCAAGCCTGTCAAAATAAAAGGAAAAAACAATTGAACTTACAGCTACCAGGCCACCATTTATAAGAAGTAAGAGTAGGACTGTGGAGTACAAATTCTTCTGTTTTAGGATCATAAGTGGCTCTCGTTTCTAAACCACGTATGAAAGTGCCGTGACCGAGCTCCGTCTGAAAGCAAAATCTATAAGTACACATAGAATTACTTGCTCTAACTGAGTTACTAATTCATCAAGGCAGAGCCTTAACCGCTGTTGCTAATAAATTGAAATTTTGCCAGCTGATGCTTTTTCATGTTGTAAACATCCATTAAGAAATAATTATTGGAAATTTCACCGCAAGATTCCTAAAATAGGGTTTCAACGGATGTATGGAAGTTGATAATTTTAAAAATTAGAAACAATCACGAGATCGAAGCCGCGGGCAATTGCTAGTTAACAACATTTCTTCCTTTGATTGTACCTCCGTCCTCCGGGACACTTGCAAAAAAATTTATAGTTTTGTTATTACTTTAATACCAACATTTAATACTTATCTATAAATATTTTTCACATCAACTAGTTCAAATCATTTAGTAAAGTCCACTTGAGTATTTAGGTTATTTCAGAGTTGAGTGTTATGTCGAATATCTTGCTATCTCTATCTGGAGCATATAATAAGTACTCTTATATGCATAGCCCTTTCAAGCAATTCACAAATTCAGGTACACTTGTGCTCATACATAATATCATGTTTCGTACACACAGTAGGAGTAGAAGTAAGCAGAGACCACCGTTGACCACGATTGTCACATAAAGCAGTACTATTCTCTAAGGAAACAGCCTTGCGTACAGCACTGCCACAGCGTCGAACTTTAAAGTCTGTTTCCTTTAGAGAATAGCACTGCAGCTCTTTCGCTTGCCGCTTACAGGTCCGTTTAACGAAGCCCTTATTCATGACATTGTAAGTAATGCTTTACCTGAGCGTAAGTTCCAATAATCTCGAAATTCACCGCCCTCTTTAGCCAATACTTTTTCTGCTCCTCGTCAGCCTGCCCGATTATAGCTGGCATGAACATGCTATAGTGCAGTCTAAAAGGGCTCATGTCTTTGAAGACCGCATTTGGGAGTAAGCTGCGATAACTGGACCTATAAAATTGAGAAGATTAAATTACACTTTGTGTTAGACAATAATAGCTTGACACATCCCACACACCGCCGTGTGATCTCAAATTAGTAGCTTCTGCTATGACGACCAGAACGCTGATAAAAATACTATTAAAATTAAAGATAAATTATTATTTGCCCTGTTTGGGAGATATTGCTAGGAAAAGTAAATAAGATTGATGACTAAGAATGGTAGAAATTTTTTTAGATTAGGGTCACGTTCCTTAAACTTCAACAGCCTATTACTGTAGTCCGACCCCTTAAAAATCAAATTATACACTGTTTATATAGATTAAATTTTAAAGCATTGTAGTACAGTAGAGGGCTACAAAGAGAAATACGTACATAGCTCTCTCTTCATCACTCTGGTTTGGATCAGCAGTCTCTTTTATAACTCGGTAATACGTAACAGCTTTGCGGATCGCGTTTTCATACTTCTCTTTGTGGCTTAGATATTCTTCAGGTATGTCATCTTGTAGCCCTTTTGTTTTTAACACTTTCACCTCTGCAACACATAAGATTCGCGATTCAGTCTTGTAGAAAAATACATTGCAAGTGCTTATTGCCACAGTTCAGTTCTACACTGGCCCTGATTTCCACATTAAAGATTGCGGGAAACAGACATCCGGACCCACATATTAAAGATTGTCTAAATCTATGCAATATACACTACTTAAAGTACTTCATAGATACTTACTTACTTTATACACTTTTTTTGTGCATAAATCCCCTCGGATACCACCTACCGGTGGCTATGTCGGACTCGAACCGACTAAAAACCGGACGCCGTCTCGGCTACCAGTAGTCGGGGAACCAGGTGTACCCTAGAAAGGAAATCCCTGGTACCCCGACGTATCTCGGGGCATCGGTTTTTTTATTCTTTTACATAATTATTGGATAATTATAACTGTATGTGTGCCATTCAAATAAAATAAAAGGATAATAAAGAATTATTATAGTCCACTAGCTGTAGAACTTTCGTGGGTTATATTTTTATGTCAGTGTTAATGTGCCTGATGCATGTATGTTTACTGTTGCTGTGTATGTACCTTCGTATATGTAATTAATTGTGTACTTCGTAATTGGCGTATTGTTCGACTATATATTGTCAGCTGTGAAGAACCTAAGTATTAATTAAAATAAATAAATAAAATGAAATAAAATCTTATACTTATACATATGCATTTATAATATCCAATAAGTATATTCCTTTTCCTTAATTTATTACCTATTTCAACATGTAATGAATTGTAAATTCTAAACCTAAACTAATATAATCCCCACAGGGTGGCTACAATCACCCCGGGATGTGCTTTAGACATGGGGTACGGCAGGGAGGACTTCAGAAGCCGATGACTGGGAATGGACTTCGATGCTTTTCTGGAGCTCCTCCTGACTGCCAAGGTAGGACGCCGCGGGGTTTAGTGGGTAAACCGGTTCTCTGGGAGTCCCGAACACGCTCTGCGTTTTCCCAACGGAGGGTATGGTGACAAAAGCATTCCAAAAAAATTGTTCAGACTGGTGGTAAATGCAACACAGAACGAATAATAGTCTGTGAATTGTCTAAGCGAGAGCATTTACCAACCACCATTACATCCAATAATGTTATTATAAGCATCGCTAATAGCTTAACATTGGGCAAGTCGTGTATTGAGTCTACAAAGTACTCGCCTTACTACATATAAATAAACCACAAAAAAATTATAAATCACTTTTACCTTGATTGACGAAACACCAAATATTTGTACCAATAACAAAATCAAAGGCTCCATAACATTATAATATTGATTTACTTTGTGCCAACGTTAACAAGTATTTGTACAAATATGCCACTATTCACTTACCCAACTTTCTCCTATCTTCCGTTGCTTTTCGTCCTCCATCTAAGTAATTAGTCAACTCAAGAACATTGAAATCACATTTTTTTCTCTCTTTCAACAAGTCTTCATTCGCTTTCGCGACCATGTTGCTACAACTGAATTGAATGTAATGGTTGGTGAGGACTGTACTACTTGTAGCAACCGCTTGTCTTTATTGCATGTTATCAGCGTGCACGTTTGATATAACACTTTATTTACTTACTTTCTTATCTGTTTATAGATCAACGCTATAGTCGTATTAAACAATGTAAAGTATGTGTATGTTATTTTAATTTTAATTTTAAGTTATGTAATCGGCTCTCTCTAAATTTTCATATTACAGAAGATAAGTTAAACTGTAATGATGTTTTTACTATTCTTGACTAGGATGAAAGGAAAAATCTAATTTCTGAGTCAACGAAATTAAAATTTAAATGAACCAAAATCTATAAACTAGTTTCCATTGACCTAATTGCAAAATTCCTCCAGAAGCAAGTTCAGTACAAACTACAAATATAGGAGAAGTCTGAAAGTGGTTCATCATCATCATCATCAGCCTATCGCAGTCTACTGCTGGATATAGGTCTCGCCTACAGCACGCCATTTAGATCGATTGTCGGCTTCTCGCAATCAACTCCCAGCAATCATTTTGAGCAAATCATCACTCCACCTGGCCGTACTACTACTACGTACGCCGTGACGCGGTCTCCGCTCACAAAAGTGGTTACTTGTACATAAAATTTCCATTTTTGTCATCTTTGAAACAGTAGAATAATATTAGTAATTCAACTACCATACCAGTATACAGTATACATATACATACAAGTGTTTACGAAACAGATTCGCACTTGTAGGGTTTTTATGTTGTGTATATCGTTTATTATGAATACTTAGATCTAGTGTGTTAATCACAACATATTATAAAAAAAACTGTCTATTTTTCTGTTTGTCTGTCTGAACACAATAAACTCGAAAAGTATTAAACAGATTTTCATACAATTTTCATCAATAAATAGGTGTTGTATATCCTTAAATCTGATGAAGTAATTCATGGATCAGGTTAAGGTGTATGATTCATTACATTTCAATATCTTTTGTTTTTGTACATTGAATTTGCGAAGATCGTTGAAGATGTCGGAAAAAATCATACCGATTAGGAACTATGGGTTACGTCCACCTAGGCCAATACTATATCGCACTAATTTTTCCTGGTCTGCCACTCATGCGAAGCCGAGACGAGTTGCTAGTTGGCCAATAAAAATAACTCAACGCCCTTGAGGGTCAGCGGCCATTAGCCGATATTACCAATCAATTTGAGCATTCATGTCTTTCGACATTTTGTTTGAAATGTTTTCATAACTTAACTTACACTGTATCGAAACATATTGATATCTACTGTTATGATCTAAATATAATAAACATTATTTACTGATCCCTATATAGATACTGACCGTTCCCCGCATTTTCTCTGACGTTTAAGGTCACTGCGCCACTTTAACGGGTCGTAGAGTGACGTCAGCATGGTGATGTGGAATGTGATGTCGTGTGTTGTTAAGCCTATACCTAGACCTGTGGTCACTATCAATCACCACCTATATAAAATAGTGTTTTTTTAATCTGGAAGTTCACCTGCTCAGTTTGAAACTAGATGGCATTGTGTGTTGTGTGTTAGATGTCCAAATTGTTTACACTGCACCTTGCAATTACTTACAAACTTATTACTTACATAAGTGTTAACACCGTTTGCTTAGAATAACATGATTTAGTGGGTTTATAGTTTAAAAATGGATTAATTCTTATATTAGAGAAATTATTAAATAATTTCTAATAATCTAATTGTTTTAAAACTGTTACAACTATCTAGTAGATAGTTGTAACAGTTTTAATACAATTTCCCATAGTGATAATAATGATAATTTAAAAATAATGACAATAATAAATTAGAAATTTATTCCATCAGGTGACCGGTCTGCTAGGTTGGCCCTCTGTTACATTAAAAAAGAATACTGAGCCACACTTGGAGTTTTTTTTTAATATGACAGCATAGCTGTTAATTGCTGATTAATTAAAGCCCTCAACTGCCAAAATTAAATTTGCTAAGCCATTTCGACATGCCATTCAAACGTTACAGCATGCTGCTCTATTTTTATGACGTTGACGATTCCGATAAAGTTATAAATTATTTTATTGAGCAGTATACAACGATAAAATACAAACAGGAATATTCTTAACTTGTTATCACACTATTACGGTAACATATCATAGAATAATATGATACGAAAACAAGTAACAAGAACACTAATTACGAACAGAATCGACCCCCCTTTAATGAAACCTTAATACTAATTCTAGTTACTGAAGTATTAGTCCGTGTCCATGTGGTGACGGATTAAGAATGCGGAATGTCATCACCCCTATTCATTCCATGGGTGTCGTAAGAGGCGACTAAGGGAACAAACTACGCAGGACAACAGCACTGCAAAGAGAAGGCAAACTTGAAACAAACCCTATACCAACCCGTCTGGCCAGCGTGGTATAGTAGGCCAAACTCTCCTTTCTTAGGAGAGGCCTATGTCCAGCAGTGGACTAGTAATGGCTGTTGATGATGATGATGATGAAGTATTAGTAATAATCATCTTTTTAAAAACATACTTTTATTTAAATAACAACTAGATCTAACTTAAAAGTTTACTTTAAAAGATAAATGAAAATATTTTAGTCTTCCATAATTTTTTCTTGGCTTTCCTAGCAAGATTCGTTCCCAGCAGTGGCAATCGGAAGAAGAAAATATAGAATAAAATCTTTTTTTTATATCACAGTTTCCCCTGCATTGTCGGTTTCAAATATTTGTGGAAAGTTTCGTTCACTGGCTCCTGGTTCAAGGGACTCTTCAAAGCTTCTGCGAATAACCTTTTGTAGACTTGTCCATCATAACTGCCTAATGCTGAATGGAGTATCTAAAAAAACATTTACAAGGTGAACAGTAAGAGTCTTGGTTCTTGTCCATAAAAATAACTTACCCTTAAATAGACTAGAGGAGGTCCTCATTTGGGTTGTTTTTTTATTTGTTACCTCATAACTCTCTCCTTTATAATTTTAATGACTTCGAAAATTATTTTTTTATACTTTCGTTTAAGTCCTATTCAATTTTAAGGAAAAAATTCCACCCTAAAGGGTAGAAGCTAAGCAAAACCAGGTAGTATGCAATTGATTACATATTTCATTACACAATGGGTACAAACCCCTGAGCCAGGGGTCGGTTACACCCCGACGAAAAATTGAGATCATCTTTAACATCATTCATTTCCTAAGTTATTTAACACTTACCTCATCACGTAAATCGAAGGCATCGACAAGTCCAACAGCATTAGGCCGTATTAGAGTCAAAAGTTCTTCGTATTTCATTTGTAAGTTGGCAACATCTTCTCCAGATATTGATGAATACTGTAATAATTGAATCTAATGTGATTTTGGATAAAACATCGACTTTCTGGTGAGTAATAATCGTAGGGCTGGTTTTAGGGAAGGAATGGTGATGCTTGAAATACTCTCTATTAATAGTTAGTTTAGTATAAATATTGATCAAAATCCTTTTGAAAATAAAGTTGAAACGACTTCAAACAATACTGACAAAGAGCACTAAAAACCTAGCAGCAATCGCGGTTGATTTGATGTCATTTTTTGAATAGTTCCGTTGTCTGTCTCCGAAAATCATCATCAGATCTATATGAAATTTAAATGGGACCATTTCGGAATAAAATCCTTTCGAACAAAAAAGATTTTTGCAAATCCGTTGGTATATGACGGAGTTATGTCGGTTATGCAAGAGGACAAAACTCTCTCAACGCTGACAGTAAGCGTCTTTAAAGGCAATAAGAATCTAAGAAATACCGGTAAAACAGAGATTATCAACAAAATAGGTGCCGAGTCGGGTCGGGTGACGAGTGGCTCTAGTGAACCACTACCTGCCTTTACTACCTTAAAGTCGCTCCACGTTCTATGGAAAGGGCTATGCTCAGCGTTTCTCTAGGATTAGCAAGCTGAAGTAACCAGTAGTGGGCCAGCCATATTAGCCACAGAACCGACAATCGGTAGGGGTAAACTAGTTTTTTAGTGGAGACCGCGTCTAGGCAAATTTAGAGTAGGGCGCCCACAGGCCAGGTGGAGTGACGATTTGCGCAAAATGGCTGGCAGGAGCTGAATGCGAGAAAAAATAGAAGTGGCTTGCAATAGGAGAGGTCTATGTATAAGCAAGTTTCTTGAAAAGCGCACAGTGTTGGAGTGGTAATTACCCCAGGGATTAGGATGGATGTTTTGCAATCTAAGTAAAACAATTTGATTAGAAAATCAAGATCATGCATCGCGCAATGGAAATTCTCGTGTAAGGTACTACTTCCGTACATAAACTTACCACCAACGCAATGCTAAGTAAACTCAATAGTTCTACTTGTTTTATTAGATGGATCTGAATAACATCTATATGAAAGGTTAATCACTGTTTTTTTTTACTTAGTGTCTTACCCGCAAAAGGTCGCCAGTTCTATTTAGAGCCCAATAGTGCAAATACAAATTAACAAGCTGTTCCATCACTATTTTAACGTTAGTGCTAGATGAAGCTGTAATTCTTGCTATCTCTTTCTTATATGTGTCTGATATTACCGCTCGACAATGGGCCTATAAAAACAAAGAGTAGTATAAGTATTTTATAGATAAATAAGTAGGGATAATTGGTACTCAAACATAACAAGATGCTGCAAAGTTCTAATCCTACATCGCGCAAAATAACTTACATTCACAACATCGCGGCTCTTAATGTACTCGTATAAACAACTTCATATTTTTTAAGCCAGGACGCCGCGGCTGCACCCGTCGCTATGGTACGTTTCTTAGGACCCAGCGCTTTCCGTACATAGCATTCGTACGCCACCGGCGGCGGACACGCATCGGTCGTCGGTCGCACGCGATCGATTTTCAGATAACTCTGTGCGATTTTATTTCACATGAACTCGCTCTCGATAGCGAGCGCGTTCGGGGTTGCGATTGGTCCGCGCTGAACTCTACACCAATCACAGCGCCGAACGCGGTCACCGCGACGATCGAGTAGAAGTAAAATAAACTCACACTAGGCCCTCTGGGCCTAACATCGGAAAGCTACGGGTCGCCCCGCGACCGCTGACCATGGTCGCGTAGTCGAATGCTACCTTTAAGTATTATTTAGCTCTATATTTCTTTAATAATTACCTCTGCGGCTGCAACAAGCTGTATGGTAGTCAGTTCCCATGCATCTTCGAATGATAACCCACTGCTCATTCTTTTTCTTATGCTCTTTACACATGAAGATATATTCCTAAAATATATAAATAATAATACAATAATAATAATATAATTCTATTATATCTATTATAAAGTAACTACGACTCAAAATTGGTTAGTAATACATAAAATTTTATCCTAGAGACAATTTACAATATTTCATTTATGCACTCTATGAGAAATGGTGCTGCAGCATAGAGCAACACATGCCACCGACTGCTGCAGTGACCAATTTCGCAATCTAACCTCTCTGCAATCATGGCTTATATGCTGTTAGAGCTAGCCCGCACCCTGCGCACCAAAGATGCACACCGAGTTGTGTGAAAGCAGTCCACTCACGCCTCTGCGAACATCCTGGATGCACTACCTAAGCGGGGTAGCCCCAACAGCACCCTAAATGCATTGGTGTATTGGATACGGGGGGATGTGTATGCTTTTCGAGTATTTCCAGCCCACAAAGATATTTAAAACAGATAAACTTAGATGGGGCGCATGTGATGGAATGCGAGGCTTTAGAGAAAGTGTTTTGGTTTAAAAAAAGAAATATTAAATAAAAGTTAACCGGCCACGGTTTAAACTTTAGTGCATAAAATCGTATGATGTTAACTAAAAATACATTTCGTGGATTTCATAATTGAACACAGCCCGTCTTCAATTTCGCAGGGCTGTCACGAACAATTAAAAAGGCTGAATAGATGATCAAGTTAAAAGATAATTAATTTTTGCAAAAGTGTCTCCGTCTTAATGTAGGTGTAGTCGACACCTACATTAAGACGGAGTTTTGCAGAAACAAACATAGAAAAAACACAGTCCAATTAAGCGCTTTCTCCTGTTTTTTGAGTCACTCAATAAGCTAAAAATTTATTGCACTTACCCAGCTGCGATGTCCTGGAAAGATTTGATGATCCCTTCTGGAGAACCATCCCATGGCGTTCTTTTACCAGAAACGAATTCAATTAAATATAATACTGTTGGTGTAACTGGATTTCCTGCTTCGGCTTGTTCATACGCTTTTACCAAGAATCTGGAAATACAATATAACCAATAACACTTTTTAATTTTTGGTGTCCGAAATAACCTCTACCGGCCACCGCTAGTGTGTTTACCCAGTCCTACATTCGTTAATATCATGAATTGGATTTTTATTTTTTGACTTAACTCAGGATAACTATGGACTTCTATTTGTCACGAAAGTATTATTTAACTAAATAATCTTACCTCGCAGTTTGTAGCAACAAAATAGTATAATCTCCCTCGTAAGTCCTCGTAGCGGTGACGTAAGAATATATATTGGGTAAGCCAGAACATAGCATATAACCGTGACCGCCACAGGAGTAACGACATTGTTCGATCAGAGACGCGACGTCTGAAGTGCTTAATGCTTTTAAACAACTTGACAACGCGTGTAACTGTAAAAAGAATAAGGATCATGGAGCAATATCTTGAAAGGACACCGCTTTAGGTTTTTAATTTAAGTCTTTTGATAGTAGCCTCTACAAACATAGGACGGGCGCGACCTTGCCTCTTTCGAACTACTGCGGTTTCAGTCCAGTTTGCCATTAAAGACTTAAGGCATCCCTAACAGCAGTATATAAATTTATGTCACAGTAAAACCCATCTATGGTGATTTCAACGGGATCGAAAGAAAATTTTAACACATTTTTTTTATATTTTTTGGACATCTAAGACACAACGCCATCTAGTTTCAAACGAAGCCGAGCTTGTGAAAGCTGTGAAAGCTGGAATGGTTTTTAGAATACGTATATCCTTTTTGTAAATACATACAAATATACAGATCAAACAAATATATAAATATACAGATCAGTCAGAATCAGAACATAAGAACAAGGTTTTCATTCTAGAGGACTATGTGTCTGATATATAATAATGTTGTGAGTTTTTTGAATTCTTACCTCGGGTAGACTATCAGTGTTGCCTTTTTTTATGTCAGACATCACAGCGTTAAATGTTTTCCACAACCAGGCACTAGCCAGTTGCAGTGCATGTGCTGTTGCTATGCAGATAAAGAGTTTGTGTTGTTGTGTAGTGTAGTCCAGAATCTGGGGTTCTGGTTCACTGGAAAATAAAAAGAATGAAGAATATAATTTCATTTTTCATCATTAAATACGTAAACATTACTATGTACACACACTGCATCGGGTATTTCACCGTAGATAGTATTAAAAACCTATTTTTGTCAAGATAGTCTAATGTAAATGTAATAACTGGGAGTTAATTTTAGGGACATCTTATTTCCCATGAAATCCATGTTAAAGTCAAGAATATAACAGACGTGAGACTATCTTCGCTAGTTCACCATAGGTCTGTGTATTTGATCTGATTGCCTTAATGTCTTGTACTGGAATAGCCGTTTCATGAGGTTGTAATGAGAATGAGGTTAGCGGATTAGAATTAACGATATTAAAATATGTGTTTTGTTTTATATGAAGATCTTGCTGCACAAAGTTAACTGTTCAATACGATACAAAACAACTATTATTTTTAGATTCAATGCAATACATAACAATTTTTTTTGTATAAATAGTCATTAATTTTAAATAATGCAAAATAAAGGTATATGGTAACTGAAGTATTATTCTTAAAGTTTAAAATATAAATAGGAAAACACACTTAGGCTTAGGTTGAGACTGTCTCCTCACGGCAGAATATCTAGTAGCGATGGTGCAAGCTTTAGCCAGGTTAAAAGCAACCTCGTTTACTAATATTACACGCACCAACACCATAGTCCCATAAGTCAGCTTCCCGTGGCTGTCTGGTTTAACGTAAGTACCGTCCTGAAATAAAGGAATATGGGATAAATAGTGAACATAACAGGAAGCCACTGATTGTTAAAATCAATCGAACTAAATTTTCAGTTGCCGTGAAAGAGCTCGGTCCACTATTGTTGCGCCACATAAGTCAAGTGGCATAGCAAAAGAGCTTTCGATATGGGAAAAGCAGTGGTCTGTTGGGCTTTTATAGACTAAAAATCACCCCGGTGTTCCAGCGCTTGATTACTTGATCGAGGGAGTAAGAATCATCATTGCATTCTTCCGCTAAATCATATTTATATTTTTGTAAAAAAAACACATCAAAGTACATTCATACGTTTTCTGGCAACCCTAAGTACATACTATTCTTAGCTTGGGTTTGGTTTCTTTCTAACACTTTTGTCTGATTTTTGTAAAATATACATACTTAACCATCCTTTAATCTATCTCCTATAGCTTAGGACACATTTTCAAACATATTCATATTCTAAATTAGTTATTACTTTCGTTTGGTATGTATATAAAATACTAGAATCCCACCTTTAAAACTTTTGCATTCTTCATCATCATATTCTCTCTAGGTATCCTATAATGATCGAATGCAAGGTAGCCATTGTCCGCAGTATTGAAACCCATCTTAGCACCGATTTCCCCAACTTTGATGCCCGGGAGGGGCATATGTGTTTCCTCATCTCTAATCTGAACGATGAACAGATGCGTTCCATGACATACACCTTTAGTGTAAAGTTGGGCTACAACTATACAGTAGTTTACTGTTTTACCAACTGCAACAAATAGAGTAGTTAATTAGTAATGCTCTACTTACAGCAGGTGAACTAGAGAAGTGAAAAGACATAAATGTCCGTGTGTATTTTATTTCTTTCACTATCATTGTTATCATTATTGAATAAAATTCATAAAGAATTTTGGAGTCGTATTCTTATTTTGCTGCTGGGCAATAGAAATACTAAAATATTATGCGACATAGCTGAACGGTTGCCATTTGGCAAACCATTAGATTGGTTTCGGGACTGTGATAGCTGTTTTTAAGAAAAAGTTGAACCCAATATTTATTTGCTAGCTTAAGAGCACACAGTGAATACACACTCAGTGAACCTTTACAGGGTATTCAGAAATAAACGATCGAATAGGGAAATCGCGTACACACGTACCAACAGTAAAATAAGTAAGTAAGTACTTGAAAGCACTAAAAATATTTTGTTTTCAAGTCTAAAATATTTTTCGTTGCAATTTATGACCGAACTATTGCCAAATTCTATGTCAAATTCTACAGCAATTCTTAATTTGTTATTGACATTTTTTAAAATATTTTCATCCTTTTCATTATTCCCATACTTAGAAAAATATTATCCTTACCGCTAAATTTTTAATTCAAGTATAATATGTCAATTTCAAAGTAAGATTTCCAAATCATTATTTTTCCTAAGTGTTGTAATACTTACGGCCTCCTGCCCACCATTTGTACGAAGTTAACGTAGGACTGTGAAGCGCAAATTCTTCAGTTTCAGGGTCATATGTAGCTGTGGTCTCCAGCCCTCGAATAAAAGTACCATGGCCAAGCTCCGTCTGAAATAAGTCGCCCGCCGGTCTTTATGGAATATAATAAACTTCATCATCATCATCATCAGCCTATCGCAGTCCACTGCGAACGGTAAATAATAAACTTAAACTAAATAAACTAAACAATAATAAACTTGGTGTAGGTAAAATAGTAAACAAATATGTATTTACATAAACATTTTTGTTACAAGAATACGAGTACAATCAATGACTGTGCACAAATGGCTACCTACCTAATCACTATATAGCAGACAATTACAATAGATAAATTTACTGGAATTACCTACAAAATTCTTGTGAAACTTGTACATAAAACTGTGGTGTGTGTTCAAAAAGTCTATGAATGTAATTTGGGTGCTACAAGTATCAAGTCTTAAAATGTTTCAATTAAAGTCTATGGAAATTCGTTGGCACGCATTTTAAGTAGGCAAAAAGTCAAAAATAAAACTTGTTTTGCATTGCATAAATAGAGTATTTTAAAATAAATCACAGACAAACCCAAATTTAGCGGATTTAATTTTCAATTTTTGGATTTAGAATGTTGGATCAATTTATTTCTCAATGTCTGGATATTGCTAAAGGATATGGTCGCACTTTCAAAGATTTCTATTAATTAATTATTAATCTGTCTTTAAATGTATTTGTTGGTGAAAGTGAGCTCTTCACGTTTTTGTGGCTAAACACTTCTGTGAATTATTCAACAAACTCTCTGTTTATTCATAAGCTACTTGCTAATTTTAATAATTAAATATTACGGCAACGGTCACCTCTTCACCTACCTGGGCATAAGTCCCGATAATTTGAATATCTAGCACTCGCGGTAACCAATACGCCTGTTGTTCAGTAGTACATTGACCCAATATCGTGGGCAAAAACATGCCCAAGTGTAAAAGAAATGGGGATATTTCTTTGAAAAATGCATCTGCCGTTCTTCGTAATACAAAAAAGTTGCTGATGAAATAAAAATAGCATTATGTCTAAATCAAGAATTAAATTATCTTCATGATTTATTGTTATAGCAACTAGCAAAGAAGCATATGATGAAAAGCAATTTCAGCTGTAGTAAAATTCCCATGAAATGTTCTCAAAAACATAAATATGATATTGCAGTATCTGGTCTCATTAATAAACTACTGGATACTATTTTGAATTTAGGTTTTAACCTGCAATAACCTATGGCTATGACGTAAAATGCTAAACTTGCCAGCCTTTTTTGTACCAAGTTCTAAATAATGTCCAAGAGAGGGTCATTTACAGGCCATAGAAGGCCCGAGGCACGTCGGGGTATCAGGGATTTAATTCCTAGGGTACATCTGGTTCCCCGGAAACTGGTACCCGAGACGTGCGGTTTGTGGTCGGTTCGAGTCCCACATAACCACAGGTGGGTGGTATCCACACAGCAAAAAAAAGTGTCTAAATAATGTCGCCTTGTTAATATGCAATATACATTTCAAATGTATTTGGTACATATTTTTTCTGAAATACTAGTAATGGATACTAGTCGTATTTAATACTAAAATACAAAGTGATAAGTATATACGGATCGTTACTACTAAACTCACTAGATTAATAAAGTGTTAAATTATGTTGGTAATACCTATATATCAATGTGATTTTTTTTGTGACGACCGGATGGCATAGTGGTTTGTGTAACGGACTGCTATTCCAAAGGTCGCGGGTTCGATTCCCGCTCAAGTCTAACATTTGTGTGTATGAACATTTAATGTTTGATTTGGTCTGGGTGTTTCTATGTATAATATGTATGTATTTACAAAAAAAAAGTATATATGTATTTATATCAGTTGTCTAGTAGCCATAGTACAAGCTCTGCTCTGCAAGTTTGGGACTAGATGGCATTGTGTGAATGTAGGAAAATATATTATTTTAATATTATTATATTAATATGTTGTCTAAACTGTGAATGCTGTGTTAGCTCGTAAGTGGCAAGTATATTAAAACCTTATTACCTAGATTTTACCATAATTGTTACATATATATGCTGTGAGTTAACCAATTAAAATAAATAAATACTGATGGGATTAGTAACGGTAGTTACACTATATTTCCGGCCCTCTTCAAACCAGTCTGGCACAAAGTTTGCTTGCTCGCCATACCGGAATCAAGAATGGACATCATAAGAATTCGCCAGCACCGACAAATATGAGAATGAAGAGAATGAGACAAAAGAAAAATTTTCGAGAAGATAAAGCTTTAAAATCTCTAATATTATAAATAAAAAAAAGTTGGTACCTAAAATGTTCTAGACCAGTAAACTCAGTAAGAGCATTCTTGACAATTTTACAGAAAATACATGATTTCCTCACCGCGTTCTCGTATTTCTCTTTTGGACTCAAATATTCTTCTGGTATTGGGTCTTTATGAGCTCCTTCATCTAATGCTATGCTTTCTGTAACAGTAAAATAAAACATCTATAATAAAATTAAAAGGACTAATGTTTTTCCCTTAGCTGTTGGTTCAGTAAAGAATTCAGTAAAAAGTAAAAAAAGTTCGTTTATTCCTTAATATTATTTAGGCAACAGTATATACATACAACAACTACTAACCCCCTACTTACTTCACAACTTTTGGAAAATAAGTAGGGGCTTTATTATATACCGTGACAGTTCCCATGAATTTTTTTGACAGTTCCCAATTTGGCACATTTCGGTGAGTCATGTAAGGCATGAAATGCATTTAAACTGCTTCTTACATAAGCACATATTGTGGCATAATCATGGGGATCATCATCATAATGTATATTTTTGATTTCATCAGTTAAACCGCGATTATGTCACACCAAATCGATTTACTCAAATAAGTGAGGAAAAAAAGCATGATGAGTCTGATAACCGGTACCTATCAACTTTCAACACTTATCGAAATGTCACTCTCGTGTGTTTTATCTGTAGGGTCCTTCGATCAAATAAACTAGTTTGTCGATCGAAGGACCAAGTAGGTATGTTTTTATGTTATGTTTGTTTTAATTGACCGGTAACATATATACGAGCCCTCTGAAGTTGCCATTGTATGTACCATGACTAAGTGCTACATAAACTATGTATGTATTGACTATATGTATTTATTATTTTTATACAAAATGAACTCAAAAATAAACTTGCCACAGTTTAGTTTTAGGAATAAATTGTTGAGGTTACGGTGTAGGTCATTGCGATTGCGAATTAAATATGTACGTGTCAATTTACATATTTCAAGTTTATTTCCGTACGCAAAAAAATAATATAATGAACCTACCCAACACCAACAACAACGACCAAATACACAAATATTTTTTTTTAATTATAATTACCATAAAGTTTTATAAATAAAACTTCATATTATTTCAGCTATACTTCCCAAATTAAATATTTTCAAAACATGTTGTTAATGTTAATAATAAACCAATCCTCGCGGCAAAGGAATAAAGATAAAGATATATTTTCATTGCGCGCCTCCAAGTATCTTACATTACAATATAGAAACAAGAGATGTTACAAATAATATTATACCGGTCTTGGCATAAGAAAACGGATAATAAATCCGGATAGTTAAGGATAGTTTCATATCATTACGGAGAGATTTGTATCTATTATCTGTATCTATCCGTAATGATAGATACGAATTTAGCCTAGCATATCTAGCCAGGACCGGTATGCCAAGACAGATTGTTTCGTAGGAGAGCCATGCTTCGGCGCATAATTATGGGCTAGGCTCGTCTTGAGTGATACCACGGCCTTACAGAAAACTGGTTTTAAGCAGTTCTTTCTTTGCTCAAACCCTCCCCTCCCCTTGATTCTGGGGGAGGAACTGAAAGGGCGGCAAATCACTTATGTCTCTTGAGTTAAGGTCAAGGTAATAATACTTTTATTGTCCAAATCTTATTACACGTTTATTTTTTGTCTGTAAAACTTAATTACAGGTACAGGGTTCTTCACAAACACATGTTGCGTAAGTATTCATGTAGAGCGTATCGTGCGAGTGATGAGGACAAGCTACTGTTAAGAATGATGCCTTATATCGAATAAAAAAAACTCGGACACATGACCACATACATGCAAAAATGTACGTTGCTAAAAAAAATTTACACTGATCTAAAAATAATCATCTCTACACTCACCAATTTTTTTCCTGTGCAGTGTATTTTTTTCACCACCGTCAAGAATGTGCGTTACTTCCAATACATTAAAGTTGCATTTCGCCCGTTCCTTCACCAATTCCTGGTTGACCTCCATTATCGTTTTATTTTGACTCATTTTGCGCTCAACATACAATACGTTCACTGCACTACACGGTTCTGATGAATCTACAGAAACTTGCTAAGTAAAGCACGACAGAAGGTACAAACATACATGCATTGTATGTCCATATACTTATTACTTAACTGTTTTGCCTAAATTAAGTGCCTAATGTCTGAGCATAAACAGACAGGTAGTAGACAGGTATTTAAAATTTGTATTTTAGAACGAATTAGGGACCTTTCTATTGAATAAGTTATATTCATAACTTTAATTTTACGTTTTAATGTTTATTTTGAACTAGTCAGATTAATAAGTTGCGACAGTCGAATTTTGTGTTAATATATAGATATGTGGTATCCCATTTTCTCCGGATTCTATTTAGTTAAATAAAAAAAAACACCACGCCAGTTATTACAGTAGACAAATGCTTTTGCACTGCACAACTGTTGTTCGGTATGTTGTTCAAGTACCCACAACGACGTCGATAACGAATTTAGATGGAAAAAAAAAGTGTAAATAAAAAAATACCTACTAGGCTAAATTTTCTTTGTTCATGCGTCGATTGACCTCCTAATTTCATGCATATATTCCTGATGTCATATTGAAGTAGCAATTGGCTACAACTTTCGGTGAACAGACGCTCAAACGATTTTTTTGAATGACAGTCTGATAAAAAGACCAGGGGTAGATTGTATGATCTAGATGTCTTAGTGAAAACTGTTCTCGGATCCCTCCTATTTAAGGCATAGTATGACACACCGTGTAGTTTTAATCTGTTCGATTTGTAAATTCGATTTCGTTGTTCTAAATATAAAAGAAAAAACAATCTCAAATCTTAGTTCCTGCCTTATTTTGTATTCTGTGTTCTTGTTAAACACTAGACGTATACAAATCTCCAATATGTAAACAATGAAACTATATCTTTAGTATCTGCAAGCACTTGAACATACTTCTGATTGAGAGAAGAGTAGTGACCGCTTAACGACTTATCAATATTATCCAATGATCGATAAATAAGATTATATCACTTTGCGAAGTAGGTATACTACATTAGTCTATAAACGACTTGCTTTGCTTCTTACAGATGCTTTGTATATATACCTACCTTACCTACATACATTTGTTCATGCCTATGTCTTCAACGGGGCCTGTAGAGGCGTGTTTATTTATTTTATTTATTGTTTATTTCAGGCGTCCATAATGACAACAAGAATTAAATTAAATTACTGGTACATCAATTAAAATCAATACAGAAAAACCTTTAATTAATTACTCAGTAGATAAACGCAGCGGAATATTACAGATAGTGAATATATAACAAACTTAACAGATAGTATACCAGGTCGTATTTCAAAGAGAAGATTTAGAAAAGATTTAGAAAAGATTTAGTTGTTTAAAAGGAACGATAACTTTAATTCGTAAACGTACGACGAGTGACGGGAGAGCAATGTCCCGAGCCGCGACCTTTGGCTGTTAAACAGAGACAGAATACATACCGCTTGACAAGTAAATAATATTGAAACGCATTGCTCTTAAACTTGCCCGTAACAACTATTTTTAATTTTAAATGGCTTTAAACAGACACTAAATGATAACTACATGCACATAATCGAGTAAGGAAAGTTTCCTTGACTCTCCTAAACGTCAGTCGATCATAATTGTAAAACCACTCACGTAACAGGGGGAAGTCCATTGCCCTCAGTCGGGCATTTTAAGAATTGTATTCGAAAATTGAAAGTCCAATCGAAAAAGAAAATTGGTAATATGGAATGGCAATATGCAACACGCAGTAATGTAGAATATTTCAAATTCTGTATGATAACACGCTCACCTTAGTTAAGAGGTTAGGTACAAGTAGTGTGTGAGATGACCCATACTTCTAATAATCTTTTAGATACCTACCTACTACTCGTACCTTGTTAAATTTTGTTTGTAACATCTACATTTACCTGTGTTCTACGAAATAAATAATTGATTGATTGATCTAAGTAAGATGTAAGTCCTGTAGAAGTAAAATGTAGAAGAATACGGCGGAAGATAGAAGAAAACCTTATGGTGAATGAGTACCGCCGAACGTGGACACGTCCAACTCAAGAGACACAAATAAATGAGTCGCTGCCCTTCTAATGCCTCTTTCTGAAATATTAGTGGCGATTAGACTCTGTGAATCCGCGAAAGTATCTCTAAACATTGGAATTCCGTGAGGCCGTGGTAACACTCCGAACGAGCTGGCCCATATCTAACGAAGCAAAATGTGGTCGCAGGTAGACGGAACGATTTTTCCGATCCACCTGCTATAGTGGGGCCAACGACGTCTGCGACTTAGGCGCAGTGGTTTTAGTCGGTTCGATTCCAATACACGGCCCAACCGATGTGGATGGTGGGGTGAAGGCCCTAGGGGCCGTTATTGTCTAAACTATGTTTACAAAAAAAATTGTGTGCTGTTTTGGCAAAACTTTATTAACAATATTATTTATATAAAATACTTTATTCTACATATAAAACTATGATATTAATGCAAATAATGTAGCATTGTGTAGTAATTAAAGAAAAAGCTCAATGGGTTTTTTTTAGCAAACCTAATATTTTTGTCGGTTGGCCCTTTGTTACTTTACTACCTCAGCATAATTTAACAGTAAAAGTAAAGAAAAAAACTTAATTTAAATACATATTTTATTGAAAAATAAAACAAAACTTATTTTTTTTCAATTACTTTTACAGTTTGTCGAAAATAATGTTTATTAAAAGACGAAAAACTCCCTTAGTATAAATTTAACTCGACTTCAAAATCAGGCTGACTCGAAAAACCTTCTAAATCAATTCGGAATGAGGTATGACAAGACATATGTAAGACATTTAATTTTGCTTCAGGGACAGGTTTCCCTGTAGGCCAAGGAGGTTTTGTTAAAACATATAGGCAATATGTTTCAACAAAACCTCTTTGGCCATTTTATCCTTTTTACCATAATTTCTTAAGTATTGAGCCATGGAACTTTCTCTACGTCTATCGTTGTCTTCCTTTTAATTATATTATTTTCTGACTTCAGCAATAACAAGAAACATTCATTTTTCATGCAATATTCATTTCATATGCATGCATTGGATTTGTCTTCTTACAAGTTTACATAACCTGAAGTTAAACATCCGGTGTATAGAGCCTCCGTTGACGGTTTAGAGTACATTCAATATTTGTGAAATTTGAATCGTTCGGGAGAAAGTGTTGGCTTTAGTGTGAGGAATAGACATCATTAAAGAAAATCAAAATCCCTCAAAAGTGGATTGGTTAGCGTTTCCTACATAATTAAATAATTATTACATAATTTAATCATATATATATTTATTTCTCGTCACAAAAAATACAGCATTTCTACTTGTATAACAAATTTACATACAGTGATGCATTAAACTCCTATATAGTTTTCTTCATACATAATTTTTTTGTGAAGAGCCGGAGTCTGATTTAGGTTAAAAACCTGTGCTACAGATCACCGGGTCCTCACCCCACAATAACAAATACAAGTAAACAATGTAGGGTTTGATTTGACAAATTTTTACATCTGCATATGCTGTTAACATCCTCATTCTCTTATTTCGTGAACCTCTGGAAAATACGAAATACATGTAAATACGAATAGGATTCAAACCCTATCAGAAAAATACATTAACGAAAGATAGAATTCTTGTGCCTACATTTTATAACTTATAATGTTAATAAATTAAATAATGTGTTTATAAATTAAATAAGTGATAAAATAGATACCATGTAGATAAAACAGTGATACCATACCACATACGATCTTTGCCCATAATACATAAGTCTGTAATTATTATCTTTACATCTGTAATGACAGGTGTTACCTGGCAAGATATTAACGTGATACTGAGTCAATGGACTTCGTACGCAATCCTACGTAAACAAAAATGATAAGTTATAGATTATTCGCACCTCATGCTAGAAAGAAATATGTGTATAAATGTATGTTTGTAAGTTATGTTTAACCGTGTCACCACCCTTATTCATCTCGTGGGTATCGTAAGAGTCGACTAAGGCAGCAAAATACGCAGGACAACAGCGCTGCAAAGAGAAGGAAAACTTGAAACAAACCCTATACCAACCCGTCTGACCAGCGTGGCAAAGTAGGCCAATACCTCCTTTCTAAGGAGATGCCTATATCCAGCAGGCTCGACCGGTGGGATACTAGGGCCTTACAGAAAACCGGTAGTAAAGCAATTCCCTGTTGCATTTCACCGAGTGAGTGAGGTTCCCGGAGCCCCACCAACTATGTTACGGACAACGCAAAAAAAAGACACATATACTACACATCAGAGCCTATAATATGTTATACCAAAGTGTGGTAAGCCTACATTTATAATTGTCTATTTAAAAAAATATTCAAAAATTATAGATTTATAGATTAGATTTTTAGATTAGCAGTTTTTTGCATATTGTAAAAAAAAACAAAATAACCAATTGGAGCGCACAAAGTCTCATTTTATAGATATTTTTAATATCTACAACTTTCTCATACTACATTTCTTTGTAAAAGTCGAGGAAAATTTATAATGTCGATAAACTACGTTTTTGTAACTTTAACAGCAAATTACAAAATAACGGCACGATTTCAGCTGTTGCATTTTAGTTATCTTATCATGATGTACCGAGAGGAACCAAAACACGTCGAAATATCTCGGTTTTTGCCTTTTTTTTCAAACATCTATTTAGTCTCCTCTAACTGTTGACTCCTTTTCCAGGTCTATATTAGATGCTGAAAAAATAAGTCAGAAAGCTAACATCAGGTTTTATACACTTTGTATCATCATCAGCCTATCGCAGTCCACTGCTGGACATAGACCTCTCCCATTGCTCGCCACTTAGATCGATTTTGGGCTTCTCGCATCCAGCTCCTGCCAGCCATCTTGCGCAAATCGATACTCCACCGGGCCTGTGGGCGTCCTACACTACGTTTGCCGAGACGCGGTCTCTTCTCAAGAACTCGTTTTCCCCAACGGTTGTCGGATCTGCGGCTAATATGGCCAGCCCACTGCCACTTCAGCTTGCTGATCCGGTAGGCTATGTCGGTGACCTTAGTTCTCTGCCGGATCACCTCATTCCTGATGCGATCCCTTAGAGAAACGCCGAGCATAACCCTTTCCATAGCACGTTGAGCGACTTTGAACTTGTGGACCAGCCGTACCTACAGTGTCCACGTTTCGGCTCCATATGTCATGACAGGTAGTATACGCGGAATTGTATATGCAAATAAAACGATGTGTTCAAAGAAAGTATTTATTTATTGTTAGTAAATTGTATAATATAAAATAAAAATTCTATATCCAGGTCGTGTTGTAACTAAAAGTCATTTAGAACAATTCTCTTTATTGTCAATTATCAAACCATCACCCATACAAATACCTAACATCACCTAATGACACACATTTCCTCACCCATTTATTCATTTCGCACATAACACTTTAACAGCATCATCATCAGCCTATCACAGTCCATTGCTGCATAGGCATCTCCCATTGCACGCCACTGCGATCGAAAAAAGCAAAAAAAAACATATAAATTAAGGATATTACCAATCATTTCATATTATCATCATCATCAATTTTAATCTTTTACACATCATACGTTTTCATCATAAGTGACAAGTATTGTTAACATTTCAAAAAGTATCACCCACTTCCATTAATCTTCATCATGACGAATTCCTATAACTATAAACTGTATTCTTTATTGTTTAATTTGCAACCCTTAGGGTGATATTTTTATTTTTAAGTCGTCGAATTAAATTTAAACTTCGAACACTTATCAAGGATCGATGACAATACAATAATTCTTTTTCCATACCTAAAAATAAAGTAGTGTCTTTTGCTACGTACTAAGAGGCGTATGCTGAATTCATTATTCTTACTTACTTGTTACTTTTTAAGTCTTAATGATAAAGTAACCATTATTAATGACTAAAAAAGCAAAAAATAAATTATAGTTTGTAAAAAAACACGCTTTAGCCGAACTAAAAAGTAGAAAATATTTTATATAATTTAAAAAAAGGAAATCATATAATCATATAAAAGCGTGGGTTGCTTTTTAAGATATTTTACAATACAATAACTTTACTTTAACACCAAAACGAGAAGCATACACTCACAAAGACAAGTAATGTTTAGGTATGTTTGTAAACGTCAAGGTTTTGAGACAAAAAAGAATACAACCGAACCTCCTTCTACCCTTGAAGGTGGTTAAAAAATATCCAATAAAAAAAACATATACAATAAAATAATTTTTATTGTATTTGTTTTTTTATTGCATTTTATAAGTTTTAATAAATTATATATTCAAAAATCTTGAATCATTAACTTCAATTGGATTTTATGATTTAATAAATTACATTAGAATTTACAAGGCACTTTATATAAATATGTTGATCTACATATGTCATAAGACAAATGACATCATTAAAAAAACAAAGGACTTTTACGTTATCACAGCTTAGCTTTTAACATGAGAGGTTTAATATATTTGTGGAAGCTTTCGTTGACAGGCTCCGCATTTAGAGGACTCTTCTTCGCTTCTTCCATCAGACGTTCATAAACGCGACCGTCGTATGCTCCAAGAGTGGAATTTAAAATCTGTTGAAAGGAAACAAACAAAAATTAAATTATGCCAAGCAATTTCTGTATGCATACAGGTATAACAATATAATATCAATAGCTTACTTACATCGCTGATGTAAAAAATTGTTAAATAATAAAAAAAATACATAATAAATTGAATAATCTGTGCTTCTTGCATAGTAAAAAAAACATTCATATAATACTACCAAAAATCTAAAGTATCAAAGAGCATTATTGTTCTTGAAAATGTATTAAGTACGTCCTACATTCTAGGTTGTATTATAAGCATATTTATGAGCTTAATATTGTTTAGCGAATACTCGTAGTTCTCATTTATAGTTTAGTAAGTTATAGATTTTGAAAGTTTTTGAATTTCAATTAAGTTTGGTTAGTTTGTTTTCATTTAATATGCATTTGCATATAACTAATAAAACTAATTATAAATTTACCTCGTCTCTGATATCGAACCCATCGACTATTCCAACAGCGTTTGGACGTATCAGTGCCAACAGCTCTTCATAGCGAGCCTGCAGCTTGGCGATGTCTGATGTTGATATCGTCGTGTACTGAAATGATAAAAGTATTCATATAATAGTCGTAATTCAAAAGAAGTTACTTATCATAACTAGTACTAATTTAAATGAGAGTAAGTTTGTTCGGTTTATGAATTACATGTTTAACACTTTCACGATTTAAGTATCCTGTTCATCATGAATTTTTTTACGTACAGTTTGTTAAGGGTAAAAAAGTAATGTGGTCAAGAAATACCTAAAGTGATTAACAAAAATCTGTCAGAATATAATCAACATACTAGTCTATAAGAAAACTCACGCTTTTCCTTTCAGTATCTTTTAACTCCTGTATGTAAAAAATCTCGGCAAACTTTTAAATACCTGTTGCAGAAACGTCTCTTAAACTCCTTATCAGATCTACCTTAATACCTCTCTCGTCTTGAATTTATTTTGTGTATGTATATATATATGTATAATGTGTATAATTTTATGTATGTATAAATATATACGTATATATAAATACTTATGTATTGTGTGTATTAGTGTATTGTATATGTATCTTTTTTCTTAAAATATATTTTAATGTAATTTATATAAGTACCCTGGGTATATGATATTTTATTTATGGTATATTTTCGTAAAATCACATTTTTTATTTTTGTGCATCTATCACTCTTCATCCACCTTAGTCGACTTTAAGAAAATGCCTACGGCATTAAGTCCGCCTTTGTGACATTTGTGCATAAAATAAAAATTAATATAAATGAAAACATAATTAAAACAACTTACCATCAGTAGGTCGCCACGTTTCTCCAAAGTCCAGTATGTGAGATACAGCTCAGCTAGCTCTAATAATACTTTACCCAAATTCGGAGAAACAGTCTTCGACAACCGCTGCATCTCGGACCAGGATATTTCGCATAGGATTGCACGACAGTGAGCCTGGTAAATGAATTAAAAAAAAATAATGAAAAAATGACTATAACCAATCAGAATCAATGAATAAATTGGAGACTTAAAGTATGAGACACCGTCTCAAAAGACAGGACGGACTAGACAGGTACCCGACCCTGGGCTTTTCGAACTCTGGCCCATATCCGAGGTAATGTATCCCCTGGCCTGGTCTCTTTGACCTGTCGGTTGTCCCTTCGTCAATTTACATTCTCCGTATTTCCCCTCTAAAAACTACTATATTCTTAAGAACGCTTGGCATAAGGAAGGCAGCGGAACATAAAAGAAAAAAGCCAACAATACTCTTAACAAAGTTACACATAGCGCCGACTCGAATTAAAACCGGAGAAAGGGAAAATGGTGTGATACACGTCCCCACATAAAGAGAGTGAGTGAAAAAGTGATTTAAATTCAAAATATTTTTACCTCGCTGGCACCGACTAATTGTACTGAAGCGCTGTTCCACGCATCTTCATAATCCGTTCCTGGTTTCAAATAGCTCTGAATGGCAGCGTAAGCTTCTTTCGTCTTTCTGTGCAACAAAAATTAACTTTCAATAAGTTTAAATAGACGTGAAATAATGTATGGTATTTTTTAACAATATTTTGTGGTAACGCTGGTGAGTAATTATCAATGTCACATAGTTACTCTCTAACACAGTTCTTTTTGGCTTATACACTTTCTTCTTTTAAACCCGGTTTGAAATAATTTGCAATATCCGATATTTTTTAAATATTGAACTAATATACATATATCTACTGCGGTAGTGTCCAATTTAGCAGCATCACACCTACACAACTCACACCATACACATTATATTTCTTTTTTGTCAATATTTACCTTTCATAATTTCATTAATGATTTTTTTGATATATGTCGATTTAAGTTTTGTTAAATATAGATTTCTTGTATATTTTGGCAGAGGGCGTTGATTTCTGAGAAACAGTTGTATTACTACATAACAGTTGTCATGTCAGTCATAAACAGTTGTATTAATCATAACATGATTTTTATCGTACTGTGTAAAACTGTTTTCATTTTTAAATAAAGATTGATTTATTAAAAAAAAGATTCTTCAAACATATCTAAATTTATATTGGTATCATGATATTCCTTACCCTGCAGCAGCAGCCTGGAAACCACTGATGATGCCAGCGGTAGTGTTGGCCCACTGAACTCTATCACTGTTTGAAAACTTCGATAAATAAGAGACAGTCGGTGTCAATGTCTTGCGTGCTAACACTCCATTCCACGCTTTCATTAAGAATCTGAAAATAAATAAACATTTAAGTTTAGTTTCTTACACCTTAAAAATTCAGTAATTATTATAGTCGCGATTACTATAATTCTAATAATAAACTATCATCTTAACCATACTACATAATATGTTTGTTTGGGCTTAATAGCTGATAGAGAACGGCACACATTTAAAAAGCAAATGAAAATAATTCTACCGGGCAGTCTGCAGCATAAGCACTGAGAATTCTCCTTCGTAAGTAATGGAGGCTGAGACGATTCCGTTAATGATCGGCAAATTCGATGACGTCATAAACCCGTGACCGCCACACGCCAGGCGGAACTCCTCGACCCTCGCTGCTGCGTCTCGGCTACATACTGCTTTTAGACAACAGGCGAGGGCGTGTAACTGGAAAATATCGTAAGTTAATTATTAAAAAACGTCCGTGTGGTGACGGATTAAGAATACAGAGTGTCGTGGTGAGGTCCCTATTCATCGCGTGGGTGTCGTAAGAGCCGACTAAGGGAAAAAACTAAGCAGGACAACAGCACTGCAGAGAGAAGGAAAACTTGACACAAACCCTTTACCAACCCGTCTGGCCAGCGTGGTATAGTAGGCCAAAACCTCCTTTCTCAGGAGAGGCTTATGTCCAGCAGTGGACTATTAAAGGCTGTTGATGAATTATTAAAAACCGAAACCGGTGGACTTGTATTAAAGTTTGAATAACGGGAGAAGCAATTCGTGTTGTACGTAAGGATAGAAGGGAACGACAGGCTGTTGTTTCGTATTCGTATTCCGAAAGGAGATATAATTACGTGAGTTATATATGTCACACACGTTTCTAAGCACGTCAAAATCACTTTTGTTATGCTACAAATTGGTACGAATAGCGAATCTCATTATCAGCAAAAAACTGCATAATTGTACCAGCATAGTGGACTTTATACTTAATGAATTGATTTTGCAACCTCTACGCGAGGGTATTCGATACTATGTTGAGTCTTTTTTATGGTCTAATCCTTATCTCTAAATTATAAGATTGAGATTAGGATAAATTCGCTATGTCAGATTTGAAAGGGCTATTACGAAAGGTTACTCCTTGATAAAGTGTTTCATGTAAGTGTAACTATACTTAAAGGGTTGTAAAAGTAGGCCAAAGATTTACCAAAAAGACTTATTCGAATTAAATTCCATGATATTGTGTTTGCATCTACTCGTAAGATATATAAAATGCTAAGCGGATACGATGTTACGTATTAAATAGAGTTTATAGAGTTAGTTCACTAAAACAATATCATGCATATCGATGATATAATAATAACCTCACACATCCCACACACGGTCGTCTGATCTCAAACTAGTTAGAGCCTGTGCTATGGTAACGAGACTTCTGATAAAAATACTTGTATATTTTTAAATATATACATATTATATAAATTACACCCAGACATAGAACAAATGACCGTGCTCATCACACAATATTTGTCCCGGGTGGGAATCGAACCCACGACCTCTGGCTTAGCAGTCAGGGCCACTGACCACTAGACCAACAGGCCCGTCGTAATCTCAATAAGTAATTACATTTTTTGGGATAAAAAGTAGACTATGTGTTAAACCAGGGTGTCAGTCACCTACAAACAAAATTTTATCAAAATTGGTCTAGCCGTTTGTGCGTGAAGATGTCACAATCATACAAACACACAGTCACAAACTTTCGCCTTTATAATATTAGTGTGATACATAAGTAAAAATTATTAAATCATGACCTGCCCTATAATAATCACGGTCTGTTGAAAGGGCCGACAGGACCGTGCTTCGTCAGAAACTCACGGACGATTTAAGACTTAAGACTATTTTATTAAAATTAACTTCTTATTGAAAAAATCCAAAAAAATAATTTAATTAAAATTTAACTCTTTTTAAATATACAGCTAAATTTTTCTTGTAGATAGATTTACTTGGATCACATCTTGTTAAGTATCAAAAAACATTACATACTAATAAATGTTTGAGGTCAACCTCGATAGAGGGCGTTGTACCGTTCCGCTGACTCGCGGTATGGTTCTGTTCCCGAGTGTACCATATAACCCTAACTAGTTTTTAATAAAATCGACCAGCAGGACAACCTAGATCAAAATACAGTTGTTTTATTTCTAAACACCTAGTATTTACAACAGTTCAAAATACCAAATTCGGTATTTAACATTTTGGTCCTTCAAGCCGGATTGGACTTCCGAATCAGTCCTTTTTTGCATCGGAGCCTATGTACGCAGTGGATCGCTGCAGTAATAAGTACAAGGCAAAAACCCTTAGTAGTGGGTTGCGCGCGCGGACTAGCGCACGGCGGATTTAGTGGCAGAGAGGAGAGGACAGCATCACTTTGGTTCCACGCCACGACATAGATGGCGCTATTGGTTGGATGTGGATTGTGGAGACAACTGACAACGGATGTGAAGGTGAAAGCGGTGAATCTGTGAGTACAATAAATCAATGATTTAAGACAAACATATTAAAATAGTGTCAAGCAATTCAGAACATTAAATACAAGAAGATTTTAACTTAACATCTTAGCGAAGAATATTGGACTTAGTATAATTAAGTGATAGTTTACTTTGTAGTTTAAAATATTGCATGTCTTTTAGTCTTATTAAAAATTTTGTTTCCTTAGTTTATAATTGTGCATGTTAGTTTAGAACTTAGAATAGTTTGAGAAAAAACGGGGGACCGAGGAGTCCATGCCCGACTTTGATTTTTTTGTTGTTGTTCTCAAACACTTAGAATTTTTTTACAAATTTTGATTAGGTAGATATTTAATTTGTAGTTAGAATTATATTTCCATTCGTTGAAGTGTCAATTGTTTTGGATCTAGGGATGTGTAAGTTTGCTTATAGAAATAACTAATTTTGAAAGGCTTTTTAATCTTATTTATTTACAGTAATTTTGCTTACATTTACTGTGTTTCAAAGTTTATTTACATTTGTTTACATAAAATAATATGGAAGGATTAATAAACGTTTTAAAAGATTTACAAAAGGTAATAAACAAGGCCTTAATTAATTTTAAAAAATGTCCAAAGGATAGGTTAACGTTGGAATATATAGATACCAAATTGGAGCTTTTAGAAAGTGATTGGGCTGCTTTTAAGGATAACAATATTAGATTAAATGAGCAATTTAAATTAGAAGATTTCGAAAAAAAGATTTTAGATGTATATGATTCTACTGAGGACACATACATAACATATAAATGTCTTTTGAAATCCACGCTAGCTAAACTTCAAGTTAGTCGTGAACCTGTAAAACAAGTAAGCGGTTCTAGTAGTGGCTTTTTTAAATTACCGAAAATTTCAATACCTATGTTTCTGGTAAGTACAATGAATGGACAACCTTTCATGACCTATTCGTCTCTCTAGTTCATAACAATACCAGTCTAGATAACGTGCAAAAATTGCATTATCTGAAAACTCACTTAGCTGGTGAAGCCGAGCAGCTTATCAGACATACGCCTATTACGGATGCCAATTATAAACAATGTTGGGATCTATTGGTCAGGCGTTATAACAATAAAAAATACTTGGCCACTTGTATTTTGAATCGTTTATTTGCTCAAAAACATATGCAAGGGGAATCAGCAACGGCTTTAAAGGGTATGTTAGACACAACTACCGATTGTTTGAATGCTCTAACTAATTTAGATATCGACGTGTCTACCTGGGATATTATTGTCATCCACATTGTAACTTTTAAGTTAGATTCGGAGACTAGGAAGCAGTGGGAGTTAAATAATAACAACGACTCCAGTAACGTTTTGCCTACTTTGGAGCAATTTAAGACCTTTATTGAAAATCGGTTCCGCGCCTTAGAGTGCATACCATCTAAAGGGATTCAGTATCAAAGTACTAAAGCTTACCAAATCTCACGTACAAAATCATTGTTGACAACAAATACGAGTACATCTTACACAGTTCGTTGCGAGTATTGTTCGGAGTCTCATAAATTATGCTTTTGCAAAAAGTTTGCACAACAAGCCACTCAGTACAGACGTGATTTTGTAGCAAAAAATAAGATATGCTTCAATTGTCTTGGTAGTAATCATACTGTGTATAACTGTAAAAAGCATACAACTTGTAGAATGTGTCATAAGCGTCATCACTCCTTGCTGCACCCTAGTGAAGAGCCTGAAAGTACTGTAACTACCTCAACTGTCGATCCCACTGGTACCTCATCCAGTGATGGTCAGATAGTGTCGTGCTTATCGACCGGCCATATTCCTAAACCGGGACAGGTTTTATTAGCCACAGCGCTAGTAAAAGCCGAGTCTAGGAATGGAGAATCTCAAATAATTCGAGCCCTTCTGGATCAAGGTTCCCAGGCATGCTTCATAACAGAATCTACGGTGCAACTGCTCTGTTTAAAAAAGATACCTGTACGTGGACTAGTATCATGCTTAGGTGAGCGTAAATCTGCTCTTGCTAAGCACATGGTGCAGTTAAACATAACATCAAGAGCTGATCCTGATTTTAAATTAGTTATTAAGGCCTACGTTTTACCAAAAATAACTTCATACTTACCAGAACGCAGCATAAGTGTAGAACGGTTTAATTGGATTTATAATAAACAATTACATTTAGCAGATCCAAAGTTCAATCTGCCTGATAAAATAGATTTATTGTTAGGTGCAGACGCGTATAGTTATATTCTTAAGGAAAGAATAGTAAAAAGTCCTTCTGGAACTCTTATTGCCCAGAATACTTCATTAGGATGGGTTTTGTCAGGGGCAGTCAGTCCAGATCACGATACGAGGAATAAACCGGACACTTATAGACTAAATATCAATGTAATGCACGCACACATCGATGAAGAAGAGAACTTAAAGAAATTTTGGGAAATTGAAGAAAATTTATGTACAAAAAATATGTTAACGCCCGAAGAAATCAAATGTGAAGAATTTTATAAGCTGACCACGAAAAGAAGAGAAGATGGGAGGTACGTTGTGAAATTGCCGTTTCGAGATATACCTCCTCCTTGTAGGTCAGGTAACTCTCGTGCCATAGCTGAAAAAAGATTAAAATCCTTAGAAAGGAGATTAGAAAGAAATCCAGATTTAAAAAGCAAATACACCGAAGTAATGAAAGAATATTTAAGTTTAGGACACATGAGACTAATACCAGAAAATGACTGTAAGAAGGACACGGCAGTGTATTTACCTCATCATGCCGTAATAAGGGAAGATAAATCTACCACAAAGGTCCGTGTTGTTTTTAACGCGTCGGAGAAAAATAGTAACGGCGTGTCTCTTAATGATACCCTTATGATCGGACCGACATTGCAAGCCGATTTAAGGCATACGATTATGAGATGGCGAGTCCACCCTATTGCGCTAGTAGCAGACATAATTAAGATGTACCGGCAGATAAGAATAGCGCCAGAAGATGCTATGTATCAAAGGATCCTTTGGCGGGACAGCCCTCAAGATGTAATTAAGGACTACGAACTAGAAACCGTGACTTTCGGTACTGCATCTGCTCCTTATCAAGCTGTTCGTACTCTACATCAGATTTCTTATGATGAAGGGTATAAGTACCCTATGGCTTCCAATATGGCACTAAATTGCTTTTATATGGACGATTTGATGATAGGGTGTTGCAGCGTTCAAAATGGCTTAGAAATCTATAAAGAATTGACAAGTTTACTGAAAAAAGGTGGTTTTACCTTGCAAAAGTGGAATACGAATAATAAAAAACTATTAGAAGAAATCAATTCAATGGAGGAATCACAAGGACAAACTATTGATATTAGAACAAAAAAAAAATATAGAAAAAATAAGGACACAGAATTGAAGGACAATAGGACAAAAAATATAGTTCAAGAAATAGAGAAAGGGGTACACATTAAAATGGATGGTACAATCAAAATTTTGGGACTTACCTGGAGCCGTATCGAAGATAGCTTCCAATATGCAGTCGATCTGCCACCATGCACATCTACACCTATAACGAAGAGATCTATGCTATCAGATATAGCCGGGTTGTTCGATCCATTGGGGTGGTTAGCTCCCAGCGTTATTGTGGCTAAGATCTTTATTCAAAGGTTGTGGTTAGCAGGTGTAGGTTGGGATGACAATTTGGATGAAGACCTAATAAAAGAGTGGGATACTTACCGTCAAGAGTTGAATCTACTTACCTCAGTTCGAATACCACGTTGGCTTGGCACTAATGCAGGTGGCGATCTGGAACTTCACGGATTTTGTGACGCCTCTAAAGTTGCTTACTCTGCTGTAGTTTGCTTGCGTATAATAGATGCTAATGGTGAAGTAAGACTTTCGTTGTTAGTAGCGAGAACACGAGTGGCCCCAATTAAACAGATAAGTGTTCCGCGGTTAGAATTGTGTGGTGCAGTATTATTATCCAAACTTCTGACTGAAACGACACAAGTCCTAAATATTAGTGGTGATAAGGTCACAGCATGGACCGATTCCACAGTCGTACTGGCATGGCTAAGCAGCCACCCAAGTCGTTGGGAGACATTTGTGGCCAATCGAACTGCCGAAATATTGACAACGATGAACAGTTCTCAATGGTACCATGTCTCAACGACAGTTAATCCAGCAGATTGTGCCTCCAGAGGTCTATTGCCTAGTTTATTATTAGAAAATAGACTATGGTTTGATGGACCTCCTTTCCTGAAAGAAAGAAACATTAAGTACAATAAGTCCAATCATATGAGTACAGCGTTAGAACAATCCGTAAAGATACATATGGCAACTACTCCAGAACAGTGTATTTTTGAGAGATTTTCTAGTCTTCAAAAACTGTTGAGAGTGATCGCATATTGTCGACGGTTTTTGAAGAACGGAAAAGAAAGGAGTTATTTGAAAAAGCAAGAATTAGGAGAAGCACTAGATAGTTGTATAATAAAGGTACAGAAGGAAATATTCACAACAGAATACAAACAGTTAAAGGACAAGGGCTATATACAATCAAAGAGTAGCAAACTAAAATCACTCTGTGTTTATCTTGACGATAAGGGAATAATTAGAGCTCGAGGGAGACTTGAGAAGTCACCAATGAGTCAGGACATCAAACACCCTATTGTTCTTCCACATTATAGTCATCTTACACGTCTCATTGTGGCGAATTCTCATTTTCAAACTCTACATGGAGGTCTTCAGTTGATGACTAACTATCTTAGGTCAGCTTATTGGATTTTAGGAGCTAGAAGCCTAATAAAACAACAAATCAATAAGTGCGTTACTTGCGCCAAACAAAAGGCTCTTACCAGAAATCAGCTCATGGGTTCCCTTCCATCTGTACGTTGCACTCCAGCCAGACCATTTTCGAATAGCGGCGTTGATTATGCTGGACCCATTAACATTAGGACTACGAAAGGACGTGGTCATCGTTCTTATAAAGGGTACATTTGTTTGTTTGTATGTATGGCTACTCGCGCTCTACACTTAGACGTGGTAAGCGATATGAGCACACAAGCATTTTTGGCGGCATTCCGACGCTTTGTCGCTCGGCGAGGTCACTGTGCCAAAATTTGGAGTGACAACAGTACTACCTTCGTAGGCGCGTCTAGAGAACTAAAGCAGTTGTCCAGTATACAGAGAGAAGTTGCAGAAAATTTAGAAATGCGGGGCACTGAATGGCATTTCATTCCTCCTCACAGTCCCAACTTTGGCGGACTTTGGGAAGCAGGAGTGAAATCCACAAAATTTCACCTTAAGCGAGTGATTGGCGATGCGACACTAACCTTTGAAGAAATGAGTACACTATTGAGCCAAATTGAGGCATGTCTAAACTCCAGGCCAATGAGCGTTATCAATGTAGTGGATCCGGGTGAACCTCTTCCATTTTCTTCTTCACATTTTTTGATTGGAGAGTCCATAGTTAGTGTTCCAGACAATAAATACGAGAGTGCAAACTTTAGTAATTTATCGCGTTGGCAATTGATCCAAAGAATGTTGCAATCGTTTTGGAGTCATTGGTCTCATGAGTACTTATCCAACCTTATGAACCGTTACAAGTGGTCTTCCCGTGTCCCAGAACCTAATATAGGTGACATAGTTTTAGTGAAGGAAGGCGATTTGCCACCCTGTCGTTGGTTGTTGGGTCGCATAATAGAAAAACATCCTGGTGATGACAATATTACTCGGGTAGTCACGGTACGCACGAAATGTTCGGTAATTAAACGACCAACGTCCAAATTATGTCTATTGCCCGTGGCCGAATAGTCACTTCAGTTAATTTTTTTGAGTATTTTTTTACCATTGTTATGTATTGTGTTTTTTAATTTATTCATTGTTATTTTAAATCATCTCTTATTATATAACTGGTAAGTAGATACTTATAAAACTTTTACATTTATATCAACTTTTACATTTATACCTTATTTTAGATTAAAAAATATATTTTGTTTATTTTTCTACATTCCTTCGTTTTAGGGCTTGGATGTATTTCTTAGTTACAATGTAAGGTAGGTAATGTTTTATTTGAGATATTATTATTTACTCTATTGTTGTAAGTTAGCTCTGTATAGTTGCGGTTAGTATTTAAGTAGCTTAAGCAAGAACAAATTGTAATGTCAAAGACTTTGAAGGAAATTCTGTCAATAATGTCCTTAGCGGGCGGTATGTTAAGTATCAAAAAACATTACATACTAATAAATGTTTGAGGTCAACCTCGATAGAGGGCGTTGTACCGTTCCGCTGACTCGCGGTATGGTTCTGTTCCCGAGTGTACCATATAACCCTAACTAGTTTTTAATAAAATCGACCAGCAGGACAACCTAGATCAAAATACAGTTGTTTTATTTCTGAACACCTAGTATTTACAACAAGCTGAGTTCAACAGTTCAAAATACCAAATTCGGTATTTAACCTTTTGGTCCTTCGAGCCGGATTGGACTTCCGAATCAGTCCTTTTTTGCATCGGAGCCTATGTACGCAGTGGATCGCTGCAGTAAAAAGTACAAGGCAAAAACCCTTAGTAGTGGGTAACTAAAAACTTAAGCGTACATCAGACACTACGCGAAAATACCCATTAATCTCTTCTATATTTCTTTTTGTATATTTCTGCCTTAAACAATTATAAACAATTTAAAAAAATGCGTAGGAGAAGACTATCTATGATTTTTACAGACCTCTGGTAACTGATCCATGTTTCCTTTGCCGATGTCAGCGTTGACCTTCACGTACGTGTTCCACAACCAAAATCCTACCACCCTGAACACATGACTGGTGGAAACACCAATAAATAACTTATGTTGTTGTGTTACGTAGTCAATTATTTGAAGCTCGGGTTCACTGAAAAATCAAGACGATAAGTTTAATAATATTACCTAAATAAACATTATCCATAATAAATAGTAATTAGTAAATTATAAGCTTTTCTACTTTGCTTTTAACTGCGACTGGTGTCTGACGGCGGAATACCGTACTGCAATGGTGGCCGCTCTTGACAACTCAAAGGCTAAGTCAAACAAGATGATGACTCGGACAAATACCATCGTACCATAAGTCAGCTTGTCGTTTTTCGACTTTATGTACGTGCCATCCTGCAAAATACACAAAATTGTTAATACGGAATAACCAATATAGATCATTCATATACTGCTGTTAATCTTTATCACAAGGGACCAGTCATAAATTACGTTACACCTAATGAAAGGGGGAGGGCGTCAACGAAGTGTGACATTATGTGACAATTGGTGGGAGGGGTCCTAAGTTTCGTAACGTCACATTTTGTTTAGCCTTACCTTATATGTCTACATTATAGAGAAATATTAATATTAGAATTATTAACAGTAATAAAAATCATCGTTCTTTGTTTTGTTAATATTTTAAAATATTTTATTTAATGATTTTGTAAATATTTAATTTAATGCTGAAATTATTGAAAAATAATTTAAATGGCATTAAAACTAATTTTGGAACTGCTCTTTTAATTTACTAATTTCTAGATGTAAAATTACAAAATATCTGACGTCACATAAAGGTAGAGGGAAAAGGGGGTCCCACAAATGTCACCAGCACAAGGAAGGGTGGGGGTGAAATAACCATAAAATTCGAGTGACGTAATTTATGGATGGGCCCAAAGTCATAAATCTTGTAGCAAGCGAATCGTGATACTAAAAAATCTCTATTAGGTATGAAGTACTAAAACACAGGTCAATGAACGATGGTAGTTTTTTTTTTCAAATAACAAGATTAAAGATGAGTCTATCTGTACACCATAAGATCATGCAGTACAATTCTGCCTTTCAGTCTTTTCTGAATTTTTAAAAAATGGATAGTGTTTTTAAAAAAATGCAGCTTTTGAAATATTTGAATCTAAACCTTTAGTTTACTCGCAGTAAAGAAAATTATTTTTAAATACAAACCTTCAAAACTTGAGCATTCTTCATCAACATATTTCTCCTTGGAATCCTAAAGTTTTCAAAACCTAAGAATCCATTATTTGCAGTTTGAAAACCAAGTTTGGGTCCAATCTCTCCTACTTTGATGCCTGGTAGAGGTACATGGGTCTCTATGTCTCGGATCTGGACGAAAAAGGGATGAACACCATAGTGTTGTCCTTTGCTGTAGAGTTGGGCGACTACTATGCAATGATTTGCGGTGTGTGCCACTGTAAAAAGAAAAACAACGAGAATCATACCTAATGCTTACTTTTTTTTTAACAATAATATAACATTTTTTTTACACTATAATTAAATATTTTTTTATTTAAGTTTTTGGAACACTTAGACAAGCAGTGGAATGCTAAACTTCCTAAATGTAAGCTTTTCTCTTTTTCTTCTGTCTAAAAGTTGAATGTTGTATGAATACAAGGTGTCTCAAAAGAAAGTTTATATTTAGTAGATCGATTAAAAAAAAAGTAAGCAGTGTATCGAAAAAACGTTTATTAATTATTAAAGTACACAATTTGGGAATTTATTTCTTAAAAATAATATCGTCCAAATGTAGACCCTCGCGTTCGCGGCACTCATTTAATCGAACAGTAAAATTACTTATGACGGCTCGGCAGGTGAACTCAGTGATGGCTGCCATTTCGTGACGGATATTTTCTTTCAAATGCGCCAGGGCAGTCGGTTTATTCGCGTAAACTTTAGATTTAAGATAACCCCATAGGAAAAACTCCATAGGGGGTAGTCAGGACTGCGCGGAGGCCAATTTATGTCACCTCTCCTGGAGATCCATTTTCTCGTGGCGTATTGGACGTATTGGACGTGTGTGACGTTGCTCCGTCCTGCTGGAACCATGTTCTTTGGTTTTATCCAATAAAGTTTTGCAGTTCAGGCGCCAAGAAGTCGTCTAACATCTCCACATAACGCTCTGAATTAACTGTAACTGCACGCCCCCCTTTCGTCTTCAAAAAGGTAAGGGCCGATAATTCCTCGCGCCGACATCGCAGCCCATACGGTCACTTCAGGCGAATGAAGGGGTTTCTGATGTTTGCTTTGGATTCATTGCACTCCAGTAGCGTGAAACATGAAAATGAGCTTCATCCGAAAACAAGATGTTGGTAAACGTTGAAAAGCGCTCAATCGCCTGATTTACGAAGTCAAGCCTCTGACTGGCATCTTGGGGCTTTAATTCTTGCACCAATTGAATTTTGTAGGGGTGCAGCTTTAGGTCTTTGTGCAAAATGCGGTGTAATGATGATCTATGCACATTTAAAGCACTTGCGCGCTTCCGAATTGAAAGGTTCGGGTCGTCACGAACAGACTGATTAACACTTTCCACGATTTCTACCGTTCTTGATGACCTTGGTCGCCCGGATTTTGGTTTTTCCAGCTTTGTACCGGTCTCTTCAAACTTTTTGACCCATTTTCGAATAAGAGGAATGCTTGGTGCATCATTTAAATTGCGAAAACCTCGAACACTACAGAACCTTCTACGCGCTACAGTCGCCGAATCACCGTTTTTGCAAAACTCTCGCACGCACAACGCACGGTCTGCTCCCGAGAAACGCTCCATAGCGACTGAATTCCCAAGAGCCAGGCTACCGATTGACATAACCCCCGCGCCTCTCGGACTCGTTGCGTTCACGCAGTAAGCTAAATAAATATAAACTTTCTTTTGAGACACCTTGTATGTTCCAAATTAAATTTTATTAAATGTCAATAATCTTTAAGGAGGTTGTAGTTAATATACATATACTTACATCCTCCAGGCCACCATTTATAAGATGTTAAATTAGGGGTATTCATAACAAATTCCTCAGTATTAGGGTCGTAAGTGGCAGTTGTCTCCAGACCTCGTATAAATGTGCCGTGGCCGAGTTCAGTCTGCAATCGAAAACTTTATGGTTAAAAAAAAATAGATGTTTTAACAAGTCATGTGAGTAGAGAATTTTGCTTAGAATCACTATCGCTCAGATGAATTTATTACAAAACAGTGTTATTTTATTATTGTTATTTGAAACTCCCCCCTCTCCCTAATTCTAAGGGGGAGTGCACTTAAGACCATCAGTTAACCCGACTGCATAAACACCCACCTGTGCATAGGTTCCAATAATTTCCATAGACATCGCTTTGGGCACCCATTTTGCTTTTTGTTCATCATCTGATTGATTTACTAGGGTCGGGATGAACATGCCCGTGTGTAACATGAAAGGTGAAATATCCTTCACCACTCCAGAGCCAATCCGGTATTTGTTTGATGGCCTGTAATATTTAAAGTTTATTTTCGTATGTCCTAATCGCGGTTTTATTTTATTTCAATAACATAATCGACTAAAAGTATTAATTTAAAACAATAACATTATTTTTAGTTCTCAAACATTAAATCAGAATTCCACTGATTGCTTACACTACTAGTAACTTTGTAACCAAATTTGTAACAATTGTAACCTTCAAACATATGTATGTATAATACAAGAAGTAAACTTCCTGCAGAACTAATTGAATAGTTTCTTTGGACACGCAGTCACTGCCCCTAAGTGATCTATTCTTACAATAGTGACCAGACTGCAATATTCTCTAAAAGGTCATAAATAAAACTAAAACTTATACTATATTATACTTTAAGGTATGTCTAGAGTAATGCTCGTCTATGTGATGCGTTTCTTTTATGTTAATGTTTGTTCTTTTCAGATGAATGAACGTAAGGCAATCTGAAAGACTGTGAGGCGTGAGTGCTCGTTCACTATACGTATCAATACGTGAATTCAGTAGGTTGTCTCCTGCGAATGTCGATAACTGAGTAACAAACATAAACCAAAAAAGGACTAACCTAAAATTATCCCAAGTGCGTTTTTCGGTATATTTTTTTAAGATTTCTTGTAAAATGCAGTTCTTTCTGATAGCATTTTCGTAGCGTTCCTTATGACTGAGGTATTCTTCTGGTACCACATCTTTAATCCTCGGATCGGTGCATACTACGTTCTCTGAAATAGCATTAAGTATATAAAATGTACGAGTATATTAGGTATATGCCAAAATAATCAGTGCTTTAAGCCTTAAATTAAAAAGTTGAGCTTTTAAAAGTCGAACGAATTCCAAATATCAATGGTTCATCAATCTTTGATTTTTCATAAAGGTAAATAATACATTTTATGGTAATTAATATTTTTATTGTTTTTATGTTATAGGGAGCAAAGGCGCAGACGGGTCGCCTGATAGTAAGTGACAACCAGTACCCATTAACACCAGTTAGGGAGGGAACTGGACCCCCGTAATCCCAATGACTTGGTGGGAAGCAACGAAGACAACGCTTAACATCAGTATTCTTTTAGGCGTATTATCAATCCGGACGGACCGGTTCATATGAACCGAATGGCTCTCCCACAATTTAATTTAAAAAAAACAATAAGTATAACCAGTATTTAACACTCTGGGCTAGTAAACAAAGTCATTATAAACCAGGCACATGTCACTTCAATTTATATAAAGGAAACTACACAAATAGCGTTTGTCAGATCTTTAAACGAACAATTCCATTGACGATGATCAATGTTAATACCGCGTTCAAATCTCTCTAAAATTTCTCTCGTTTCATTTAATATCATAAATTATTCTAAAATCAAAAAGGTTTATTTATCACTTACCAACTTCCCGTCTCTCCTCAGTAGCAGTAATTCCACCATCGATAAGGTGAATCAACTCCTGAACTTCAAATGTACACTTTTGCCGTTCCCGTACTAGCTCGACGCAAACATTGTGTTCAGCCATTTCTGCAGACGTCCGCGCATGAAATGAATTATAATTTTCTGTTCGTACCGAGAATCTATTACACCTGTAATAGTGTTATCATTGTAAAGATAATAAATATATATTATAAAGGGCTAATATGCAAACTTTGATCTTTTGATAAATTACGTAGCAAAGATATTATTATCTGTTATTGTTCTTTCAGTCGCACGGTCCTTTCAGTTCGATTAAATTTACAAAACAACTAATCAAGGAATTGCTAATATTATTAATTTATCTACTATATAATCATAATCTTATCTAGTAACCTTAGCGATAGTATTTACTTTGCACTATGCCTACCAAGAGTGGAGGAACGAGTTGGCATAGTACAAAGTGCTTGTTTAGCTACGTATTTATTTTAGACCACTCCTTCCTTGATATTAAAGTTAAACAGTATATTGCCGGCAATATAATCAATTATTACGTACTCCTCTTAATTTCTACAGAATGTATTGACGAAAGTATGTTCTAGAACCAATAAAAGTTCTGTTTAGTTTCGATCTTAGTAACATAAAATATGTCAATCTAGATCTGGACTCAATCATCATCATCATCATCATCAGCCTTTAGTAGTCGACTGCTGGACATAGGCCTGTTCTTAGAAATAAGGTTTTGGCCAAAGTTTTAGACCCAAACTTTGTTAAAGTTTCCTGGGACATATCCCAGGAAATAATAAATTATTGCAACCTTTCAGTGTACGACAAAAACCACTGCGACCTTTTGGTAGGTCCCTTTCCATTTCTTCGAAGGTTGGCCAAATGTACAAACATGCGCACCTTATATTTAGTAGCGACCAGCTGTTCATTTCACAGTATTTACGTCAGCATGTTCAATAATTTCTAGTCTAATTTTATAAAAAGAAATCCTTTTTTTGTCAACAAACTTTTCACTAACTTGTGACGATCAACAAATTACAGGTATGGTGAATTAGGCAAATGCAGAGTTCACTTGTGACCAAGATTGTTAAAATTCCGTCGACGTAGACAAATATTATTGGATACCGAATATTAACATCTAATAAAGCTAAAATCCTGTTCAAGTCTACTGTCACCGGGCAAATGCCCGAGGGCACAGTGACAATGCACTTGAATTGTATAAACACTACAAAAAATCACTTACAAAGTTAATTACAGTGTCGGTAACCCACGTCTTACATACCTAGCGTTACAAAGTAAAATCAGGGAAGCTAAACATTTTTATCACCTTAGGGATTGTTTTTTAAATAATAAATTAAATATTTGACATAGTTCCATGGCCGTGGGAAGCCACCATTTTATTTTCAAAAATGTAGTGTTATGTTAGTACACATACCTACTTATGTGTAGATATTCTGTGAGAAATAATAACGAAATCCAATAAAGTTCAAAATTTGAACTGAACAAGTTCGCAATCTGTATTTTATTTTCGTCAATTCCTGTGACACAAACACTGATAATATTAATTATGTTATTTGCCAACAGTCTGTACTTACCTAAGATAAAAAAAAATCTACCGATATGACGTTTTTAACCATAGAGATGTAAGCCTAGAGAGAACACGGGGTACAGCTGACAGAACAGAAGTGGAAGCGATACAGACAACGAGAGAGATGGATACCCCGATATTTCCCTCTGTCTCTGTTTAGCTAAGCTGCGATTGAAGCTCTTGTTTTCTCTATGTTTTTAACTCGTTACAAACTCGGTAAAAGTAATTATTAGAATATTATTAAGATCTTGTACCTACGCGACATTTTCATTTACAGGCATTATAAATACGGGGCACCAGGGCCTTCCTTTCTAGGGTATACCTGGTTCCCCGGCTATTAGTACCCGGCGAAGGCGTGAAAAAAAAAAAAAAAAAAAAAAAAAAAAAAAAAAAAAAAAAAAAAAAAGGCATTATAAATACACACATATAATTATATACAGGGTTACTGGATACGTCGACCTAAATACTTTAAGGGGTTGTAGTTGCCATCATTTCTGATAGATTTCACTAGAAATACCATAATCCAAACTAACCATTTTCAAACTATTGGACTTTCAAGATTTTTATATTTCTCTTTGCCTAATGGAATATTTTTATAACTTACATCCTTTATTTTGTACTTTTTTTACTGTTTTTGTGTAATTGATAAATTGTTTTATAATTTCAATTACCAAAATTGTAGTTAACTAAACAAACTGGGCCGAAGAAGCTGGTTAATAATAGGAAAAAGAAAAAAAAAGTATTTTTTTCTTTGACAAATATTATAAAAAATCTATGACAGTTAAACTGCAGATTTGTTATGCAGTATATATATATATATATATATATATATATATACTAACTTATAATATCATATTATATTATTAATATGTAGATATCTACGTACTACGTAGATATTGTCCGTGTGGTGACGGATTAAGAATACAGAGTGTCACCACCCCTATTCATCCCGTGGGTGTCGTAAGAGGCGACTAAGGGAGCGAAATACGCAGAACAACAGCACTGCAGAGAGAAGGAAAACTTGACACAAACCCTATACCAACCCGTCTGGCCAGCGTGGTATAGTAGGCCAAAACCTCCTTTCTAAGGAGAGGCCTATGTCCAGCAGTGGACTGTTAAAGGCTGTGGATGATGGATGATGATGGATGAGATATCTACACAACTTACTAAGATTAGAGAGAGAAACGTGATCACGGGAAAGGAAAACGTCGTAAGGAGATTAAAGTTCAACAAATATTGTCGAAGTTCCAAAGGTCACACATTTTTTTACTTTAACACAGAATACCTACACATAAGGAACTACGTAAATGTGAATACTGATATACTGAATGATTTATGGTCATATTATCTACTTATTATATCTCACATTATGTCATATCATATGTATATCTCTAAACTGTGTATAATATGTATGTATTTACAAAAAAAAAGTATAAATGTATTTATATCAGTTGTCTAGTACCCATAGTAAGTACAAGCTCTACTTAGTTTGGGACTAGATGGCGTTGTGTCGATGTGGTACAATTTTAGAATTAGAACTGTATAATTTGAAGTACAATACATTTTGTAATACTACCATATTAAGTGCTACATCGAATGGGTATTTATGAGATGAGTTCAATTGATAGATTTTTATGTAGATATAGAGTCCTTTAAGAAACACGCACTTTTACGAGACTAGAACTAGACTAAGAACTAGGTATTCAAGATCTACTAACCTTTACACGATTTATTACGTCTAATTTACTCATAACTCATGTTAACCACTTTTTTATTATTAAATGTGTATTTGGTCCTTTTCCTCTTAATCTATTATTAAACTTTACAAAATTTAATAAAACGCCATCTTACATTTTCTTCCGAAACTAATATAGACTTTGCAACTCAGACGAATCAAACCGATTCACAAATTTAGCAACTACTTTTATTTTTCTCTGTGCCACTCTGTGGAACAGCAGATAACTCTTACGAGTTATCTGCTGTTCGGTATAATCTATCTATTGTTAGGTATAAATTGGACTGATTAGTCTCAAACATATTAAATACAAATAAAAAAAACTTACTTTTAAAATTCTGAGGTCAATGAGTGAACCACTTCATGGCAGGTAGTCGCAAACACTAATAGAAAATCAATTGTATTAGGTAATCAAACGAGATAGCGTGTTAAACCACAAATACGTTCATTCATTGTCACTGTCATTGCGAAACTAAACTAGGTAAAATAACCAAACAAGTCTCACAACACTTAGTAATTGAAGAGACGTGTTCCGATTGCTGAGGTTTCGTCAATCTTATTTCGTTGTTTATAGTGACTTTAAAAAGGTAGAATTTACTAGGCGTAATAAATATACGACTGTCACGTCGTATAAGATTAAATAAATGTAATATAAGTAATACAAATGCTAGTAACATGTTATTATTATAATATGCAAGTTGTATAAAACTAATACATTCAATAAAATATACCAGTTTAATTATTCATAAACCGCTTTACGCATCATAATTAGCTAAATAATAACAATTCATTTGGTTTTTATGAACTTACGTTCGTTTTAGCCTAAACCTAAAAGTAATCCTCAAACTAATATTACAAAGGCGAAAGTTTGTGAATGTATGTTAGTTACTATTCACGATGAAACGGCTGTAAAAATTTTGATAAACTTTGGTAAAGAAATATCTGACATTCTTGTAGGTAGTTACTCAATAATTTCAGTGTTCGTTACCCCAGCAAAATAATGTCGAATTTAGTCATTTAAATGTTATAGAAAATTAAAAGTTTCTGCAATTTTTGCACTTGAATTTTTTAGATATTTCACAAAACCTTTTTCTGCTGGGGTAACGTTAGCGCAGCCAGGCATTTTCTTTTTTAATTGGAATATTGAAATAAATATACTAGTTAGAATTAGTTGCCTATACGAGGTAAATGTTGCAACTTATTTTGTATTTGTTTTTTCTTCGGCTGCGAAGTTATTCGAGATACTGCTGGAGTAACGTTTGTGTTTTGGCTGGATCTCTGAAACGGGTAAGCATATTTTATAATCATCTTTTGTACATTATATTATACTTACTTCTTAAAAATCAAATTTAATGTAATTCAGAAAAACAAAACAAACGGCAATTCAAACGGTCTAGAAGGCCTTACCATGACCGCTTAATATATTTTTAATATATTTTTAACCGACTTCAAAAAAAGGAGGAGGTTCTCAATTCGACTGTATTTTTTTTTTCTTTATGTTTGTTACCTCATAATTTTTTGACTAGGTGAACCGATTTTGATGTTTCTTTTTTTATTTGAAAGCTGGTGCTTCCCGTGCGGTCCCATTTTAATTTGGTTCAGTTCTGATAAGGGCATCCATGAGAAAACCATATAAGTCTTAAATTTGCATTCAGTATGTTCGCGACAAACAGACGAATAACTCAATATCACGCAAACCAATTTCGATTATTCTTTTTTTATTGGAATGGATGTACTTTAAGGATACTTTGATTAGAGTTTGGTTAGATTCTGATCATGGGATCTACGACAAAGTAACGGAACTCTTCAATTCTTAGGAGCAAAGTAACGATACTCGACTGAATTTTTTAAAGGCTATCCGGATATTTGAGTCACCTATAGTAACGACGTTATGGTCAAGTAATTGTTGTCATCAATAGCCATTACTAGTCCACTGCTGAACATAGGCCTCTCATAGAAAAGAGGTTTTGGCCTACTACGAATATACCACGCTCGCCAGACGCGTTGGTATAGGGTTTGTTTCAAGTTTTCCTTCTCTTTGCAGTGGTGTTGTCCTGCGTAGTTTGCTCCCTCAGTCGACTCTTACGACACCCATGGGATGAATAGGGGTGGTGACATTCTTAACCACAGGGATAGTAACGGACAGTAACGGAAGTAATTGTCGTAGTCGAATATAATGATCAATAAAACTCCTTAACGGCTTACAATCGGTGCAATCTGTGGCAATTCTAACTGTCTGTACAAGTCGAAGTGAACAAGTTTCAGGTGTTTCGTTTGATAAGCGATCGTGAATCAATCCGAATCGGTGGGCACGTTGCTCCTCCGTTTCATTAGATAGACGATCGTGGATTAATCCGAGTAGTGCACGTTGCTCCTCCGTCTCATTAGATAGACGATCGTGGATTAAGCCCAGACGGTGGGCACATTGCTCCTCCGTCTCTTGTGATAAGCGATCGTGGATGAAGCTGAGACGGTTTGCACATTGCTTCTCCGTCTCATTCGATAGACGATCGTTGATCAAGCCGAGACGGTGACTACGTTTTTCGATATTTTCCCTGTTCAAAATCTTTTTCATGTAAAGCCGCATTTTCGAATGTCTATTTTTCCGCTCATCGCAAGTCTCTTTTGAAATTGTTCTCGAGGTAGACTGCCTCTGTTGAGATAGGCGTTTCTCTCTGACTTCGCTTGTTTCAAGCAAACGGCGCTGTCTCATATGAGCAGCACGTTTATTAGGTCTACCCATATTCAGAAAAATTAGTACGTGTACTTCAGATTCACTAAAAATCAATCACCGACTCCAAAAATAATAATAATTGTAACTACATTTTATTCATTTAATTTACTTAGGAGAACTCAAAAAAATATTTCGATCGTTGTTTGTTATGAATAACCTATGAATTCATAGGTGTATTCATTCAGAATTCATAAGTAAGTTGATTATTAAGTTATAGAAGAATATGCAGTTATTTTTTTACTTTTTAGTGCAAAATAGTTTCTTTTGGAATAGTGTTTTTTGAAGTCGGTTTTTTTTTGTTAAAAATTTTGTTCATTTAGTACAGGGTGCAAACGAGCACACGAGTCATCTGGGCCTCAATTCTGCTATTGTATGTTTACGCCAAGCCACTGTCATACCACTGACACGCTGTTGAGATGCCACCGAGTGGCCATTGGCATCGCTATTGAGATGCCATCGAGTGGCCATTGGCATCCGTATAAATATCGGTAGTTGAAAATATACTACGTTTTTTGAGGAAATGTTTTATTTATTTTTATTAGATATAATAAATTATTAAAATAAATAAATAAATTAAAATAAATTATTAAAAACATAAAATTATAAAAAAAAGATATAAAAAATTTATTAAAATAAAAGTAAAACATTATTAAAATAAATAATTCATTTCCTTACAATTTGAAAATATATTACGTTTTTTGAGGAAATGATTTATTTATTTTTGTTATAAAAAAATATTAAGATTAATAAATAAATTAATAAAAAATAAAATAAAATAATTAAAATAAAAAAACAAAAATAAAAAAAAATATTAAAATAAAAAAACAAAAATAAAAAAAATATTGAAATAAATCAATCATTTCCTTATAATTTGAAAATATATTACCTACGTTTTTTGAGGAAATTTTTATTTGTTTTATTTTTTTATTAATTTTTTTTAATTTATGTATTAATTTTAAACGGTTACTCTAGTTACATTAAGAAGTATCAGTATTCACGTATCAACGTCGTCTGGGTCTCGAAAAAGGAAAAAATATTTCAAGTTCTTGCAAAAAAATATATTGATTCCCGGCTCATATTGGTCGTAGCATAATATTATATAGTAGTGCCTTTTTTTTCCGTGCGGAAATCCCCTCGGGTACCACCTGTCGGTGGCATGTCGGACGCGAACCGACTAAAACCGCACGCCGTCTCGGGTACTAATAGCTGGGGAACCAGGTATACCCTAGAAAGGAAGTCCCTGGTGCCCTATATAGTAGTGCCTGAGATTAGCTCGTTCAACCAAACGTTATCCTTATTTAAAAAGACAACTCCCGCATTAGGAATATATCCTGTGTCGCGGGGGACATTACAAACATACATGAAATGAACACAAAGAACACCCAGACTCAGAACAACAATTTGTGGATCACACAAAGTGTCGTCCCATGTGGAGTTTGAACCCACAACACTCGGCGCAGTAGGTAGCGGCGTGGCGACCGCTTAAACCACTGCGCCGTCCGTGCAGTCAAACAAACTCTTCTGTTATAAACATTATTATAGATTACAAGACGACCGCGCGTCGATCAAATGGCCGAACGAGCGTCAACATGGCGACAGCACTGGCACGACGCACTAGCAGAGTCACTACATTTTCAGTCACCCATTATTATTCATTGTATAATTGTAATTCGAAAGGTGCTGCCCTCATTAACAACTCATTAAAACAACACATTTTAAAATTAACCAATGCATGATGCGTCATCCTCAAATAAATTATGAGATGTATTTAAACAACCAATAGAATTTCGTTATGCACACATCTCGTCTCCGCTCAGCTTCAGTAGACACCATGTATTTGTATGGCGCGAAGGAAGCAGGGATGTGAGCTGTGCCTTGCAAGCGCAGCAGAGAAAATGTGAGCGGGCATGCAGAGAGCGGCGCCGCAAGTTCCCCCCGCGATCCGAGTCGTACAACCAGCCCGCCAGTCTCCATAGCGCACCCTAGCCAGTACGCCAAGCTTCGATGGATACACCCTAGCTGAACAAAAATCTCTTCTCGTCTCCGCTTCGGACATCTTCGCACATCTCCACTTTGGTGGAGCCTTAATGTACCTATCCGAATACCTTGAATGTCAGTTACAATAGTCCTCTGACGCGTATGACTCGGTAGTCGATTATATTACGAAACAGTTGTGTCAAACAATGTAATTGACACCTTTGTCATAAAATTTTCAGCATCCTTTATGCTGTAAGATTCTTGTCATAGTAGCGCCGTTGGAAAATGTAAAACATACGTATTATCTACTACCTGTAATATAAGATACCTATGCACTTACTTATTCTATTTTTTTTTAACAACTCCTGGAACACCTCACTGGGAACATATTCTGTGTCGCGGGTGACTTTACAAACATACATGATACAATATCCAGACTCAAAACAACCATGCCGGGATCGAACACACAATACACATCGCAGTATTAAACGGCGAAGTGACCACTTAAACGACTACGCCATCCGTGCAGTCTCTAAGTCATTGCACTAAATGTCTGTTATACGCCGCTGGTGTGATTATTAAATAAACTAAAATTTATCTCTTTGTCAAAGTATTTTAATGAACTTTAGTGACGAAAAATTATCTTAACAGTTATCTAGTTATAAATCTAAGTACCGTTACATTATCACTATGCTATCGTAACTGATTTGTAAGTTGCACGAAAATAATACAGTCTGTATATTGCATCATCAACAGCCTTTATTATTCCACTGCTCTACATAGGCCTCTCCTTAGAAAGGAAGTCACAATAGGAAGCTGTAATATTTAATTGCTCGAATGTATCGTTCACATGTAGTGGATGTATCGTTCACGGTCAAGGCTGAGTCGATTAATTCGGACTGCATCATTTCAAGTTTTTCGTCATTCAGTTGCTGGTTAAAAAAAACAAGTAACTTCAAATCCGCCCCATCCCCATGATTTAGGGGGGAAGGCCTGTAAAGGGTGGCAGCGCACTTTTTACTCTTGAGTTGCAGGGGTCCATGGGTGGCGGTAGTCGCTTACCATCAGGTGACGCGTCAGTACGTTTGCCATAAAAAACTTTGAGACAAAAGGTGACAATTTACATAACATAATGGATATAGTAGGCCAAATCCTCCTTTCTAAGAGAAGCCCATGTTCAGCAGTGGACTATTAAAGGCTGGTGATGAATGGGTAAATGTGTCTTTTAACTGTTAGTACAGAAAGCTGAACAAATACGGCTTTCGACACTAGTTGGCAATCGATGGCTATAAACCTTCGTCGTGTGATCAACATCAATGTTAGAAAATTAAATACTATTCAAAAAAAGTACTTATACTTGTCTTCTTGATTTAAATCAATCAATCATCAACTAAATAAGGTTTGTCCTTGTCAAAAAATGTAATAAAAAAAACAGTTCTAAAACATCTTAATTTATTTGTTTTTTTTTTCTATTATGCCGACAGAGCCAGATACCGGTTTCAATATCCAATTATTGTATTACAAAGGTTTGTACATTACAATACCGAACATTACAGTTTTCCTTTCATGAATGGTTTAAGATATTTGTGGAAACTTTTATTAACAGTATCGGCGTTAAGTGGACTCTTCTGCGCTTGCGCCATTAGCCGCTCGTACACTCGACCGTCGTAAGCGCCCAGAGTTGAATCTAACATCTGCACATAAACAAATTGTATTAAAATATGTATTTATACTGGTTTAAATTTCCTCAGTAAAACATTCACATATTGTATTAAAGAGACTTTACTCTCTTTTACTCTATCCAATACTTTCTTAAAAAAGAAATTGAAATGATCACAAATGCAATATCAAACGAAACCTGAGAAGGATTTAATATGGCAGTCCAACCCAAACATGTTTTTTTTTTATGTTCGAGGGGGCAGACGAGCCTGATCACCCGGGTCACCTGATGAAAAGTGACTATCGCCGCCCATGAACGTCTGCAACTCAGGAGTCACAAACGCGTTGCCGGCCTTTTAGGAAGGAGTACGCTCTTCATTACATGTAAACACTAAGGCCTATTTCTATGGAGTGTAGAGGAAAGGAGAACATCTTAAAGTCAAAAACACCGCCACGGGACCTGATGGAATTATAGGCCCAGCGTGGGTCCTGGCCTTAGGTGACGAGGCTCTCGAGCCCCGACTGCGAGGGTTCCTCAGCGCATGCCTCGAGCGAGGCCTGTTTCCGAAATTGTGGAAGACGGGGAAACTGGTCCTTATCCGAAAGGCGGGGGCGCGCGACGGACTCACCCTCCGCCTACCGGCCCATAGTGTTGCTTGACGAGGTGTGCAAACTCTTTGAAAGAGTGATTGCAAGGCGCCTCGTCAAGCATCTCGTCATAGTGGGGCCGGATCTGGCGGACAACCAGTACGGTTTCCGTCAGCGGTGCTCTACCGTGGATGCTATAATGAGCGTGAGGGCAATATATAAGCAGTTTCCAGGGGAAAAGTGGTGTTGGTGTTGTATCAGGAAGTGCCTGTCTATCGCAAAAAAAGTAGCGACCCGCACTATGTCAGTTTAGTCTCTAGGATTATGAAACAGGTATGGAGGGTAAAGGCAAGGAGAACCATCTCTGTGTATGAAGGGTGTTGTAAAAACACGTCCAATAAGCGTTAGCCTAGGATAAATTTATATTGGGGTGCTGGGCTAGAAAACCTCCTCGTGGTGCACCCTGGAAACGCTGGCGATGGTACTGTTTCCTCCTTGTCCTCTTGGAGGAGAGGATTATCGCCAGCGGCCAATATTCTAGCAGAAGAGGTAGCCGTTCATCGGCTCTCGGGCAAGGCCTGGTCCAGCAGGGTGGGCGTGTCTGCCGGTTGCCCTGCTGGCTCTTCGCTCTTCGGAGCATGGAGGAGGAAACCTCGGTAAAAAACCTGATGGCGGGGCCTTGTAGGGGCCACAGTTTCTCCGCTGACAGCGGTGGAGAAAGGAGGACGGGCTCGGCGTGTACTCACACTACCACCGAGCAGGCAGGGGGACGTAGTCTCCCTGTCAACCGTCGGCATATCGTAATCCCGAGAAGAGCGCTGTGGTTAAGTCTCGCGGCTCTGATCGGGGGCGAGGGTCTTGGCTTAACCGCCCGGACCGCGAGGAAGATAACCTCTCTAAAAAATTCCCCGAATCCCGTGTTCTGGTGCGTGGCCAGGGGATGTATGGCTGATGGGAAGTTCAGTCGCGAGCGCACTCCAAGCCGAGGTACCTGCGGACCCCTCGGTTGGGTTAAAAACTTACGCTTGCCCGGGTAATGGGGGATCTCTGCCCGGGTGGACCTCTAGTTCTCCCCCACTCGTGGGATTTAATATGGAAAATATGAACCAAAACACTAAACCAAAAACGATCGGAAATAATCTACAACGGAAAAAGGCTAGTCAAACGGATACGGCAACGAAAGCAAGGAAGGAGAAGAAGAACAGTGGAGCGGATGGGTCGTCCACTGAGGGTGAGATGGTGTCAGGAACGCCCATCTCGATGGGGCTCCCAGAAGTCAGTCTGACTCTGATCTCTGGGAGCCGAAGAGCATCGGATCGGCTGCGTTCCGGATCCGCCGCTTCGTCGGATGGCGCGGAGGCCATGGAAGCGGAGCGGAGCGACAGCCGGAAACGCGGACGCTCCAGGGAAGAGGGGACCGACACGTCCGGCGAAATGATGCCACCAAAGGTGGCAAGCAGCCGCCGAGGGAGGGCACGTAAACCGGCCTCGGTCTCGACCCCGTCAGGCTCCGCGTTCTCAAACGCGGAGTCCTACAGGAGCGTGCGAGTGGACGGCGAGGCCGTAGCGGAGGAGGAGATCGCGGATCTCCTGCTCAAGGTTCGGGAGCCGGTGGGGGGAAATGCCCCCCAGGCTCCCGTGTCCGTGCAGGAGAGGGCGAAAGCGGCGGTGGCCGTCATCGACAAGGTGGCCACCAAATCCGTGAACCTTAAGGGCTCGTTTGTGAGGGCCCTTAAGGACTCCTCCTCCGCTTTGTCGGAGGTCGTGGAGGGCCTAGTGGGCGACGTATCGCGCCTACAGGTGGCCAACGAGAAGCTGACGGAGCGGGTGAACGAGCTGAGCGCTCAGTTCGCCCGCTTCCAGGCGAACCTCCCCGAGCGGGAAGCCCCGTCCGCATCCCAGCCTGCCCCTACCACCAACTCAGGGGCATTTGACTCCCAACTGCGAGAAATCCTCATCGCAGTTGGGAATATGCTGGACGGACGCCTGGCTGGCCTGGAGGCGAGACTGCCCCCTGCGCCGATTATGCGCCCCCCGCTCGCGTCGGCACAGCGGCCTAAGGCCGCCGCTCCGACCGCGCTCCCCGTTGTGGGAGGCCGCGTTTCTTACGCGGCGGCGGCGTCTGCCCCTACTCCATCGGCTCCACAAAAGCCGACGAGGAGGGGGGCCAAGGCACCGGCCCAGGCGCCGGCCAAGGCACCGGCTAAGGCGCCGGCCAAGGCACATCCCCAGGCGCCGGCCAAGACGGGGCCTAAAACGGCGCCGAGGAGCGGAGTGGCATTCCCTCCGCTCCCCACTCCGACACCCCTGCCGGGCCCCTCCGCACCTGCCCCCTCCAACGAGGGTTGGCAGGAGGCGAGGGGCTCCAAGAAGTCCCGAAGGCGGGCCAGAAAGGCTGCCCAAAAAGCAGCCCAAGCCCAGCCTTCGCCACCGGTGGCAACGGCCTCTGCAAAGAGGCCGCGGAAGCTGCAGCCGCCCAAAACCGCGGCTGTAGTTGTGACCGTGTCCCCGGAGGCGGCTGACGGCGGGCTGTCCTATGCGGCCGTCTTCAAAAAGGCCCGGGACAGCCTCGCCAACGAGTTTGGGACGGTGGGGGTCAGGATGCGCCTCGCCCAGACGGGAGCTCGAGTTCTCGAGTTCCCTGGGGCTGAAGGCGCAAAGACGGCGGACTCCTTCGCTGAGAAGCTGCGGGGAATATTTGCAGCCACAGATGGTGTCAGGGTCGCCAGGCCTACCAAGTGCGCGGAACTGCGCATCTCGGGCCTGGACGACTCAGTGACGGCCGAAGATGTCCGCGCTGTAATCCGGGAGAAGACGGGGTGCAGCGCGGACAACGTCAGGGTCGGCACCATCCGCCCCGGTCCAGGAGGGCTTGGCGCCGTGTGGGTCAGCTGTCCCGTAGCGTCGGCCAAAGTATTGGCCGACGCCGGCAGGCTGCTCATCGGTTTCGTGAGCGCCAGGATCACAGTCCTGGCGGCGAGACCGATGAGATGCTACAAATGCCTAGCATCGGGACACACGCGCGTCAAGTGCGACAGTTGTTTTGACTGCGGCGGACTGTGTTTCCGCTGCGGTCAACCGGGGCATAAGGCGGCAGAATGCTCTGCCGCCCCTCACTGCCCAGTGTGTGCGGCGGGCAATAAGCCCGCCAATCACCAGATGGGGCAGAGAGGCTGCAAGCCTCCCCGCAGTTCTCGGCAGACGTCGGGGGTTAGCCAGTCGACCCAGGCTGCCTCCGATGTAGTTCGTGCGTCGACGTCGTCGCCCATGGAGGAGGTTGTAGAGACGATCCAGTAATGGATCAAGTCTCCAACCTCCTGGTCCAGACGAACCTGAACCACTGTGCCGCGGCGCAGGATCTTTTCCTGCAAACCGTGGCACAGTGGTCGATAGGTGTTGCCGTAGTCGCGGAGCCCTATTCTGTCCCTCCCCGTCCAAACTGGATGGGTGACTGGGACGGCTCCGTGGCAGTCGTCGGTTCCACGACGGCTCATTCCCCGCCCTTGTCGCTAAGAGACAAGGGCACTGGATATGTTGCCGTCGAGTGGGGGGGGATCACCATATATGGTGTCTATTTCTCCCCCAACCGGAGTTTGAACGACTTCGAGGTTTTCCTAACCAGTTTGGAGACCTCGATACGGCGACTAGCGTCTGGGCACGTCCTTGTGCTGGGGGACTTCAACGCAAAGTCCATTGCGTGGGGTTCCCCCAGGACGGACGCCAGGGGCGAGGCCGTAGAGGAGTGGGCGGCCTCGGTGGGCCTCTGTCTTCTAAACAGAGGCTCCACCAACACGTGCGTGCGACAGCAGGGGGGGTCGATAGTGGACCTCTCGTTCGCTACCCCTGCCCTCGCCGCACGAGTAAGGATGCTGGAGGGTCTTAATCGTGACCCCTGGGGTCGCCCTTACCGCGCGGTGCGACAAAAGCTCCGCGCGTCGGGCCCCCCCCCTTACGGAGACTCTCCAGCCCAGCTTCCTGCGAGAAGTGGTTGAGGGCCTTTTCCCACAACGGGCGGAACACACTCCCCCGTCGATGGCCTCCTTGGCCGGAGACGACGGGGAGCACGGGGAGGATAATGTTCCGCCCGTCCGGGAATCGGAGGTAGGGGCGGCTGTTCTACGGATCCGTTCCAAGAACACCGCCCCTGGGCCAGACGGGGTACCGGCCCGAGTGCTGGCCCTGGCCCTCAACCACATGACAGACCGCCTCGGGGAGGTGTTCGACGCTAGCTTGGCGTCGGGACGCTTCCCTGAGTGCTGGAAGAGCGGGAAGCTGGTCCTATTGAGGAAGCCGGGACGGCCTGCCGATTCGGTCGCGGCCTATAGGCCCATCGTGCTGCTGGACGAGGCGGGCAAATTGTTTGAGAGGGTTCTTTCTGCCCGCATCGTCCGGCACCTCTGCGAGGTGGGCCCCGATCTGTCGGACGCCCAATTTGGTTTTCGGGCGGGGCGTTCGACGGTCGACGCCGTGTTGCGCCTGAGGGCCGTGACCGAAGAGGCCGTGAGCTGTGGCGGCGTGCTGTTGGCGGTGTCACTGGACATCGCCAACGCATTCAATAGTCTGCCATTCAGCTGCATCAGGGAAGCACTCCACTATCATGGGGTGCCAAAGTACCTGAGGCGGCTAGTGGCAGACTATTTAGAGGAGCGTACCGTCGTGTACGAGGACCGAGAAGGTAATTTGAGGTGTCGGCCCATGTCGTGCGGTGTTCCACAGGGGTCTGTTCTTGGACCCCTCTTGTGGAACATAGGGTACGACTGGGCCCTTCGCGCCGATTTCCCCCCCGGGCTGGGTGTAATCTGTTACGCAGACGATACCCTCGTGACAGCCCGGGGGGCAAACTTCCAAGAGGCGGCGCGCCTGGCCACAGGGGGAGTCTCCCTGGTGGTCGGGCGCATTGAGGCGCTGGGCTTACGGGTGGCCCTAGATAAGACGGAGGCCCTGTTATTTCATGGGCCCCGTCGTGGTCCACCCCCTGGCGCCTCAATAGTGGTCAACTCGGTCCTCGACGGGAGGTGGCTCTTCGACGAGCACTTCCGACAGCTTGCTCCAAAGCTGGTCGGCGCTGCGTCCGCCCTAGGGCGACTTCTGCCCAATATGGGTGGACCCAGCGTCGCGACAAGACGGCTGTACACGGGGGTTGTCCGGTCAATGGCACTGTACGGTGCACCGGTGTGGGCGGCGGCTCTGACCGCCCAGAATAGGGTACGCCTCTGGCGCCCTCAGAGGGTAATGGCGGTGAGAGCCATACGCGGTTACCGCACCGTTTCTACGGAGGTGGCATGCGCGTTGGCCGGAACTCCCCCGTGGGATTTGGAGGCGGAAGTGCTCGCCGAAGTTTATCGGCGAGTGGCTGACTCCCGGGCGGAGAGCGGATTTCGCCCTCCGCCCGAGGATGTGCGCGAGTGGCGCGAAGCCGCTCGCCGAGCCACGATGGCTCGTTGGTCGTTCCGGCTGGAGACTCCACGCGCTGGCTTCGCCGCCGTGGAGGCTCTCCAGCCGGTCATCGCCGAGTGGGCAGGGCGGCAGCACGGGACCCTTTCCTTCCGACTGACGCAGGTGCTTTCCGGGCACGGTTGCTTCGGAAAGTACCTGCACACGGTCGCTAGGAGGGAACTGAGTCCCGCCTGCCACCACTGCGACTGCAGTGAGGACTCGGCCCAGCACACGCTGGCGGTCTGCCCCGCATGGGCGGCGCAGCGCCGGGCCCTCACTGCAGTCATCGGAGTGGATCTCTCGCTACCGGCCGTAGTACGCTCCATGGCCGGTAGCGACAGTTGTTTTACCGCGGTCGCAACCTTCTGCGAGGTAGTAATCTCGCGGAAGGAGGCGGCGGAGAGGGCCCGGGAGGACGACCTCCACTCGGACCCGATCCGCCGCCGGCGAACCGGGCGGCGGAGGCCCGCCTACCACAGCCTCATGCCGCCCTGAGTGTGGCCGCGGGTGGACGGGGTGGGTTTCCCCTCCACCCGCATTAGTTTGGCCAGCCGCGAGGGGGCGGCGTCCGCGTGTGCCGGACGTCGCCTAAAGAGAGGAACACCATTGAGACGGAGCCCGCACCAGGAGCGGGCTGGCGCTAGGAGGGGTCCGGATGTCTTAACAACAGCTGTTCCCGGATCCCTCCTGTTACAGGCGCAGAGTGGCACACCGTGTGGTTTTAGTCGGTCCGAGTCCGACACACCACCCCGCCGCAAACCCCGGAGGGGTGACGGTCCGAGGGGATTTCCACACGTTAAAAAAAAAAAAAAAAAAAAAAAGGATAAATTTATATTGGCTTAAATATACACTGTGTACTAGACTGTGAACATAGTCAAAGAGTTTTACAGACAATAAATAAACATGTAAAACTTTTAGACAATAAATGTATTATAATATTTTAAATCAGCACACTTCACTCCGTCTACAACAGCTATGTGCATATCTTAGGTTTTCGTACGACAGCGACCTCTATTTTCAGTATACAGCTGGACACTTTTTCAACTTTCCCCCCATATGAGATGTTCTCCTTTCCTCTACACTCCATAGAAATAGGCCTTAGTGTTTACATGTAATGAAGAGCGTACTCCTTCCTAAAAGGCCGGCAACGCGTTTGTGACTCCTGAGTTGCAGACGTTCATGGGCGGCGATAGTCACTTTTCATCAGGTGACCCGGGTGATCAGGCTCGTCTGCCCCCTCGAACATAAAAAAAAAAACATGTTTGGGTTGGACTGCCATATTAAATCCTTCTCAGGTTTCGTTTGATATTGCATTTGTGATCATTTCAATTTCTTTTTTAAGAAAGTATTGGATAGAGTAAAAGAGAGTAAAGTCTCTTTAATACAATATGTGAATGTTTTACTGAGGAAATTTAAACCAGCACCGCCACCCTTAGTTCTGCCCAAGTGACATCAGGCACGTCATCGTCATCCACGTTAGGCACCTCGAGCGCCGGAGGCGGAGCCATCTGTGGTGGAGTATGCTGCACCACTCGCGATGGGAACAGGGAGCCGACGACCCTCCTCAAGCAACTCTGGTTGAAGACACCGGGTGAGCGGCGGGGCTCATGGGCGCATCTTGCATCTAACCATACGGTAGGGGCGTCTCCACGGATCCCACTTCAGTGTCTCAAGTAACTCGCGGCGGGCCTGACTCTTGGCCCGCTTTAACGCTGCCTGAAGGGTACTCTTGGCAACCCTGTATTCCGCTAACAGCGCCGGCTCTCTCGTTGCCGCATCTTCGGGTCGGCGACGCCTTCTGCTGAAGCTGGACCAATGGCGGCGCGCGGTCTCCGGCGACCACCAGTAGACCTGGCGCCTCGCAATATTGGGCTGGACCCTAGGCATCGCCGCATCATGGCCTCCCGGAACTACTGTGCCTCAGCATCGATGGCAACAGGCCTATCCGATACGGCCCAGGCCTGTACTATGGCGGCTTCCAGGCGGAGCTTCCGATCTAAGCGCTTGAGCGCTCAACGTGGCTCAGGTGGAGCCGGTCTGAACGGCGTGTCATTCATAGGAGCGGAGACGTCAAACCAAATATATCGGTGATCTAAACCTGTCTCCTCCCAACAACGATGCGCCAGCCCGGGACACGACGCGCTAGCGAGGAGCAGATGTCAACGATCGAACTACCTCTAGCTGTCAGGGACGTGGCCGCGGCCCTCCGGTTTAGGACAAATAGGCCAAATCTTTCGACCCAGTTTCCAATGCCTTGCCTCGGATTCGTGCGCCGGGAACCCTAGGTCTCCGACTAGGCGTTGAAGTTCGTTACCACAAGAACCGGGTGGCGGCGACAGGCATCGACGACGACGGCCAGCTGAGCGAGCCATTACTCGTACTCAGTTATGTCTCGGTTTGGCGGTTGAAATAAGCGGCCATGACCGCTATATCCCCAACCAACGCCGTTACGTCGATAGGACAGTGCCGCCGAGCCGTCCAAGTTGGACTCTGGGCTGGCCACAGCGGAAGCAGGAGGTCACCATAGGTTACCTTCGCCGTAGAATGGACCTCCACATCCCTACCGACAGGCACCGGAAGCACCTTGCCGGTCGGGCCTGCAGGAGTCGTCCCTGTGCCTTCAGGAAACCTCCAACTAGGAGGCTTCGTTCGTATTTAAGAAAAAAATGATTGCTTGGATAAAAATGAACCAAGTGTTTTCCTTGGAAAACACTTTAAAATTTACAATTTGACGTAGGTTTTATCACTATAATATAACAAAGTGTCTGAATTTTGCTATAAAAACTCGTGATTGCCTCAATTTGGGTCATATTTTATCTAGGCAATCATTTTTTTTCTTGAATAACACTTTAAACTCTACATTTTGACGTAGGTTTGATCACTATATCATATGGACCCCTGGGGTCATACGGAATCCAGGAAATCATGGCGCTTATTGTTTAACTAACGTATTCGTATTCCTGATGGTTTTTATCAATATAACAGATACCCTGGAAATTTTGCGGCCGCCTCTAGGTCCATTAGCCCGTCCTATAATCAACTTCTTTTAAACTTTCCTTATTTTGGAAAAACATAGCAGATTCTAGAATTTCAGCTGGTTTTGTATTTAAGAAATTCAAATTATATTTTTAACAGTCACTTACTTCATCAATAATATCAAAACCGTCCACAAGTCCGACGGCGTTGGGTCGAATCTTCCCTAATAACGTCACTAGCCAGCGTCTTAAATACTCTATGTCAGTCTTCGAAATTGACGTATACTGAAATAAAAACGCAGACACGTTTAGCATGTATTGCAAGGTAAAATAGGTCAATTTCGTAATAAGTAAAAATCACTATCAACTGCCCCACTGCTGGACACATGCCTCTCCTTAGAAAAGAAGATTTACCCACTATTCCACGCTGGCCAGATGTTTTAGCACATAGTTTGTTTCAAGTTTTCCTTCTCTTTGCAGTGCTGTTGTTCTGCGTAGTCTGCTCCCTTAGTCGGCTCTTACGACACCCACGGGATGAATAGTGTTGACACTCCATATTCTTAATCTGTCACCACACGGACGGTGTTAGCAATCCATGTATATATATTTCTTCACAAAGGCAAACTACTATTTTAAAGCGATATATGTGAATGTATGAACTGTATGAATTACCAGAAGCAAGTCGCCATATTTCTCCAGTGCCCAGTAAACTGTATATAGCTCAAGTAGCTGTTGTAACACTTCTGCCAGTGGAGCTGATACGGTGCTACTCATTTTAGATAAATCTTCATGGAACGTCGATAGGACGATTGCTCGACAGTGCGACTATAATTAAAAAAGAAAACGGTTAGCGTGTAATTATCTAAATAACGTTCGTGTATTTGTTTGTTTAGTCGCTCTTATTTGTAGAATTATCGTTCTACAAATAAGAGTTTCAATTAATTATTCTCATATTGGATAAAATATTTTTTGAGGAAGGTTATTACATAACATTATGGTTCGATTCTTAGGAGAGGAGCAGTGACCTTAAACGCAGATGAATCTGCAGCCATCAGCTAAAGTCTGTTTTGTAACCGACTTCAAAAAAAGGAGGAGGTTCTCAATTCGACTGTATTTTTTTTTTTTATCTCGTAGACTAAACTGACATTACGAGTGTTGTCAGTTTATTGCAATTCTTAAATAGTGATGTGGCACAACCGAAACTTAGCGTTAATAAAATTAAGTATCGTTTTTTTACAATAAGTTATCCTGAAATAATGTGTTTATCCTGAAAACAAATAGAAACAAACTCAACGAAAATATAACAAATAGCACTTGAAATTGTATCAAGACACAACGGACGCATTCGAACACTGCAGAGGTTGAAGGACGAATAAGGTAAACAAAATGGCGTCCAGTGTTGTTCCTGTGAAATTTAGGGTTGCCGTATTCAAAATCTAACATTTTTAAAACTACCATATTATCATAATTATTTTAAAAATTGCAGTTGTTCCTATGGTGTCAAGTTCCATAATTGCCGTATTTTTTAAGTTCTGCCGTTTCGTAAGAGAAAATGGTTAAGATTGCCGTTTTAACGCGTACGGGAACAACACTGATGGCGTCTATAATTTTTTTTTTGTTTAATTTAAAGGCATCGAAACATGGTCGGATTACGCATGGCGTTGCATGGTCAGATTTCCCTGGCAGTTTGTAGCACGTCGTGCAGCCGTGTGTACGTACGTGATTTTTAAATATAAAACTTTGAATGAAAATTAAATTCGTCTATTATAAATAAAAAGTTACGATTCAACAAACCGGTATCGCAGGTAAACACTGCACAAAAGAGCTGGCAACATTATTTGTAAATTTGACATTTGCATGTGTCAATTTAGTCTACGAGATTAAAAAACAGACTATAGTTGTTTAACTATTGGTTATCCTGCACATACACATCATCAAATAAACTCAGACTAGTTTAGACTATGTTTAGAGATTGGACCCGGAAACAATTTTTAAACTGATATTTTTGTTTTCTAGTTTTCTCAGTTCACAGCTTTCTCACGAATTTTCAATTGCAACAAAATATAATAACAGAAGTCCCTGTTTCTACAGTTGTCAATAATGACAGCTGTAGAAACAGAGACAGCGTTCAATATTGATATTTGGTTTGACATTAACTTAAACTAGGAGTTACTGGAGTTGGGGCGCAGTGGTCTCTTTCTGTGAAGCTGTAATGCTCCAGAAAGAGACCGCTGAACGGGATCTGGAGAGGGCCGATCCCGAGCGTAGAGGACGTCGGCGACCATACCAGCCGCCGACGCCGCCGCGGGCCGCCAGAGAGTGGGGACCTCTGGTCGCAGATTGAATGCTGCGGTAGGGGATAGGATGGCGGCCTGATTGCATTAAGACGAAAATGGGCCGCCACGTCGCGATTAAGGGGGAAATGATTTTCCCCTGGGATAGGGCCTGACTGATTTTCCACCCCGTCAAAAAAAATAAAAAAAAATGGAGTTACTGGAGTGTTCAAATAAAACACTGCACAACACTCACTGTCTAGAACACGCTCCGTGACCTCACTCTTTGGAGTGTTGCACCTTTCTTGGTGTTAGCAGAGTACCCAGCGTACAGCTACATTTAGAGTCTCATTGCGCTGAGCCAACAGCCATTTTAGGCAGACGAATTTTTAATGATTTCTCTTTTCCTATTTATCATAAATATAATTAGTATGAACAAAAAATACATGTTTTTCATTTCTCTTTCTTTCTTGTTCACGAAACATGGTTTTCAAGTTTGTGGTATAGGATAAATAACAAATAACATAAAACTGTCTCTTTCTATGTACATTGCGATTTTAAAAGTTAGAGAAAGCAAAAATACATGTGCAGTTTAACTTTTTTTGTGTATAATGTATGAAAGTACTTACTTCCGCTGCTGAAACTAATTGTATTGAGGTAGTGTTCCACGCGTCTTCCTGAGACATGCCAGACATGATTTTATTCGTCATGATTTCCACGCATGAAGAAATTTTCCTATAAGCACATTATTTGATGAGTTGGACGGAAGTTGGACGGAACTAGTAAGTATATTCGGAGAAAGTTTTGTTCACAACCAGAAGACACGGATTTGATTCCCGCTCATTACGAATATGATGTATGCATGGACACATATATATTCGCTCTGGTATTTCAATCTAAAATATCGATAATATGTATAAGCTAAGTTAGATTTAAACAACAATAAGATGTCAGAGACGATTAAATTATATAAATACACAGTAAGATGGTTTCTATAGAAGCATATGAAAACAAACGAATGCTTTTGCTTTAAAAATCATCTTCGGTTTGAATCTAACCAAAATAAAGCAAGTTATCAGGAAATAATTATAGTTCATAAACCATTAACTGGGTGTGGGTACTGCTTCGCTTGCGTAAATGTCGATTTTGTCGAAACGTGAACGTGAAAAGTAACAAAAAAACTCACTTTCACTTTGTAATATAAGTATGGATTAATAGGACGATACCTATAACAACTTACTTCATAGAAACTATTTGAAATCCACGAATGATACCCTTTATACTATTTTCCCATTTATCTTCAAAACCTGGTGACGACACCGTCTTCAAATACGCTATAGTGGGAGTTACAGGGACTGTGTCAATTTCACGCCAAACTTTAAGAAGGAACCTGATAAGAAAATATATTAAATTAAGATAAGAACATCTGACTCAGGCAGATAATAGATATACTTAGGATTAATATATAGGATATTAACAAGGAGGGTGGATAGTAGACAGGCAGCCAAAACAATTAGCAATGACGAAAAAAGAAATCACCAAAAATTAAATACAGTATTACTTCTGTCCTTACACTATTTCTCAATTTATAGTCTTACCTAGCAGTCTGGAGTAATAAAACGGTGTTGTCTCCTTCATAAGTGCACGAGGCGGTTGTGAGGGCATACGTTAGAGGCAGGTTGGATGAGTGCATGTAGCCGTGACCACCGCATGCCAAACGACAACGCTCCGTAAAACGAGCAGCGTCCGCCGTGCTGACCGCTTTCAAACAGCATGCTAGAGCATGCAGCTGAAATGTGTATTTTTAAAATGAAATTCATTTAATTCCGGTTTACGTAAAGTGCGCATATTACAGCCAATATTCGTGTAAACCGTAGACAACAGCTCACGCAATAGCTATTGGATTAGAGATGTTTCGAAACCGGTATCCTTTAAATCCCCAGTTAAAACAAAAATGCCGTCACTCGTACGTATAGTTCTCAAGATTACAGAAATAATAGAGCTAAAACACTTACTTACCAAATGTATCTGTTTCTAAAAAAAACAATATTTGAAGTAGAACTAACAAAAATAATAAAGTGAATTTTCGTAATTTTCAGATAGTTTAATATTTGATTAAGGGTACACAATGATAATAAAACCAAAACCGTATACCTCTCCCAATCTCTCAAAATTTCCTTCGTGTAGTTGAGTATTGATCCCATTGAAGGTGTCCCATAGTCTCCTGGCGTTGAACTTCATGGCGAAGCAGCCAGCTATTGCGGTGAATATCATTTCTTGTTGCGTCACGTAGTCCAGAATTTGCAACTCCGGCTCGCTAGGAATATATAAGCGAATATAACTAGATAAATTTTTCTTACTTGTAAGAATATATTATACTCTCTTGACTTTTTAAAGATGTTCATGTGGTTGAAAGGCGATATATGTGTAGAGTGGTGTGTTTAATAAATAAAATAGTATTAGTAAGCTCAGCCCCGGATCTAGGTGGGGGATCTATATATTTGTGAGTTTTTTAAAGTAATTTATTTCAAACGCTAACACACAAAAATAAAATCAAAAACAGACCACATGTCAAAGAGCCATGAAGAGGAGTATGCTGGGTTACACAAAAAGAGACAGAAAGAGAGCTGTAGATTTAAGGCAAATTACGAAAATCGAAGATGTCGTAGTCAAAACCAAAACACTTAAGTGGAGATGGGTAGGCCACATGATGATAGGGAATAGGAATAAATGGACGAAAGATATAACAGAATGGACCCCTAGATTCCAAACAAAAAGGAAAAGAGGAAGACAAAGAAAACGTTGGTCTGATGACATAAAAAAGAACGCGGGTCCACTGTGGCCCAGAATAACTCAAACAAGAGCAGAATGGAAAGAGCTGGAGGAGGCCTTTGTGTCACAAGGACACGCCGACGCCCAATAACTGCGGCATAATAATAACAATAATAATATTGTATTGATATAATTATAATGTTAATTAATTTAATTGCATGTTAACACTTAACTATTTAATAATGAATACGTGTAACTATGTTGGCAATAAAGGTTTAAAAAAAAAAAAAATTTCAAACGCTGGAGAGAGGGGGGGCGCCACTATCAAGTTTCTGCCCCAGCCCTAAAAAAAATCGTAGATCCGGGACTGATTGGGCTATAGTAGGTTTGTATTGGAGGTAGTCGTAATAAATAAACTGCAGCGCAAACACGCAACACATATTTCTGTACGTACTAAGTATTTACTGGTGCATGACGACCGACAGGTCCAACAGTCCGGTTAACCAATTTTTTGTTTTATACTATTACGTAAGACAGGTTGGTTTTTTAGAACTTATGATACAATAACTAGAGACGCCTGGCAGTCGAATTTCGGCCAGTATTTTTTTACTTTTTTTAGTTATTATTTAAATTCTTCTTGTTTTATTTCGTTGATAAGTAGGTATAACTTGAATTATTATTATTGTATTGAGTTTTAAATCAAAATATACACCTGTGGTTTAATAATATGTAAGTAGCCGTTTTAACATAGGTCAAAAAATTTTATGACTATAGATGTTTAAATTGGGGATTTAGGTCTCAAAAAAGGTTGACAAGAAAAATTTAGGATACCTTTTCAATATTTCTTTCATCCTTTAAGAGGAGGAGGGGCTCGTGACTAAGTGGTAACCGAGTAAGTTAACACATTTCAAAGTTAAGCAATCCTAGCCAGGTCACTATATGGATGGGTGACCATTTTTAACACATTTTGACTCCTCCGGGCCTTGGAGAGCACGTTAAGCCGTCGGTCCTGGTTGCCATAGGAACATCTGTGGCAACTGTAACGATTTTACGTATAGTTGGAGCCCTAAATGTATCACGACAGTCTTGTCAAACTGTGCAAACTCCTTGCTTTTGTCACCTCAATCATCAAATTATCCATCAAATTAGGAGAAGAGTAGGAAAATTATGGTCCCGATTAAAAGTGTATTGTAATTAATTTCAATTTAATGTATTGCATTCAATAATTTACATTTACAGGTGGTAGGCTTAAAGATAAATAACAATTATGGACCCTGTCGGGCACAGCACTATCAGAAGATAGGAGGAGCTGCTTTTTTTCCGTTACTGAAAGACAACTCCTCGAGCTGGTGTGATGTCGGCTCTGGTGTTCCTCAAGGCGGTATACTTTCTCCTTTATTGTTCTCTGTGTTTATTAATCTCTTATCTCTTGAACTTCGTATCGCGTATCATCTGTATGCTGACGACCTGCAAATGTATGCTCAAGCTAATGTTGATGACATACCAATAGCTATTGACGAGATCAACATAGATCTCAAAATCATCAAAAACTGGTCTGAAAGGTTTGGGTTATCGGTCAACCCGACAAAGTGTCAGGCAATAATAATTGGCAGTCAGCGTTCGATGAACAGAGTCAATTTTGAGACGCTCCCCAAAATATTTTTTAATGGTATCACTATACCTGTTTGTCGATCGGTGAAAGACCTAGGCTTACAACTCGACTGCACCCTGAACTGCCGCGATCAAGTCACACACGTTTGCCAGAGGGTTACCGGCATTCTTAGAATATTATATCGCCTGAAAAATTTTCTTCCCGTGAAAACTAAGACAGTGCTCGTGCAATCTCTTATCTTCCCTTTAATCGACTACGGTGACGTGTGCTATTATGACCTAAATGCAGATCTTCTCAACAAGCTAGATCGTCTCATCAATAACTGCATTCGATTCATCTTTAATCTTCGTAAGTATGACCATATCTCCGGTTTTCGTTCCCAGCTAAGATGGTTACCTATTCGTCAACGCAGGAAAATGCGCGCTCTCACAACTATGTGCACTATCCTCAATTCCCCTTCCCCTCCTACTTATTTAACAACACAATTTCAATTGTTATGCAACAACCACAACAGAAACCTTCGTTCGGCCAACAATCTTCTTCTACTCTGTCCTTCTCACACCACTGGGTTTGACGGCTCTTCGTTCTTCGTCCAGGCTGTCCTCTTATGGAATGCGCTTCCTCACGAAGTCAGGATAGCTACAAATCGGTACTCTTTAAGGACGAAAGTGAAAGAGCTATTGCTGAGCGAAATGGCAGATTCAACGAGCTCCTAGTTCATAGAAATAAATTTAAATAAATAAATTTTTTATTTTTTATTTTTCTCATATATATATGTGTATGTGTATGTATATATATATATATATATATATATATATATATATATATATATATATATATTTATGAGTATGTATATGTCTATATATGTGTATGTGTGTGGTATTACGACGTATACACCAAATTCCAAGATAGTTGGTATTTAACAAAACCACTATCGTTTGTACCTTACCATAAATGCACCTACCTCATTCTTTCTCAGCACCGCCCAATCGGTCGACTGGCAGAGAATGCCTTAGGCATTAAGTCCGCCGATGCATGTACTTGTGCAAAAAGTTAAAAATAAAAATAAATAAATAAAACTCCACACTATATTAGGAATATAGCCTGTGTCGCGGTGGATTTTACAAACACACATGAACCGGACACAAAGAACACACAGACTCAGCACGACAATTTGTGAACCACACAAAGTGTGATGAAAGCCCATGTGGGGATCGAACCCATAACATTCAGCGTAGTAGAAGGCGGCGTGGCGACCGTTTAAACCACTACGCCATTCGTGCAGTCAATGATTAATTATGCTAGTTTTTAAAGTTTTATCTTATTACAATATTATCTGCTTTTAGATTTCGTTATCTTAAATGAGCATTAAACAGAATCGAGATAAATTAATTAAATTAAATATTATATTTAATTTAATAATAAATTATATACCTCACACATCTCACACACGGCCGTCTGATCCCAAACTAGGCAGAGCCTGTGCTATGGTAACCAGCCTGCTGATAAACATACTTACATACTTTTAAATACATACATATCATAGATAAATTACATCCAGATACAGAACAAATGACCGTGCTCATCACACAATATTTGTCCTAGGTGGGAATCGAACAAACGATCTCCGGCTTACCAGTCAAGGTAACTAACAACTAGACCAACAGGCCCGTTTACAACAGCCTCAATTTAAAATTGCATATTTATAAAAGTAGTTGATGATAAATTTCATGAATTTATTATTGCGCAATGTCATCACAAAATTAGTTTACTAGTTATTTTATATTACTAGCGATCCGCCCGGGTGCAAAATAGTACTACTAATGTAGTGTCAGTGTTCAGTAATAAATTATACTATTATTGTGATAGGACTATAGGTCTATACTACATACATCTTTAAATGCAATATTTATGGGCCCGAACCGATCCTGCCGGCCGCTGCCACCCGGCACTGGTGTACGGCTCGACGGTCGTTGGGCCCCCGCATTTAAACCTCTAATACTCGTATCTTCGAAAATATTGATTTTAATTATATGCTGTACAGAGCAATTTTAATCTACATTAAATGCACAACGTATCTAACGTATTTAATTGGATAAGGAATAATAACGTATTGTTTGAAATGGCTTCGTAAATAATATATTATTTTTTTGTGATATTTAAAAGATAAAAATGGTTACTGTTTGTTATCCTTAGGAGATACATATGTATACCATCGCGGAATTTTTGTAGATCTTTTTAAGATACACAATTCCGTAGTATATTATTTTGATCTATCTCGTAGGGTTTAGCCGGCGTTTGCAATGTAAGCGCACAAAAACATGTTTTTACAACAAATCTTTGAAATTCTCTTATTTTCTCTACTAATATACATGTATTATACATATAAAGGCCGGCAACGCGTTTGTGACTCCTGAGTTGCAAGACGTTCATGGACAGCGATGGTCACTTTCCACATCCCCATTAAATTCCGTTGCTTAGTTTAAAAGATCTAATCGTACAATACAAAAAGCGACTTTATTTTATACTATGTAAAGATTTTATTACATAATTATATTTTAATATTTTAAAATGCAAATAGGCAAGACAAGTTTTTCTACCTATGTGGTGTAATCATGTTAATATTTGTTTAGAATAAATTGTTTTAAAGCCATTTTAAGTAATTTTTTGTCTATATGTGTTTGTAATAGTTAGTAATTATTAAGTGGGTAATTTTAATTGTTTAAAGTTTATAACTTATCTTATAGATATTCCTTGACATTGTAGTAATATTTACTTATTAGATTTTTTTATTTTCCGACTTATTTTCAATTTATTTGGTATCTTATTTGGTATTTTGATTTCATTTGGTAGCTTAATATTCTTTATTATTATTTTTTTTTTTTTTTAAAGACAACGCCCGCATTAGGAATAAATCCTGTGTCGCGGGGACTTTACAAACATACATGAAACGGACACAAAGGACACCCAGACTCAGAACAACAATTTGTGGATCACACAAAGTGTCGTCCCATGTGGGGTTTGAACCCACAACACTCGGCGTAGTAGGAAGCGGCGTGGCGACCGCTTAAACCACTACGCCATCCGTGCAGTCATCAATCAGTCAGTCAATATATACTTTTATTGACAGTAAGTACCAGGTACCAACCAGTACAGGCCCGAGGAGTCAATTGCTAATCGCGAAGTAGGAACGTTTAATCTACTTTTGTTTCTTAAGGTCATTTTGGATTGAATATCTTCGCGCTTGATGTAGTGTTATGGATATTTACGGACAAGTTTACATAATTTGAGTTCTTGAAAGTGTGGTTTACATGTATTGGTATTTTATTGTGTTGTATGTGTTTCTTACCCTTCTTTAAGTTGTGATTGTCTTCTGACTGCTGAGAAACGAGTGGCAATAGTCACAGCTTTTGACAAATAATTGACAGAGTCCAAAACTATGATCACCCTCACGAAGACCATGGTACCATATATCAATTTATTGTTCTTAGATTTTATGTACGTGCCATCCTGAAACATTTAGACCAGGTCTTATTTATCTGGGGAAGACATTTCACAGTACCATACAGGTTCTTTTTTAAAGACAACTCCCGCAATAAGAATATATCCTTTGTCGGGACTTTACAAACATACATGACTCAGAACAACAATTTATGGATCACACAAAGTGCTCTCCCATGTAGGAATCGGACCCACAATCCTCAGCGCAGTAGCAAGCAACGAGGCGATTGCTTAAACCACTACGCCATCTGTGCAGTCAAATTAACTACGAGTAAAAATTATTAACATGCAATAAAGTTGTGTCAACGCCTATGTTATTAATTATTAATACACATAATTATTAATTAATACTAACACACTATTACATAACTAGTAACACATAATTACTTATAAATAATATACATATTTTTACTTTCCTCGCTCCGGAGGAAAATATGCGTCAACAAAGTCAACATACCTCCAAAACTTTCGCATGTTTCATCAGCATATTAGTTCGGGGTATTCTAACGTGATCGAAGCCCAGATACCCGTTGTTCACCGAGTTCAGTCCCATCTTAGTTCCTATTTCCCCAACCTTTATACCCGGTAGAGGCTCATGAGTTTCTTCATCACGAACTTGGACAATGAATGGATGAATACCACGACATTTACCCTTGGTATATAGTTGCGCAACCACGATGCAGTAGTTCGCTGTTTGACCCACTGGAATCAAGGTTAAAATCTGTAGAGTTTGTCGTTTTGGTCAAACGATCTATTTTGGTTAGCTAAGTCATTTTTTTTTAAACCTTCAATTTATTATAAAACCTACCCTGCAAAGTCACACTTACGTCCTCCTGGCCACCATTTATAGGAAGTGAGAGTAGGACTGTGAAGAATAAACTCCTGTGTTTCAAGATCATATGTTGCAGTTGTTTCTAGCCCGCGGATGAATGTACCGTGACCAAGTTCTGTCTGGAACGTCGATAATTACTTGAAATTATGCTGTTTTTTTACATCACTGAGTAGAAAGTGGAAAGGTACTGCGTGAATCTTTAAATTGTTCAAGCATATCCACATCATGACGAACTGTGAACTAGTTGTATTAACATGACAAAAATTACCTGCAAAGCTTGTATATAAAAATACAGTCGAATTGATAACCTCCTCCTTTTTTTGAAGTCGGTTAAAAATATCATTTAACGCAACCTACTAATGCAATAGGCCGTCCCACATAACATATATAAGAAAAAAAAATGTTATTATTATTTTAAAGTTTGGCACTATAGTTTATTTGACATTTGTGTTTTCAAGTTAGTAAAAGTATTTTGCGAGGCCTATGTCCATCAGTGGACTATTAAAGCCTGATGGTATGATGATGATAATGATAAAGAATTTATTAATTGACAAACAAAACAATAAATGAAAATGAAGTGACGTCAGCAAAATTAGGACGTCGCAATTTGTTATTCCAAGCACTTTCTCCTGCCTACCTAACAAAGACAGAAATGACAGTTAACATGTATAACCAATATTACCTGAGCATAAGTGCCAATGATCTGACAGTTCAGAGCTCGATCGACCCACTTCTTCTTCTGCTCCTCGTCAGCCTGGCTTATGAGTACCGGCATGAACATAATGTAGTGGAGCCCAAATGGGGATCCATCCTGAGATATAGATGCCCCCAGAACACCGTTTAGGACGTTTCTGAATTAATGGAACTGGAGTTGATACGAGAATATTAACAGATCAATAACTAATGTGCAAAATGCGCAAATGTGCTAATTACGCTATTATTAATAAAAAAAGGCACAAAAAACAAAAGCTTAAGTTTTGGCTGGCTTTTGTCTTTGGACAATTGTGTATTTTCCTGTCCGTGTGGTGATGGATTACGAATACGGAGTGTCACCACCCCTATTCATCCCGTGGGTGTGGTAAGAGCCGACTAAGGGAGCTAACTACGCAGGATAACAGCAGTGCAAATAGAAGGAAAACTTGATACAAACTCTATGACAACCCGTCTGGCCAGCGTGGTATAGTAGGAACCAAAACCTCTTTTCTAAGGAGAGGTCTATGTCCAGCAGTGGACTACTAAAGGCTGTTGATCTGATGATGTGATGTGTATTTTCCTTGTATGGCTGCACTAGATGCAACGCCGAACTTTGTCTGCGTCTCTCAAAAGACATAAATTTTCCTCGTCTTTGCAACTATTTCCATTGATGCTCGGCGCCTATTGGTCACAATGCGATATTATTATAGCCTTCATTTATATTCGTTTCTGTATTCGCTCGTAACTACTAAACAGATAAAAAATACCCATCCTATTTCTTTCAAACTGATAAGTGGATTTATGTCTTTTCATTTCCTGTACAAGCAACACACTGTCTTTTGCTACAGCTTAGCCTGTCATTTTTAATGTAATTTTATTGCATTCTATTTCATTTATTACTAGCGATCCGCCCCTGCTTCGCACAGGTACAATGTAGATAGTACTGATTTAGTGTTTTTGTAATTGATTATACGGTATACATTGAGAAATAAGTAATTGATTATTGTGATAGGACTATACTACAGGACATCTTTATATGCAATACTAGCTGACCCGGCGAACTCTGTTCCGCCTTAAAGGCAATAAATAATTAAATAAATAATTAATTTATTTCTTAGAAAAAAAATGAAGTACATTAATCATTTATTATTGTTTCTGCATTTCAGTACATAGGTTGCTCTTCACTTAAGTACCTTGTGATACACGACATTTTTTGTTTTCTTATCAGGCGCAAAAACAAACAACGCGGTCTTCCGACCAATACTCAACGTTGCAATGAGTCTTTAACGTTTTAGAAATAAGTGGCGAATATGGAACAATCCAACTGTTGTCGACAACGAAATCCATTCTTTTCACTTTTGTTGTGACAAAAAAAAACGGAATAAATAGTATCCTATGTCCGTCTCCTGGCTCTAAGCTACCTCCTCACCAATTTTCAGCCATGTCGGTAAAGCCGTTCTTGAGTTATAAATAGTGTAACTAACACGACTTTCTTTTATATATATAGATTTATAAGCCCGCTCCGATACTTCCGGGCCGAAACGGCGACGGCCGCTTTGTCCCCCCATTTTAAACCTCTAATATCTTTTTAATGATATACTGTAAAGAGTAATTACAATCTACATTAAACGCACAACGTATCTAACGTATTTAATTAGATAAGGAATAATAATGTAGTTTTTTAATCAGCTTCGTAAATAGCTACTGTTCTAATATTAAGCTAATATTAAAAAAAATAGTTACTGTGGGTTATCCTTAGGAGATAGATATATACCATTGAGGACTTTGTAGTCGTAGTTGTAGTTAATACATCATACTAGTCTATCTCGTAAGGTGTAGCCAGCGTTTGCAATGTAAGCTCACAAAAACCTGTTTTTACAACAAATCTATGAAATTCTCCGTTTTTCTCTACCATATTATGCATATTATACATAAAAACCTTCCTCTTGAATCACTCTCTCTATTGGTGAAAATCGCATTAAAATCCGTTCCATAGTTTAAAAGATCTAAGCGTACAGCAATAAAAACGCCACTTTACACTAGTAAAGATTTTCTGCTGAAGTTTTGCATATACTTTTTAGATATACAAATGCTAGTGTCAGACCGTCGTATGTGAGTGTTAACCCAACAGCTTTGAAGTAAATAAAAATATACAATAAGCGGTCTTAATACTAACAAATATTCAAACTGTTTATTTATGTAGTAACGAATTAAAATTATACAACAAACCTGTAATCAGAGAGGTTACTATTCTCCATATTATATATTTGGCGTAGTATTTTGAATAGGATGGTTCCCTTTCGTATAGAGTTTTCATACTTTTCCTTGTGACTGAGATACTCATCGGGAACTCCACAAAACAGCTCTTCTCTTTTGGATAATACTGCCTGTTCTGTAAACATAATTTTGTGTTCACGATCTAATTTTTAAGTCGTATCTCGCATCGTATTGAGAATCAAATATTCTTTGCCAAAGTTTTGCAGAGGCAATAAGGTCCAATATTAAAGCTAACACTGTTGCTCAACGCTGATCAGCTGGACAGTTTTGGAGAAACACTTTGGAAAACTAAGGAACTTAAGCACCAAATTAGATGTTTCTTTGTGTTTTTAAAGCTATATGTTAAAGAAAATAAAAATAACGTAATATTATCTTACATTTTAGTATAATGTAAATATAATCGAACCCTATTATATTACCTTTTGGATCAAACAATCAAAATCGGTTAAACCGCTGCCGAAAATTCATAAACATACAAAAAAATACACGATACACATTCTTATTTGAAGTCTCTAAAATATTAATCATAATAACTGCATAAATTTTAAACTGCAATTATTCTTTAGTTGTGAAAACTTTATTATAAACCTATTTCAATAATCATTCGAATCACTCGAAGAAATTAGATCAATTTAATCATGCACTGAATCATTACAAGGCATTCCAATCGAGATCCTCATAAATTAAAACTTGTAATGCTTCTTACAATATACCATACAAATATTTACATATCGTTTTATGGTATAAAAGGTTCACATTTTCTGTCTACGGCATCATACCTTCTCCACTCTTTCATCTAACAAGTTCTTCTAACATCTCCCATTACAAAATGTATAAAATCAGTGTTCTCATTTTAGTCGTTGCCTGCCTTTGCGTGTTTGTCAAGGCCCAGCTGACATTTACTTCTAGTTGGGGAGGAAAACGAGGAGTGGTCACTGCCACCATGTCATGCAAAAATGACGAAACCATTGCAGCTATTTACAAGTTAATTCAAAATGAGGCCGAAAGACTTATTATCTGCCAGAAACCATGAAGTTTTCAAGGCTTTCGAACGAAAATTTCTCGATGACGTAGTATTGTTGCTGCAGTGCTTTTATATGTAATGTATGTTGATCAATGCTTCTTACCTTCACGATATAATGGATCTACACTGTGCTACCTAATACCGAATAAATGTGTGGCTGTAATAGCTTGAAAGTGGCATATTATTTACCCAAATCCAAAATCATGCATTTTGAAGCTACTTCTCATTCGTCGTCAGTCGTTGGCAAAGAAACTATTGATTTAGGTATTGGTATTTGCGCACATTCAATGCATCCATTAAAAAAACAATCAGAATTTACGATGTGTGCATTCATTCTCAGTCAAAGATATCATAACAGTCCTGTACCTGTCAGGACTTGAAAATAAAATGGTTCTTAAATTTTCAAAGTACGTTTTGTAGATCATAAAAAACTTTGTATTCTTTATAGTTTTTATTAAAGTAACACCGAGTACCGAAGCCTCCATTACCGACAAATCCAGTTAGGTTTCCAACTGGAAATCAATGTTCTAGACATCATGAAAGCTCATAAGTGGGCCTCATTCAAACCAGATCCTAGATCTTATCAGCCAAGGTCAATTGTAGTCGTATAATTGTAGTGTACACGTATTTAAACCGTCACTCCTTTAATGTTAAGCTTAAGGAACCTTTAAAGTGAATTATGACGTAGGTTAATTCCGTAGATTTAGATCAGATCACAGGCAAACACAACTTGTGTAACTTTTGCTTAGGTAGGTAAGTACCTTAATAAATGTGAAAGTGAGTCTGTTGATAATAATTGACTTTCTTACGACTAAAAGTAAGAGCTTTTTTAGGTTAAAATAATCGCACAATACCAATACTTGCTATTCGACCCTTAAAGGTTTTTAACTTTTATAGTTGTGTTGTTGGAACGTTGTTGTGTGAAATTAAACAATGACATGCACTGACTGACCCTATGCCCCTTCAGAATCAGAAATAATATCGAGTGGATTTGAATAATTTATTTGATACAATCGGGCGTCGTTGTAAAATGTACCTATTATTATTCCGTTTAAAACTCTTACTTAAGTGACTTGTCACTTTTGACATCTTTGACGTAATTAATTGCTCATCTTTTTATGTCATATTTGAGCGCTCACTTTTTTTTATTTTACTTTTTTTATCGAGTGAAAACTGAAACTGGTCATCATCATGGCATGTAGTAGGAATCGAACTGACGACGGGTCCGTATGATCACGGATTAACAATTTCGAAGTGTCACCACCCCTATTCATCCCATGGGTGCAGAGGCGGATTAAGTAACAAGAGCGCCCTAGGCAAGTGGCTCATCAGCAAACTACTTAGTTCATGTCAATAAAAGATAATAGATAATGTCAAATATATTATTGCAATGTCAAATTTTTCGTACCGATAATTTAATTTTAATATAGAGCACAACATACAATAAAATATTATCAGGTATAATAAAATATTATAATTATCGCAAATTTAGGTATTAATTTACTGAGCATATAATTTTTTCTAAAATATGGGAATATATATTTTGCCTTTTTAAATAAAATAGGGTTACTTTTAACAAATACTATACCGTCTAATATAAATTATATTTGACGATTTATTATTTATATAAAATATATATGAATAATAAATCTATAATATAATAATAATAATAATAATCGTTTTTTGTTTAGGCTATAGTTTCCTCATAACAATAGACCGTATCTCAATACAGAACCTACGTGACCATGATAGGCGAGAAGTATTGTCTGTTGAGTAGCGGTACTTCTTAATCGATTAAGCACGTAAAAAAACTATTAACCCTTTTGCAGACTGAATCTACGGGTGCCTTCCAGTTCCAATATTTATCAAATGATAATCCTTGAAACCATTGATATAATACTTACATAGATGAGTAATTACCGCCTAAAATCGTTGCTACTGCACATCTGTCCACAGGCATATGCGTAGCAAACGTCAATTCAGTGTTCAATGTGGCGTCAACCGAGTTGAACATAGCGACACATGACAGTAACAATCGCCAAAATGGGTAAATGCGTAGTGAAAGAATGCGATTCAAGGTCACAAAACCATAATAAATCATGCGGAATTACTTATCACGTGTAAGTTTATGGTTTTTGTATTGATAATATCGTAAATAAGGCTATAATTGAAATAAAACATTGATAATTGTAATTTAGAATCAGTGTTGCCATTAAAAAATCATTTTTGTTTTCCCACATTAGTGGGAGAATTTATAATTTATGAAATAATATGCTTTATACTGTTTTTAAACATTTTGTCAATAATAATAAAATATAGGAAGAACGGTAGTTGTTAGGGCTAAATCGATCACTTTTTTTAGGGACCCGTTGAACGTTCACCTTCTGCCAAGCTCGCAGTGCTGGAGACTTTTGTATAAAAGAATTAATTCATTCATTCATTCATTTTTCTTAATTAATTATCAAATGTAAATAACAATTGTACAAAAAAAAATAAAAAAGTAAATAAATATAAATAAAAAAATATAAAAAGCAAAAAATATATATATACCTATATTTTTTATATTTTTTTTTTATTTGTATTTTAAAATATTAAAAGAATTTGCAATACACCCTGGGGATTATTTATTATCAGTACAAGTTGATCATTCACTTTTACTATTAAATGCCATTATTTATACATAGGTAAAAATAAGATTGTATCATGAAAGTAAAATATTCACACAAACTTATAAAAAAGAGTCTAAAAGACAATTGTATACAAAACTGATGCTTCATAGCGGAGTTTGATTTTACACTGAATATAAACCCTTTTAACCAAATATTTCTGGTTATTTTATTATTTATACCTATTCCATTCAATTCGAAATATATTATTTAAAATATTTAAATTAATTTATTTTATTACAAAATTGTTTTAAAAAAAAATTGTTTCTTGGTTGTTATGGGTAAAATTTCATACGGTAGTCAACACTGGCCCACCATCGTAAAGTTATGTCTTTGTCTTTGTCTAATCCGAGCGATGGTATTGTTCTTGTCTCGCGTGTAAATGAGACATAAATATGTTTACTGTCAAATGTTTAGTGGTATCAAAGCTACGTCGTCAAAGTTCAAAAGTGGTTACACTTTTTTCGACGTGTGATAATGAGGTTTGCTTCTCTAGTGTTGTTTTAACTCAATGCTTGAAACCTAACGCATTCCGTTCCCCTTATTACAGTAACGCCATATCTTATTTCTCTAAAATTTTGTTGTGAGCTTTGTGTTTGGAATTGTATGAAACTGGTTTTGGAAAGATTGCAGAAGACGGCATTAAATAATAATTTATTATTATTTAACCATTCTATTACGGATTTTATTTAATTATTAATATCAATTTCATAATTTTTACCAATTTTGAATGTGAATATAATTGAAATGTCGTCAGCAAATAATATGCATTTATCAGTAGTGATGTCTGGTAAATAATTAATAAAGACTAAGAATAGTAATGGTCCCAATATACTTCCTTGAGGAACTCCATATTTGTTAGTTAAAAGTGTGGACCTCTGCCTAGTGGTCACTGAATTATCATTTTGAATTATATCCACACATTGTTTGCCGTTAGCGTAACGGTGACTAACAAAATTTAATTAGGTTTTTTTTTATTCAACAACATTACACGATAATAGGTGGCATAATAATGCTATGCACCTATATTAAATTTACATGTGTATCGAACGTACACACAGACGCATACTCTATTAATAGGTACCTACTATTCTATTATTTGGCAATAACCGCCTACAGTAACGGTGTATCAAATAAACAAATTCATCAGTTACTACACAATAAGAAGGGTCATCTGGGGTAATAAAAAGAGCAAACAAGTTCACGGCCCTCACAATAAGCGATTAACGATCCCAATAACAGATACAAAATCATAACTCTTATAACAAAGCTTTAGTTTTCAACATAATAGAAAAGCCTTGTCAGCCTTGTATCTTAGCTATCTTTTGTGAGGTGAAGTTCCTTTTTATAAGTTGGCATATCCAATTCAAGTATTAATCTGGTATGTCCTACGATTATTGTCGACTATTAGAATTTGAATTCGAGCAATGAACTTGTACTTATGAAAAACAAAATAAAATCATATTCAACTGATCACAAAATGAAACTGGAATATCAAATCCTAAAAATATACCGTTAGATAAAAGTTTGTTTACCTCGTCTCTTTCGCTCCAAGGTTACCTCTATACCTCCGTCTAAAAAATGTGTCAACTCTTCGATATTGAACGTACATTTTGATCGTTCTCGTAACAAATCTTCATTTACTTTATTCATATTTATATTTACGTTTAACACGTTTAACTCTACTGCTGGTAAGCCTAAAACTACGTAATACGTAGTTTTAGGCTTGCAAGCAGTAAAGTTCCTGAGTGAGTGATACAAAAGATTATATCATTCACGCCGTTAAAATGTATCACTCACTAACACTAGGTCCGAATATATCCGTAACTCAGTAATAGCCCACTAGATCACTAGCTCAACGATGCCGATCTTTGTTTCATGAGCAACTGAGACTAAAGATAAATGATGGTTGGGTTCACACCAAGTTTCCTTATACAAAATGTACATTATTTCTTTAGGCGGATATGTATGATTTCTAATATACAACCTGAAAAAAGTACAAAAAATAATGTATTATACGTATTTTTTATTTGTAATTATTTTATAAAAGGGTGTTAATAATTATGTAATCTTATCAAAATGAATAAAAATTGGATTTAAAAAAATAGGTTAAAAATGAAGTTTCAAGACCTGAATTTAGGTTAATATGAGAATAAAGAAAGGTTTATATAGGTTTTAAGCTAAACGATCTAGATGAAGAAATGAATTAATTGAGAGACTAATCAATAGAATTGGATCACTGAGCTAGTGAGCTAAATGAGAATGAGCTAGTGAGCTACGAGTAGATGAGTGATATATATCTTTAGAGCGAAATGATATGATATTTTGCGCATCACTACTACGTGTGGCAAATTATAAGTCTTGTTCTATTAGAGTAGTGTGGGTAAAGATGAATTAATAATCATTCTTTTATAATTTTATAATTTAATTTTCTTTTATAATTGTTACTTTTATAATTAATTACATTATTAAATAATGTAATTAAATATAAAAGTAACAATTCAATATGAAACACAGACTAGCACGAAACTCACCCGATAGCAAATATTTATCATAACCCGAATAAAATTTGCGTATAATAAACTAACTTTTGCCTGCCTAAATGTAGTGTAGGTTAGGTTACGTTCGTGTGCTACGCGGATGACACACTCGTGACGGCGCGCGGCAAGACGCACCACGAGGCAACCCTGAGGGCCACGGCCGGGGTTCCCCAAGTCGTTGAGCGTATCCGGCGTCTGTAGATGACCCGAGGTATGTCGGGGTACCAGGGACTTCCTTTCTAGGGTATACCTGGTTCCCCGGCTATTGGTACCCGAGACGGCGTGCGGTTTTAGTCGGTTCGAGACCGACATGCCACCGATAGGTGGTATCCGAGGGGATTTCCGCACGGAAAAAAAAAAAAAAAAAGGTTAGGTTACGTAGGTTAGGCTTACTACTTGCTCACGCGTTGTTGCCGATACGCTTTTTTCAGACGATGCATAATGACCCTATTTCGCCTTCATCAACAGTCTTTAATAGTCCACTGCTGGACATAGGCCTCTCCTTAGTAAGGAGGTTTTGGCCTACTATACCACGCTGGCCAGACGGGTTGGTATAGGGCTTGTGTCAAGTTTTCCTTCTCTCGGCAGTGCTGTTGATCTGCGTATAGTTTTCTCCCTTAGTCGGCTCTTACGACAACAGTAAATCTAGTATTTACCTAATAATTAAAAAAATACTAGATTTATTGTTAAATTGCGTCGCACCTACCTACCTAGCAATACTAACCTACGTACGCAAAAATCGAGTGATAAATCATAGTTCACTGTGATTTTGTCCCATGTCTAAGGAGAAGGGTTCCGAACACACGACTGCGAGCGCGTTTGGCGTTGCGATTGGTTAAGATTTCAATGGGGGCCAATCGCCGAAAGCGGTCACCGTGACAATCGAGTAGATGTGATTACTCCGGTATGTGTAGTCGGCCCATAGATAACGGAGCACGGCTCTCCCGCGGTTCAACTGCTTTTTATATTACACACATAAAATAATTTATTGGTCCTGTTAAAATGTCACGAGACTATATTATTATGTAGCGCGGCGATAGTGCATTAAATTGCAATAATTCGATTTAGGGGGACGATTTTCGCTTAATGCCAATTTTGGTAGGTATTCATTCGTATGTCAATTAGCATTGCAGTGTTTCTATATTATTATTTTTTTATTTTCTGCGCTTATAACATTCTGCTCTTTTAAGAGATCGGTTGTCGTTTTACGCTTTTGACCTTATGGTCTTAAACAGCTTTGTTTTTTTTTATGTTAGGGGGGGCAGACGAGCAGACGAGTCACCTGATGGAAAGTGACTATCGCCGCCCATGAACGTCTGCAACTCAGGAGTCACAAACGCGTTGCCGGCCTTTTAGGAAGGAGTACGCTCTTTTCTTGAAGGTCGTATCGGTCCGGAAATACCGCAGACGATAACTTGTTCCACAGATTGGTTGTGCGGGGTAAAAAATGTCTCGAAAAGCGCACAGTAGTGGAGCGCCAACTATCCAGGTAATGAGGATGAAAATTTTGCCGTGTGGAACGATGGCGGAAATTTGCGGCTGGTATTACTCCGGACAATTCCTTGAAGCACTCTCCATGATATATGCGATAGAGAATGCAGAGTGAAGCCACATCTCTACGTAACGCCAAGGGATCGAGCCGATCGGAGATGTTTTGGGCTATCGACAATTCGAGTCACTCTTCGTTGGATGCGGTCCAGAGGGAGAAGCTGGGACTGAGGTGCCACTGCATAGAGATGAGAACAGTATTTCATATGCGGCCGGACTTTCTTCTTATAGACCTTCTTAAAGAGTTTAGTTTCGGGATCAAAATAGTGAACCCACGTCTTGTCCGACCACGACATACTGTGCAATTCGAGATTCCGTTTAGAAATTTGCACACGTCTCTTTTTCTTTCCCTCGGTTAACATTCGTGAGTATATTTGCCGATAGTATTTTGCCGACACTTCTTAAATTTGATTAAATGTTATATGGTTATTCCTGTCGTACTAAACCAAATTCTCGGCCTGTTTGACATATTCTTTCGAAACGGAGTTTGAAGGCCGCCCAGAACGAGGATTATCTTTACAGCTCGATCTACCTCTTTTGAATTCAGCAACCCGGTAAGCGACTGTAGAATAGTATAAAGCACTTATCCCCTACATCATCACACATCACATCAACAGCCTTTAATAGGCCACTGCTGGACTTAGGCCTCTCCTTAGAAATAAGGTTCTGGCCTACTATACCACGCCTGCCAGTCGGGTTGGTATAGGGTTTGTTTCAAGTTTTCCTTCTCTTTACAGTGTTGTTGTTCTGCGTAGTTTGTTGTTGTTGCTCTACCCTTGGAAATGGGCGGTTGTTGATCGGCACAGCCTTATAAGAGATTTCCGATACGTATATATTTAGTATGCTATATATGATATGCTAAATATTTGACAAAACAGAGATAGTTACTATTGTGTGTGTTAATCTATGTATGCTTTCGAGTCTACAAGAGACTATTTCAATTTTCTTTCTTTTTTTATGAAATAAAGATATTATTTGAGTTTGATTTTTGATAGCTGATCTTGGAAGATCTGTCAAATATAATCTAAATTGCATGACTTCAAAAGGTTACTAGACTGCAATTAACATAGTTGAGATCCTTGGTCTACTTAACAATCGTCTTAATGGCAGGGCTGGATCTGCCGAGGCAAAAGCTAACCAAATCTCTAGAGCAGCAAAAGTAAACGTAAAAGATGGTTTGTATTAATTTCCTCTCTGGATTATTTTTGTCCAGAGGCACTAAAACTATCTGTTCCTGGAGCACACTTTAGAGGAAGACCCAAGACCATCATAATCCAGTGAGGCGCCCGTAGAGACTAGTAACGTGCTGGAGATATCCGTAACTTTTTGGTGGATCTTCTATATATTAATCACATCATCATCACATCCTAATAACCTCTAATAACCTCACTCATCATCATCAACAGCCTTTAATAGTCCACTGCTGGACATAAGCCTCTCCTTAGAAAGGCGGTTTTGGCCTACTATACCACGCTGGCCAGACGGGTTTGTGTCAAGATTTCCTTCTCTCTGCAGTGTTGTTGTTCTGCGTAGTTTTTTCCCTTAGTTGCCTCTTACAACACCCACGGGATGAATAGGGGTGGTGACAATGTGTATTATTCTTAATCCGTCACCACACGAACCATATGGACAGAATTGTTGCATACAAGACATGAAGGCATACAATGTTTGAAAAGACGACGTCAGATGAAGAAATATACGAAGAGGGCTGGCCCCCACCACTTGGGACAAATAGCCGGGAAGGGAGTGGCTAACGAAATAGAACAGAGCCTGCCTAATGGCACTGACAGTCTTTACCTTGATGTTAAAAAAAAATAAGGCGTCGGCATCCGGTAATATCGAGGCAGTAGTATGACATAGCAACAAGAATAATCAATTCAAGTCAATTATATTTTACATCATTAAGATTTATTTCCATATTTTCATGCAAAAAATTGGAGTTTCAGTGACTTTTGGCAAAAATACTTTTAAAATAAAGGAAGTGATTCACTTTATAATTATAAAAACAAAACTTGTTCGTGTTTGCTATTAATAAAAGTTTGTACGAGTATGCCACAAGGGGAGGGACGTCAACTTATCCATGACGCACTGAATCTATCCATGAATACACTTAAATGAAAAACACTTTTTGACCCAGTAATTTATTGGATCATATTTTTTACATTAATTACAAAGTAATCACTTTTTAGCGGTGACGGCGGCCTCATCTTCCCGCGCGAACGTCTGCAAAAGCTCCTCCTTCTTGGCAGCGATACGCTCCTCGCGGCGTTTGCGCGCCTCTTTCACTTTGTTACGGCGGGCCTCCGCTTGGTCACTGTAGACAAACATTTATAAATCTATAAAGTACAACAGCACTTTCAAACACATGGGTAAGTTATCATCTCTGATAGCTGCTTGTCAATAAAATACATGGTCAATCCACGGACAATTTTTGGATGACAAATTTCCAAAATATAGAACAAAGAACAAGGCTTAGTCCTACAATACTAAGCTAATAATAGAAGTTACGCAGATTTTTATGAAATGAGGGTTCTTTTTTGAGGAAACAGGAATCTGAAAAACCAACCACGGTTCTTCAGATTCCTTACTAAACATAATTCTTCTTGATACCCTTAAATAATATATATTACAAATATATAACACAAAGTCTGATTAGAGTACTGTTAATGAAATTATAAGTAGATTTAAATCTAAGTTCAACATCTAAATGGTTACAGTCCGAAAAGTCAAATTTTCAAACATACCTAAGCATCTTAGTCCTAGCCTTCTCAGCCTTCTTCCTGTGGATATACTCCATCAATACACGCTTGTTCTTGAACACATTACCCTTTGCCTTCATGTACAGAGCATGGTATAGATGCCTGTCAATCTTCTTAGCTGTTCTGTATTTCAGGAGCAGTTTACGTAATACCCTTTGCCGTTGTACCCAGAGTTCCTGAAAAAAATATATTCTGTCAGATACAGTTGTACTATTCTTTATGGAAAATTAAAGATTGGAGTATTTTATATTTCGTCATGATCGTAGAATTATGTCGGTTTTGAAAAAATACGAATTAAAGTTTTTACCATATTTGAATAACATATTGTCTAAATATTATTACTAAATTCAAGAAAAACTTATATGTATTTTAGATTTTAAATTATTCAGTGTTTTTTTGTTAGGCGCTCAAAGTAAATTAACGCATGTGATTTTTCTAGAAAATTGTGTAATTTATTGTTGTTATTTTTATTGCATTTTAAAACAAACCTCATTTTTCACTTGTATGCGAGTTTTCATAATTACAGAATAAGAATTTAAAAAAGTTATGTCAAAAAACTAAAATAATTATTTCAAATGGCTGCCCTGTAATGTTTAATAAATGTCAGATCTAACACTATTCTACCACTATGATGATTTGTTTTAATTGACTGAAAATTTTCCTACACTGAAAAATATAATTGTATAATTAAAGCTTTGATTTTTTATCTTAGGGACTCTTACTTTGTAATTGTTATAATAGGTGTTAGGAGGACTATATGAACAAGGCACAAAAAAAAATGAGGGACTTATTCATGACCCCCAACACCTGCTATAATGAGCTGTTACATTCTAGGAGGATTGGTGCCCAAGTTAGCTTTAGGAATTTCTTAATTCCTAAAGTTATTAGCAAAATCAAAATTACAAAATGGCAGCCATGTAACATTGTGTGTAATGTAAGATTTTACTATAAATGCATACCTATGTACATGAATGACTAATGTCCTACAAAAATAAGACATAGTAATAATTGCTATAAGGACTTAATACTCTATTAAATAGATATCAAAGAAATAGTGATATCTCAAAATATCTTTGTTTCATTAAAAAAAATTGTTTGAAATCGTCGTTAATGTACTCTAAAGTCATATTACATATTAAAAGCCTGTGCCGATATACAACCGCCGATTCCAAGGGGTATATCTCAATCAACTACAATCTATTTTCAATAGATTTATCAAAAATTTTACTAGACAAATATAAAAAATAAATAAAATTGCAGTGTTTGTAATATCAAAATTATAGGCCTTTTCATGCTCACACGGTTTTTTGCACGATACCTATGCTTATAAACCAGTTTTTTTTTGTATGTCTGTCTGTCAGTCTGTTTGTTCCGGGTAATCTTTTAAACTGGACCAACTTCAATAATATTTTACTACCAGGTAGCTGTCTACATAAGGAATAACTTAGGCTATTTTTCCTCTCAGAAAAAACCCTTTAAAATATTGCCCGGTCCGGGCATTGAACCCACTAAAGCAGTGTTTTTCAAATTCTACATGAACGAAATGGCGGGTACCAGTCATAAATAATTTAGTATATTTTCTAAGTAATTTATTGCTGTTATATATAAGCTGAGCTGACCTTCCACTAGTATTATTACATTAGTATGTACACATGGTACATGGTTTTGTATGGTAAAATCAGAAACATTAGTGAAAACATTCTTTGTCTTTCCTTATAACTCCTTTAGCAAACAACAAAAACAAGTCGGGACACATGCGAGTTGGACTCGCCCACCGAGGGTTCTGTACAAATTTCTAGGTACTTATTATTAATAGTTCAAGAATCGAGTCTCTCTGTTCTTCCGAGTTTTTCCCGAAATTCAGTTTCCAAAACCTAAATTTAAATTTTTGCACAATGATAAATAACTGAAGGATATGTAAATATTGTGCAACTAGAATGCAATTCTTGTCACAAGCAGTTTAGATACTTCATATCATCAAAGTACTTAAAATGATTTACTTACTTTTTGAGGCATACGTGCATTAGCTGTACCCCTTCTTTTACCAAAACCACAGTGACGACCTTTCCTTCTTGCCTCTGTGTTCTTACGGACGCGAGCACGGGAATGTACTGCCACAGGCTTCTTGATGACGAGACCATCCTTGATCATCTTACGGATGTTCTGTCCTGGAAAAGCAATCATACTTTATTAATTATATTATTTAAAGGTACTTATGATGTTGGTCATATATTACATTAATTCTTGTAAATTACAAATAAATATATTAAACTAGTATGTATTAAAATTAGGCCACCAAAAATGTTGTAATTGTGAGTTCATTCGGTTTTGGAAGGTGTTTTATTATATTATTTTTATTATTCATTTATTAAGTTTTAAACAAAATATATTGCATGTAAGACATTTTGATTTGATATTTGTGTATGGACCTAATCTTTTGCACTTTTTACAGAAAAAGTAAATGCCATGAAACAAACAGATATGTCCTCAAAATCATGTGGAACAGAGACAGCAACAAAGTATTTGATAACTAAATGATACTTTTAACATTAAAAAAGTGAATCAACAGTGAGATAAGGACACAGACAATTGGCATATTTGCAAACTCAACTCGAACAATACTTTGCCTCCCAAATCACAGTTCTCACTATTTCTCTATGGTTTTTTGATGTTGCAACATGGTAAGACTATATTGTTACATTGCAAGCACAGTACTAATTTATTTAAACTATTGACTGTTAAGAGAACAAACACAGTAGAAAACTTTATCATCATCAACTACTTTTCAACCTTTAATTTTTATTCATAATTATAGTAAAACAAAATTAACAACAAAGGAATTTCTAATTGGACTTCTTATCACTCAGTTGGAAATTAAATGATTTCTACTTCTTAATTTTTTTAACTGTAATGCCTTTTCTTGTTAAGAACCTCCTTTCAAAGGAGAGGCCAATGTCCAGTAGTGGACTATTAAAGGCTGTTGATGAGAAGGTCAATGAATAGTTTTTTTATATATAATATTTGACTTGATTACTCTTTTTCAGTTAGCTAGGTCTACAACTATACAAATGGAAAGTAATTCAGTTCAGTGTCATGTTGCATAAAAGATTTGTTTACATACAGAGAATAAAAGAGGGAACACCTGGGAATAATATCACTCTTGCCATGCCATTTTATGCCATGACTGCGGATGTCATAATAGGTTTGTTCGGTAACTAGGTTATGTGACAAATCTTCAAAGAAGACATTGTCATGAAGTCAAAAAAGTAATAAACAGAAGTAAATTGTCATGTTATGGTCTGTTTGTCTCTAAATAAGTGAAATATAGCAGTATAGACATGGAAACTGTTGACATCGGCGTGTACATAGTGTACATACTAAGCAAATCGCACCGCACCGCTCTTTGAGTATGTGTGTGTACTTACGGGAGTTGGTGTTTGCGATTTCATTGATCTCATTTGGATCAAGCCACACCTTCTTTTTACCGCATCGCATAACAGAGGCTGCAAGCCTCTTCTGCAGCTTGAGGGAACTGAAAGTAAATAGAGAAATGTTATGAACGACCACATGGCCCCAAGCTTCACGTTAACCTCGAGTTGGTATGTAGCACTTTCGAATTCCAGAAAAACTTTAAGTTCTTCATAACGCCTATGCAGTGAGAAACTAAAATAATGGAATATACAAGTTCATTTACTCGATTATAGTATTTTTTTAACAAAACTAACCTCATCTTGACTAGAAGAGCTCCAACGCACACAAGAAAGAAATATGGCTGCCTGACGCAGTGATGTATAAGGTTAGACCATACTAAACCACATAAATCGACTAAAAATATAATCAACTAAAGAGACATCAAAATGGATATTTATTTAAAACAATTATTCACTTTACTTGTTATTTTAATAGTATTCTAGTAATCATAAAGTAAATCTAAAGGGAATGTTTACTTCTAGTATGACAAATTCAATCCAATATCGTTTATACTATTTTAAATAATAGTACATAAAGCAATGACATTACATATAAACAAAATTTACTTTTCGAAACATCATTTAATTAGGTAATATAACTGTAAAACTTCATTATTTATACTCAGTTTAATTTATATTTTTTTAGTCAAGAAAAAACTATCAGCTTACCACTGCTTACCATAACAACACTGGCTAAAATGACTAAAATCCAATGGTCCGCCAAAAAAAGCAAATGGTCTGAACTACTGACAGCTGACAGTGACAAACTGACAACGACCGACTTGCTTTATTATTTAAAAAGAATCACAACGTCGTGATTTATAAAAACAACAAAAAAATACACATATTATATCAAATCAATATTCCAACACCACCGTGTAAACAACTAAATTGAAAAAGGTATAAAGAAAACTTATACTCTATTATTTCTGATATTTGTAGTTGTCATTTCGAAGGTTTACATGTATTTTTATATAGTCTATCTGTAGAAAATAATGTTCTCAGTTATATTCCAACACAGCGTTAAGTCCGTCAGAAGAGGCAAGTGATTTCAGCTACATCTTAACGGTTGTAAAACGACAATATTGATGTAGGAACAGTTTGAATTATTTGAATACTTTTACAGCACCAGTTTTCGGCGTACTTTGCAGAAAAATGTCTGCACTATTAGATGCTATACCGAAAGTGGAAATAGAGGCCAGTGGAGTTTTTAAATACATATTGATAAATGTCCATGATAAGACACAACCTAATGTGGAGCCTGTTACTATAGTCAGAGGTATTCAGCTTTCCTATCATTCGGATATTTATGATGTGGTGAGTGTTTTTTTCTTTCTTTATTTCGTATCAGTCCTTGTAGAAAACTTCTGTCAGGCAGTTCTTTCTCAGACCCATCTGCTTGTTTGACCCTCGTACCAAAAGAAAACTAAAGAAGAAGTTTACTTTAGAAGTGAAATGTCTATATTCTAGGTCAGTTATGGTTCCCATGGACTAATGTAATACTATATAGATTCTAAACAATTATTGTTAATATTCGCCTGTCAAGACTATTGAGCATGTCACAAATTGTTTTTTTTTTTCTTACCTAGTGGTCTAAGTTTATCTTAGTCATCTCAAATGGAGTTGTCTTTAAAAAAAAGAGATAGACGTTAGGATGCCTGCCACTAAAAGTCTGGTTTAATTTTGTCATTTAATGTGTTTAAAACTCCAGGTCCAAGAGAAACTGCATCCGCTAGACTGTGAGCCAATTGGTGGAGGAAGAATATCCCATGATGCCCAAGATAAAAAAATCTTTATCTATGGCTACTCTCAAAGCTATGGAAGGGCTGACCACGAACTTACTGCCAAGTTAATAAAGAAAACATATCCAGACTATACAATCAGTGTCACTGACGATGAATACTAAAAGGAATTAAAATGTTTGTTTGTTCTTAATTTATATAATGTTTTGTAACTAAGCATTAAATTTATAGTAAAGATTTTTGTTTTCATTGTAAAAGAATAGTCCTTGAAAACTAGACAGGTAAAGTTTACTTTAGAAGTGAAATGTCTATTATATTCTAGGTCAGTTATGGTTCCCATGGACTAATGTAATACTATATATTATTATATACTAAACAATTATTGTTAATATTTGCTTGCCAAGACTATCTAGCAAGTCACTTTTTGTTTTCTTTTTGCTAGCACCGATTACTTAAAAAAATTGGTAACTAGAATAATATAAATCCATACCTTTTTTCATTTTATATGACATGTAAAGGAAAAAAAAAGTAAAGGAACATTTAGAAAATCAAATTATTTCATGATTTGAGGCGTAAAATACCTGAATGCTTAGAATTGTACATTTCGATTAATTCAGTTCAAACTGTTTTTAAATTATTTAATGTATTTTAGATGGATGATTAAAATTTTAACAGGTTCTGGGGTTATGTCACAGAGTACATTGTAATATACTGAAATAGAGGTATATCTCAATCGCTTTTGGAGGAAATTACAAAACAACGCCATCTGTTAGGAGCGAGCAACAACTTTTCTCTTACTCAACATTTGAAAGGATATATTTATGCCTACATATCTATAATATAGGTAATACTTCTTGTATACAGTATTGTTTATATTATGTACAAATACACCTATGCAATTATAACTTTGTACAATAAAACAATGTATAAAAAAAACGTTTATTTTCTTCTTTTCAAGACAACAACGTTTAACAGACATTGCAACACAAAAACAAAGCGTTAAAAATAAGTGTCTCTACCTCAATACTACTCGAAAACAACACACAAGGATAACATAGATCAGAAGAACCTAGGCTCATTTCACGCATTAATGAAGATATCAGAGAAAAATTGTTATAAGTTCCAAGCAAGTAAATATTCAACCACCGAAAAAATGCCGGTATGAATGTCATGTTGACGGACAACATTCATAACGACAGCTGTTGTAAATGTTGCTGCATTAACGCTGATGAAAATTACCAAAAAATGGCAATAATGAAATGATACAGGCACTAAGTTAGGATTTCTTAGAATCATGTGTTTTAAAGTGCTAAAAAATTTATAAAGTTTTCAAAAATTTTAAAATAAGTCTACATTTATCAATTTTATCATACAAAATAACTACCAACTCAATGTATGACAATGGGTTATGTCTGTCGCTTTTGCATATTACGTTAACAGTACAGTGTTGCTAACTTAACAATTTTATGGCTAAATCTAGCACTTTTCAAGAGTTTCTATCATCATCTGCCTACCCTTTTCCTTTATATATTTCAGTGTTTTTATATGGTTGTTTAATTAATATTCAAATGGTCATATACAGTCTTAATCGGGTAATAATTAATATTTAGATGTAGACCAAAATGTTACTTTTTTTTGGTTTATTGAAAAAAACAAAGTTTTGAGAAACAATACTATTTCTGTTTTATATCACAATAGAAGATTCAATGCAATTTGGATTTTCTTACCGTGGTTTTTAAGGTATACATATTAGATCATAAACTAAATACCTATGATCCTATAGTTGTGTAATGGATTTGGCACTATTTGGGCAAGATTTCCACCATATTTTTACATTTTCCAAATATTTTATTCTAAAGATTTTTTATTTTAGATCTATTTTTTTTTGTTAAAAAAAAAAGGGATTATACTTTTTGTAAAGTTAAAAAAAATATTGGTCAATTAAAAATATTGCTTGTACTTTTCTAAAGTTAGATTTTGCCACAAACTGTATTTGTAAGTTGGCAACACTAAAGATGTCAATCAAATAAAAGTCAGGCGTCAGTACGTCAGTTTCCTGGATATTATTGTGCGGACGCGTAGTGTTTTTGGTTAAGTGTACAATTACCGTCGTAAAATGAGTGATTCGACGAAAGTTAATGCTGATTTGCAAAGAGAAAGGCAGAAATGCACATTCAACATAACAGAACTTACCAATGTGTTGGATGGCGGTCCTGCGATGACAGAGGAAAGAAGAAGACAAGGTAGTTGGACTTAGTTTACTTCAACTAAGAGATATTTACCAATCGGATGTCTCTATATTTTTTCGAAGTTCAACTTTCTAGATACATTATAGTGATTAGTTTTTGTAAGCAATCTAAGTTAGACTAACTAGATTAGTTTAGTAATTTTTGTATGTAAACAAACATATTGTGTGTATACATATAAATTAAATTTCAAAAAGTTAATATTTATTTCAATTTAAAAAATAACAAAAACATCAATGGCATGGGCATTGTTTATATGATGTGTAATGCATATTAGAAATAGGAATAATGGAGGAGTGTAGTTTTTTAATCACTTTTGGGTATTTTATTTCATTACATTAAAATGTACTGAATACACAATGCATCGTCATAGACTATTAAAGTATTTAGATGCTTTACAGTCCAACTTTTTTATAAACACAATGCAACTGTTTTTAAAACATGCTTGGTGGGGATATTTCATTCCACCATTCCAACACCTTTAATTGTTGCCATTGTATTACTATTAATTGCTTTGTTTTGTTTACTTTTTTCTTTACAGTTTGAAATAATTATTTTCTAAGGTATCCAAACAAAAATTGTTAAACAATGCAAAATTTTCCTTTACCTAAAGTTTCTACTTGTTACAATTTTTTTTTTTTAAATAAATTTAGTAAATAATAGCAAGATCTATTCAGACTGCTCAGTCAGTGATACTAATGGTAATAATTATGTACTCTTTATGTTGTGTATTTTTGGGGAGGGTGAGTGATTGATTGAATGGGGAATGAGTACCTTATAAAGATTTATAAGGTACTCAATTACTCATTCGATCAATAGACACCTGGTAGACACTAACCCAACTACCAACTCACTATTATGTGTGCATGGGAGTTTCCCCATATGCCTTATTTGCCCGTTTGAAAAATTGTAAAGTTTGAGAATAACTAGAATTAACCTTTTTTAATCTGTGGGAGTGATTTTGTGTGTAACAGGAAGCTGGGTGTCGGGATCAAAACATAGCGCATGCTGCGCTATGTTTTGATCGATGTGCGTTCGCTATTTGTATTGTTCAATAAGTGTGCACTATTTGTATTGTTCAATGAGCGTGCGCTAATTGTTTTGATCGATGAGCGTGCGCGTGCGGTTCAATGTAACTAGATGCACTAGAACAGTGATGATTAAGATGTGTAATCATCAAATGTAACTTGTCATAAGCGACTACTGTATGACACACTCGTTTTTTTTTAACTCGGTATCGGTAACTACTCGTCAAGTCGAGAAAGCAAAACATACAATCAATCTCACATTCATTATTAAAATAAAAGGATAATAGAAAACTATAGGAATGTTCGTCTTATCGTCCAAGTTGTACAATGTATCTTGATAATTTTAAGGTACATTTATTTATCAAAGACGATGAGCGATTTGTTAATAAAATTAATACGAAGATAACGTAATTAAAACCTTCATATCCAATCCCCTTTAATAGAACATGCCAGATAATAACATTCTTGAAAAGGCCTAGTTTCGTCACTAGATCTAACATCTATTGATCCCGTACCTAAATGAGGATCATCGGTAATCTTATTTATTGATGTGTATTATCTTGATTTCGTAAAAAAATATGTGTAAGTTCAGGAAGCCGTGGTAGCGCCTCTATTTGTTTTGAGCTTGACCAATGAGGTCAAAGATACATTACAGATGGTGGATGAGATATCAGATGTTACTCTGTAAGGATGGCTCGTTTTTTTAATTTTTATACAATAATGATCCGCTCACAAAAACCTGTGTTAAGCAATTTTTTCATTGCCTTTCACTGATTGAGTCAGGTTACAGGCCCAAATCCCCCCTCCCGCTGACTCGAGCGGGAGGGACTCCAAGCGGTAGTTGCTTACCATCAGATGACCCGTCTGATCGTTTGCCCCCTTATACCATAAAAAAAAATGTGACGCAGTATATAACAAAAGGATTAGTAATATTTTTCATCTATTAATGGACGTACAATAAAGCAACCAGTACTCCGCCTTTCATATCCGATCTATACCAGCTACCTTCAGGTCTTGTATTATGCATTATTGTTATTCAGGTATCCAGCATTCTGGTTGTTTGAATAACATGATCAAACCATCAGTCTGTATAACTCATGTAGTAAAGTATACGAGTACACCTATAATTATACGCTCTGTCAGTAGGTAACGTAGTTAAATGTAAACATGGCTTACAACATCTATGTTCAGGTAGTTTCATGAAAACATGGCGTAGTATTTCACTAGTAACTATTCCGGTTAGACCAATAACATATATTATATAAAATATATATACACATAACAAGATATGAATTCCCTCGAAGTGAACTTACTACAAGATACATCTAGGTATTAAAGAGATATTGCTTTTGTAGATGGATTCTTTTTAGGTTGATAGGTTTTTTATGATACAGAGGGCAAACAAGTAGACGGTTCACCTGATGGAAAGTGACTACCGCCGTCCATGGAGTTACAAGCGTGTTGCCACTCTTTAAGGATAAGTTCACGCTCTTTATTTAAAGGTCGTATCGGTTCAGGTAGCATACTTGTAAGTCGAATTGTATGTTGCCGAATATTTCCGTGCCTTCTTGGCACTGTAGGTATATAACATTTTAAGGCAAGTGTTTAATATACCAGCTTTTTTTAAAGAAGCATGTAGGTACTGGGTTTTCAGATCAAGGAGTTTTAAACTATGATGTATATTGTGTTTCGGAATAATACCAGTCGTGGATAATACTACAGGAACATAGAATACTTTTTGTTGTTTCCAGATTCTTTAAACTTTATTCTTAAGGTCTGCATATTTCTGTCTTTTTTTCTGCTATTGTTTTTTGTAGGTTGTGTGCAGCTGCGTGTTTGGAACAGCTATATATTATTAGTATGGTGAAAAAGAAATGCTGACGAAATTAGTAGTTTAGAAAATATGTCTTTAATAATTTAGAAATGTACAAGATATGTTTTTGCAATGTGTTTTTATCATCCTAATTAATATTATGACTATAATTAATATCGACATATTTATTTATTAATTGTAAAATATCTCGGCGCTATTATATCAAGTAGAAATGGAATTAATTTCTACGGAATATAACGATGAAATGACATTTCAATTGCAAGTCACTTTTTAGTTACGTCCTGGCGTATTATTGTCTAGTCTTTCGTCACTAATTAATTAAGTAGTGTAGTAAAACATACATAATATTCAGTTCTTTTTTAATGTGACAGACTTTCAGCACCTAATAATGGAATTAATTACTTAATTAACTGTTTTTATCAATTACCATTATTTTATAGTTCAATCCTTTAACATTTTACACAAAGTAATTTCAGTTTTCAATTTTATTTAATTACAAATACCTACATTACGTGTTTATATCTTATAAGACTGTTTGTTTTTAAGTTATTATATTTCAGATATCTTATCATATTATAGCCATCGGTATATATTATATTATGTTAAACAGACATCGAATTACGTACACACCGAAGGACCACACTAAGATTGTATTTGCAAAATAACTTACTAAATTAGTAAGTTATTTTGCAAATACAATCTTAGTGTGGTCCTTCGGTGTGTACGCATATAATTGAAATACTCCTTCTTTTTTTAAGTGGTTTGTAATTTAACGTTGCTGTATCAAAATTATACTGCTGCTTCCGTTACTAATACGTATGTTACGGTTCGTATCGTGATGACTCGTGATGTCTCAAAGGTCAATAAACTTCATGTACGTTCAAGGTCGAACGTGTTTAGTACACCCTTGCTTCTTTGACACTAAACTTACTAAATTTGCTGATATAGCTAAAGTCAATAATAATTCATCTTACTTAATAAACAAAATGACTGCACATATGGCGTAGTTGTTTAAAAAAAAAGAAAAAATAATTTAAGAGAAAAAAAAGATTTTAGGCCGTATCGTAAACCGTATCCACTCCCATTCTTCTCCTTAGTAATACTTTTAGGAAAAACTATTAATAAATATAACAAGATAGCAATATAACAAAAAAAAACAGTACTAGCTTTTAAATTATAATTCAAATATTATAAGTTAATACTTGTTTTTTTTATTTGTTTACTTTTAGAAAAAAGGCTTGTTGTTTTTGGTTTAGTAACTGCAGCCGCTTGAAACAACAAAACTTATTCTTTATTACATAATTAAATTACATTACATAATAAATTAAATTACATAATTACATAAAGAACGAATAATTGTTTTATTAGTTTAGCTAGTGTCTTTATAATCATGGGTTTATGTGTGATATTTATACCATTTTATCTATTTTTTCGCTAATTTTTAAATATCAAATAGGTCAATCATTTTGAAGATATAACAATAATTAATTTAAAGATGATATTAAAATAGTGTTTTTAACAGTGGTTTTTTTGCGAGAGTTGCCTATTTACATCAGGAACGTTTAATTTTATAATACTTTTTACTTTTGTTTTGTTAATTTATGATCTTATTAAAATACTAGCTGACTCACGCAACTTCGTCTGCGTCTTTTAAAAGGAATAAATTGTGACCGTTATTGCAACATTCTTCATTGGTGCTCCGCTCCTATTGGTTTTAGCGTGATTATATATAGCCTTCCTCGATAAATGGGCTATCTAACATTGAAAGATTTTTTCAAATAGGACCAGTATTTCCTGAGATTAGCGCGTTCAAACAAACAAACGAACTCTTCAGCTTTATAATATTAGTTCAGATTTAATTTATTTAATAAGCTCATTGTTAACCACTGTAATTATCATAATAACAATGGCGTAATTAGACTCTCGAAGAACTGTAGAACTACACAAGTTTATTTATATTTTTGCAGGATGTAATTAAACGCCCACAATAAAAAAAACGAATAAGTACCTACTCTAAACGCAAACCAGAGAATATTTACGACGCATGAACAGTTTTGTGAATTGGAAAGTAGTAAAACAAAAGTCGAAATTGGAAATCATTCATGTAAAGTTCAATGATTATTAGACTTGCAACGAATATTCGGTTACTATTCGGTATTCGGCATATTCGGCTGCTTTTATTATATTCGGCCGAATACCGAATATCTACATATTATTCGGCCGAATACCGAATACTTAAATAATATATTTTGTCATTGAGAAATAATTGGTAAAATGAAAAATTAAAATCGAATTCATATTTTCATTTCTGTTATAATCATTTAAGTAGTCATTGGTGCATAACACAGGTACATAATCATCTTCTGAATTGGAAAAATGGAGGATTCTATGTATTTGAATTATTGTGGTAATCAAAATTTAGAAGGGTAAGGTTCTCATTTCTTTTATAATCATTTATTAAGTAGTCATTGGTACATAAAACAGGACATAATTTAATTCACGTCTGTACAAGTTTTTGGCGCTAAAATCCAGCCGAATACTTTTGCCTAATATTCGGCTATTCGGTCAGGGGCCTCGCCGAATATTCGGTATTCGGTATACCTACTGCCGAATATACTATTCGTTGCAAGTCTAATGATTATATTAAATATAACCAAAACCATTTTTCTCTTTCTGTCCTTTTACTGCCTTGTCAGCTTTGATATTTCATATTTTTTTTATAAAATTTCACATAAATAATAAATGATCATATAAATCACAAATTCATTTGTTCGTAACTAATTCATACAGTCTTCATTGATTGGAATTTTATTGAGTGGAGATTTTAGAAATATTAAGTACTACATTGACCTAAATACGCATAGAACCTTTTCAGCAATCTATATACATATATTATAACTAATTATAAGTATCTACTAATTATAACTAGCTGGTAACCGCGACTTCTGTCGCGTGGAATTTAAAAAGCGCTGCCTTGGTGGGTTCGATGCCCGGACCGGGTAAAATTCTAAAGGGTTTTTCTAAGAGGAAAAATAGCCTAAGTTACTCCTTTTATAGACAACTACCTGGTAGTAAAATGTTATCCAAATCGGTCCAGCCTTTAGAAGATTACCCGGATTACGGTTACGGTGAGCATTAAGAAAAACTATTATTTTGATATTACAAACAGACACTTCAATTTTATTTATTTGTATAGATATACATACTAGTGTCCCAAAAAAATCAGACATTTTTGTTCCAACGCATACCCTCTAATTATATTTGAATGGTGTTAAAACACTTGTAAATAAAATTTCATAGATAGCCTACAACTACGACTTGCGTCGATACATATCAGTACTTGCATACTTTGGCGCGTCAGAGTTAACTTATCGAAGTGTTTGTTATTACTTGCTTGTTTTGATAGTAAACACATTTTCCTTCACTCAAGATAGCTATGGCATTATACAGTTCTAAAAAAGGGGATATTTTAAATAAAACTACCATCTAATAGAGAGTTCTGTTCTATAATATTCGTGAAGTTAATTTGTGTCAATGAAAACGTGAATCTGTTTCTGAGTGCATTCATTATTGGGAAAAAGCGCGTATACCGACTAAAGCTTTACCCAACTAAATTAAAAAAAAACTACTTACCTTATACTAAGTTCGGAGAGATTAAAAAAAAATACGAACAAAACACAAGACATATTCGAAGAAACGTCGACAAGAGTTTGTTACAAACTTTGCCAATTTTTTTGACATTGCACTTATCGACGCACATTAACTAATAAAAAGAGAGAGAGAGAGCCAGGCTAATAGTCACCGTCATCTTCCAATTGGTAATCTTTTGGGATTAGGTACCCTTGTCCACTCACTGAGACGAACGCTTACTGTTGTCCTAAAGGATCCACGTTTCATCGCAGGTAACAATTCTATTCATAATTCCCTTTGTTTCTATGCCGATTCAGTAGTGCTATGCATGCTTCGACGCTTGAGTCTCGCTGATGGTAGCTTAGTTCGTGTGGCACAAACTTATCTAGCTTTGTTATCTTTCCGATATGACGCAAGTACTTCAATGTTATTTTGTATCTAACTCCAAAGCCCGCAGCAAGCTCAGCCGTAGATTGAGTTGGATCCGCTTCCACTATCGCCTTCAATTCGTCGTTGTCGACTATAGTTACCAAGTTCTTCAACTCAAAATTTCCAGATCTAAAACGGTTGAACAAATAATGGATCGTGTTTATGCAAGCAATGTTAGGTCCGTAAACGTTGTTAATGTTTCGTTTTGTTCGTGTTAATATTCGAAAATTGTACGAATTGACAATTTCCAAAACAGAAGTTTCTCTTTTATCGAAACCTGGTTTCCAATAAATAAAAATAAATCTGTTGTCAAAATTAGTTACCAACACAAAATGTTTGATCTGGCTGTTGATGATGATGATGAGAACCAGCTGAGGAGATTAGCTGGTCCTCCATGGATAAGCCCTTTGATCATCTATCAAATATCCATACAAAGAACTGCATTTATTATTGAATTAGCCGTACCCTCTTACTTACACTATGTGGTTGAATGATGAGAAACAAAACTCACGCTAAAAATAGATTAGAACAATGTTTGATGTAAGTATATCGTGTCAAAATTTAAGCTCAAGCGATGCAGAACATTAAAGTTTTTGAAGCAAACACAAACCAAATTAACATGTTTATAAATAGTTAACTTAACATGTTTATAAAAAGTTACTTCATGTTCAAAATGAATGATTTAAAGTAATTTACAGTCTATATTGATGATGATGAAAAAATGACTTCCTTAACAAAAGGGTATCATGAGATACCCTTGTGTTAAGGAAGCCATTTTTTTTAAAACCATTCCATCATTTTTTTCATAGAGGAGGTGGTTCTGAAAGAAGGTATACACGTCGAAGAGGTGCCTTCAGAATACCTGAGCCACAAAGAGAAGTACGAGCTCGCTGTCAAAAAAGCATGTTTGCTGTTCAAATTGATACGTAGACTACAGGAAGAAGAAAACACTGGAATGGAAAATTTTCGGTAAATAATGTCAAACTTTCTTTACTCTCTACATTTAATATGTTCTGTAGTACTATAGTTACTTATACAATCGGAACTCGTAATTTATTGGATGGAGTCTTAATCTTAATACCAGTAAGCGTCTTAAAATAATAAAATTCAATGGAAAGATAACAAAATTAAATGATAGTCGCACATATTATTATAAAACTGAATGATGTCTAAGATTCTGCAACATGGCTAGTAAATTTGCACATCCCAACGGACGCATATAAAATCTGGGTAGGTAGTCGTTCTTGGCCAATGGTGTATTATAATATAGACGCGTCATGGGAAAACATCGCTCTCAAAAACAGCGTGAATACTAAGTAGCTACTTACTTGCGCGAAGAAACGGAAAGAAAATAAACGCCACCATGCGGGTCACCTGTTGTTAGAGGGAAATGAATATACGGCGGTTGCGTTACGATTAAGTGCGTAACCAAACAGAAAGTTGGTGATTACCACCTTTTTATTTAGCCTTTTATTACAATGAAGTCTTGATTTGATTTGATTTAATTTGCACTTTCAAAGTGCGGGCAACGCATCCATAGTTTATATATCAATGTTCTTGGCTGTTTGACTTACGTTTATGATCTTTGCTCCGCTCCTAAAGACAGGGTCCTGAATACCATAAAAAACATTTTTTTTAAAGTATCCACTACAAAAAGACTTTTTTGTTATGCCGGAATCGCAAACAGCATGCACCATTTAACTATAAATAAAACATCTTTAGTTAGTCGACTCAAAGAACATATTTTTACAGGGCAGTGCTCGGAGGGTCCCTTGGTTCAGCTATCCTTCAAGACGGCTCTCCTCTCACACTGCACTACGTTATGTTTATTCCAACGCTGATGGGGCAAGGTTCCGTTGAACAACAGGCCTATTGGATCGGCAGAGCCTTTAATCTTGATATCATCGGCACTTATGCACAGGTAAGAGTTTGACGATTGACAGCTTCCAATATCCCAAAGAGGTTATATTAAAGGAATGCGGTCCCACGAACGACCGGCTCCAGAAAAATATCTAATTTATAATTTAAAATCTACTTCTCTTTAAAATAAATTCATAAAATTATTTGACTAAGTTGCAGACACATTCATACAGACGCTCATACATACATAAGTACACACACGCACATACGTCCCCAAAAAAGAATGCAGACCCTGTACTATTGTTGGCACCAAAATTACTGCCAATGACTGATCAAAGAGTTCTTAAAGTGCCAATTTTTTTTTTATCTTTCTTACTGAGCTATTTCAGGTTTGACAATGCCGGTCTAAAGGGCCAATCGTTGTATAGTTACCTAATTAAACGCGTACATTTTAGCGTAGATGGGCTGAGGTACGTCGGGGTTCAAGGGCTTTCCTTCTAGAGTATAGCTGGTTCCCCGGCTACTGGTACCTGGAGACGGCGCGCGATGTTTTTGTCCCCACTGGTGGGTGGTATCCGAGGGGAGTTCTGCACAGAAAAATAAAAAAAAGGGTGTTAGTGATAGAAAACAGATTTTGCTTACACGGATGAATCGGTCAATGTAATTTTATTACAATTTATTATGGTGTTAGGCGCAATGAAGTGGGTAATTTTATTTACTATTTTTTTCAGTTATATTTTAATAATTTTATTATTCTATGACTTTTAAAGTTACTATTACATTTAAAACAAGACAACGCCATTACGACGATGTCTCACCTTAAATGTTAGCGAAGACCGGATTTTAGAAAGTGTAGCCACCTTTGGCTGGCTTTCTGTACATCTTGCCGGCCATAATTTTTATCTCACATACGTAAATAGGGGGGCAAGCGTATTGCCGCTAACCGGGCAGATATATTTGTAAATAAACATACTTATATACTTCTAAATATATACATATTATAGATAAATTTAACCCGGACACGGAAGATATATTTATCCTTGTTGGAATCGAACCCCCTCTGGCTAAGCAGTCAGGACCGCTAACCACTAGACCAACAGCCCCGTTTTTTTCCCTCCCTTTAAACACTATGAGACAACCCAGTGCTTCCAAAGACTACCTTCTATCTGAAACTAATAGTTTGTGAAAGAAATAAATCGATAAATGTTTTATATTGCCAGCCAGTGTTCGATGTTGATTCGTAAAGACCTCGTAAAAGTTTAATGAGCATGGCAATAGAACTTTAACCTGCGAAATTACCTGAGTCGCTCTCTCAAGGCTAACTGGGTGTTCGAGTGTACGTATCAATTATATAAAGGCGAAGTAACACCAGCGATTAGAACACGTTTTTTTTTACAACCCATTTTCGGTACGAAACGGTACGTTGTTAACGTTTGTTTCATCTGTCAAAATGCATTTCTTAAATTAATTTGACTACAGTTTTATCTTTATGCAAAGCTTCTATATTCTACCTATCCTTAAACTTTCAACTAATCTTTTCAGTTGCACGTCGATAGTCACCGTATGATTAGGTGACATATGCTATAAAAATCCTATAAAAAAAGAACTGGTGGCGGGAATTAAACGATAAAAAAGATACCACTAAAGAACTACTTTTCTCGATACACTTTCATACGGACAAAGTCCAATATCTCGTCCGTATCATATGCGATCGACAGTTGGTTTTTTTAAATATAATATTTGTACCAATTAATTTCCATATAAACAAAGTTTTTATTGTATTATGTTTTTTATTCGTTTCTTATTAAGGTAATAGAATCCAGAGAGTTTCAGTCAATGGATGGAGGTCCCTGAGGTCTCTGGTTACTATGGGGTTCCGCAGGACTTAATTCTCGGCCCATTTTTGTTTCTCGTTTATATAAATGACCTACCTAATCTGATAAAAGATAATCAGGAGATAGTGCTATTTGCGAATGACAATTCACTTTTATTTAAACTTAAACGACAGCATTGAGTTACTGACGATGTGAAGAGCAGTCCCTCTAAGGTCATGAACTGATTCAATGTTACTAATTTACTTTTAAACGAGAATAAACCTAAATGTATTAGATTTATTACACCTAATGTCACGCAGGTAAAACCAGTGTACTGATAAATGGAAAGAAGTAGGATCTTGTGGACACCACCAAGTTTTTGGGTGTAACTCTAGACTGTAAATTGTAGTGGAGCCCATACAGTGATGGATGGGAAATAGACTCAAATCTGCAGCACACGCGGTTTATAAAATTCGTCAATTAACTGATATAGAAACAGCTAGACTAGTGTATTTTAGCTATTTGCATAGTGTAATGTCATATGGTATTTTGTTGTCTGGAAATGCTGCTCAAAATCCAGAGAATGCTTGTGTTGCAAAAGCCATTCGCGTAGTTAAAAATAAGCTACTTACATAAACATATCCTAATATGAAATTATTAGCAAATGTGACTTAATATTTAGAATAAATTAAACGTTACCCATACTTCTATACTTATAATTGTGAAATTGAGTTTGTTTGTTACGCTTTCACGTTACGTTACTGTCACTTTTCTTTCTTGCAGACGGAGTTAGGCCATGGCACATTCATTCGTGGATTGGAAACGACATCGACTTACGACCCTAAGACCAAAGAGTTTGTGTTACACAGCCCAACACTCACATCTTACAAATGGTGGCCTGGTGGTTGTAAGTATATTATCACATATCTTTAAACAATTCATTCATTCACGGTTTTATTTTTACCGAGTGAGTGGGATTACCCAAGGTCACCCGACTCCAAGGCTACGACTATTGAGCTTTAGGTGTCCATGGGCGTCGGTAGTCATCAGGTGATCCGTCTGCGTCTGCTCGTTTGCCCCTGTCCTAAAATATAAAAGAGTCATTACATCAACAGCCTTTAATAGTCCACTGCTGGACATAGACCTCTTCATAGAAAGGAGGTTTTGGCCTATTATACCACGCTGGCTAGGTTTGTGTCACGTTTACCTGCTCCTTGCAGTGCTGCTGTCCTGCGTAGTTTGCTCCCTTAGTCGCCCTTACGACACCCACGGGATTAAATAGCCACTACAAAACCAATTTCATTCTAGCAGTTATCATAACAGGAAGATTTTCTTAAAACATTTCAAAGCACGGTTTTTAACTATTCTCAAATAAATAGAGACCGATGTATTTATGTGCTTAGATCTTGTTAACCCCGGGTGTCAAGAAAATTTCTGTTTTTACTATGTTTTAAATAGTTTATCTTTCTCGCCCACCTGTATTATATATCGTAAATATCATAATCACGAATGACCTTTACACCAACACTGATAAGTGTTAATAAATCCTATTAAGTGTTCATTAACATTGTCATTAGTTATAATCATTCTATCAATCTTAATATTAATATCATAATAGTTTACAAATGTAAATATATATATATACATGTGACTTATAGTAGTAGGCCAAAACCTTCTTTGTAAGGAGAGGCCTATGTCCAGCAGTGGACTATTAAAGGCTGTTGATGTGATATGATGTGACTTATGCTAAGTTAACGATTCATTAGGTTTACTAGGCCCTCTTTCTTTTTATTATTTACATGTGATGGTCTCGTACAAACCCCATCGTTTAAGTCCATCTATCCAGATTGGTTGGTAGAAAGAGGAATGTACGATAGATGTTAGCTATGCTGATATTGGAGAGCAGAGTGTCTTGAGAGGACGTAGTGACTAAAATTGATGACAAATGACAAAATAAGTATGAATAAAAGGCTAAGGTTAGTGAAGACCGACCTTGGTCATAAACACTAAAGATTCCCTGATATACCTAATAAGTGAAGTTCTGGGAGCCTAGCGTCAGTTCATCTTGGCCCGCACTGAACTCTTTCCCTATTGCAACTCTGAACGCGGTCAGAGTGACGATCGAGTTGATGTAAATTAAACTCACATTAGGTCCCCTGAAGAGACGGCATGTCAGAACTACTCCGAACTGTCGTGTAACAAGTTTCATGACAAAGAGATAAAGAAAAGATGACTAAAAATCATGACGTGGGTTATGGTAAATAAGGATGGAAATAAGTAACGGGCTATTGTCTTAGCTTACCCCAAAGGAAGAAAGTTGTGATTATATGTTCGTACCACAAGTATAACTAGTATCTTTCTTAAATGAAGAATAACATCAATTAATTCAACAGATTAAAATCTTGTTACGTAGTTGGTTGTCCTTCCATCTCTGTCTAATCATTATAGGATGGAAGAAAAACAATCAGATGTAAATGACGAATAAATGATTTAAAGTTTATCACGCACGTGACCTTTATAAATAGGGCTCGATAAGGAAAGACCAGAGAATGAACTAATTACGTACATTTTATCTTTGTGTGATAAAAATAAATAGTGTGTGTCTATTGTTGTTCAATATTTCTTTGGACATTTATTGTATGTGTAAAATAGATATTAATTTATGAGTATTTTCTACTTCGTTTGCCCGCGGCTGCGGCCGCGTAAATGTCGGTTATCGCGGTAAAAATTAGCCTGTCTACTAAAACCAATAAACGAGCGACGCTGTCACCGTTACCGACACCTATGTACATAAGTATCTACATATATTGGCCCCGTTTGAGTTGAGTATTGAGTTTGGGTTGAAATACATTGATAATATAACTATATAAAATATAAACGTATATTGTGTATATACGTACAATGTAGATATATATTCATGTCGGAACTTTTCGAATCGAAAAAAAACAAAATTTTTCCATATAAAAAAAAAAAAATTCAAGTTTTCACTTCTGTCGGCACTCCCGGAATGCCACTGTTCGCTGCTTTTCACCGAGTGAGTGAGTGAGGTTACCAGAGAGATAACCCCTACCTCCTAATGGCACTCAAAGGGTGACAGTACACTTGTGTTGATCAAGTTGCACGACTAAGGGAAGTAAGCTGGTGAATGCGTGACGAGAGCGTTACGAAAAGTGTCTCCTCTCTCTCTGTTTCTCTCATAGCCAAGAAGTTTTACTTCAGTCGTGTGGCCTAAAGCCCACTCGTTTTTTTTACTATTTACTTACTACTACTACTACTTACGTAATAGATGATAAGCTTATTGTCGTAAAAAGTCCGGTTTAGATAGGCAAACTGCAACTGCAATAGGGATATTGCAATAACTCGAACAGCAGTGCTCTAAGGAAACAGTTTCAAATTCGACGCTGTGCCAGCCCTATAGCATTTCAAACAAACTTAGTTTCCGGCGCCTGCTCTCGGATTCCTCCGACCGACTGTTTTATTTCTTACAACTATTAGAAATGTATACAATTTTGTCAGAATTTTGTAATGGACAGGAAAAAAACCTGTTGGAAAAGCTACAATTTGCTGAAATTTCTGCTTGCGTTGTGGATAGCAAGTAATTTATATTTTTATGCTGCAATAGATATTTGTAAAAATACTAGTAATAATATTTCTTATTTCAGTGGCACACACAGCCAACTACTGCATAGTTATGGCCCAACTATATTCCAATGGCCAATGCCACGGTATTCATCCTTTCATCGTCCAGCTACGAGATGAAGAAACTCATATGCCGCTGCCCGGCATCAAGATTGGGGAGATTGGCGCCAAGCTTGGCATGAATGGCACGAACAATGGCTTCTTAGGGTTTGAACAAGTTAGAATACCGAGAGCACATATGTTGATGAAGAATTGTCAGATTTTGGAAGTAAGTATTTAATCTATCTAGAAATCTTTCAGTCCGTTCACGATGTGTTTATCTAGACTCTGTATTATCAAGACAATATATAAAGTTTTGAACGCAATAATTTCGAAACCAGTGACGGTCCTAACCTAAGCCGGTGTAAAAGATGAATAAGAAATTGGGACTATCCATTTACGTGACTAGAGAGAATGTAAACATTACATTTAAAGTCCAATACCATAATACGGTACGGTACTTTATATGTAATCATATTTTTATTGAATTTAATAGGATTTTGTTTGCTATCATAGTGTTTTTCATTTTTGTATTCTAAACAATATTTCTTTTACTTCAAAATTTTAGAATTTTACATCATATTCGCTGCTCTGTCGACAGAGTATGTATCAATTGACAGGTCACTGCCCTGCTCCGTGGCTCCATTAATAACAACAGACGAATAAATTATCTGTGTATTATTAAACTAGAATTATTCTTGAAGATTCCAATTCTTTTGAAATTAATTTATTTCTTAATTAATTAATTTCTTTTTAAAACAATCTCATTTCGTTCCCAAAAAACATCAAATCACAGTGCATTATGTACTTATACGCATACAATAAAAGGGGTAAATGTGACTTATTTATAAACTTTATTAAGTAAATAATTCTGTTCGTGCAGTCTAAAATATTTATAGCTTTATCAGTTTTCATATCCTCGCCTTTGTTTGTCGTATAGTACGCAAAAGTTCCATGACGTACATACATAATATCAGTATACAATACATGTACATACCACTTATTTCTTCATGGTAGGGCTCCCTCACCTACCATAGACGGTGGGTTAAGGAGCAGACTAGTCACCCGATGGTAAGTGACTACCGCCACGCATGAACACCTGTAACTCAAGAGAATATATTCATTTAAAGTACTGTTCTTCATATATTTATAACTCCAAGGCAATGACGGAATAATTAAAACATATAACATTGCTAGGGACATTTCCACGTTTTTATACAACTATAGACGTTGTTTGTTTTTATTACGAATTTACGTTTTTATAGAACTATATAGACGTTGTTTTTCTTTGCAAGAAATGTCTAATTACTTACCGACTGAGGACCGAAACGACCTTCCGATACGACCTTCAAGAAAAGAGTGTACTCCTTAAAGGCCGGTAACGCGTCTGTCTCTTTCATGGCCGGCGGCAGACACTTTCTGTCGTCCCGTCTACTCTTTTGCCTCCTGTATCATAAAAAAACTTAAGGGTTATTTGTACAACACTCAATTCAAACCACGGAAAAGGGAATATTATTCTTTGGTCTGTGATCCAAACCGCGAAAAAAAGCGATTTCACACACACACATCAACAGCCTTTAACAGTCCACTGCTAGACATAGGATCTCCTTAGATAGGAGGTTTTGGCCTACTATACCACGCTGGCCAGACGGGTTGGTATAGGGTTTGTGTATAGTTTTCCTTCTCTCTGCAGTGCTGTTGTCCTAGCGATTACAATTAAACATATTTCACAATAAGATTCTATGTCGACGTGTCATTTTGAGTTTCTTTAAAACTTAATTGTCCTAGGATGGTACGTACGTAAAGTCACCAAGCTCCAAGCTAACATACGGCACGATGATGTTCGTGCGAGTTGTCATCATCAAAGACATGTGCAGTTACATGGCCAAAGCTGTTACCATTGCCACCAGATACTCGGCTGTCAGGAGACAGTCGCAGCCGAAACCTGAGTAAGTAAACTATAATTGATTAACTTTAAAAAAATGTAACCTACTTCAATGGGCGGTATCCTACGGCTTACTTTAATTAGTACTGTTTGTAGATAAAGTCTGGTTTTCTATTCTGTCAACGTATGGGGTTGTACGAGTGTTGAGGTGTAGTTGTAGTTTTGTTGTATATATATATATATATATATGTATATAGTTGTATAGTATACTTAAGAATCTGTACGCTGTTGTGGACGAGGGCCGGTCATGCCTCCAGACCGACTGTTGGTCGCTGGAGATGAAATGTGCTAGAGTGGAGGCCGCGATTAGGCAAACGTAGAGTAGGACGCAATGCGGCACAGTGGACCGACGATTTGAAGAAAGTGGCTGGCAGCGGATGACTATGGACGGAATAGTTGTCGCTCCTTGGGGTGGACTTCGTTAGTCTGATGATGATGATGATGATATTTATTTTGTATTAACATTTCTCTCTTAATTAGTATAAGTTGCCAGGGGCCGTTCTGATTAAGACTAAACAAATGAGGTCACTGATTCCCTATTCCGACTTTTGCACATTGCTTTTCCGTGCCATATGTTCAACGGTTTCGTTACGTTTTTAGCGAACCAGAACCCCAAATCCTGGATTATTTAACCCAACAACACAAGTTGATGGTTAGCATAGCGACAGTGCACGCTTTCACGTTGAGCGCCGAGTGGATATGGGATATGTACAACAACGTTACTGCCGAGCTAGAAGCTGGTGACATGGAAAGACTCCCTGAGGTATTTAAATAAAAAGTTTTTTAAATAAAAAAATCGGAAAACAACAAATAACTAAAAAAATATATTTCCGGGATCCCAGACTGGTTACGAACCTAACAAACCTTTGCCAAAGTTTGTTGCGATATTTCGCTTTGATATCAGACACTTTGTATATATTATCTTTAATTAATATGAATACCTCTGATAAAATATATATATATATATATATATATAAATAAAAATGACTCAAACTTTGACACGATAAACTAGCTTCAAAGTTCAGTTTCGTTACTCATTTCTCAGCAACCACATTGTGCCACAGCAAAACGTGACAGAGGACAGCTAGTTTTATCTATACAAATAAATAAAATTGGAGTGTCTGTTTGTAATATTAAAATAACCGTTTTTTACTAAATGCATATCTATTTTTACACGGTACATATAGTCACAACAGGTCATTTTGTAATTTTACAGGAACGGACTTTTAAGTTTTTTTCGATCAATTTTCCTTTTTTCTAGATTACTACCTACAGCAGCCGGGATATCTCATTAAAATTATATTATTTGTTCTTTGAACTACAGTATCATGTAAAAAGATTTCTTTGATTTCATTAGAAAATTGAAAAAAAAGGAAACAAAAAAAAAAGTCGTAACTTGTGACTATGTCGCACCAGGTACAAATATAATTTAATTATTTGAGCGTTATAATGGCACTTTGTTTTTTCAATATACGTGAATAAAAATTGTCAGTAATACCTTTAAGCTGGTGTAGCTCCAAGTCACGACTGACTCATGCGGGCGCGGGGTCACTACTTACCAATCATACTCTGTTCTCCCAATATTCGTTGAAAAAGTAGCAAGAACCACAAAGGCACTAATGCCATCTATCGATATATTCAAATACTTTCGCGGCTGTCTTTGATTTCCCAAACGAAGAAATGGTTTATAGACAATTTGGCATACTTAAGTCATTTTGGCAATTTTGCCTACTTGTGACTTTGTTGCACCGAGGCCAAAATAACATTTTTTACAATTTTTGTCTGTCTGTCTGTCTGTTTATTCCGGGTAATCTCTGGAACGGCTGGACCGATTTCGACGGGACTTTCACTGGCAGATAGCTGATGACATAAGGAGTAACTTAGGCTACTTTTTTAGACTAGCTTCGCCCTGCGGCGTTGCCTGCGGTTATAACAACAAACGTGGGTAACACTGCGGGTCTCAGCTAGTATATTCATAAAGGCTGTGGTATTTGATTTCATGACATGACGTTGACGACATGATTTTAGTTGCATGCTCTATCGTGTTGCCTGAAAGCCGTGACCACGGCGGACGCAGCCGAGTGCGTGGAGCGTTGTCGCCTCGCGTGCGGCGGCCACGGGTACATGTTGGCGTCCAATCTGCCGGTCACTTATGGACTTGTGACTGCCGCCTGCACTTACGAGGGAGAGAACACCGTGCTGCTCCTGCAAACTGCCAGGTAAATAACTTGTCGGGCCTGTTGGTTCAGGGGTTAGTGATCCTGACTGCTAAGTACAGGTCGTTCATTCGATTCCCACTAAGGATAAAAAATTGTGTGTGTGATCATTTGGTTTGAGTCTGGGTGTAATTTATCTGTGATGTGTGTATTTAGAAATGCATAAGTACGTCTGTCAGCAGTCTTGTTACCATAGTACAGGTTTTGCCTAGTTTGGGATCAGACATATCGCTATACTTGTAGTTCAGCCTATTGTCGTCCATTGCTTAACTAAGGCCTCCACCAAAGAGAGCCGAAAGTAAAAGGACGGGCAAAAACCAATAAAACATTAGTTTGTGCCCGTTTTTTCTCCAACATTACCGCAATACGTTTAAAGGTTCGGATCGAGTTTGAACCGATATTAAATTTGACTCGTGTAAAAAGTCGCGAAGATGTGAAGTAGGGTCTCATAGACGCACGTGTGCAGGTACCTGGTGAAGGCGTGGCAGCAGGCGGCGGGCGGCGACTCGCTGCCCCCCACGGTGGCGTACCTGGCGCGGGCCGGCGCCGCGCGCCGCTCGCCGCCCTGGGACTGCTCCCTCGAGGGCATCGTCAGGGGCTTCGAGCTGGTCGCCGCGAGGTATCTACCTCGCTTACATACCACTCACTTAGCTTAACATAGCTGTTATTGTCCGTGTGGTGACTAATTAAGAATACGGAGTGTCACCACCCCGTTCATCCCGTAGGTATCGTAACAGCCGACTAAGGGAGCAAACCGGGCAGAACATCAGCACCGCAAAGAGAAGGAAAACTTGAAACAAACCCTATACCGACCCGTCTGGCCAGCGTGGCATAGAAAGCCAAAACCTTATTTCTAAGGAGAAGCCAATATTCAGCAGTGGATTGTTAAACGCTATTAATGTCACACATACTAAAAGTGCGCAGAAGAATTTTAGACCAAACGACTCCTATAAATAGATCCATTTTGTTCGGGACCCCGTAACAAATATGTGTGCGATATTCAATAGGGTAAAAACTTTCTTGCCTACACCTAAATTATTATCGTCGATAGCCCAAACATCTCTGATCGACTCGATCCCTTAACGTTACGTAGAGATGTGGCTTCACTCTGCATTCTCTATCGCATATATCGAGGAGAATACTCCGAGGAATTGTTCCGACTAATACCAGCCGCAACTTTACGCCATCGTTCCACACGGCAAAATTTTCATCCTGATCACCTGGATAGTTGGCGCACTACTACTGTGTACTTTTCGAGACACATTTTACCTTACACAACCAATCTGTGGTACGGGTTGTCGTCTGCGGTATTTCCGGACCGATACGACCTTCAAGAAAAGAGCGTACTCCTTCCTAAAAAGCCGGCAACGCGTTTGTGCCTCCTGAGTTGCAGACGATAATGGACGGAGGTGGTCACTTTCCATCAGGTGACCCGTCTGCTCATCTGCCCCCTAAATACAAAAACAACATGAACATGAAAAAAAAAATAACAAATACTTCTAATTTTGTTACCTTTTTTTTATTATTCCAACATTATATCTTTCGCTTATTATTAATGTACCTTTTTATTGATATAATACCTACTTTACAGTAAAATAAGCCTATGCGTGGCCAATATCGAGAAACGACAAAAGAGCGGTCTGTCGTACGAAGACGCGTGGAACATGACTTCCGTGCAACTTGCGCAAGCCTCTGAGGTATTTTTTTTTTTTTATTAACTTACAATGGTTAGCATTTTCCGCTGCTTAACTCGTTGTAATGTCTGGATAGAGTACTGCCTAATATGTTCTTTTTTGTGGTCCTAACACAACGTGTATGCAAAAATTCGGAATAGTCTTTTAAGTATATAAAGCAACAGGCAACCTTTAACGATTAAATATTTAATATTATAGTAAACTTTAAAAAAAGTAGCACAGAATTGAATACACCTACATCATGATAACTGTTAATAAATTGTATTTTTTATTACTTTTAATTTTCACCTTTACGGGTGGTACTTTTCGTTCCAATTTTGAATTAGAACGAATGAAACGTATCTTAGAAAATTCCAAAACCATTAATAAATGAGGTCACAAAATATTTTTTAATTCACTTAATAGAGTAAACTACAACGTAAATTGTAATTAACACATAGATGTATACAATAAATTATACGGGTTATATAATACGGGTTCAAGCAGTTGCCTAAACCCGTATTGAGTGAGCGATCGTTACAAGCTTATCTCCATGCCCCCAGGCACACTGCCGATTGTTCGTGCTGACGTCATACTTTGAGGAGACGGAGCGCCGGGTGAAGAACGTGTCTCCACAGCTCAGGGAAGTGATGCTACAGCTCGTGGATTTGTACGTAGTCTACTGGGCCTTGGAGCGTATGGGAGACTTGCTCAGAGTAAGTATGGTTAACAGCTCAGACTAAGTTTTTATTGTTTTTTCAGTAGAATATTTACAAATTAATTAGCTTTTGAAAGTAATAACTGAGATAAACTAAAATAATATTATATATCGCAAATATAGATGCATCATAATTTAAACGCATTATAGTGTAAAAGAATCGGCATCTCACAAAAATAATACTTCTGAAACAAATAATCTTGTCCGAGATTATTCATTTGTTTCAGAAATATATGTGTGTATATGAATTCGCAAAATGTCCAATTGTCCAATTCGCAGTAGATCCAATTTGTCATTAGGGGGGGTCCTTGGTTAGACAGGCGTTTTTGACGACCTCCAAGTGCTAGCTAACGGAATGGGTTCAACTTTTACACCGCAAAAAGTTTGGTTCTGAAACTTGCCAGATAAATATTGGACATTCTGCGAACTTTTCATTTTTAAATTGAAAATTCTAGGAACTGGGTATTCTGCGAATTGAGATATTTTGCGAATTGTCCAATTCTGCGACTATGCTATAAACCTGTCACACACATCGCACCTTTATTCATAAACTGAATTAACTTAGAATTTCAATATTGTGGGAAATCGCATTTAAAGTTTGACATTCATGTACGTGTGAGTTCGTCAAAAAGAGAACGACGATCTCTTATCTCTGCCATTTTCATGGTATCGAGTCGGCTGTTGGATTGTTCGTGTTCTACTGATGAAGTTGATTTGGTATTTGTTGAAAACTCGAAAAACGTAAATTTTGAATTAATTCAGTTTATTATTAAAGGTGCGACATCTTTTTTAATGATTACTAGTACCCGGTAATACATGAGACATAGTTAGTAAAATGTTACTTACATACATCACTTTATTTTATTTTAATACTAGCTGACCCTGCAAACGTTGTTTTGCCATATACATTATTTGTAAGAAATACACCCTTGTCATTTAGGGGTATGAAAAATAGATGTTGGCCGATTCTCAGACCTACCTGATGTGCACACAAAAATTCATAAAAATCGGATCAGCCGTTTCGGAGGAGTATGGTAACTAACATTGTGACACGACAATTTTATATATTATATAAGATTAAGTATTATAATGTAATTATTTGTACAGTTCACATCGATATCGGAACGTGACATAGAGAAGCTGCAGCAATGGTACGAAGACCTGCTAACTAAGCTAAGACCTAACGCTGTCGGTCTCGTAGACGCGTTCGACCTTCGAGACGAGGTGGGACATTGTTTGAAAATTATTTTAAATACTATAATAATAATGCAAAGAGGAGATATATTTCTTTTCTTTTAAAAAAAAGTCAACTCGCGCATTAGGAATATTTATTGAGTCGCGGGGGACTTTACAAACATACATGAAACGGGCACAACAAACACCAGACTCAGAACAATAATTTGTAGATTACACAAGTGTTGTTCTGTATGAGGATCGAACCCGCAACACTTAGCATAGTAGGAAACGTGGCGTGGCGACCTCCAAAACCACTACGCCATCCGTGAAGTCATTTATTTGTATGTTTGTAATGGATTCACTTAAAATGTAATATTTTACTTAAACTGTAACACTTAAAATGTAATATTTAATTTATTTCTTACCCGACTGCGCTAGAAAAAAGTGTAGTTATATAGTCGTATGTTTATTATTTTTGGCACGCTGTGTTTGCAAATTCGTAATGGTTTGTAAATTTTAAAAAAGTACACAAGTAGGTACATATTCAATGAGTCGTATTTCTTTTTTTTTTATATTTAATAAGTTTGTTTGTTGTTATACATGTTGTTGATTTCAGATCCTGCACTCAGCGCTGGGCGCGTACGACGGGCGCGTGTACGAGCGGCTCATGGCCGAGGCGCTCAAGAGCCCGCTCAACGCGGAACCTGTCAACCGAAGCTTCCACAAGTACCTTAAACCCTTTATGCAGGGCAAACTGTGATACGACCATCCTATAATACCGTCGCGATTACTTAATTATCATGTTCTATATTCGATATTAATTGTCTGGAGAATTGATTTGATCCATATTACTTGTATCCATTCCAGTCACCAATGGGGAAGTTGAAAAATCGACAACACTTTCATTTTATAACATAAGTTTGATAACGTCACAAACCGATTAACTGTCAGTAATCTAATGATAAATGAATATGTAATAAGCAGCCGACAGATGTCACTTACAGCTGATAGGCACGTTGACAGGGAGTGTCAGCTTGTTCATCGGTCAATGACGTAATAGTAATCTTAAATTTATAAGGTCGTACTGTTTAAACCGTTTTTAATCAGTTGTATTAAAATCTTAATAGTTTAAAAAAAGAAATACAAATAATCATCTAAGTTCAAGCTAGATTTTTGTGATGAATGTCAACATCTCCATTATGTTATACGTAGGCATGGGACAAAATCACAGTGAACTGTGATTGTGATTTGGGTGATTTATCATTCGTTTTTTTTCGTACGTAGGTTAGGGTTACTACTTACTCACGCGTTGTTGCCAATAACCTGTTTTCAGACGATGCATAAAGACCCTATTTTGCTTATTTAACAGTAAATCTAGTAATTATTTCATTATATATAGCTACCATTCCCTACATCATAATTAAAAAAATACTAGATTTACTGTTAAAAAGCGTCCAACCTACCTACATTGCAACCCTAACCTACGTACGCAAAAATATAATGATAAATCACAGTTCACTGTGATTTTGTCCCATCTCTAGTTATAAGTGTAGAGTATTACCTCACCTACCTTTTATAAAAGCTTATTAGTTGCATGTTAGCTAGGTTTAAAGTTGGGCTTAGAAAAGTACATGAAGTTCACTACAATGACTAGTTGACAAACAGAACAAATGAGATGCATGCCTTTTGCATATGCTCAGATTCAGATTCATGTAAGTATTATATAAGTATGTGTAATCATTAGGTATTATGTGATGTTACGTAGTGTAGGACGCCCACAGGCCAGGTGGAGTGACGATTTGCGCAGGAGCTGGATGCGAGAAGCCCAAAATCGATCGAAGTGGCGTGCAATGGGAGAGGCCTATGTCCAGCAGTGGACTGCGATAGACTGCAGTCTTAGACTCAGACTCCAGTCAGAGTCACTCAGAGTCTCAGACTCCAGCAGTGGACTGATGATGATGAGACACATATTACACTCTGACGAAGATAGTGATTACTTCGTCAGAGTTTAAACGGAAATTTCTTAATAAGTGTAGTAGTTTATAAATGATTTATTATAAGGGAATGGATTTATAAACTTATATTTATATACAAATTATGAACAATAATATAATATAAGAGAGGTGATGATAATATATTTTTATTCTAAGAAGGGGGATGGTTCTTTATGTGTAATACGATATTATTTATAAAGATGCAATATTTTTATATCATTAAGAACACATTCTATAATTAAAATGTATTTTATACTAACATCCAATCAAGGTTTATTGTTTTTTGTATATTTTTTTATAAAAAGCAGCAAATATATTAATGAACTATGTTATTGAATCGTTTTTGATTTGTGTGGATATCTCAGTATTACACTAACAACTGGAGATTACATATTGAAATTTGTGTTCATAATATATTTTCTTATATTGTTCATGTTTTTTATTACCTTTTTACCCCGAATAAAAGGGAAGGACTTAAGCTACACTTTGAAAAGAGATTTGACCTGATACCAAATCTGTATTCCGGATTTCTGAATCCAGCAGAGGGGCACTCTTGGGGCCCTGAGGGAGGGCTCTTCCAACTTGATGTGGAGGCCATTTTTACCTCTAGGCACGTACCCTCGCCTTGGCCAGACTGAGATTTGTATACCAAATGATACATACCAATAAACTAAGGATCAGACACCCAATATAAGACATACTGTGAAAATTCGGCACATATATATACCAGCCATTGATTATAATTTGCGGTGTTAATCACCCGGTCAAAGGTGACCCGTCTGCTTTTCTAACATTTCACATAAAAAAACAGAAATATTTGTAAAATCTTGTCAGAAGAGGCATCAGGACCATTCTTCGTTTTTTTCTCGGTGTAGTGTCTCATTGTGGCAGTATCTTTATTAGTGTCTGTAAAATAATAATATTCTACCACATTCACACAACGCCATCTAGTCCCAAAGTAAGCAGAGCTTATACTATGGGTACTAGACAACTGATAAAAATATATATATCCTTTTTTTTGTAAATACATTCATATGATAACACCCAAAGTAAATCAAACATTAAATGTTTATGCACACAAATGTTTGACTTACGCGGGAATCGAACCCGCGACCTTTGGAATAGCAGTCCGTTACACAAACTACTACGCCATCCAAATAAAGTTTTTTAATCTTTAGAATATTTCCTCTCAACTTAATGCAGTCTGTGAGAATGATTCCGTGAAAAGAGACGGCAGTGTGTAACAGAAACACCAGAAAGCGGGAAGGGTCTATTTTCAGACGTCACACATCACATCGTATTGGACTACTGTGAGACTCAATCTTTTTTTTCAGAATATTAATGGTATAAATATTGGTAATATTAATTTTATTGGTTAAATCAGTTGTATCTCAATACTTGTGACGACTGCAAACCTGTACAAATTTACGTTTTTATGGTAAGTATTGAACTACATTTGTTTTAATAAAAAGTAACATTAAAAAACATTGCACTTAATTACTTACTTGAATAAAGTAAGTTTCACGTAAACCGCAAATAGAATTACAAAAATATAATACATTTGCGAGGTTCCCGCTTTTGTAAGGTGATCTCAAATAAATTTTAGTACTGTCAATAAATAAAACTACCATAAAGTTCCACCAGGCGCCATAATCAGATTTATAGTTATCTACCATACTAAATCCGTTACACTCATCAAAATAAATCATGTGAACCTGAATTCGAGAGGTTTACTATTTCTATTAATACTCCCGGCTCAGATCAACTCCGAGGTGGTAGTAATGGAAGTACTAAGTTTCATTTTGATACGAAAATAGATGTAGGTTGAAATTGACTTCTAAGTTCTAAAATTTTTTCACATAATTAGGAGCTAATGAAAACTTTTTAAAAATTGTTTATGAAAAGATTTTCTTTTAATTAACTTGTGATGCTACAATTATAGGGCGATATTACACTCTCTGGCACGATAGTTTTGCTGTAGCCTTCGATCCGATGTTTACTCCATACTCATTATTGCTTCAAAATATAGTGAGAGACTAAAAAGATAAGACGGCCACTCCCTTTCTTTTTAGTTTCCATCCCTCCCTAAACGATTTCAAGAATTGTAATTAGATATTTACTCGAGTGAATATTCGAATATTCAAGAACATTTAGCATTGATTCATCCACTCTATTCGTCATTGGTTCATCTCTATTTTTGTTTTGTTGTCTAACTTAAAAATGTAAACAATGCGAATTGTATTGTATTTATAATTTTTAGAAGTTCTGATTACCGAGCCCTGATAAATATGGCTCATATTAATCAATTATGTCGTGCCTGCCTCACAACGAAGGAATCTTTTACATATATTTTATTCGACAACGTATGCCCTGACTTGTATTGTTTCTGTACATCGGTGAAGGTATTTAAAAGCTGTTTATCAAGTTTTCAGATTAAACTTGGCTGTTTAATCCCTAAAACATTGTTCAGTACCTAAAAGCACTATTTCAGGTACTTCAGGATGAAGAGTTACCGAGGGCAATTTGTAATACTTGTTATGATCTTATTACAAAATATTCAGAATTCAAACGGGCTTGTATACAATCACAAGATACTCTAATTAACTACAAAAATACTTTAAAATGTGAAACGGACGAACTCACGTCCAATACTATCCCTGTTGATATTGAAAGCCAAGATGATAAACTAAAAACTGAGTTAGTTGATATTTCAATAAAACTCGAAGAATCTCAAGAGTATGAAAATGGTAAACTGTTTATTATTATAATGCTTATCAAGTTACCCATTTTTTTCTTTGCTAAAATGGACAGTTAGGTATCTTTGGCTTGTATTTTACTTTCTAATAAGACTTTCAGTAAAGCCCTATCAGTACTTACATTTAATAACAACTTTTCTTTTATATTACAGATTATTTAGAATCAGTGGATAATAACGACGATCCTGTTGTAACAAATAAAATGAATATACTCAAGAGGTCTGTGTATATGTAAATTTTTATTTTAAAATAGTAACTTTCATGAGAAGGATTCATAGTTATTCATTTCAAACCCTTTTTGAATGGGTAAAGCATACTGCTATGTCACTGTTAGGTTGTAAGAGGCCTGACACAGTTGTAGTTGGATGCTTTAAATAGTAATAAGAACATCACACGTTGCAGACTGATCTCAAACTAGACAGGGCCTATACTATGGTAACCAGACTGCTGATAAACATGCTTCAATATTACTAACTCACTTGCTTCAATACTACTATTATAGATAAATTACACCCAGACACAGAACAAATGATCATGCTCGTCACACAAATATTTGTCCTGGGCGGCAATCAAACACACAACCTCCAGCTTAGCAGTCACAGTCACTAGCTATTTACCTAGCACTAGCTAATTAAATTTATAGGACTGCATGTCAATTTGCTTGAAATGCCTGCAGTCCCCTTTACAATTTTTTAACTCTTCACATGAATATGTTGATACTTTTATAATTGTTATTACAAAAAAATGTTTACAGAAAAGTGAAAAAAACTTTGAAATTGAAACAGCACCCTAGAAAAGAAGTAAGTATAAAGGTCAAAAGAAAAAAGTTTATCTACACGTGTGAGCTGTGCCGCAAGAAATTCAATTATAGGGAGAGATTTGAAGCACATAAACTTGAACATGAGGGCAAAATTGTAAGTTTTTATTTGAAATATTAAGATTAATTTTTGTTATGGGAGGGCCATATTTCGGCACGCATGGGCAGGCTCGACCGGAGTGATACCACAGCCACTCAGAAAACTGAACAGTTGTGAGATCGAGAGTTGATCACAACTGAACTGTTATTACGAGAATTGGCCTTCTGGTGTTAAGCAATTCTTTTGTTGCTTTTTAATGAGTGAGATTAGCCTCCCTGCCCCTAATACTGGGGAGAAGGGTCTCAAAGAGCGGCAAGCACTTGTGGTTCAGTTTGTCCTTACTCACCATCAGGTGACCCATCTGCTTGTTTGAACTATACTATACCATAAAACAAAATAGCATGTCTATTTTCATTTGGAAGCTTAAGATACAATAATAATAAATAAAATATATTTATATTTTATGTAACTAAGTTACCAAACAAAATACACACTTAATAATGTTGTACTTTTCCAAAATTTAGTTCTGGTGGTGTTGGTTGGGCGGGTGATCATACTTTCCAACAGAAAAGATGCTACTAGTAGTGGTATCTAAGTAATTGTAAAGTGAAATTACTTGAGAAAAATCAATCTACCATTCTCTTTATTCTTCTTTAAGGTGTCAATTCACTGTTCTCCTTGCAACAAAACCTTCATGACCTGGAGCAGTCTAAAGAGACACAATGAAAATGAACACACTCTAGTAAACTTGGAGAGTCTGAAGTGTAGAACATGCGGTAAAATCTTCAAAAGCAGGCAAACGTTGAAGATGCACGAGAAGACACACGGAGAGAGACGATTGAGTGTGTGCGATGTATGTGGCAAAGGGTTTACTACTGCTGTCATTTTAAGAGTAAGTTTTATTTCATATCGTAGTTTAACGGGTGGTACTTTACGTTTATATGATAGCAACAGACTGGTCTCTACTAGTAATTTAGTCTATTGATTGTGGAAATGGTGGCAGAGAGACACTTTTCTGTTTGCTCTTCAGTGACTTGCAAGTCGTCGAGATAGCCAAGTTCAACCAGACCGATATATTCGAAAATGCACAAGAAAGTGATGACGTGTTAATATAATGTATTTGATACTGGTTAGGATTATCAGTTATTTTAAATAATTGCTTATTAACGCATTATCATACACTAGCTGACCCGCGCAACTTCGTCTGCGCCTCTCAATAGTAATAAATTTTCTCCGTTTTTGAAACATTCTTCATTGGTGTTCCGCTCCTATTGGTCTTAGCGTGATGATATATAGCCTATAGCCTTCCTCGATAAATGGGCTATCTAATACTGAAAGAATTTTTCAAATCGGACCAGTAGTTCCTGAGATTAGCGCGTTCAAACAAACAAACAAACAAACAAACAAACAAACTCTTCAGCTTTATAATATTAGTATAGATTACCGTATCGAGCCTTCATAATACATGCGAGTGTTATACAGGATACTGTACAAATCACATTAAATCTTTTGTTTACAGGCACATTTAGAAACACATAAAGAGGACAGAGAAAGAACGTTCACGTGTGAACACTGTGGCAAAAAGTTTTATACAAATACAATTCTAATGTCACACGTTTCTAGACGACATACTGGCCGCAGATTTATTTGCCAAATTTGTTCCTACCCATTCACAGACAAATATAATTTGGCTAAACATTTACTTATCCATGAAGGAAAGAAGTTGTACAAGTGTGATATTTGCGATAAATCTTACGCCACTCAATCCACTTTGTTAGAACATAAAAGAATTCATTCTGGAGAACGGCCTTTTGTTTGCACCTATTGTCTGAAAGGTTTTGTATCTAAGAAGCGGTTGACGGATCATGTTAGAATTCACACAGGAGATAAGCCGTATAAATGTACTGTCTGTGATCAAAGATTTACGCAGAGAGGGACTTTGAAGAGACACATGAAAGTACATGATAGAATTGTGCCTACTTTATAAATTGTACTCGAACGCCATCTACTGGGAAAAAGATTTCTTATTACTCATTCTCCTGTACTTTTTGTATTGAGGTTTCAAAAACCAACATGATTATTTGTGGTTAAAATGCCCTGTAACTACACTTGATGTATATTAGTCGAATCCTAATTAACTTATTACAAGTATTAAGGATAATAAAAAAATCGTTTACATATGTACCTAAAAAAAGTCTATTATTTTACCATGCAGATATCTGCAATCCACAAAGTAGCTAAAATTGAAGCTTTTATTTATTTTTATTTTGAGTCAGCCTCACAAGAACCAGTGCTAAGGAATTCTTTCGTTGCTTTTAACAGAGTGAGGTCACGGTAACGGGTCGGCAACGCACTTGTGACTCTTTAGAGTGCCTAGTGTGAGTTTATTTTTCATCAAGTCACTCGATGATGAGCTCGTTCGGCATCGCGATTGGTGAAGATTTCAGTGTCGAGCCAATTACAACGCTGAACGCAGTCACGATCTCAGTTGTCAGTGTCTATGGGTGGCGGTAGTCACTTATCATCAGGTGACAAGTCTGCTCGTTTGCCCCCCCCCCCCTCCCCCTATACTATAAAAAAGGTGTATAATGTGTATTACAAACATACATGAAACGGACTCAAAGAACACCCAGACTCAGAACAACAATTTGTCGATCACAAAAAGTGTCGTCCCATGTGGGATTCGATCCCACAACACTTAGCGCAGTAATAAGCGGCGTGGCGACCGCTTAAACCACAACTACGCCATCCGTGCAGTCAATAGTATCCACTAGATTGCTACATATTACTATTATAATTTTAGATAATTAATTGGTGTTATTAATTTGATCAATTAGTTATATCGCTAATGAAACTTTGGCAAAAAGTATGAATTTCAGGATAGTTTAATTATTGCCGTTTGTTTGATGGTTGTTGGTTGATTGTTGAGGTGAAAGAAAGAATAAATAAATAAAAGACTTATTTCAGGTACATTTGTAGTTTGTAGCGATTTTGTGCTTATGGTCAAATTCATCAAAAGACAATCCGTCAAAATAGCGAACTGTCAAACAGCGAATAGTCAACAAAAAAATCAACTTAAAACATACGATATTCCTGACTTTAACTAATGGAATTGGTTCAACTACAACGCAAACAGTTCAGTTCTAGCATTTCCCGAGAAAAGGACATATTACTCAGAAAAGGAAAGACACATTTAAAGAAAAGCATTTAGATAAGAAAAAAAAATGATAAAAGGGCCAATCGCTATTTTGACAGTTCTCAATGTTAACGGTTTTTCAAGTCATTTTATTGATTAAGAATTTGATCATACGCGCCGAAACCGTTTGTAGCATTCATTTAATTCTTATTTACATTCATAATTTATTTATTTACATCACACGTCTTGCCATTGGGCATACTCCCCTCCTTGTAACCTCGCCCTTAATATTATATTCTGTGTCTTATCACTGTCCTTCTGCATATGACCTTTCATATGCCTGTTCAGAGCACATTTTTGTATAAAGGCTTGATCACACAGCTGACATTTGTGAGGTTTCTCGCCAGTGTGAATCATTCTGTGATTCCTCATGTCCTTCCGCGCCATAAACCTTTTTGGACATATATCACAAGCGTAAGGACGTTCACCTACAATAATAACATTTTAATTTAATGCATTAGGATAGAAAGCTCTTCACTATGTATCAAGTGAAGAACAGGAATCTTCAGAATTAGAAAAATGCCAACATTCTATTGTACTTCTAAACCTTGGTAAGAAATACGAACGTTCCCGCTAATAAATGCTGATTATGTCCAAACATGTTATGACACTATAAACAGCTGCTAGTGCGCTGCTTAGCACTATGCTTCTGTAGCACTAGTTTCTACCTGTCTGTTTCTTTTGCTATGTGAGGTCAGAAATACACTTTTGGTACCACATTTCCAATGCACTCTGTTTAACAAAAAATGAGTTTTCATATATTAAGCATATTTAATTATTATTAAAATTTTAAAAATACCTGTATGAGTTCTCATGTGAACTATTTTAAAACTATTACTTTTGAATGTTTTGTCACAGTATTCACAAGAAAATGGTTTATCTTCTGAATGTGATCGCATATGTTTGAAGAGATCACTCTGAAAAAAATCAAAAATTGATAAGACATTTTCTTTAAACAAAATGCTATTATGTACAATATATAAGTGTGGAAACAAACCTTGACATAAAACCTCATATCACACAGTTGACAAGCTATGTTCTTGATGCCTGTGTGCCTAATTAGGTGAATCTTCAAGTTGCCCGCCTGCGAGAACTTTTTACCACACTGTCCACAAATGTAGTTCTGTTCTTTGGTGTGAGTTTTTAAATGTGTCTGAAACAAGTGAAAAAGTTAGTACCATGCATTCAAATTTCAAATTCTTATTTATCTTGTTTAACTACAAACATCTTACTTTTAAATTATATCTCTGTACAAACTTTGCATCACATATATGGCAAACATGCTTCTTCACACCCAAATGTATCAGTTCATGGTTCTTCAACACATTCAGATAAGCAAAATTCTTCCCGCACGTCAAACACTGGTATTCTCTTACACCGGTGTGGATTCTTGAATGGCTGTGGAGATTTCGTAGTGTAGGGAAAGTTTTATCACAGTGATCGCACTTTATGTCTGGCTGGAAGATTACAAAATGTATGTCCAGATCAGAATGTAACAGATAAATATAAGAGTTTATCAATATGGTGGTTGTTAACACCTTTAACAAATAAAATTGCTACCTTTTATTTGCTCATTGGAAGGCATGTAATATTTATTAATCAAGTTAAGTCCTCTTAAATATAATTATATATCAGGGAACACGAAAAAAAGTTAAAAGTTAGTGGTAATGTTGGCAAACTGGTCCAATTTTTGTTGAAGATTGTGATTGATTTCTTCTGTGATATTAGTGGGATTATGTTTAAAATCATACCCTTTTTCCAAAATGACTTCTCATGTGTGCTTCGAAATTTTCGTACTTCTGAAATGACTTATCACATTTTGGACATTTCATTCTTGTTCTCTTCTTTAAAGGTCTTGCCAGTTGTCTTCTTCTCCGGATTCTCCTAAAAAAAATTAAGTAGCAGATAGTATGTTACCAGAAATATTTTTTCAATACCCAGTAAAATTGGATTGAAATATAATTATGGATGAAACTGACTATTTACTGTTATTGGTTGGTATGTTGTTTGTTGTTTGGTTTTTTTATATATTATTATATTTTTTTATATATTATATTTGTTGGTATGGTTTTTTTTTATGAACCTAAGCACATGGATTGAGCTCGGTGCCAAGACTATTTCAAGGGTTTTCAACAGGACAGGTTTATACAACAGGTCATCTAACAAACAAACGCGCATGCAAGTTCGTAAGAGACAGTGCCTAACATCCATAGGCTACTTGTAACTGATTACCATCTGGAAAACCATATGCTTTGTTTGTGAGTTTTCCTTATACTATAACTATAAATAGAATTTACGAGAGTTTTTTTAGTCAGTCTACATGCAAAAGGATTCTCTAGATTCATGTTTTGTGTAATCCTTAGTCCAACATTCTTACCTGATAATCTCAGCAGGTTCCATTGTGTTATTAGGTATATCAGTCTCATTTGGAAAGGTTTGGTGCACTGCATCATCAGTAACTTCAGCCACAGTAATTTCATTATCATTTGCTTGGCTTTCTAGTTTCACTTGTTGCTGCTGTAAATCACAATCAGACATAGAATATAGAAAAAAAAAAAGATTATGTCATACCATAATGGCAGTGTAATGTGTTTAAATTTAATGAAATTATTGTTTATGAATAATTAATTGATTAATCACTTGTTTATACTCTGCAACATCGTTCCTCTCTTTCTCATTCTTGCAATGTGTGGGAGTGTTTTTGCGAAAAGGGAAGAAAGTGTGTAACAGTACTTCAGTGAAGTGAACACTGATCTGATTTCACAAATAAGCGCATGTGGTGAGATTCAGATAAAACGAAAATAACTGTCTTAAACGATTATAACAATCCTAGTGTTCATTTAGTAGATTTCTTTAAAAAGTAGTATTCTATGTATAGAAATACCATTTTAAATAATACCGGAATCAATATTTAAGGACCATTACTAAGGTAAGGTTTGCATATTCTCTTTTTGGCTTTCTGATAAGCCAGAGGTTGATTCCCACCCAGGACAAATAATTATGTGATGGGCACGATCATTATTTTATTGTGTCTGTAATTTATAGATAACATGTATGTATTTAGAAATACATAAATATGTTTATCAGTAGTCTGGTTACCAAAGTACAGGCTCTGCCTAATTTGGGATCAGACTGCCTTTAAAAATATTAAAATCTCAGTTTAGAGTAGTAAACTATATGCATTTACCTCATTTATGTGTTGCTGTTTTAAAATACAGTTAGATCGTATAGCAGACTGTTTGAAGTAATATGATTTGTTTAATAAATCTACGCACACCTGACATAGTTGTGTAGGCAACTTGTCATTTTCTGCCACCTGCAACAATTAATAAAAGTTCTTTATTCCAACATTTTTTTAAAAGGAATCGCAAAAGTAATCGTATTACTCTGAAGGGTCTAATATCTATCTCTATTAATATAATTGTGAGAAACATTAACAGTTAGATCTTCACACAGCATTTGGGTCCTCCAAGAATAATCCTCCATCCAAGTGTGGTCTTTTTGTAATTTAAAAAAAATGTTGCCAATCGTCTCTACGTCCGGCTATAAAAGCAGGAATATTCTGATTCTAACCTTATGGTACCATAACAATTTTGATAAACTTCTTCAGTCTAAAGTTTCACAGCTGAGCAGTATAATTATATTATTGATAGACTTCATTCTATAAGGGAAGTATAATAAGGCAGCTAATTGAATAACATGAATAACTTACTTCTACAGACGTGCAAAATTTGAATACTTCTGATGTACACACCATGAACAAGTCCTTCATAGGTCCAGTGTCACATAAACAAACCCGACAAACCTTTTTGAAATTTATTATAGTAACCATTTTCATATATTGGTCATTCCATACATTCAATATTTAATGATATTACGCAGATAATAGATTACTAAGCAAGTAAGTAAAAAAATAAAGGTGTTTTTACTGTTTGTGTTTTTATTAAAGAGAATCAAACCAATAAACAACACATTCATTAACTGCGTTGACCAGTGTTGCCAACAGTTAAATTAACTCTCCACCAGATTCGACATCTAAATCCACCAGAAAACCACTAACGTAAAAGCGACCCTACTCTAATAGGCACTAAAGTTCCCACTAAACTTTTTTTTAGTAATTACGAAAGAAAACCATACGCGTATTAATAAATAACTAGTTTCCTTTATTAAAATTTAATACTGATACCAATCGTTTTTGTCAGCACCATCATCGATGGTTCCTGATTAATACGATTCTTTAGTACTGATTTGTTTTACAACGTTCATGGAAATTTCAAATATTATTATTCCTTTGTTTATACCTGAAGTCTCTCAACTCAACACAAGCATTAAAATGAGGCAGTATTAAGAGAGTCATACTAAAGATCGCTAATTCCTCAAATGTCGAAGTCTCTTGGCCCCATGGGTATCTTTAAAGAGCAATGGAAGCACCTCTGGTATGTAGAACTTCCTTAACACGTGGGGCATTGGTAGACACGGACTGATTTTCATTAAACATTCATTTCTCTTCTGCTCCTCAACCGGATTGTTAATAGAGTGTGATGTCTTCTTTGAATTATCTCCTGTGCCTTCTGTCTGTCAGTCGGTTGTAACGCAATGGTTTCCAAGCCGTAGGAAGATAGCAACCTATCCTGGATTACGTTCTTAAAGTTGTAGCCCACATTATTGACTTCTTTCTCGATCTCTCTCTGGTACAAACCCTACATCATCCCATTGCCTAAAATTAATAATCCTTCCTGAACATTTATATCCAATCCCCATTCTTCCTTTCCTACCAAACGTTCTTGGGGTATGCCCACACAAACAGTTCTCACAGTTCATCTTTCAACAGCATCCTAAGACATCTACAATCTAACTATTACTACTAAAGCACTAAAAAAAACCACTAGCCGTCGTCGATAAAAGGAGGGTCGAAATCACCAGTTTTAGTGGCGAATCCACTAAGTTGGCAACACTGGTGTTGACTGTTAACCACTATGACCACAGATAAATATATTTCTTATGTCTAGTGAAAAGTGATTTCGCTTCACATTGATTTCGTCTCGACTATGAAGCAGCTTACTGATTCACTTAAGTAAGAATGTTTAGTATGTGAAACAGACAAATCTAAACAAATATTAACAACGCGATTTTCATTTGTTACATTTAATATATTCAAATACCCATATATATATAATGACACTTAATTAGTATATTCCGCTGAACAATATCGCTTTACTCCTTTAGAGTCTGGTTGAAACATAAAGGTTGCTAATATTTATGTACATTCTCGTCTGGCCAGCGTGGTATAGTAGGCCAAAACCTCCTTTCTAAGGAGAGGCCTATGTCCAGCAGTGGACTATTAAAGGCTCTTGATGATGATGATGATGATGTACATTCTCTGTTCATAAATTCAATCATGTATTTTTAGAAACACTGTTCACACGGACATACACGGAAAATCACCGCTTACCACTATAATAATGACTATTATAGCGAAAAAGGGTAATTTTCCGTAAGTATGTTTAAAACTTGTCCCCAGAGAGAAAGTAGTAGTAGAGGAGCGGTTGAAGATTATTTTAGCGTTTAGTCTATTTTTCACAAACCCGATAGAATATCAAGTTGAAATTAACATTAATATATTTGTCTGTGCTGCCTTGCTGTAAAAGGACAAGCTTCTAAGTTAATATAATCAGAATACACGGATTCAGCATTATAGGTAACTTTAAAATCTAAGCCTATTCTTAGATTTCAAAATTACCTATAATGATGAATCCAGTGTAGTTCTCATTGAAATAGAGGCACGAAATTTGACAAGGAAAAAAAAACCTACAAGTCGTGTACCGCCTAGGACACAGTCCGCAGATACCGGGGATTTCCTTTTTCAGTTACACCTGGTTCCCCGACCACTAGGTACTGGTTCCTGAGACGCCATACGTTTTAGTCGATTCGAATCTGACATAGCCACCCCACCAGAGGTCAAGTCGGGGATTACCGAGAGAATTTAAGCACGAAAAATAAACCTGCAGCTGCAAGTCATGTTTGACCCCCTCCCGTCTCGTTATCGACACGCATAGAGCCATAACAAAATTCTTCTCTGGTTTGCGAACTTATCAGGCTTATCATCTAAATAGATAAGGTATAAGAAGAAACCATTTCCAAGGCCTTACTTCCCATGACATGAATGAATTTGAAAATATTTATTATAAATTGAATTATTACTAAAATTTTGGCTTTTGATACAAATCATATTTATTGTAGAATGTAACTTTCTTGTGCCTTTGAAAACTTTAAATTAAAATTGGTTTGATTCGGATTTTTAGGTGTGTCGTAAGACTTATTCAGCTAACTAAGTCAGGGTCTCAAGTGTTGTACGCTATCTCATTTCAAATTCAAACTCTGTAACTACTGAGGACAGGCACAGATAAAAAAAGCCGTGTGGTGTCACCCGATAGGAACGTAGTTGTGACGATCGAGTAAAACTGATTTGACACGATTTTAATTACAACGCCATCTATGAAAGCGGCTATTACCTACATATTAAAAACAATTAAAACAATTTATACATTGGTAAAATCTCCTTGCGAAATGATTTCCTATCTATTCTATAAATGGCGCTGAATGTCTGACAAGATGACACGAAAATCACCAATCACGTGGTATTCCCAGGCGGTCACCCATCCAAGTACTGACCACGCCCGATGTTGCTTAACTTCGGTGATCGGACGAGAACCGGTGTATTCAACATGGTATGGACGTTGGCGAACGTTAAAGCAAATTTAATGTATGGTATCCACAGTTAGACGTCAATTTATATTAAAAGTGTCGTGACAAATTTTCGTACGATTTTTTTCCGTCTAGCCCCCTTTCACAACGCGCGATAAGGAACTTCGTTCCAATTAAATAATAAATTTAGTATATCGTAAGGCATGGAGAAAGCAAGAAAAAAAGTACTTAATGCATTATTCCTCCATTCTTCACTTTGGTTCTTACCGGACTTTTTTAATGACCAAAATGTGTATTGCAATAAAATTAACAGTTTACATCTAGTACGCAGCATTGCAGTACATGTAATTATTTCTAATAATCTAATTATTTTCATAATTAATGCATGTACCTACTTATAAAATATTTTTTAAATGTTTGCTTATAAAGGTATAATTCGTTTCTGGAAAAAACGGTGTGGGGGCGGACCAATTTGTCAGCAACAACCACGGTTTGCACTTCTTTAAATGATCCTTTGCAAATGGTGGCAAAGTCTTGTAGAATAGTACATACGAGAATCATCTTATCAATATTCCGTTTGCACATAGCCTATCAAGCATTTTTCTTCTAATATTTCATTGTATTGTATTGAACAAAAACTGTTACTAAATGGAATAAGGTAGATTGGTGTTTGGTGTACACAGTTTACAGTAAAAGATACTGAAAATAACAGAAATAACCTAACAAATTTAATCACAACTTTATCACTAATAAACTAAGCTAAAAGGTTTTATCGGAGTAAAAGTATGTCATTTTAGATTATTTAATAATTAAAAGTGGTTCGTGACATACATTAACAATCTGCACAGTGGTAGATAACTAAGACAAATAATATTATTTTGAAGTACCTACAGCTAAACACTAAAATTATTTGCATATATTTATATCCAAATATTTACACGTAAAGTGATTTCTTTGTACACTCTTACGTATTGCATTTTTTTGCACTAAGATATGTCAAATCCGGTATGGATTCTTAAAGTTTTTAAAGCAGTAAGCAGAAAGCTTTTAATCAGTAGGTATGTGTTAAAAGTTTAAAAATATGTGAAAACATACACAGAATGCAACATGAAGGTCTATGAAATGACTGTTAAGTTTATATTAATCCATGATGTATTCATGATGATTTCTAAATATAGGTACACATACGATAGATAAACTTCACCCAGAAACAGAACAAACAATCGTGCCCATCACAAAATTGTTTGTGATAGGTTGGAATCGAATCGAACCCCAGGTAACTAACCAGTCTTTTCTTTAACTTTATTAGTAGGTAATAATACGTATAATATAGACGGTATAGAAAAGGTGGGTATCATTTTTTGTAACAATAAATTTTAGTAAAATATATAATGCTAACTAGGAGCCTGGGAGAGCCATGCCTCAGCATAAATGTTCCGGCTCGACCAGAATGATACCACGGCCTCATACAAAACCAGTTTCAAGTATTTTTTTTCATTACTTTCACGAAATCGATGAGGTAACCGGAGAGCATAACCTTTTTTTTTTTTTTTTTTTTTTTTTTCCGTGCGGAAATCCCCTCGGATACCACCTGTCGGTGGCATGTCGGACTCGAACCGACTAAAACCGCACGCCTTCGCCGGGTACTAATAGCCGGGGAACCAGGTATACCCTAGAAAGGAAGGCCCTGGTGCCCCGACATACCTCGGGTCATCTACAGACGAGTAGACGACCCCCGCCCCGTGTGGGAACCCCATGTTCCCTGTGCTCCCTGAAAGCGAGCGCGCTTCGCAATGCGCTCGCCGCCACCCCGGCCTGCTTCTGCTAGGGTGACAGGAGGCCTCACCTGTCACCCCCAGGCCTGCGCTTATGGAGGACGGAGGTCGTTCTGCGACCTCCGGCGCCTGAGTCGCCTGCGCTGCCTGGCCCGTGCCCGGGCCTGGCGGGCCGGGAGAGTTCTAAACCTCTCCCGGTCCCGCTCCGCCGTCTCCTTCGCGAGCATAACTTGCTCGCAGAAGGAGACGGCAGAGTTCAACGCACTCTCGCTCCGCACGATAGCCGCAATCAGGCTATCGAGCGAGAGAACTCCCACTCCGATGGCCGCCACGAGGTCTCGCCTCTGCTCAACCCACGCCGGGCACTCTGCCAGCGTGTGGAGAGCCGTGTCCACGGTCTGGCCATCGCAGTGGTGGCACTCAGGCGTTGGCTCCTTGCGGATCAGACACAGGTGATCTCCGAAACATCCCTTCCCAGTGATCACCTGCGTCAATCGGTATGAGAGGGTCCCGTGACGCCTCTCGAGCCAATCCTCCATAACGGGTCTTACCGCCGCAATGACGGCGTGCCCGGGAGAGCATAACCTGCCCCAATTCTGGGGAGCAAGGGTACTCAAAGGACGGCGGTGCACGTGTCGCTCTGAAGTAATTAAAAACAAAAAGATGGCGTGAGGGTTCTATGGATCCCCGGTCGAAACGACGTTCCTTTCGCCTTTCGGTAGACGTTTCCTATCCTTTCCGTTTCCGTGAAGTGTCGGAAAAAAGTCTTGTTACACATTTCATTTCATTTAAATTAATATAATTATTGATTTTTGCATGCACGGTATGATACCGGATAAAAAATAACAAGCAAATATTTATATATATCTATATTAAAGTTTTATGCAGTAGATACACATACAATATTATAACCTCCTTCACAAGAACAAAGAAATTAAGAAAAATAACTAAATTAAAGATAACAATTAATTAAAGATAAGAAATCAAAGATAATAATTACAAACACAAAAATAGGTCAGTCGGTTTGACACCGTTTGGTATAATATGCGGCATTACAATTAATTGGTGAATTGTCCTTTACCTGATCACCAAAAATCACTATTTGTATTTGACATCACTCTTTTTAATTATTTGTGTCCTTTTACTCATTCACCTATAGTTATTGGAATCGTTTCTTCTCTTATTATGTTTTTGTTATGCTAATAATCATGATAATTGTCAGTCGTACGGTGAAGTCCTATTCAAGATTGCAAATTGTATTTTTATATTGATGTCGGATCTCCTAGCGATTATAAAATATTACCGCTATGCTATGTATGCTAATAAGCACGCAAATAGAATTTCGTTATAGAGATATAGATATAGATATTCGTATAGAAACAAATATTTATCTCCAAATGTTGCCTTAATGAGTTTGTCACTTAATAGATTTAAATTTATTCATCAAATTAATTATTATAACGTTATATGTTATGTCATATGTACATATATATGTATGTTATGTAGATATTTATCTACATCTTCATAAAACTCGTAGCTAAAATTGTAATACCTATTGCATGATAACAAATTGCAGATAGGTACATCTTTGTTATCTTACATGAAACAAAGTAAATAAAAGTCCATCGAATGGATTGAGAGCGAGTTTGAATAACTGTACATTTCTCTAATACACTAAAGTTTTTATTCTTGATTGAAGATTACAGTACGATTACCGGTTAGAGATCCCACGCTACGTCACCTACAGTCGTCTCGCAAGCACATACCTAAGTTAAATAAATACAGCAGACGACAGCTGTGTGAGCATTTTTATAGGTTATAAGTTCATATTGTAATGTGTGATAAGTAAAAAAAGAAATGGTTTTGCCGCTTTGGTCATAAAGTTAATTTTAAAGTTCGCTTCGTTCATTAGATAGATAATGTTACCTACAAGTTTTTGTCTAAAATTAATTAAATAAATTGCCGAGTTATCTTTGAGTGTAAACATTGTAGTTGGTGTGGACAATATAAACCAAATTGATAACAACGAACACAAAACACTTATTGCAGCGCAAGTACGAGTGTAATATCGATAGCCTGCTCCTACGTAGTTGTTTAGAAGGATAACATTCAGTCGTCAGCTTTCAGTGTTACGGGCCGCTTGTGTGTGTTTTGAACTGAGTAATTTCATTTGTTTACGTGTGCCGTATATAGAAATTAAATAAATATGAGTTCTCTTGTTAATAGTGACGACGTGCCAATATCAAATCTACCGAACAACGATAGAATTCTTCGTTTGAAACAAATCTTTTGTGATGAATTCGGGTGTGAACCACTATTTTATGTTCGAGTGCCGGGCCGTGTCAATCTCATTGGCGAGCACATCGATTATTGTGGCTATCCAGTGTTGCCCATGGCGTTGGAGCAGGATATTTTGATTGCCGCTGGATTAATTAATGAACCAAAACTGTATTTAAAAAATGTTAATAATAAATATGATAAATTTGATACTGACATTCGAAGCCATGACAATATTAAAATTATATCGGACGTCGACGGAAAGCCATTTTGGTATAATTATGTATTATGTGGAGTAAAGGGAGGGTTGGAATTTTTAAACAATAAAATTGTTAAAGGCCTACAACTTTGTGTAGATGGAAATGTCCCTCCAGCGTCTGGTCTTTCAAGCTCGTCAGCATTAGTAAGTGCTGCATGTTTGGCTTTGTTGTATGCACAGAATGTACCTTTGAGTAAAACTGAAATTGCTTCTTTGTGTGCAAAAAGTGAAAGATATATTGGAACTGAAGGAGGTGGAATGGATCAAGCAATTGCCTTTCTGGGCCAAAAAAATTGTGCTCAATACATTACATGGCAACCCTTGAAAGCTACGCCAGTAACTCTACCAGCGAATGCTGTTTTCATCGTTGCTCATAGTTTGGCAAAATTAAATAAAGCAGCTACTAATGATTACAATCGACGTGTTACAGAATGTCGACTGGCGGCTAAAATTCTAGTTACATGCGCAGGTGCCATAACTGATAAGAAAATTATTACTCTCGGCCAAGCACAACATAAGCTTGATAAGAATCTTGAAGATATGGTGAAACTTGTCCATGAGTATTTACCAAAAGATGTATATACAAAACACAATGTTTGTGAGATTTTAAACATCAGTGAAAAAGAGTTGAACGAATTGTATTGTGCAGCAAACACAAAACACTTAACAGAATTTAAATTAAAACAGCGCGCCTTGCACGTTTACGAAGAAGCGATTCGTGTGGAAGAATTTCGTAAACAATGTGTGGAATCTGTTCAAAACAAAAACGGTGTCAATGGCGTCTGTGAAACAAAAGAGTATACTGTTCATGAGAATGGTCACAGAAACGACAGTGTTTGTAATGTCCTAGGACAGCTAATGACAGAGAGTCATAAAAGTTTGAAGAACCTTTACGAGTGTTCGCATGCAAACTTGGACTATCTAGTTGAATTGTTAGAAGAAATAAATGTTCACTCCCGCCTGACTGGGGCAGGATGGGGCGGGTGCATTGTGGCTTTATGTCCTAGAGCAAAAGTAGAGCAATGTATAGAAATGTTAATTGAAAAATTTTATGTAAAATATTGTAAGTTAGATAAAGAAGCAGCACGCTCCTATGTGTTTGCTACTACACCTAACCATGGTGCTGAAATATACGTTAATAAATAGAATGTAAAATTGTACCGTCACATATTATGTAGAAATTTCAGGTATTTTTTCGTAAACTTTCATTATTAGTTATAAGTAAAAAGTCATAAATCCACCTATTTAAGTTTAACTAAGTATATTTTCATTTCATTTACATTTAATATATGTTTGAACGAACTGATGAACTACGAATCTAAGAGAAATTATTTACCTATGTGTCATTTAGCTACATTCTATTTCACGTGCATTTATTGAATTATTACGTCATAACAATTATATTTGGGTAAATTATTTATAAATAAAATACACATTATCATACAGGAAATCGTTTTCTTTATTTTTGAACACACATCTTTGACTACCTCGGTGGCGCAGTGGTAACGTATGCGACTGCTGTACTGAGTTCTTGGGTTCATGCCCGGGTCGGACCAAATGTTTGTTTCTTAGTTTGGGGGTTTTCTGTGTATAATATGTACGTATTTACGAGAATTTATGATGATGATGTGATGATGTGATTTACGAGAAAAAGTATTCTATCAGTCAATCTAGTTTTCGAAACTTAGTTCGAAACTAGATGGCGTTGTGTTAGATGTTCGAAATATTATTATTATTCTCTTTATTTCATTAAATATACATATAAATCACGTGCCTAAACATATTTATGTATGGGGTCTACCAATAAGAACGTCCTGGTTTAAAAATTGAATAAAACACAATTTTTTTATGAAAAATGTGCATCCGATTGATTTATTTGATAGATAATTTTATGCAATTTATGTTTTAAATAATATATCGGCCAAATGACCGCCGCGGCTCTTATTGCAGACCCGCTCACGCCAATTTTCGATGACGCGGTGCACCATTTTGGCTATGGCTCGTCGAATGTTGGTTTTTAGGTCACGAATTGTAGCTGGATTATTGCTGTACACTTTAGATTTAACGTAACCCCGAAGAAAATAGTCTAAAGGTGTTAAATCACACGATCTTGGTGGCCAACTGATCGGACCACCAAACTTTCCACGGAATAATTCCATGTACACTCGAGTAATGTGAGTTCGTGCATCGTCTTGTTGAAAATAAAGGTCGTCTGCATCAATATCATCAAATTCCGGAAAGAAATATTCGGTTAACATCGAGTTATAGCGCTCGCCATTCACAGTTCGCGAGTCTCTTAAGATGTTGGTCGAGGCTCTAAGCAATAAATCCATCCATCCATCCGAATCCACATCCCACATGTCGGCAATCTCGTCTTTACTTGTTTATCTATTTCAGCTTTCAAGAGATTGTCGTCATGTGGAATGGTAATGTCAACAATCATTGCACGGCGCTCTAATCGGTCTATTACCACTATATGAGGTTTATTAACAACAATAGTCCTGTCAGTGATAATAGGGTGATCCCAGTACAACGTTGCACGACCACTTTAAGGAACTGGGTTGGCAGATATTTGTAGTACGGTAAGTCCACAGTTACAGGTTTATACTTAAGAGCAAGTTGCTGATGGACTATCCTGGCCGCTTGGTCATGTCTATGCAAGTACTCGCCGTTACAGTATTATTATTAGAGTGTGTGATTTAGTACAATGTTTATGTGAATAAGCCACTTGAAGCGGCTATGCGATGGCCGTATACGTAGCAAAGGGCACACAACTGATGAGCTAATAGATGAAATAAGTAACTTCCAGAGTGGTGAACATTACACATATTTATTGGGATGTCCCCCAAATATGACTCGTAAATATACCGATCAGATAATATAACGATCAGACTGAAATTCATACAAACGTGAACAGAAACAGACTGAAACAGTTACCACGAGCCACACAGAATGCCGCAATTAAGCAATTCTTTCGATGCTTTTCATCAAGTGAGTGAGGTTAATGCAGCAGCCCAAACTTCCCCCCTGACTCTAAGGGAAGGAACTCAAAGGGAGGCAAAGTGACCACAGATTGACTCTTGAGTTACAGGTGCCCATGGGCGGCGGTAGTTACTTACCATTAGGTGACCCTTCTGCTCGTTTGCCTCCTTATTCCATAAAAGAAACAGCAAGCGACTCCGCGTTGTCCGCCTAACCAAAAAATAATAGAAACATAAAATAAATATACGATGGATTTTTAATTACAATCTTTTTTTAGATACGAATGTACAGAACTATATTGTTAATTGTTTACATTTTTCCATAAAAGAAGTTTATACGAAAAGGATAGGTACAGTGACAGCTGTGACCTCAGAGTATGCCGTGACAGTACAACAGACTGCAAATAATCCAACAATGCCTTATACTTTTTGACAAGTGTCAATCATTCGTAAAGAATTCGTGATTATTTCACAATTCTTTAATAAACTTACGTTTCACTCATTGTATTTAGAGCATATAATAACATTTGCAATATAAGCTGATACTCTTATTTCTATACTCTGTATTTACCATTAGTTTAAAGGTAAGTTTATATTCTGCTACCTGTTATGTTGATGGTATAGAATACACGTTTATTTACTTTATAAGCCTAGAATAAATTAAAATTTAAATAAATTTTATAGCCTGCTCAGGATAAGCAGCAATGGTTTTCTCTGAGGTATAGTTATTTATGAAATTAATGCTGTGATGTGTCACGTAATATTTTGAGGTTATGTTACATTGCTCATATGTTATTGATAATATTTATTTGCTTTTCACGTTCCTATTTAATGTTATTCTCTACATTTCAATTTATATTATTTTTTTAGAAAAGACGATTTTTTCTTGTCGAGCATGAAGTATTTATTAATCGACAAGGCTTGTTAAAGAATTGTTTGCATTCGTAATTTAAGTATCCAAATTATTCTTTTAACCCTTTTGTTTTATAGTATTAAGAGTTCATCATAGTATTCCCTTCACAGGAAGAATCTAAACCTACAACAACTGAATTAAAAACCTGTTGGTCTTCATCATATAAAGTAATAGGATCTGACCAAGATATAAATGAAGTAGTGTGTGTTTCCTTAGATAGAGAAAGAGTTGGACCGCATACTCCAGAAGGAGATGAAAAGGAGAATCTAGTAAGTCTATCTTATTTGCCCTGTGCTTGTAAACTTATTAATTTTCTTAAATATCATTATAAAACATTTTAATACTTGGTTTACAGGAAGATAATAACAATTATCAATCTAACAAAAAGTCTAAAGCAACTGCCAAGAGAAGAAGCAGAAGGAATAAACTAAAATCACATAGATCCTCAGAAAATTATTCCAATGGTACTTCAAATGATCTAAATTGTTTACATGTATGTGAATGTTCTGGTCAAAATGCTATATTAAATCATACCATACAAAAAAGAGATGAGAAAGACAATCAAATAAATAAAAAAGAAGAAGAAAACAAAAAGATGTCTGATAATAAATCTAGAGATGATGTTAAAGCTGCTAGACAAGCAAAGAAACTGGCAAAACAGAAAGGAAAAGCTAAAGATTCTACAGAAGTAAAAGATAAACCTGAAGAAGTGACAAAACAAGATGTAGAAGTAACAAAACAATCTGTGGAAGTGGCAAACGAACAAGCAGAAGTAATAGATAAAGTGACAGAAATAAAGGGAACAGGATCTTCTCCTAAAAGTAAAGATGAAGTAGATAAAGTAGGTCTTAAAGTAGAATCTGTGTCAATAGATGGTGATAAAGATAAGGAACAAATAAAGGCTGAAAGAGCTGCAAAGAAGGCAGCTAAACAAGCTAAGAAAAGAGGTGCAGGGGAGGGAGAAGCACCTAAAGGTAATGAACAAGTTTCTGAAGCAAGTGACAGTAATTTGTCTAAACCTGTCAATGAAGATATGACCGTGAAAGATGTTGTTGAGACATTGAGAGATATTGTGATTGTGGCAAAAGATATTAAAAATGTTACAGACAAAGTTAGTGCTATTGATTTAAGTGGGAGAAAGGTAAGTTAAGCAACTGCTGCATGGATGGCATAGTAGTTTAAGTAGTCACCTTAAATGGTGGTCACTTCGGTCACTTCCTACTGCGATGAGTCGATCCCTACATGGGGCAACACTCTGTGTGATCCACAAGTTGTTGCTCTGTGTATGGTTGTCTTTTTGCCTGTTTCATTTATGTTGTAAAGTCCAGGATTTATTCCTAGTGCGGCAGAAGTATTATCATAGAATTGTTAAAGAAAATTTATGTATGCATATGGTTTCAATACTGCGACATGACATGAAATTTTTCTTTTTATTTGAATTTACTTATTTTAGTAATTTTTTAGTCACAACCAGACGGAAACAAAAAAAGTAAACCAGAGGAGAGTGGAAAAAGCAAAGCAGAGTTAAAGGCAGAAAGACGGGCCAAACAAGAAGCGCAAAGAGCACTTAAACAAGCCTCTCAAGAACATAAAGAAGTTACTAAACCTAAAGCAGATGTTAAAGCAATTGTTACGAAAGATACTCCTAGTAAAGATGTAAGTCTCCTTACAAGGGTTTGTTAGGGTTTAAAATTAGAACAATACATGTAATTTGACTGTCTCGGTGGTGCAGTGGTAACATATGCGACTGCTGTGCTGAGGTCTCAGGTTCCATTCCTGCTTCGGACCAAATGTTTGTATGATCTACAAATGTTTGTTTCAGAGTTTGGATATCTTCTGAGTATAATGTGTATGTATTTACAAAACAATAGTCATGCATTTTATCAGTCAATCTAGCTTTCATAGTACAAACTATGCTTAGTTTGAAACTAGATGGCTTTGTGTGTCTGATGTCGGAAAATATGACATTATTGTCCGAAAAAATTGTAAATTAGAGATTGACAAAATTTATTTGGATTAACTGCAATAATATGAATTATCACTGATTGCACTTATTGATAAACATGGTAATGGCTTTCCCGTGAGACAGCCGTGCTTCAGCAAATTTCAGTCAGCTATGGACTGTGGTAGTCATTTAAGGTAAATTAGAAATTGACAGAATTTATTTGGATTAACTGCAATAATATGAATTATCACTGATTGCACTTATTGATAAACATGGTAATGGCTTTCCCGTGAGACAGCCATGCTTCAGCAAATTTCAGTCAGAAAAAAAGAGTTGATTAAATATCTGCAAAAACTAGACTATGAAGAGACTGAAAAACTCATGAACACTATTCAATAACAGTTGCAAACATACACACACACACACACACACCACACACACACACACATAAACACACACACACACACACACACACAAGACCACATTATACTCAAGCACATGCACAGACTGGATTGATTTTATATTGTATAGCTTACATACAATATATAATAGTAAGGCTTAATGTGCAATTGGGGAGTTGGCGCTGATAGTCGAAATACAGGCTTCGCCTAGTTCGACTTCAGATGCTTGATTCTTTTAATTTTAAGACATATTAATATGGATGTTTAAAGATGTAACCTGTAAGTTTGTGTGTGTAAATTTATAAATAAATAAATAAAAAAAAAAAAAAAAAAAAAAAAAAAAATAAGCTATGGGCTGTGGTAGTCATTTAAGGTGTTTTCTCTGTTCGTTTACTTCTGATCTTAAACTGTTTGCTATTCTCTACATTCTTTTCAAATTGACATAATGACTGTGAACTTGGTTGACTGCTATATGATGATGCTATATGGTGATGGCTATATGTATAAAGGCTTGTTTTGTTTCATTAATCATTTCTAATTTCTTAGAGTTTCCTGAAAAATTTGGTAACAGGAACATTGGGAAACTTTCTAAAATTTTCATGGTCAATTTGATTAAGTAGTCTTCTAGTTCATTTATCTCATTTGTGATTTGTGAAGGCTAAAATTATTTACCCTACACTTATTTTTATTATTTACTGTTTATTTACTGAAATTCATCCATTGTAACTGCTGAAGTAATGCCATCAAACATTGATTTCTTTCGAGATTGATTTAACAATTAATTTTGTTTGTTTTAGGATAAAATAGTGAAAGCAAAGGCTGAAAAATCTAAAGCAAAATCTCTGAATTCCCACAGAGTCAATTGGTTCCAGCATCTATACAAAGAACAAGACAAACCTCTTAAGTCTATTGCAATAAATTCACAGTAAGTAACATGGGCTTATTATAAAATATGGTGGACCAACTCTGTTGACTGCATGGATGGTGTAATGGCTTAAGCGGTCGCCACGCCGCTTACTACTGCGATGAGTGTTGTGGGTCCGCATGGGACGACACTTTGTGTGATCCACAAATTGTTGTTCTGAGTCTGGGTGTTCTTTGTGTCCGTTTCATGTATGTTTGTAAAGTACCCCGCGACACAATGCGGGAGTTGTCTTTTTCTTACTACTAAAAAATTAAAGGAGGCTATAGTATTTTTTTTCAATAACTTAAAATAAATTTATAAATATACTTATTAAAGTGAATAAATTAAGTAGGTGTAAGGAATGATACATGATGAGACATATATTGAACGTAGACTCTCCAGTGTCTACACCCATTTTATCACTATTTTAAAATAAATTGATCTCTTAATATAAACATGTGTCGTGATTCTATGGGCCTGGATAACACAGGAATATGGATGCTTAATTATTAAGAATTATCTGTGTTTATAATCTATCAACAAGCACTCATCGAAAATAAGTAAAAATGATAAGGAATATTTTTTTCTTGACAACTATGTGAATAAGGTTTTATGGCATTGCTCCTACACAAGGTAGTTCATATAAGTTTACCGGCTGATTCGTCTGTCTCTCTCCAAGGAACAAATTTGCCCCGTTTTTGCAACATTTTTTATTGATGCTCGACCTCTATTGGTGGTGCCGTGATGTTATATTCCTGGCCCTCCTCGATAAATGGGCTATCCTCCACTAAAGGAATTTTTCAATTCGAACCAGTAGTTCCTGAGATTAGTGTGTTCAACCAAACAAACTTCAGCAAAATAATTACAAACTTTAGCATTAGAATATTAACAAAGATTATATACTCAATATAAATAAGTCTAACTTCCTTATTACTTTTTTTACTTCTTTACTTTGAAACCGATGAAATTTTAACGTAACCTTCTGCGTAACAAAATGAATGTTATGTAAAATAACATTAATGATTTACATGCATGAAAGATAATACATTTTTAGATATCTCCTATTATTATAGTGAACAGCGCTTCATCTGCATTTTTCTGATTTGGTCTTACAGTCACTTCTTATGTATAACAAATATTAAATTATATATATACATTATATATAATACATTAGCTTTTTCGGCTCCGGCCAGCGCAAATTACGGTTATCGCGGTAAAAATGTCTGTCTTTTCTCAAGAATCAAAGTATTTCGATTCCAAATTTCATCTAAATCGGGCCAGCGGTTATTCATTCCCCATACAAACTTCCACTTCCCTTTTCAACCCCTTAAAGGATGATTTCCTGAATAAAACTACCCTACGTCCTTTCCCGGGACTCGGACTGTATGTATACCAAATTTCATCGAAATCGGTTCAGCGGTTCAAGCGTGCAGAGGTAACAGACAGAGAGACACACAGTTTCGCATTTAAAATATTAGTATCGAAGTACAAAACTTGTAGATTTTGAAGCGATTATAACTTCATATTCGAGGGAGGGAGGGAGGGAGCCTGTAACTTATACTGAGGGCCAAGTGCGAGTTTATTTCACTTCTACTCGATCGTCACGGTGACCGCGTTCTGCGCTACGATTGGCCCGCACTAAAATCTCCACCAATCACAACGCTAAAGGCGCTCGCCATCAAGACCGAGTCGATGTCAAATAAACTTGCACTCGGCCCTCTGTTCTTGATAATATGTTATAGCCTTTAATAATCGTAAACAAGATTGCGTCAGCTTTAACTACAAACTGTTACAGAAACAATGCACGGTAACGAATGATAACTCACAATCTAGACTTGAATTTATAGATATGTAAGTGTATCTGACTGTTTTCAAGTGGTATAAAATTATAAAACACAAAGCCTGTATGCAATTGACCTCGTCTGAAGAATTATTGACCTCATTTGGCGAGACAGTTGAGACAATGCTATGCACTTATTGAACAACATGTGTATATGAATAATTTGGTTAATTTCATTATCACTGATAGACAACGAATAAAGAAACACATTACATCCCTACTAATATTACAAAAGCTAAAGTAACCCTAATCGCCTGTCTGTTACGATTTTAATGAATTTTGATATGGAAGTACTTCGATTCTTGAGGACTTTCTAAAATATACTACTTTCTAAAATCTATATAAACATATTGGTTATCGCTATAGAAAGTAGCTTATCTCCTTTTATATTTTTATTGATTTGCGGTCGGGCAAAGTCAAGTTACCCATATAAATGTCTAAAAGCCAAAAACGCTTCGGCGGTTTTTTAAATATCAGACATAAACACTAAGTAAAATTACATAATATAAATACAAAAACACCAGAAACATAGCTTTGCTAGTTTGTATCTATACTTTTATTATAAATGTAAAAGTGGGTTTGTTTTTTGTTTGTAACGCTTTTACGCCTAAACTACTAAAGCAATTTCAATAGAAAGCTACATTATCAGCGAGTTACATGGACTACTTTTTACCGCGATGACCGACATACACGCGGGTGGAGCCACTGGCTAAAGCTAGTAGTGAATAAACTCTAAACGTAATCGCCTACATGGATAGCGTAGTGGTTTAAGCGGTCGCCACGCCGCTCACTACTAGGCTGAGTGTTATGGGTCCGATCCCTACATAGGACGACACTTTGTGTGATCTGGTGAAAAAATAGAAACCGGTTCATAATTCCATGATTTTATGAAGAAGTTTATTTTAATTGTGCGAGTTATGGCTTAAAAAGTATGAAAAGTCAAACAGTACCTCTTAGATTAGATGGACTACCTATAGTAAACACTTGGAAGAAGCTTCAATATCTAGTATATGTACATAGAAGTATAACTATATTGTAGACTCTACCACACACACACACACACACACACACACACACACACAAACACTCTTCCCCGTAGCTATTATTTTGTTTTTGTTCTTGTGGTTCGTGTGTAAACCCACTCAGGCCATCACTCAACCGGGATTTGCGGTGAGGCAAGGTATGTCGGCATCGAACTGACTAAAATCACACGGTGTGGCATATTGCACCTTAAAGAGACCTATCCGGAAACAGCTTTTATTAAGACATCCAGCCACCTCCTCCTTCCTAGGGTATACTCGAACCTCTTGCAATAGACTTACATGTAACGGGCGGAACACCGTGTGTTATTAGTCGATTCGATTCCGACATACTTCTTCCCCGTGAGCGTCGATGAGGTGTTTGTTTTTCACACCGTAAAAAAAGTAGTCTTCTTATTTACAAAGATCATTTTGCACGTGTCTCATTTTTAATGTAGTGTTCTCTTATTACATTTTATCCTCAGCTTGCATCCAGCCATTATTAAGTTGGGTGTGCAGTTGGCGACGAGGGTTGTGACCGGCTCGAATGCTAGGTGCGTCGCTCTATTGGACGCTCTCAAAAAGGTAACAATTAACAGATTTTTTGTTTTGCAGCTTTAAGCCAGTGTCTAAGGCGGATGCAGCTTTTGATTGAATCAAAAGCTCCCTTCTTACTTTTTATGTAGTTAGTATTCAGCTCGAAATTTGAAAACCTACTTCAAATCGTTCCAACTAGACCGAATCCTAGAGAGGGCATGACTCATTTGTGTAAATTTCGTTAAAATTGTTTGCTTGACAATTTGTTGTTAACACTACGAATGTGTATCTATGTGTGTAAGTGTAGTATAAATTAGTGTGATAATAAAATAACGAGAACACATTTCCTGTCACTCGATAAATGCTAACAATTATAAACTATAATTTCCTTAGAATTACCAAATGCGAATAATTGCTCTTTTAATATCATTTAACTTGAAAAAGGTAATATATACTCCTAATACTCAAGGAGCTCGTCTACCTGCAACATCTATACAAATGAATAAAATTGGAGTGTCTGTTTGTAATATTAAAATAACCGCTTTTTACTAAATGCATATGTTACACGCTACATATGCCAAAATATCTTTTTTTTTAATTTTTGTCTGTCTGTCTGTGTTTGTTCCGGATAATCTCTGGAACGGCTATACCGATTTCGACGGCAATTTCACTGGCAGATAGCTGATGACATAAGGAGTAACTTAGGCTACTAGTTTTTTTAGACTAGCTTCGCCCCGCGTTGCCCGCGGTTATAACAACAAACTCAGCTAGTATAGAATAGATACGATCACACAGGTACAGGTGATAAACGAAAAATAGTATCATAGAGCGTTAAACCCATCCATCTAGTGGTTTTTAAGATTATCCCAGATATACTAAAATCCGGATCTTATTAAGATTTTCTATTATCTATGCAAAATAGCTGTGGTGGTTCAATTCGCCGTTCTTTTCCAAAGTAGCGGCCGTTTGATTTTCCGTTACGGGGCTACAGAAAAGTTTCTACAAAACAATACTTACACGTGTGCAAGCAACGGAATTATTATTTTGAAGTCACTAGTAAAATGTCAGCATGGTGTGCGCTCATATGTCTGATTATAATTATATAGAACTTTAAACTAACTTTATATAGCATGATTTCATGATATATCTCAAAACGTAGATGGTCCGAGACTACACGCTGCCAGCCAAAACAGAGTTTGGTCGGGGTCTGGAGGCTCATCTGGCGGCCAGTGTCGAGTTCTTGTGGGCGCAGCGCGCACCTTCTGCGTCACAGAGCAACGCTGTCAAGTTCTTCCGCTACCATCTCACTCAGCTACCCAATAATGTTGATGAATTTGACGTGAGTATTGCGTCTTCCTTCTATTTTTTTTTTTACAACTCCCGCACTAGGAATGTATCCTGTGTCGCGGGGGACTTTACAAACATACATGAATTGGACACAACGAACACCCAAACTCAGATCGACAATTTCTGGATCACACAAAGTGTCGTTCCATGTGGGGATCGGACCCACAACACTCAGCTTAAACCACTACGCCATCCGTGCAGTCAACTGCATTGTTAAATGTGTAAAATTTTCATCTAGGATTTGAAGGCTGTAACTGTATAAGAGTCATGCCTCCCCTACATAGGTGCCGGCGTTAAACATTTTTTTTGTTGCATTACACCGGATCAGGGCCTCAATTCTGTTATTTTATGTTAACGCCAAGCCACTGTCATTCCATTGACACGCTATTGAGATGCCATTGAGACGCCATTAACATCGGTCAAAATATTATTAGTATCCTACTAGTACCTATTAGTATCCTACTAACATAAATTCACAGTGTCTATAGACTGTCGATATAGAAATATATATCATCAATGGTGATATCAACAACATCGCCATACCTGGAAAATTAAATATATAATTTTCTTACAAAGTTAAAATGTACCGTTTACCAAACTGTTACAAAGACATTTGTATCAGTGACACGTCATCAGGAGGCTATTACACTTAACTTTCTTGACTGTACTTTTGTAAAACCAGTACTTTTGATTTTGATTCTACAAATTTACATAATTAAGGTAGATGCATATTTTTATTCTAATATTCACTATGTCTATATCCCTTTATCAGGCAAAGAAAACTTTACAAGAAGAGATTGACAGATACATCAGAGAGCAAATCGATATGGCCGGTGAGGCTATCAGTATAGCAGTGCGCAACAAGATCTCTGAAGGAGACAATATATTGACCTATGGACGGTAAGTAACGAAGTATAAAATGTATATTATGGATTTTTCAAACACACACAGCGTACTATAATTTCAAATAGAGAGAATTAAAATAAATATATTTATACATAGATATCATATTTATATTGTGATAGATAATTGTTCACTTGTGTCAAAAATGGGTTTGTGCATATAAAACTATTTTAATGTTTGTTGAAAAAATATTATTAATAAAAAATGAGCTGTTGCGTTGTCGAGTAAAGAAGGATACCTTATGAAAGGAAAAAAGTAAATATAGCACAATTAAAAAGCGTTGACTTATTTGCGCATGGAGACGTGTCGCCACACTGCATTACATGTTACATATACAATACACAATACAATGTATCACATAGCGGGGCGACGCTTAGTCACGCCAACAGCCGGTCTGACCCTCCGCATTAGTTGTTTCAAATCAAAACGAATCAATGTTTCACGTTTTTATACATAAAGTTATTCAGAAAAGCTATAACTAACGTAATTAATAACTTGAAAAAGAATGATCGTATTTTTGAATTCGTCATCGGAAACGTATATTAATGTTGGGTGCAACGCAAATTAAATTATGTAAATATTAATTATATAAGCATTATTAAAATAAATTCAGTAATGAATTCTGTATAAAAATAACCTGTTCCGTTCTTCATCGTAACTTATCTATCTACATGTCTGCATTAGTAAGAAAAGTGAAGTGGGTGTTAGTTTAGTGCATGAGGTGTGTCGTTCGGCAGGTCGTCGCTGGTGGAGCGCATCCTGCGCGAGGCGTGGTCGGGCGGCGCGCGGTTCCGCGTGGTGGTGGCGGGGTCGCGCGCGCTGGCCGCGCACGGGCTGCTGCGCGCGCTCGTGGCGCACGGCCTGCCCTGCACCTACGTCGACATCACGGCGCTGCAGCACGTCATGAGCACGGTACTAACGGAAAACCGCTGTTGAGCTGTTTCCTCGTTGCTTTTCATCAATTAAGTGACGTTACCGGGGCCCAAACCCAGAGGAATTTTCCTTAACTCTAGGGGAAGGACTTAAAGATAGTCATTTACCATCAGGTGATCCATCTGCTCGCTTACCTTTTACTATAAAAAAAACGTATCAGTTTACACTGGCAGCAAAAAATAAGCAAGCCTCAAAGTAGTTGTGTATGATGCGTAACGTTTGACATTTCACCTACCGTTTGGCTATGCCTTTAGCACTGTTTTCGTTGATTTAATTTAATTGCTCATGCTTCTTCGATTTCTGTTACACGTTTCCGTCCCATTTGATGAAATCACACACAGATTGCAGAAAAGCGAAAAAAAAGATGTTAGCCAGCAAAAACTACGATACATTTCAATCATTTCTTGATATACTGTTTATCTGACTACCAAACAACCTACTGACTATCCACTATAATCATCATTTTCTGCGATAATCCCCGAAACATATGCAAACCACATCCATTATCCAGTTCATTATAAAATAGGTGTGTTTTTTTATCAATTTGGTTTGATGTAAATTTTAGTTTCATTTAGTTATTAGGTACATTGACAAATATTGAATATAACATAAGACAGTCATTTGCAAGGACATATTCAATTTATTAAGTAAAAATACTAAGAAAAAATTAAAAATAAAACCCTCAAGCTTTTTACGTATAGCGAATTCGAGTTACAGGTATTCTTGACCTGCTCAAGCTTTTCTTACATTCCTCAAACCATTTGCATGAGCCATTTTGCTTTCCTTCCCCGCTTATCTAACTTTTCTTTTAAAATGATGTAGTTATAGTTATTTTTACATTCGATTGGGAGACATAGTTAACTGGGTCTAATATTATAATTGGCTTAAGGCGGTCGTATATGTATGTATAATAAAGTAAGAAGTATGCGGTGGTCGTTAGATCAACAAGGTGATAGTGGGCGCGGGCGCGCTGCTGGGCAACGGGTCGGTGCTGGGCGCGGTCGGCACGGCGCAGGTGGCGCTGGCGGCGCGCGCGCACAACGTGCCCACGCTCGTGGCCTGCGAGACGCACAAGTTCAGCCCGCGCGTGCAGACCGACGCCTTCGTCTACAACGAGATCGGTACGTCTGCCTCCTCTGTCCTTCTCTTTATTGAAATAATCATTTTGCTTTTTTAGAACAAATCTTAAATGATAAAATAAACGCGGGCGAAACGGCAGGGGGACGAGTAAAAGCTATTGAATTACTAAATTTACTTTTCCGTATATTAACTACAAATCATTGTAACAAAGATTTTATGTAATCATAGAATTAATTAATTAATTAATAACAAATTAATAATTCCCTCAGCCTAAGGTTCAAATTTCTTAACATATTTTTAAATTTACTTACTTATTTTATAATCATCAAATATTTAAAGAATATAAATAGAATCGATAAAGCTAGTCTAATCCATTTGAGTCAATTTAAACTTTGTTTCCATAAACAATCTCTTAACAACCCTAACAAATTCTAATTTTTCAGGCGATCCAGATGACCTAGTTGATAAATCAGACAACAACTCACCCTTAAAGGACTGGCGTTCGAATCCGAACCTGACGCCATTAAACCTAACCTATGATGTCACACCCGCCAGCCTCGTCACTGCTGTCGTCACGGAGCTAGCCATCTTGCCTTGCACCAGCGCCCCTGTCGTGTTGAGGTTCAAATTGTCGGAATATGGTGTATAAACTGATTATTATAAAGATTCGGTGAAGATGAAAAGAACTTGCATGTCAAATGGAAATAGTCGTCTTATTTATACAAGTAGTGTCTGTTTGTAATGTCATAATAACAGTTTTTTTACTTAATGTAGTATCTGTACATTTGTTTTGGCTGATCTCCAATTTCCACTGAACTTTCAGCCGATTTTGTAAATCTTATTTTGTAAGAAATATTAGTGCTACGCCGAAAATATGAATAGTACCTGCATGTGATCGAACTCGCGGCGGACACAACTAGTAAAACATGAATTAATTACACTTTAAGTTTTTTTTTTTGTTCTTATATTATTTATTATTCAATTTTGGTCCTTATTACATTCTCAGGTTGTAGCATTTTCTATTCATCTTTATCTATCTTCCAAAAACAAGTTAATTTCTGTAACAAAAAGGGCTTAAATATATATTATTTGTTGACCAATTATTGTACGTATTATTGAACTATAACTCTTGTAAAATTATCTCACATGGTGTTCAATTTGCACATGTAACGACACTATCAGTAAAAATATTTTTATATTTAGGTGTAAATATAATAAAAGTTCATTTTTCAACCCCTCTTACCCATCTCTTTCTTACCTGTAACACATTATTAAAGAAGATAGATCGTTACAGATTTCCTCTAATTCTTCTCAAGTGGTTCCCCTCACCATCGTATAAATAATATAGTGTATTTGTATGGGAAGTTTCTACTGAAGGTTATTTTTAGTTTTTAGTAATTCGTCACCAAACATGTCTGTAGCCCAAGCCTTCCAATCTTTTTATTGTTTTTTTTTATTTACATTATAATGGTAATCCTGAGGGATTAGTGAAGCCTATGACAGCTCGCTTTTACAGAACCATCTAACTCGCTCGGGTTTCTTTCTCCTCTACACTTCAAGGTTTAAAATAAACATATAACATATAAATTATTCTCATTGTAAACTAGCCGTTCTCCCCCAAGTTATTATCCCCGAGTTTTACGATTACCAACATTTTAAACCATATTTTTTTATGGATTTGCATTAATTTAGTAGGTATTTAACAATTTTCTCAATAAAAGCGCTATTAGTGCTATTCAAAAGAGTATAGAACATTAGTTTTAAAAAGCGACATTTCAGAAAAACATTTGTTGTCGCTATTCGTGTAAAACACTGCTTATAGTTAGCAAATTTTTGTGTAACGCTAAGAACACTCGTAAGGGTACTTATTAACTTGAAATGCTCTATTGTAAATATGATTTTGTAAATTTTCTTCTGTAGAAAATGAACCTAATAAATTCTATTTTGTCAACTCATTATTTTGATTACTTTATTTCTCAATATTATTACCTACTCCACTGAACTTATGAACGATTTGTGGTGACTGAATTGCATTTTTTTTATTTATGAACAAAATCACCTACAACTGAAGTATGTCTAAAGAGTAGACCCTCTTCTTAGTTTCTTCTTCTCCAGTTGGAGAAAAATATAAATATTATTAATTTCCTAAATTTATTTTAACGTATGTAATGTACGACACATTAGGCAAAGTCTATCTATCTATTTATCATCTACCGGTGGCCATGATGGTTTTATTTAATAGGATGAAACGAGTACTGTGACACTTTACATAGAATTTACTGTGTTCATTTACTTAACATGATGATTACAGCCTGATCTAGTTTTTTTTTACTAACCACCGACGGAAAACGACTTCTGTCTGTCTGTGGCATCATAGCTCCCGAATGGACGGAACAATTTCGATTCGGATTTTTTTGTTCGGAAGCAGATGTGATCTGTTAATCACATCTGCTTTCGAACAAAAAAATCCAATTCAATCCAATCAGACAAAAAAAAATATAGCTAAGAACCAACATGGTTCTTAGCTATAAATTTTAAAGATCATGAGCTCACTTCCTAGGTGATGAAGGGATCTTGCTAAAATCCACAGGTCCCATTGATCTGAAATTTGGTATACTGTTACTTTAATGGTATGTCCAGGACATGGTAACCTGGAACTTGCTGCTGGATCAAGTAGTCTGCAGGATAGCCAACTCCTCAGAAAATTACAGCATATATACCATGTTTGGGCTTATTAGAACAGTCTTAACGATAAGTTGTTATCATTTACTGAATTTCTTGATCTTTATAGTTCAGTTTAAGCTGACTTATGTGGATTACGTTTTTTGTCGAGTTTTTTATTTTATTTTAAAACAATTGTTTGTTGTTCTTATAAGCATCTGTACAAACCTATTCTTAAAGACATATGATCCTTTAGAATGAAAGTGGAATATTTCAAGGACCTTAGTTATTTTTTAACTTTTTAAGCAGTTAAATACATTTTTAAAGGGGAAAGTATCAGGGTTATCCATAGCAAAAAATATTTTGTGTCAAAATGTGATATGTATATAGCGATAAATTTCATACAGATGTGGTGCTCAGAAACTATAAAACAGAGAATATAAAAGGTTTTATGATAAAAATAAAACTACAATATATTAATTAAAAAACACTTCTATTCAGAATATAACATTGCACCACCATATAAATGCACATAAACAAAATGTGTTTAGACTATAAATGAATAGAATAATAAATAAAATTAACTTTTTTAATCTTTATGGTGATGATCAGCCTTATGGATAGAGAAATCTAATCTTACATAGATAATTACACATAGGAATAAAGCATAGAGGAACCCTACAACAAGTAAAGGCTCCTGTAACATAAGGAGACGTGGGAATGTGTAGCGTAGTTGGAAATCTTGAATATGGTTTTCAACTATATTTTTCTTTAAGAAAGATATTACTGGACGTCCCTTAGTATCTAAGTATGTATAGTGTAGACTGTCTGGCAGCCTGGTCACTGCATAGGGCAGGTTAAGTTTTATATTTGTTGATCCCTCAGGCAAAATGATCTTTGTAACTAACTCATCAACTTGCATGTCATCATAGATGTGATCAATTACTCTCATCTTGAGTAAGTATTCATTGCCTGATTGGTACAAGTATTCATAGCTTGGCACATTGTAGCCAAGAGTGTAGTGAGTTCTCCATCCACCAAATAGTGGGTATCTGGGTCTCAGATCTAACTCTACAGAATCTTTTTTCACCTTCATGTTTGATGTTGAAATGTTGCCATTGGTATCTCTGTAATATACATCTGAGGCAGATGCAGGCAACAGAGTCTTATAAGATCTAACACTTGCAGGTCCACTGTGGTGGTCCTGTTGATAGTCATATCGTGAGAATGGTCCTTTTAGTTTTGCTCCTGTGTGCTCAATTTCTATAACCTCTTCTACTGCGATGTTGCCCCAGTGCGATACTTCAATAAGTCTCTCCACGCGGGTCACAGTTAAGAAGGGGGAGTTGTTCTTATAATGAATGACTAATTCCTTTTCACTAAACGGTTTCGTGTTAGCGTAGGCGCCGTATTGTATAGAACCATCTTGTTGAGAGAATGGCTTAACTTTAGTGAACGATTCAACGTTTTTTGTATTCACAACTACGTTGGTTTTCTGGGATACGACATAGTAAGGTGAATATGAGAACAAGTTACCGACGTATTTGATTAGTTGATCTTCTTGTTGTGTTATAGCTGTCGGATAAGGTTGAAGAGCTTTGGTGAAGACGGATTCTACGGTGATTGTTGCTGAAGCGCCAGCATTAACAGGCTCTTTGAGTTCCGCACGCCAAAACCTGACATAATCGTACCCTTTAACTGTTGTCTCAACCAGCCGTATTTCTTTATTGTTACTATCCTTAGCTCCAAAGAAGGCTACACTGTTTTTAGCATGATCTTCAACTGCTAATAAGAAATTCTTTGCCGGCGTACCTCCAATGTTTTCCAAGGTTATTCTACTTGTAATTTTTACCAGTTGTGAAGATATATCTATTGTTCGGTCGACATTTTTGAATCGTATATCACTAGATATAGTGTCTACGTTAATGCTTTCACATTTTACTATTATGTAAAGATAAAATATAAAAGAAAGCCGTATTTTCGCCATCGCCGGTAAAATCATTGATACTATTGCTATTGACGTTTGACAACGCAGTAATCGGAAGTACACGCCATCACTTTAAGCCGGAAATGGAACTGTAATGCTGATGGACTTGTCTGTGGTACCTACTTTAGTCGAGTATCAGGTACACTACTGACTTAATTTTTAAATTCAAAACATATATTTTTTTATTTGCAATAAAATCAGGTTTTTTATATTAAAATAATTATTACAGTTTGTACAATTTTATCTAATCGGTTTTTTGATGATCCAAAGTTAGTACAAGGACTAGCCACACCAATAGTACAGTGAAGTACGATTTCATTCCAAACTATTTAATTGTTTTAAGGATGCCAGTCATTTCTAATTATTTGGATTGTAGTGTTGTAAATCTACTCAATCAAGTTCAAGATTAACACTTTAAGAGCAGTAAGCAAAGTATTTTTATTTAAATACGGTGCTTAACTTCTATAGCACCATGTATTAAATAAGTTCAGTATTTCAACGGAAATTAACCATTTTAACCTATTAAAAAGTTCTATTAAATAAAATTAATTAATTTAGGGCCACTAACTCATTTAAAAAAATTAAATTAGATTTCCATTAGCCTAAATATTTTATTAAATGTTACAAAAATATAAATCGTTTAAATTGGCATCGATTTAAAATATTGAGTGACATTATATTATCGATTAAATTATATTTGAACTCAGATCTGTCATCCATCCCTATCTATCTACAAATCAGAACAAAACGTAACGTAAGAGTAATCATACATTATTAAAGTAGGTTAAAGTGAGTTGTGGAAGTGTTCGGTGTGTAGTTGTGTAGTAAACAAGCAGAAGAAATGAAATATATTATTTATGTCAAAAGTATTTTCAGCGGTTTGTAGAAACATAAACTGTAAGATACTTGCTTGAAGTTAATTTATCTACAGAACAAGTATTTCGCGTTTGCCTTGAAGAAGCGGTAATTGTTGATCGGTGTACCCACAGGAAATCCCAGTGTTCAGCAATGATATCCCTGTTGGTTCGCTTAAGCCTTGTGCTACTCGGTAAGTGGTGAAATGTTATTTCTTTCAGTCATAAAAATAAGTTTAGCGTTACTTAGTTTATTTCTCTGTAGTTTCAGCGCTTAGTAAAATAATACGAAATCTTTTATTGTTTTAACCTTGATCTTGACATAAAAGCTGTTTAATAGCCAATAACTTTTGCTAGAAAACAAAAAACGATTTATATGGAAAAAATATATGTGTGATAAATATTCATTGAGCGTATCGTATGCAATTAATAAACCCCTTAAATACAATCCTGATCTTTATCTGCCCATTGCCACTACTATAATAATTAAATAAAAACTTTCTAATTGCAGTGTTAAATCTATCCTTTTGTCCGGCTGATGCTCTGTGGGGCAAGAGTTCTAAGGACCCTGGCAAGCCAAAAACATTTGCTGGTAATAGTGCAGGCTTGCCACCTCAACCAGCAACCCGTAAAGGTTTGGGCATATCTGCATGGGGAATTGTTTTCCTCATTGTGACTCTTATATTGGCTGGTATGGGAGTATATTACTTTGCTATATGTTACACCGTTTGTCAGCCTACCAAGGGCAAATATGATAAGATGGACATGCCAACTATGGCTTAGCTTTACATTTTTAGCTAGGCTTAGATATATTAGAATTGCATACAAAGATAAAAAGTTTTTAAATTATATTTTATACCTATGATCAAAAATGTGCAAATCAGTACTGCCTTATGTAAGATTTAAAGTTAGGAAACCTTTTATTTTTAGATAATACACAAGTGGTTGTATATATTATTAAGATTACTAAATGGTAATTTGTAAATTTTAACATATCTCTCAACAAATTAATAGAAGAAAGTGTATAAAAAGGTTGTGACCAAATTAATTAATGTTTTAACTGCAAGTGTATTAAATCAATACAGATTTTTTATTGTATTGTAGGTGCTACCTTTTAATTATATAAATGAGACTGTTTTGGACCAATTAAAGTAATTGAATGGGAACATTTTACATTTTTTTAGCTATGTAGATAAATTTAAGAACATTCATTAACTTTTTGAATGCCACATCATATACACATTAGTGTACCTTGTGTACCAAGTCAAGAATATTGGCCAAGTTCGTAAAAAATATTAATTATTTGGTTCGGGAAAAAAAGTGAACTTTTTTCACAACATTATTTCTAATTAACTTTATAAAACCAAATGTGTATGGTTTTAATTAAACAGTGATGCCATCACTGTAATACTTTAAGAATTCTAGAGCAATAAATATAACAACCTTCTTTCTAAGAGAGGCTGTTGATGATGATGTGATAAAATAAAACAAAGTGATTGTTTCTTTTGAAACCAATTTTGCATAATAATAAGATTTTTTCAAAGAATAAAACAGACAGTAATGTGAAACAGACAAGGTTCAAACTATACAGTGGATGTATCAACTTTCCAGCCAAGCTCTCAACTGAGAATCTTTGTGACTGTAAAGTGTGAACCACAAATATTAATATTTATCCTAGGTATTATCATGATGGATGATGACACTATGTCTGTTTATCAATTTTGGCTGTTTTATCTCTATTGCATGCTTTTATCTCATTAGTTGTTGACATTGTCAAACGGCCAGATTGAAGCACTTCATTATGCACATTCCTTTTTAATCGTACACAATATACAGCAAAATGTTTTTGCTGCTTGGGGATTTGTAGCTTTAGAATTCTTGGGAAAGTTCTTGTCGTGTGTATCCCATTTACCGTTGTCTGGTATCAATCTCTTTACATTTATTCTGTTTTAAATGCTATTGCTTATTTATTTTAATAATTAATTAATTCGAATCTGCAATAAGAAATTGCATGCTTTTGAGTATAAGGAAATGTGAAAAACATACTAACTTTGGTCTAAATAAAATAATAATGTCAAAATGTTAAGTATGTTAAACTAAAAAAAGCTCCATGAGCTAAAAAAGGAATGCCTTTTGTGTGAATGTTTAAAAGATGACTCATCTGATATTAAAGTTTTATTAAAAAAATTGAATAAATTTTATTTAGACAGATTGTTATCATTTTATAACTGTACTAAAAACAATGAAATGTAAAAAAGGCATTTCATTTCGTTCGTATGTTTTCTACAAGTGATTGAGGCATCCAAAAAGTTATTATAATATTATGTTCAATTGTAATTAAGTGATAGTTAATATTAAAATTAATTATAAGTGCTATGTTCGGATTTACCACAAGGCATTACAATGTACCTCAAATAAAAATAGGTGCCATACATCAAACATAATACATAGTATTTTTCCCTATAATGTGGTTTAAACTTGTGATCAATTCATTGTTACACTTCCAGCATGCCTTCTTGAACATTTGTATCAGTTACTAAACTACTATTAGTTTAGTAACTATTATTACTATAGCTCAACTATTTGAGCTATTACTAAATTGTTTATGCTTTACAACCTTTTTACACAATGGTACCGAAACAGAACTGTTAATTTTTTATTGTTTCTGGAGGGTTTTAATCTTAGTTTTGCTTACTTTTATTGTTCTAAACTCTTTAAAAAGGTGGTATTCATTACTTGTCTTGTCATGTGTAGGTATAGCGTTGTGACACAATGTTTCCCATATTCCACACATTTGATTTAATATTAAGTATAAATAATAAGGGGGAGTCATTATTATTATACGTATTTCATGTCAGTCCATTAATATAAGACATTTGTTACAACCTTGTTGCAGTGGCATTTTCCGAACATCTATATTGTTAAAGGCCAATTAAATAAATACGGCCAAATACGGGTAGGTGAAAAAATAATGACAAATAATCAGAAATTGGCTGCTTCATTTTATACGTAAATGAAATATTAAATGACTATAGTTAATTTGAGTTTACCATATCTACCAAAATAAGTAAATTTGTGACATAAAGAAAAATATTAATCAGAGATCCCGACGATTAACTTTTAACAGAATTATGTAGACGTATAAATGCTTAATGACGTCATATCATATCTTAGTACTATTTATAATGAATTATGTCATTAACTGATCGTTATCCAACAGAACCATACTGCAAGCGGCTTTCCGCTTTCGCTGCCTTATTAATAAAGCTGTTGTTCTTTTGAAGGTGCATAAAGTTCAAAAAGCCAAGTTATAAAGATAACAGAATACTTACGCACCCGGGTTTCACACTAGATCACTTAGCTTGACATATGACTTACCGTAACAAAATCATTGACAGCGTTGGGTAAAAGGTTTAAACTTCGAACATTTCGAAAAAATCCTTTACAAGGATAGTGATTGTAGTATTATTGAAAATACTCCCCGTCTATATGTAAGACTGTACGTATACAATTAGATAAGTATACTGATGTAGAATAAGGTATCATATATTATTGTAAAACAATGCTCAAACAAATATAATATTATTATACAAAGATGTAAAATTTGTTTTATTGCTTCTCGTTGACTGCATTTACTTAACTGATATTGAGACATAACTAAAATAGACATAAATAAAAAATATTATTTCACTATTCATCGTCGTCGACGACTTTAATGCGCTTACATCGTGATAAATTGTAATGTAAACTGTATTATTCATTCCTTAACTTTCGCCCTGGTGGTGGAAATTTTTCTTCAAATTTGAATGGGTGGTCCTACTTAATCAAATTTAGTACGGACGGAAGTAATATCATACGCTTTCAAATAAATAAGGAATTTTATAAATCGGTTTATAAAGGACGGGAATGTTTAATGTAACAAACAGAATCGGGAGCCTCCATTTAAAAAAAAAAAAAAATGTGTGTATCGCCATATTTATTTATCATCAGCAGACTAATAATAATCTTCTTATTAATGTAAAATTGGGTACAAAATTCTAGTTAGCTAGATTAGCTATCGTATACTTTACTTTTTCTTTAACCTTAAATCTATAATACTTCTTGAAATTTCGATACGAATATTACTATCTAATCTTTTTACAGGTGAACCCTATTTACCAAGAGATATACGTACGATGGACAAAAATAGGTGTTACAGACACTATAAAATTTCCATATTAGACAGTACAGTAAAAATAATAATATTTCGTTTATATTTATACGTATTTTAGATCTAAAGTTATTATGTTACTATACATTTCATATCTTAACATGAAAATCCAATATCTTAAAATTTATATCGATTCATATATTAAGATACTGAAGGCAAAAATTGATTGATTGTTCATTCTATTATATGGCCAGCGGTATTGTACATTAAGATAAAAATATTAAAGTGTCTTCGTCGTGTCTATAGATGTAAGGCCAGTTTAAAACCAATCCTTTTAAAACGAAACCATTTTTTTCGATTTAAAACGGTTGCTATTGATGACTGATGGTTTTCTTAATTATAACTACATTTTCTTGATTTTACCGAGGTAGAGATATGACGGAGTACCTATAAACTGTGTAAAGATTTTTTAAATGTGTGATATATTGATATACTTGGCGGGTTTAGTTCTAGTTGGTCCGTCCGATGAGGCGTAGGTATTACCTACCTAAGTTATAAAAATTCTCTTGATAAGTTAAAAACTATGTGTAAGTAAAATAATCAATTTGATTCGGTTTAAAACCAAACTCAAACTTTCACAGTGTCATTGACACCGTCGGCACCGGCGCGACAGCCTAGAAGACAACATTGTCTCTTTCATGCGCAAGTAAAACGGTCGGCATTGTGTTAATGATGTCTTCTAATCTAGTGTGTGTAATAAAATATAATAAATAAGTATATTAGAACTTTTTAGAAATGATATACAACATTTCATTAAATCGTGAAAACCAAACTCATTATCTACTGCATTTTATAATATAAGCTAGGAAGTTGAGTTACGTCTTAACTCTTGCAACGCTAATCAAGTGTACCTACAAATACAGTACAAATTGCTAATCCTTTCTGCGAACCAAATATATCGATATTAAGATTTGTAAATATGTTTCCGTTTATACACTTGGTTAATTATCTATTTTCAAAGAATATGCTCGGTCACTGTTGGCGGAAAGCATACGATAACAATAGTTGTGATACGATGGTTCCATAATACGTTTTTTGTTTGTGAGTCATGTATTTATTGGTTGATTATTCGACCACATAGTAAACGTCTATAGCATGCAACCGAATAAAATGATTGTAGTATAGCGATTAGTGATTGCCGACTATGATAAGTGGACGTGCGACCTAACACGAATAATTGTGAGATGAGCACAAAGAGTAAAGTAAACATGATAATTTGTTCTGTGTTTGGGGAGTAATTTATCTATGTTTTCATTTTAGTATTATTTGCATAAGTAAGTATAGCTTGAACTACGTTTCGGTCCAAGTTAACGATACTAATCTTTCTACCATTCTCTAGAAACGTTAGCGGGACATGATTGCATTCCAATCTTTGACTAGTGTTCAGAAAAGAGATTGACCTGCCTGTCAGTCAGTCCAGTGCCAGTCTAAAGGTGATAACCTTTAGACTTTTCTGCCGCTCAGCCCCAAAAAGTCTTAAATTCTGCACTGCTTTTCAGTTACCAAGCAGGGCCGGTGTGACCGAATTTAATATTTTTGAATGCATTTTGCAGAAAACACGATTTGGCAAAACAGGGGCGGAAGCTATTATTTCGCAATAATATGCAAACTGGTAGGTACCTACCTACTAAACAGGCTTCTTCAACCGTGAAAACAAAGATATACATTTAAATAATACTACGTAATTTTATATTTAAATATAAATAGGTGTCAACAACGCTATGAAAAACTAGGTAAATTTAATAATACATAAGCTTTTTTTATGGTATAGGAAGGGCAGGTCATGTGATGGTCAGGGACTCCCGTTGCCACTCCTACTGGACTCCCAGGGGGACTCCCACTCCTATAATCAGGGGAAGGGGGAGATTTGAGATCAGGTAACCTCACTCATTCAGTGAAAAGTATCGAAAGAATTGCTTAACATTTGTTTTCTGTAAGGCCATGTTATCACTCCAGTCGAGATGGCCCGTTTGTGCCGCAGCTTGGCTCTCTCACAGTGCTCATTTTATACAAACAAAGATTAGAAACACAACACACCCGAGGATCATTATTCACCGGTGCCTACTCGCATTCTTATCATCATAGGTGTCAGTCGAGTTTAGTTAGCATCGAGCTCAAGCGAACTAGGTACCCACTTATGTACTTACTGGTTAATTGCGAGCTCCTGTAAAGTTAACAAAATTATCCTGTTGATTATGGCAATTTAATTAATAATCTACTGATAGTGAACATATAGGACTTACACCCTGCATTTAGGATACTGCTACTTTAAATTAGAAAGAGCTTAATCTATAAGTTTAGCTTCAAAAACAATCGAAAAGTTTTACTTATTGTTTATGTGCTTATTAACTCATTAAAGTCTTTAAATTAACTTATTTAAGTCTTTCTAGTTTCGGCTGTGTCTTATAAAAATGGTGAGTAATTTCCTATTTTCAGAAAAAAAATGCATTAAGTATTTCATGACTAACTGAAGTTCGACTTTTTAATCTGACAGGAAAACAACCGTATGTATAAATAAATGAGGTCATACAAAACGCAGAATTTAAGTATTTGGAGAAACGGTAACGGGCGGTAATGGGAGAATTGCCCCGTACCTACTGAAAATTTAAGCAGAGCGGGAAATGTTATCTCTACGTTCCAATGTCAATAGTAGGGGAGCCCTAGAAGGAATTTCGGGATTTACTCGTATTAACATGAGCCCTAAAAATAGGGACGAGCGTCTAGGGCAGCCCATCAGATCAGTAAAAAAAAAACTGTGATCAGAAATACTCGAGCGTGTAAGATTAAGGTAAGTTGGGTTAATTTCATACACATTAGTGTGTATTTAAAAAACTAACACACATGACCTTGTTATTTTTTTAGTTTGAAGCAAACAATGCAAGAAAACTTCTTTAAATGTCTACATAATTTTTCGTGCTTTTATTTGTCACATTGTATACAAAATCAAGAAATATTTCTAACCTTCAGATTTGAAATACCCTGCAAAAGTATCGTCAGATTTTTGGTTAGCATGACAGCAATATTAAGCTGAACCGTCTGTATAAAATCTAACACGCTCAAGTATTCCGAAATGTCAATTTTTCGATTTTGCAGTTTTCATTTTCGATAATTCGCTACGAGCTTGTAAAATCGTCAGACCTTACAATCGGAGCATTTTCGGCATCCAAATAACATATCTCCAAAATATCTGATGCGCCCGAATATATTTTTTTCGGTTTCATCCCCTTACATTTTGTAAAACTGTAGAAGCTTTATTACGGAAGTGGAAACATTTCATTATTTTTATTTATTCCATTTATTTATTTCAAATGGCCCCCAAATATCGCCATGACGCTCGAGTAAATCAACATTTAGCATCATTGGCTCCCCTACTACAACAGGTAAAACTACCTCGTTCGCATAAGACTGCACTCTAGGTAGTGTTGGTTCTTAATTAAATGTGAACCAGTAAAATATGGCTGATAATACGTGTGTACCTACGTATCAAATTATTATTTTGCTTTGCTTTCATGCCACTGCGTAAATTTTATACGTTGTAACAACTTTGTCAAAAGTTTGGCGGTCAAATAAATTAAATTCTTTAGCATTAGTTAGCGGATAACAAACTATATCCAACATAATTATGATACTTGGTGAATATTTATGAAGTTACCACGATTAATATTGATGCAAAGAATGTAATATTTTCATAACAGAAAGTTAATAAAAGATGGTTTAATAAAAAAGTGGATACGTTATTACAATTCAAAAGTCAGTTGGCATTGTACCTAGTTACTAATGTAATCTCGCCACGATATCGTACGCACGTGCTTCAAGGAGGAATGACCCTTATGTTCCGCGATAGAAAGACAGCTGATTAGGTACCATAAATATTTAGATAAGCACCTACCTACCATTTGATTGATTAGGAAGAGTTCTGGTAGTAATATTAAATAGTTTTTCAAATCGTGTTCACTCATTATGTTACCTTAATTTATCAAGAAGTGTAAAATTATAAAAAAAATATAATTTTCTCCTGGAATACCTAGATAAAATTACAGTTTTAACTATTTATTATGGTTTTTCTTAAACTATTATTTACGCCCTGTTTATGGAGGGTTTTAACATGCCGTCTGCGCCATAAGGGGCTATCATTTAATTACGTCACACGTAATGATTTTTGAACTCCATAATACACGATACTAGGTGTCACTCCTTGTCCCACTCTCACCCCCACTCCTTGTCACATTTGCGAGACCTGTGTTACGTCACATATTTTTACTGAACTTTAAAAAAATACCTACTTAGATGTATTAGATTTTGAAATGTGACGTCACGAATCTATGGACCCTCACACCTCTTGTCAGACTGTCGACCCCCCTCCTAATATGACGTAATTTATAAATGGTCTTTATAACTTTTTTTTTATTACATCGTATATGTATATAAATGTCCTTATCATCACTATTACATATGGCAAATATTTTCATGAGTCACTGATACTTTTTTGGAGCCCCTTACTTTACTTGAGCTTACGCTTTACCTAACCTTGAATTGAATAATCTTTTTATAACACGTCCAACGATATAGTAAACATTTATACACCTGTCAGGTGGCTTTTAAATAGATAAGGTAGCAGCTTCAGGTTTTTTTCGTCAAATGGTGTACTTAGTCATCAAGTTTAATGTCAATTTTTTTGATATTTTCTTTTATTCTAGTCGATATTGAATTCTCGGTATAACAACTACTCGTACCTACCTAGACAGGCTACCTAGGCATACATAACCTTTTATTTATGTCAGCCGTTACCCCTTTTTCGTGAGGGACACTCTTAAATGAGTTTCTTGATTCTCCTTCTCAGCACAAACAAAGAAACAGGAATGAAAATAGTCAGAAGACTAATTACTTTGTTCTTCATTCATCAAATTTCATTTATTCGTATATTTGTAAGTCCGATTTGTCGATTCTGAAATTAAACTCCGGCAAACATTTCGCTGCCGAAGGAGTCGCCGACAGAATGTTTCGTTGATGAGTTGTTCAACGACAGAACCTTTCCGCTACGAAAGTTTCGCCGACAGATCGATTAATTAATGAGTGAATCGACGACAGAATCTTACACCAAAGAAAGGATTCGTGGATAAAGCTATTTAGGCATGGTTTGTCACTTTCAGCGCCTTTTGTCCTAGTATATTAGTAAACATGACCTAGAAACTCAATTTTAATGTCAATTGAGGTTTATATATATACCGTAAATATTTAAAACATCATAAATTGTTATCTATTAGGGTAATTGTATTTCAAACAAATAACGTTTGAACAAGATTTAAGACAAGATCTGACACGAATAATTACATCGTATGACACACAAAAAGCCTAAGAATATCATGGAAATTTTGTTATTTTTTCCTTATACATATGTATATTTATGGAAACTACAAATAGCATTTATGCATGGGGATAATTGAATACAAAACAACTTTTCTTATTAAAAAATTTATTATTGATTTTACTTTCCATAAAATTATCCAAATCTAATATTTAGTTCAGTAAATGCTTACCAAAATTAAATACATATTGGAAGATGGCAGATAGCTAATTTACATTTCAATTATTTATTTATGTCATTGTACTAGTGTTTAGTACCAATGTGTGTGTCAATTATCAAACTTACATGATTCCATTTATTACATAACATCAGTCATAAAGAACACATCAAGGTATTGTTGAACATTTAACAACAATAAATTTTTGTGCTATTGACAACTTGGCCAGGTTTAGACAAGTCTTAAGTACATTTTAATGTGGATCAGTCTAAGCATTAAAGGAATTTAATAATTAGTCATATTTAATATAGGAAGGAGGTTACAGTTAATCTTATGAAATAAAAACTAGTAGTTACCACACAGGTGTATTACTAACTTAGATGCATCATTGGTCAAATTAAAATATATTTTTTGTTAAATAAGCAACAATTCCTCATTGTGCTCTTAAAGCACTCTCTATAACTATTTACTAGACATTGTGATCTTTATTTTAAAATTTAATACAAAAGATTAAAGCAATAATCTCGAACCGAGCAATCATATAGTTAGATCTGCAAATATCTTCCTAAATCGCTTAATTCACAAGCATTCTATGACAATTTTATTACTATTTTTAATCACTGAGCACAATCAATATGTTAAAACCACATAAATGCATGACTTTTACATGGCTTTCTAAAGACAAGCATTAGGTTTATAGAATGAGTGGGGAACAACAATACCATAATCAGTTTGCTGGTGTATAGTTCACTGCATATCTTATATCGGTCTAGATTTTCTATAGCCAAATTAGATTGGGCATAAGTTTACCCCTGTATTAGATAACCTGCTCGTCTATTGAAAGCCTGCATTACGAGATATAAGGTGACATGGTTTAACAAGTGGTTCAAATAAATGGTACACAGACTTAACGTCGGCGTTAATAGTTCAGTTCACAGCGGTGGTGTTCACTTTATAACTCGTCCTTCTCGAGGTCGACGTCAGACAGGTCGATGTCTTCTTCAGGCGGCAGTTCTCCGTCGAGTCCGTCCCACGCGTCTCCAGCCACGACGGCGGGCATCTCCGCGCCGCGCACAGGAGCCGTCTGCCCGCGACCGAACGACAAGTCCCTGGAATCCAAAGGGATATATTTCTATCTACTCAATTTCCTACAATTTGTGAAAGTGTTTTCGTGAGAAGAGACGGAAATGAGTAACAGGAAAAGGGGAAGCGCGCGTTATTTTGATTTCGCGGGCACGATTTTAGAGTTGGCCGTTAGATGGTAGTGAGATGTCAGATTATTTATACAATACTCCAACGATAATAACATTTTATTCATGGTAGCACTTTTTTTTTATCTGTTCATTATTATTGTCACTACAAGGATGTGTCAAACATAGAGATAATAGAATAGAGGGAGCGAACTGTATATTCCTCCGTACAGCCGTTAGACAGAGAAAGAATATTGTTTTGGTCTTGCATCTCCTCTCTGCACTTATTGGCTGATACTGAACAGGGCATTTAAAATAGCCAATCAGTAACAAGAGTAGAGAGAGATGGGAGACCAAAACAATCTTCTTTCTCTCTCTACCACCCCGTACTATGTTTGTCGAAATAAATGATTTCTAAGTATTAGTGTAGGATAAGAATGTAGACTTATATCATATATAAAGCGTCTATGTAAATACGTATTATATTATTATAAATACATAGTTTTCTAATTAAATAGTAAGCATATAAAGTTAATTAAATACTGACCTGAGGAACTCATTGATGCCAGTCTCAGAGAAGGACCCTCTAAGAGTGGAGAATTTAAGCTTCTTAGCGTTGACGACCGCCATGGCCGGGTAGCCAAAGCCGCCGAGCTCCAGCGCCTCCTCCAGCGCGGTCTGGGCACCGGCTTCCGCCCACACCCATCTGTTGAATATTCGTTTTGTATGTAAATAATGTAAGTGATCATGAGTGAAATGCTTACTTCCATCTGATGTACACAATTAAATTTGTTAACTGAATTGCAAGGAGTTTATGCGATCATGTGATCTATGCCGATCAAGGTTGGCTTCTTGGCACTTGAAAATGTGGCCACTATCTTTTATATACTGTCTCTTAAGACACCTGATTTAGGAGACAGAGTTTAAACATTGTATTTAATATACCCGTAGTACACTGTAGCAGTTTAATTTCCGTGAATTAAAGAGTAGGCTACTCACCCCCACATCTTGTTCTTGTACTTCTCGCCGAGCCTGGCAAGGATTGTGAGGTACTCGTTGCGGCAGGACGCGCCGCAGTCCAGGATGTGAGGGAGAATGGACACCACGCATAGCGGCTTCTCGCTGCACGCCTTCATAGTCTCTTCGTTTACAACCTACAAAGCAAAAGCATTAGTATAATTTCAAAATTATTGTGTATATAAACATAATTAACAACTTTATAGGAAAACTACAACATATCATCTTATGTTTTTTTTTGTTGGCCTATTTTTATAGCCTTACCACGGTTTATTTACTTATGTGGAAGTGAGTTTGCTAGTTCTTTTCAATAGAAGCAGTCATTTGGAAATAGCCGCGAACAAGCAGGTTTTATAACTTATCCATTGTTTTTTTTAACTTTACAATTAAAGAAGCTAGCTTAATAGCTAGCACTGTAACTTACCAGTATTTTTTTAAAGTCGTTAAATTTACTTAAGTTTTCGACTTTTATTGTGCGTATGCCTTCATTAAAATAAATATTTAGAAAAACGTTGCACAGGAACGAGTTCATCTGCATTTTCTAGTTAACTTCTAAATACCTAAATCGATTATATAGATTCGATGTTGGTTGTTTGTTACTGACACAAAAAATAAATTCAATTATGAAATAAGGTATCTTCTTCCATATTGTTATTCTGTGAAAACCACTACGTCATATGACGAGATTTGATGACGTCGAATAATCAAGTTCATTTTCAATTCTTGGAAGTGCGATCACACACAATAATCATATAAAACAAAGGAAGTGACAGATAAAAAAACTCAATTAACAATTTGTTGATGGAATATCTAGCGTAAACTTTAATAAATAATATCATATAACCTATACTAAGACAATATACACAGTTATTGCTTTACAAAATAAGCACGAAAGAGGATATTCAAGAACATTGCTATCGTTTTCGAAAGTTCAGGGCACATTTATTGAATCATATACATATAATAATCAAAAGCCTCGTTATACGAGCAATGATTATGTTTGTTATTACAGTAGTAACACGCGGTGTGGATGTTAAATTTTACGACTTATTGCAAACTGTGCAATACCGCCTTAGTCGCTTTGTGTACGTATTATTTCGATACTGTTTTCCTTGCAGTCTATTACAAAATTTATTAATTTTACGTACAAAATATTAGAAATACAGAAAAAATCTTAGTAAAACTTATCTTCTAAATTCATATGTAAGATTAATTAGCCGAAAAAATCGTGAGTATTTTTTTAACCCATAACAGAAAAGGCTTTTCTTACATACTAAAAAATCCAAACGGAATGTCAACTGTAAAATGTCTGTATATTCTAAGCAGCAAAAGAGAACATGAAATAAAAACACACAAACATTATCGCTTCTTCAAGGTAAACTAAAATTTACAAACTATTTTTATTTTTGTACCCATATCATATCCATACTTTATTAATTTTCTTATCATTAAAGTACAAAATTATATGTAAAAGCACCGTTATTTATAACTCGCCATTACTATTGTTGGTGTTCTGGCTAAATTTCTCATAATATATTCTCATTATCTTAACATTATTGTGTACAGTTACAATGCTGGCAGCAGCCGTGAGAAACGTTATGATTATCAAAACATATTGAGTGCAATGTATTCCATTAAAAGAAATCTTATTACTTTTTAAAGTGTGCGGCCACATCAGACAAAACGTTGTAAGTACGGAAAAAACTACTTTACTTGTAGACATTTTAGTGTAAAAAAAAACATTAATTTTTATGTGAATAAAATATAATTTGAAAAACGCTTACGTCTTACAAATTTATCTATTCCTGACGTATCTGATCCTTTTGTTCCCGTGTATTATGAAATTCAAATGATCTTGGTTAGCGACCAGTTAGCGATACTTTTATAAGAAAGCGATTTGTCACGTGACCTTATTAGAAATATCGGGATGAAAGTAGGGTTAATAGCTTGTATTACCATCATATCTGGCACCAACTATGGTATATTATATATTACTAGCTAAGCCGGCAAACATTGTTTTCTCATATAAACTACCTAAGATATCAAATAAAAAAATGGTTGGTGGGGGTAGGAAGGAGGGTGAAAAATACTTTACGATTCTCACTGCCAAATATACAAAAAAAAACATTAAAATCGGTGGAGCTGTTTCGGAGGAGAGCAACCCCGTGACACGAGATATTTATGTATTAGATATTCTTGTTGCAGATGTGGCCGAACACTATTGTACTCCTGGTAGTGTTATATTGCCTCTCATAACAAATTACACAGTATGTTAAGTATTTCAGTCGTGACTTAGTTTAGTTTAAAACGCAAACGTATATAAACGTGTGAACCGTGGAGATTCAGTTTAAAATATTTTTAAGATTTTTGTTAATAATCAGCAAGTATTTACGCATTAAAGTGTTGCTTAAACAAAAAAGTGGTGGACAAAGTTATTTGATATTGTTTTAATTGTTCTTTAAGTAGTTAAATTTGAAATATAATACTTAAGATTTTTTAACACGCTTTGTTAGCTTGGTATGTATGTATCTATGTAACGGAACATTTGAACGTGATTGTCGCACACTTATGAAGGACCAATGACAATACAATTATTTAATAAATTTGTCCGATAATCCTAATCAGGATCTTCAGCCTTAACGGCTTTTTCCATACCTAAAAATACGGTAGTGTATTTTTCCACATACCAAGAGGCGTATGCTGAAGCATCTGTGGCTTAGTTACTTGTTACTTTTTTAGTCTTAATGAGAAAACTAAACATCATTAATGACTAAAAAAGCAAAAATAAATTATGGTATAAGAAACACGCTTTTGTAACTAGCCTAACTAAAAAGTAGAAAATAATCCATACTCACATTATAAATGTGAAAGTGTTGGTTACGTTTTCACGCCTAAACTACTAAACCGATTTTAAAAATTCTGTAACCAATGGAAGGCTTCATTATCAGTGAGTAACATAGGCTACTTTTAATAAAAAAAATCATACAAAGAAAACCCGTACACAGAACAAAAATTTGTGGACCACACAAAGTGTTGTTTGATGTGGTATCGAATCCACAACACTTAGCGCAGTAGGTGACCACTTAAAAAACCATTACGCCATCCGTGCAGTCAAATTGTTCACAAATCCATACTAATATTATAATCCTTAACAATATTATATATAAGAAAGTGTGTCTGTCTGTCTGTTACCTCTTCACGCTTAAACCGCTGAATCGATTTAGATGAAATTTGGTATAGAGATCATCCGAGTCCCGGGCAAGGACATAGGGTAGTTTTTATTTCAGAAATCATGCTTTAAGGAGGTGAAACTTTGTATGGGAAATCAATAACCGCTAAACCGATTTAGATGAAATTTAGTATGACGATACTTTGATTCATGAGGAAAGACATAGGCTACTTTTACCGCGATAACCGATAATTACGCGGGCCGAATTGCGAGCAAAAGCTAGTGTTAAATAAATCGTGTTTAGTAGTGTAATATTTACCTGGACAATTTCTGGTGCTGGTACATTCTCAGCGAGTTTTTCAAGAGCCCAGGCAACAATATCACTAGAAGTCCTGCCCCCATTGTAGTCTTCAACAGAGCTGCTACTCTTCTTACCCGCCGCGAAAAACTTGATGGTAGGGTAGCCCTGCACTTCGTAGCGAGATGCCATCACCTGGTGCACTGTCGCGTCCAAAGCTCCCAATTTAATCTGAAATGTGTTTTGTTCGTTAATTACTTCCAATTTGATTAAATACTAGATTGATTAAACTTCGAGTATCGGTAATATTATAGCGATTAAGTCCCAATTTACACTTCTATTAATGTGATTGACATCGACCTCATTTGTTGTCTCGTATTAGATAATTTAAAACACCTAAAATTAACAAATTTGCGTATGTTTGATTTATTTCAACTCCAAAATTTTATTTTTAATTATATAATGTATTAAAAAATGTTTTGAGTAGATAATCATATTGTATATTTTTCTGAAAATGACTAGGTAGGTACTTCTATGTTTTTCTATAAGTTCTGCCAATAACACTTTTAGTACCTACAATAACTATATAACATAATATAATCCCTCTTGAACATTATATTTTTTCATAATGTTAAATAAAAGGATTTTGCATGTTTGTAGCAGAGTGAACGGTGTCTTTGATTCTCTCTAACTTTTGTGAAGTATATAATACAATAATTTTATTGTTTCCAGAGGTCCACATTGTTCGAAAAGAGAAGAATTAAGAATACCTATGGGCAAAATTTACGAAGTAAAGGATCGCCTTATAACACATTTCTATATTTTGCTAACAAAATTAATAAACACATTTTATGTAATGTAATTTTCATGGCATTAAATCACTAGTATATAAAAACAAATCATCAAAGTAAAAAAACGACAATGTTTATATCGTGGTTTCAGATTGTTTGGAAAGTGGTGGACACATTATCACAAGTGCTTTTATATGGATTACTGATAAGTATAATGTGACAACTGATTGGCATGCTTTGCTTTTGTAAATTGTACCTTGTGTTTGAACTAGACGATATTATCAAAATGTTCGAGTTCTCATTATAGAAAATATTTTTTTTATGAAGGAAGGGGAGGCTAACGAGCAGAAGCTCGTCGAAGTCGTCACAGCGCGTTGCCAACCCTTGAGGAAAGAATGAGCTCTTTTCTTGAAGGTTCGGTTCGGAAATACCACACACAATAACTTGTTCCACAGATTGGTTGTGCGAGGCAAAAAGTGTCTTGAAAAGCGCAGTGGTGGAGTGCCAATTATCCGAGTGATGGGGTTGGAACAAAGGCGGAAAGTCGCGGCCGGTATTAATTCGAACAATTCCTCAGAGTATTTTTTTTAATGTATAATACTTCTGTGTGTGTTAAAAAAAATACATATAGAAACTTAACTGAGGTTATACAACCTTCGAGCATATCAGGGGTAGGGTTAACTTCTCCCAAGTTGTTGATTCCAGATAGTCTTATGGAGGCAAGATTAAACTGATTTCTCTACGTGCTCTTTGGTAGACTACAGCGGAAAAAGAGAAAGAGTGGCGGTACTTGTCATCGTGGTTGGATGTCTTAATTTTTAGTCTGTTCTTAGTTTAGCTAGAAATAAGAGATGCTTCGCCACCTAAATCTGTAATAATTGATTTAAGTAAGACGAAAATACGATTAAGTGGCAACATTGATAAGCAATGTCACGACAGCTGCTTTTCTGCAATTTATTTATGTTTTGTACAAGAAGTTTTTATTTATTTACAGATTAAGAAATGTATGGTAACACTGATTATTCTAAAGTGCGTTTAGCATTATACGCTGTTAATATACCATGACGGGTAAAACGAGTCAATGAGCAATAAATGACTAGTTTTATGAGTTAATAACATGAATTTATGTTTACAACTGTATGATTTGGTAAGGTATTTGCATGTCGATAGTAATAAAATGCTTGTGGTTTTAACTCCTAATCAAGTTATCCAGCTTATATTTTAATGAATAACTTAAAAAAAAACTTATTGTTTAACATTGTTGTATTTAATGAATCAATTAAATTGAAATTGAAATTGAAATTGCTATAAAACGTTTGAAAATTGGCAGTAGCAACACAGACTCTAGAAAGACCTGAACCCATATATGGGACAGAGGTACACCTAGTGACAATATATCCTCTGTCTAACCCTTCGGCAACATTAACCGTGACTATATGAAAGTTACATAATATTGCACATTCGAAATTCGAATGTGCAATATTATGTAACTTTGTGTATTAAACTTGGTAATACTGACCTTTCCTTTAAGTTCAGTGGCGGCCTTGGCCCAATGAGGTTCCAAATTTTTGCAGTGTCCACACCATGGCGCGTAGAACTCAACCAACCACAGATCTTCGCTGTCAAGAACCAATTCCTTGAAGTTGCTGTCTGTGAGAGTAATGACATCAGACTGAAAGAAAAAAGAAAATGAATTTTAATTCACGTAAAATAAAGACGTCACCACTACTTGAATCGTCGGTAGACTAATAATTTATTATTTTGACTGAGAATGTTAAATGTTTAATAAATATTGTACAAACACATAGCTAATAATATAACTTAAACAGATATAATGTTAATTAGTATTTTTTTAAACAAAGCAAAATTAAAGTTAGGAGTTTTATAATATTAAGAAGTAACTCTATACCTAAAACACATACTTAGATGAAAAATTACTTTTGTGTAACCAGTCTCTCTCTTTTAAAGCTTAGGTTTAACTTTACAACATTATGACAATACGTTCTTATTAGAAATTTCAACTGTGAACTTTATTAGCCGTTCTACTTTATTTCATAATGTGACATTAGGGCGGTTTATAAACACCGTTTCTTAAAAGTACGAGGATTTTGGTACGTAGTTTTGGTAATCTAACGAAATGTTGTTATATTTATTGAGCCTTCACATGAACCTAAGCCTCCGTTGACACTCAGCTACGTACCCACCCTGATCTTACGCGAGCGAAAGAGTTTTATTACCGAAATAACTTTCCTTATCATCGGTATCAGCGATGCGAGAAGAAACTATAAAGAAACTATTAAGACAACGAGTCTTTACTTCCATAAAAATTAAAATAAAACAGTGAGATTTTTTCTTGTTGAATTTACTCATAAAAACTTGAGTTAAGAGTAAAATAATAAATATACTAAAAGATATTTAAACATAAAAAAAATGTAGAACCTAAGTCAGCATTAAAACCGATTCTCTATATCTCTTCAGTAATATACTAATCTATAATATTTCTTTAACTTGTCAGTAAGCAATGTTCGTGTTATTTTAAAATTTGTTTCCGAAACAGTTTTATACCAGAATTAAAATAAAACTTGGAATGGAGCCACTTTTGTAAAAACTGCTGCCTAGAGTCTTGGACTTAGTTGCACTGTTACAGACTATTTTATAAACCTAATAAAATGGTACAAGGAATAAAAAAATATTGAAATCTATATATTTCTAAATGTTAAGATGGTTTTTGTACGCTTCAAAAACTCAAAAAGTTCTGCATTAATTGAGCTTAAATTTTGAAACGACATACAACATGCTTCAAACTATCAATTTTATCGATTTTTGGCAAACACAATGTGCCACAGGAAGCGTATTTCTAAAGGCGTTAGGTGTTTAATTATGAATCAGTTATAAATAATAAAAAACTTATCGTCTTCGGAGTACTTGATTGATTACTAAATCATAAAAAGAGGTCAGTGAGATCGACTGACGTGTCTCATTCGAGAACATTCTAAAGTGAGAGGATGCGTAGGAGTGTAATAGTGGGTGGCTGGACATTGTAAGAAAATATTCCTCCTACACTATATTCAGATTTCTATTTCAATATAATTTGTTATGACTATCTCAAAGATACACAGATTGTATACACAAATTACATATTAAAAGTGCAAGCTTTTTGTCTCATCGGTTTTTTACTTTCCATTCCCTATTTTTTTTCAATTCAACATTCCATGAAAACCTATTGAGACAATACGCGGTTATGCTGGCTACACCGATTTAAAGAGAGAGTAATGCAGATGCTGAGGGACAACTGAGGGGAATCATTTTAGACAAAGCTAAAACTACTATCTGTGACTACATAATAATGAGAGCGAGTGACCTACGCATATTGACACATAAGTTACGACACATAATCCTAAACATTTAAGAACTTTACGTCTCATAACTACCGTCTAAGTCCTTGTGGTGACGAATTAAGAATACGGACTGTCACCACTCCTATTCATCCCGTGGGTGTTGTAAGAGCCGACTAAGGGATCAAACTACACAGGATAAAGCACTGCAAAGAGAAGGGAAACTTGGCACAAACCCTATACTAACCCGTCTGGTCAGCGTGGTATAATAGGCCAAAACCTTCTAAGGAGAGGACTATGTCTAGCAGTGGACTATTATAGGCTGTTGATGACGCCTAATAATGATCGAAATATCATATGGTAGCTTCCCTTAGCAAATATTGTAACTAGCTAACTAAAATAGGTTCTTCTTCGATAATTTAACAAAACTTGTCATTTAAAAAGTATCTCACTTATTTAAAGGCGAAAGTCAACACACTTAAAAATACAGTAAATCTTTCAGACCACCAAAATAGACTGCCTAATTTGTTGACATGGTAAACATATCTTAGGTTGCACGATAAGAAGTCAACGACTTACGCCTGTGAGACATAAAAACGATGCAACTATTGTGAGAAACTAACAGAAGTTCAACATACCACTTGAAATAATCCTAATAACCTTCCTTTTGGCGCAGTCAGGTAAAAATACGTAACCGTAGACGTTGTAACAGAGAAAGGAAGTTGAAAAATCGCTTGAATTAAAAAATCCGTCAGATTAATAAAAACGTTATAGAGACGAATTCTAACTTGGTCGGATGTGGATCATTCTAGTGCAAGTGTAGATTTTAAAAAAATATGTTAATTGATGAAACAAATATTTGTTTTTAATTTATAAAAAAACTTTTTGTCTGTTGGACCATTGTTGCTAAAGCTGTACCTATACATAAAGTGCCATAAACAATTATTTTTATCATTTATATTACCTATCAGAGAGGTACAGAATGCATTATTTATTTATACAGCAGCTTTTAATGTTAAATGCCCAAACATTTTTCTTCAAACATTGCAGAAAGTCATAATATAATTACTTTAATGCACCTGATATAATGCCATAGCTAGGTTGAGTATTGTCAATGACAATATAAATATATTTTTTATTATATAGATGCCCTTTTACAGGCCAGTGGAAAAAATAAAAGGTCTGAGGAGTGAATCAACAGTGTGTATGTGTTGAATTGTGTATATTGTAAACACTGATTACTCATAAGGTAATGTGTAATATGAACATTTCAGTAAAAGAACTATTTTATAGTAAAATTTCACTTGTGAAATATAAAAAAAATACCAGTTGCTTACTAGTTATCTTGATGTACAATAAAAGTATTCCCATTTGTAAATCAGTGTTCTAGCTCCTGTTTAACTAATACTAAATTTTAGATTAGAATTAATATTTTCCCTATTGTACAATTACTATCATTTGGTTAAATGAATTTTTCACACACAAATATCTGTAAAACTTCTATAAAAATAAATACCCCCATTGTAATTTATTCAAATAGAAATGTATACCAAACGCTTTTAGAACAATGGAGCTGATTTTCTTGTTCTTAAAATATTTTTTATTTCATTTGCCTTTAACTGTGTAACAAGAGTATTGTTTATTTTTTGCAAAACTGCTTTTGCAACTTTAGGCCGCCGCAAATTCATTAATTTACTACGGAATAATTGTAACTGCAGTTCATTGAATTTTGCTATGTCTGCGATGGTTTGTTTGGATATTACATTATGATTTTTTGTGGTCTTTACAGTTGTTGGACTAGAGTTTCGATTGCTGTATCTCCATGGTATATGGTGACCATATGTGTTCTTCTTTTGCTGCTAGTAAAAACTTCATGTTTAGTTATTTTATGTCAATTTTTAACATGTCCCAAATGTGAGTGGAATGTTACTATGTTATGTATGTTTTTTTTATTATTATTATGTTTTTTTAAATTGATGCATATGAAAATGTTAGTATTTCTAATTTTAGTAAAATTATTTAAACATGTTAAAATATCCACTTAGTTTCGATTTAACTGTTCAAAATTAAATATACCTACCCATAAAACCAAAATAAGCATAATGTGTATTAGTAGGTTTTATTAAACGTCAAAACGTTAAGATAAAAATAGTCAACCTAGCTATTATATACATATTTAATAGTAATTTGAAGATATATGAATATCAAATTGATTCCATTCTCACTGTACTATGGTATTTAATTTAATGATTGAGGCCAAATAATTTATTATTTGATTTATGATGAATATGAATTTAAAATGAAGATATCTACTTCTCATGGAAGCAAGGGGCTTGGCAATATATATTCTTTCAGTGCCCAATACTGCATATACAATAAAAGCTTTTTTTAAATTACCGAAATACTAAATAATCAACAAGTATTGAATATCCAGTACGAGTTATAAATTAGCGCATTGGAGGCTACTCCATGGAGTACTCCCCCAGCCCCAAGCCCCAATTCTTTTGCAAATTTCAAATCTCACAACATAGCAAATGTGGTTTCAGTCTTATCAATATTTCCCGTCACTTCAGTTTTTTTTTACACCCAAAGCAAATTATGACTATGAACATAGGTATATACATTGAGAATAAGACTTAATATAAACACACATATATAACACCCCTTTTGATTTGAACATATGTCAAGAAAGTAATGTGGTTTTATTTTTAGGATTAGTACCCATGCCCAATACGCAAGTAGCAAGCAAATGTTCCAAAAATTATTATGATAGTTCTGTCGCTTCAAGCTTTTTAAATTAAATATAACCCATACCTGATCTGATGAACTTTTGGGTTTCTTTCCAAGAGCCTCGTATGCCTTCTCTTTAGCCAATTGAAGGGCAGCATCAACAAATTTCTCGGCAGTTCTTTGACCTTGGAATGGACTATGTTTCTTGCCATTAAATAGCTTGATGGTTGGGAACCCACTGACTCCATAAGTTTGCCCAAGACTCTTGTGTGTGTTAGCATCCACAGCTCCTACTTTAGCTATACCCTAGAAATAATAAACAGTTGTATGTCATATATATTGAATGGTACAGATGTCTTCAATGAATGACAGAAAAATATTTATTTATCATAGTTTTGTTAGTTTCAATAGCTTTTTAATTTCTAATTGTGATATTCAAGACATTAAAGAAACTGTTCGATTATTAATTAATGATTTAATTAACTTCATTCATACGTGAATTTTATTTATATAATTATAATGAAAAACACTTGCTTAATTTTCATTTTCCCCTTCAAATTTAGCAGAACTTTACATATTCTAGTTAGACATTTCATTTTTATTATTCCATCATGGGGCTTATAAGAAACTTATACTGACCTTAAGTGCGGTGGCAGCCTTTTTATATTCAGGAACAAGATTTTTACAATGACCGCACCACGGTGCGAAGAATTCCACAATCCAAATTTCATTCGATTTTAGCACCAATGTGTCGAAATTGCTGGGGTCAAGCAAAATTACGTCCGAGGAGGAATCGTAGAGTGCATACGACCCCGCAACGCACAATAAAATACCTTAAAAAGAAATAATTATAATTACCGGCTTATGAAACATCACGTTTCAAATTAGTTTCACGGAATAATGATGTTATTAAAACATACCTAAGATATGAGTGTATAACATTGTTTGAGTTTTAATGCTATTTTCTTTTATAAACTATTAATAACACCGGACTTAATAACGAGATCGCGCAGGAGTTATCTGCCAAACAATGATGAGACATTCAGATTATCAGAATAAACACGTCAGTTCTTTTTGGTAGCATAAGCCAAATACGACATTGTCAATGGAATTCGTGGACTCGTATCATTGGCTGGTTTGTATTTTCCCGCATTTATTTATCTAATCGGTGTAGTTGTATTTGTAGCTGTAATCTGTTTCTGATAGAGGACAATCAAAATTACCAAATAAATCTAAATTTATAAATTCATCACGTAAAATCACGTTGTCCTACAACCATGGCATTATCATTTATTTACCTCAAATACCTTCAATACAAAAAATATATTTTGAAACAAAATATCACTTGAGGTTTAAGTGTCTGAAGTTTAATTAATTATCATTTTATATCTCAAAATAATGACGATTACACAGTAGTATAGTAGTTCCCAATTCGTGTAAGAGCAGACACAATTGTAAGAAAATATAACAGATTACCTAGTCCAACACTAGTTAAATTCATAAGGTCCTATTTTAGATTGTTGATAAACGATGTCTAGACTTCATTGGATTCCTAGTTTTTAGTTTTCGCTTTAAATATTTACATGTATTTAGTGTAATATTTTCCTGTCTCATCAAAATTTGTCCTTTTTGATGTGCATTTAATATTTGAAAACAAACTCAACTTAATAAAAATACTTCTCACCAGTCCTCACGTACCTCCTCACGGTGAAGAGGTGTATCACAACCAAACCGACTAAAACTACAGTGTTATATCACATGTAAGTCTACTGCAAGAGACTCGGGTATGTTCTAGAAAAGAAGTCCCCAAGAACTCAGGAGACCTTGACCACCTTTTTTTTTTTTAATTGGGACTAATCCCACCCACACGCCCACCACTGTAACTCCTGTACACCAGGATCCACAGCAGTGACCCACGAACACACCGAGTTATGACACTCGGGAAGTCCCAGGAAGAAATTAAACTGTCTTGGAACCCGCAACGAAATTAATCAGAAGAAAATTGGAGGAGTTGGAAATACAGTAAATCCACTTCCCTCCTTAGCAAAGCGGGAGACAAAATGAAGTAAAATAGGCATACACCCTTTTAAACAGGGAAGCACCACGGCCACAAAATATTACGGGTCCTACATGAGCTATATTTGATTTCTATAATATGTATGGCAGAATCGCCTAAACGCACGGAAATTCACCCTAGTTGACACAAGATCCCCATAGTATACCGCCCCAGATGTCACCTGCAAGCTATTCAGCATTATATTACGTTCATTATACCAAAGACTACATTCCCAGAGGATATGATGAGCAGACTGTTCATAGTGAGAGTTAGGTGTTGAGCATTGACACAATGGTGACTCGACTAATTTAAATGAATAAAGCTTGCTCTTAAAGTTACCATGACCCGTAAGAAATTGAGCGACACAGTGATCCACCTCAAGCCATGTCCTCGACAACCGTTCGCGAACAGATGGAAAAAATTGGTAAAGATGGCGCCCCTTGGATGATTCGTCCCAGCGTTGCTGCCATTCGTCTATGAGGTCATTATAGACATCGGACTGCTGTTGAAGCAATCTTGTAATTTTACCGCGATCCCGCGCGCCCAAGAAATCGCATTCCATGTTTTGTCTTGAATAGTACATGGCTGCACGTCTCTGCACCTCGAGATCGACCGGAAGGACACCTGCCAACACCGGCAAAGCCTCAGTGCTAACCGTCCTATATGCCTTGCACAAAAATATCAGTGCAAGTCGTTGGCCTTGTAACAGTTTGCGACGGACAGCGCCTACGGTCGCCCTATCGGCCCGTACAGGTGCACCATAGCACATAGAACCTAAATAAGTAGCTCCGTATATGATCTTTAATGTATTAAATGATAGACCCCATGTCGCAGGTGATATCCTTGTCAATGTACAGAAACTCTTTTTAGACTTTTCATTAACTATTTTAATATGTTCGATAAATGAAAAGCTTCTTTCTAAAACTAATCCTAGATAACACACTGTGGTTTTATTTTTTACAGTAACATTGTCAAATCTAATGCTCGGCGGTGATTTGAGGTTACCTTTTAAAAGTAGCTGGAAGGTTTTGTTGGGTGCAAAAGTTAAGCGATTACGTTCACCCCATTGAGATATCAAGTTCAAACATCTATTGGCTAATCTCTCAAGCCCCGCCCTAGTATCAGATTCCACCAGTAATAAGCCGTCATCAGCATACGCGTTCAGAGCACATCCGGATGGTATTGGTATCGCAAGAAAATCGTCGAAGCCGATATTCCACAAGTATGGACCTAGCACCGATCCCTGAGGACATCCCATTGTAAGCGCCTTCGACACAGAATGATGACCAAGTCTTAGTTTAGTTGTACCTTGTGAAAAGTACGAAGAGATAAGGGAATAAATATTTTTAAAGCACCCCCTTGATTTTAATTTCAGCAACAGCATGGGCCACCATGCGTTGTCGAAGGCGCCAGATATATCTAAGAAAATAGCCAGCACGTATTGAAATTTTGACCCTGTGACAAACTTTCTAACCGATATAGCAGCGTCAGTTGTCGATTTACCCAACGTAAATCCGAATTGTCTATCACCACTGTTGACCACCTTTGGCAACTAGTTCATTTCGTGCAGAGGGCCTTGCCATCCTTACGAGTTAGAGAGAGTCTCGGACCTTTTATGCTAGGATAACGGGTAGCCGACTGTTATCCCCATGCCAACGGTCACGAAACTTTGCAGTCTCTGACCCCTCTAGAGAATACTAGCCCTCTTTCGTTCCTTTTCCGTAACCTGTTTAGAAGACATTTACTTTGCATCTTACCCGCGCATGGTGTCAGAGGCTTGCCACGAGAGTTGTCACATTGGCCCACTAATAGCCGGGGAACCAGGTATACCCTAGAAAGGAAGTCCCTAGTGCCCCGACATACCTCGGGCCATCTACAACAAGGAGACACGACCCTCCCCCCCCCCCGTGTGGGAACCCCATGTTCCCTATGCTCCCTGGAGCGCTCGCTTCCAGGGAGCATAGGGAACATGCGGCCTGCTTCTGCTAGGGTGACAGATGGCCTCACCTGTCACCCCCAGGCCTGCGCTTATGGAGGACGGAGGTCGTTCTGCGACCTCCGGCGCCTGAGTCACCTGCGGTACCTGGCCCGTTCCCGGGCCTGGCGGGCCGGAAGAGTTCTAAACCTCTCCCGGTCCCGCTCCGCCGTCTCTTAACATAACTTACTCGGTGAAGGAGACGGCAGAGTTCCACGCACTCTCACTCCGCACGATAGCCGCAATCAGGTTATCGAGCGAGAGAACTCCCACTCCCACTCCGATGGCCGCCACGAGGTCTCGCCTCTGCTCAACCCACGCCGGGCACTCTGCCATCGTGTGGAGAACCGTGTCCACGGCCTGGCCATCGCAGTGGTGGCACTCAGGCATTGGCTCCTTGCGGATCAGACACAGGTGATCCCCGAAACATCTTTTCCCAGTGATCACCTGACGCCTCTCGGGCCAATCCTCCATAACGGGTCTTACCGCCGCTATGACGGCTACTCCCCTCACGGGGGTAAGAATATAATAATCATCATCAACAGCCTATACTAGTCCACTGCTGGACATAGGCCTCTCCTTAGAAAGGAGGTTTAAGCCTACTATACCACGCTGGCCAGACGGGTTGGTATAGGGTTTGTTTCAAGTTTTCCTTCTCTTTGCAGTGCTGTTGTCCTGCTTAGTTTGCTCCCTTAGTCGGCTCTTACGACACCCACGGGATGAATTGGGGTGGTGATAATTTGTATTCTTAATCCGTCACCACACGGACATATAAACCCCCCATAAAACTAGATAAAAAGTTTCGTAGATGCTTTTAGTAAATTAAATATAAGACCGCGTGTTGCAGTTGATATCCTTGAGACTGCATAGACGCTCATTTTAGAGTTTTGATTAACTGTTCGAATGTTCAAAAATTAAAACAAAATCTTGCACCAATTCTAAATAACAAACTGAAATTATATTTTGGCAGTAACTTTTCTTTTGCTAATTGCTTAAGTTCTGCTCTAGTATCAGATTCCAAAAACAATAAACTGTCATAAGCATACGCATTTAGAGTGCATTCGGAATTCCGGATGGTAATGATATCGTAAGAAAATCACCAAAACCTATGTTCAATAAGTCATCCTGACCCAGAACTAATTCCTGAAGACATTGCAACGAGTCTTAGTTATAGTTCTGCCTTGTGAAAAGTACGAAAAGATAAGGAAATAAATGTTTTAAAGAACCTTCGTGATTTTAATTTCAACAGTGGCATGGGCCACCATGCGTTGTTGAAGACGCCAGATATTTCTACGAAAATTGTTATAACGACGAAAAAAAAAAATCCCCTTAAGGTCCCATCGCGGACGAAGGCGCTAGGTGACTCGTGGACCTATAACTGTTACCACTATTACTATATGTGTAATAAATACTAATAGTGAGTCAACTCCTTAATACCTACAAAACTGTCTCGTCTAAATATATGCAAGGGTTGTCACAAAAACGTTCACGGTCGTAGGTAGCTAGGTAAAAATAGTAATTTGATTAATTTACCTTTATTTTACCTATATTGCAGTATTGCCACCTATTCCGTTTAAAATATTAGATAAAAGGTTGAATAAATTTAATTAAACAGATTAAAATTATACGTTAGATAATATTTTATTTCATTTTGTCATTTCAGTCGTCGAAAATATTGGGGAAAGATTTGGTAATATTGAATTCTTAGAACCATGTGATTGCTGCAGCATTCCATGACGATATTAATCTAATTATGTGTAATTAATATAGTTGTGTGTAATTTAATAAATAATATAAATGCATGTATGTAATTAATTAATATCTAAAACAGTAATATAAGTATTTTTGTAATTATATATAAATGTATATTAAACCACCTAAAACATCGAGAGTTTTATTATACGCTCCATCTCTTATATTATAATATTAGTAAAGTAAAGATGTAAAAGTAGTAATGTGAGTTAATCAAATAATAATAAAAAATATTGCGAAAAATCTTGTGTTGCACCAAACGCGTGCAACTGATGTACGTGACTCCTGAATGGGCGTACCGGTTAGCAAGCGAAGCGATTACATATTTACTATTACCTATTTGTTCTTTTTGGTGACGAACTACACTAAATTCTCTGTACAATATAAGTATTTGAGTTGTATAGCTGCTTAGTGAATGATCTAAAGGAAAAATGTTGCTTAAAACATAAAAAGTATCATTCACTTCCAAGTGTATGTGAAGTACGAACGAAAACAATGAAAAATATAAGTGCAAGAATAAAAAAAAAAGCTTCGTGAAAATATTGTCATATTTAGGCGTCATACAAAATCGACCAACCAATTACTAACATAATTTATTAGAACGAAACAAATGATTAAAAGATACAAAGTTACCCGAATTAACTGGATTTTCATCGGCAGGATGTGATGTTCACTCACAAGCAAGTCAACATCAAAGAAAAAAAAATCTAACGACGACTGTCATGGAAAAACAAAGAATTATTTCTTATACCCAAGTTATCATTAAGAAAACCATCAGCATTTAAAAAAAATATTTAACTAAATGTAACGTTATAATGTTTAAAACTGGTCGCAAAATACTATTGCAGTATAAAGGTATTTGTATTTACTAAATTTACGTGACAGGTTATGTTGGCGCGTTTTGTTTACTACTATTTTGGGAGTTGGAACAATTTAGGCGGGAAACCATTATCGGCTGCAGTGTATCTTGCTTCTCCATCAGATCTGTTTTATCTTTAATAATAATTTTTAACGTTACCTTTCAGTCCTAAGATTGCATCACAAAATGAACACCAACAAACCATTTACTGTATTAGTTGAGGGTAATATTGGCAGCGGCAAAACGACGTTCTTGGAACATTTTCGTCAAATTGAGGACATTACGCTTCTAACCGAGCCTGTGGAAGAATGGAGAAATCTGCAAGGATGGAATTTATTAGTAAGTTAAGCTGGTATCTTGAACACTTCTTTTTGTTGCACAATGATTACTCACCTTTTTCAAATTAATATAGATTTATATGACATGACTACTTTTTTAAATAGAATCGGATTAGGGTTAAATCGTACAAGAAATGAAACATGTATTAAACGCACGCTTTTGTTGATGAACACTGCTTAAACAATGAATATATTTTATTAATAGCTCATAAAAATACTTTTATAAACGATTATCAATGACGTGTGAGTAAATATTATGAATCTCAGGACGTTTATCTTTAATTGGTACTATAAATTAGGTACTATTAATCCTCGATGTGTTGTGAAAAACTTATTCTTTACGAGTATTAAAACTACAAGGATATGCTTTACTTATCTATTCAAATTTTGTTTCTTATGTATTGATCTAAAGTATTGATTGTCGCACTTCCAGGATTTAATGTACAAGGACCCAGCAAAATGGGGAATGACTTTCCAGTCTTACGTTGCTCTTACCATGCTGGACATGCACCGTAGATCAACCCCAACACCTATTAAACTCATGGAGCGATCATTGTACAGTGCAAGGTATTGTTTTGTTGAGCATATGCACAGAAGTGGAATTCTACATCCAGCACAATTTGCAGTACTTGACGAGTGGTTCAAATTTATACACAACCAAATACAGCTTGATGTAGATCTTATAGGTTAGTATTAATTCCTAATGTTATTTTTTGGTTAACCTTAAGGTGTATGAAAATTTTGTTTTGATACACAATAATGCTAAGTACAGTAGAAGAATATGTGTTGATGTAAAACGTCTAAATGCCTTCGTATTTTGCATGACTTGATCAAATTGTTACACTGTATTATTGAGTCACTAATCTAATTATTATTCTAAAATGCTTGTACTTATATAATACTTTATTCTTTGGTATTCTTTTTCAATTTTGCAATGGCTAGAAAAAGCTACTGCCTTAGTCAAGTGCAGACAAATTATTATTATAAGACCATTTATGTACACTTGGTTGGCAAATAAAGATGACATAAATGGCAAATCATACACACAAGCTTACCTATACTTTATTTTTAACGTAGTCAAAACATTGTTTCTATTACAGTGTACCTTAAAACTACACCATCAGTAGTTTATGAAAGAATAAAGAAGCGAGCAAGATCAGAAGAGCAGTGTGTCCCATTATCTTATATTGAGGAGCTGCATAAGCTGCATGAAGACTGGCTTGTTACACGACAACATGCAGAATGTCCAGCTCCTGTAAGTTCATATTCATTTGGAATATCATATCCCTATGTCTTAGTGTTTCTAAATCTAGCAATATATTAATCAGCTACTTAAAGTAAGAAAATAAGGTAAGATAACATTATACAACTGCTTTTTTTGTACTTGAAGATTTACACAATAATAACCTCAATCTCAGACTAGGCAAAGCCTGTGCTATGGTAACCACACTGTTGATAAAGTTACTCAAATATTTCTAAATACACACATTATGCTCATCACACAATTATTAGTCCTGGGTAGGAATAAACTCACCACCTCTGGCTAAACAGTTACATTCACTGACCACTAGTTATTACTAAATAGTTAATCAAAATAAGCACCTGCTCGTTTAACATGATATTAAAATACTAAGTGGTTAAGACTTTCTTTTAATACATTGTATCAGCCCTAAGTAAAATAATTATGTGTAATAAATAAATTATGTGTTTTTAAATCATTAACATTGTAAATGTTTAATCTCATTCATTCATTTCTTACAGGTTTTAGTTTTAGATGCTGACTTAGATTTGTCTCAAATAACTGAAGAATACAAGAAGAGTGAACACCAGATATTGAGAAAGGCTGTGGATGTTGTGATGAGATCTCCAAATAAACTTAGTCCAAAGAAACCAATTACAACATCTCCTATATCTATTATACCACAGCGAAGAATATTATAATGTTGTTTTTTTAAGATTATTGACTGTCATTGTAGCGTTATTAGACTTGCAAGTATTATAATTTATAAGAATATGAATATTTGTGTAAAGGAAGTAGGTATATATTTGTAATGATAACAAAAATTAGAATGTGAAATCAGCACATTAATAGTCCTATATTTTTGTCGTCCCCTGTAGTAGGAGAGTAAAGCAGAGATAATTGTTTGTAAAGTTGTCCAAGACAAGTGTAAATAGAAATGATCATTACATGATGAAAAAAATGTCTTAAATTTATTTCTTATACATTTTTTTGCATTTACTTGATCAATTTGCTAAGTTTGAAATGAAAATAATAATGTGTTTAATGTATGTGGTCTTTTAGTCCGGGAGGTACCGTTGCATTTTAGGTAGTGTTTTTACGCCGGTCGGTTGCCATCTTGTTCAATAGATGTCGAATGACTGATAAGTGAACCGAGCGTCAGCTGACGCACCCGCGGTGGGTGTAGGATTGAAAGGTTCCGGAAGTGGTGAAAAAAAATGAAAAATTAAGTCATAGTACGCCGGCTGAAATTCGTTTCATAAATATTTTACATCATACAGAGCTAAAAAAAAATCGTCAGCTGCATGGTGGAGGGGGGATCATGCGTCAGCCGCTCGCTTGAACTTGTAAAAAAACACGTAAAATAAAGTTATAGTACGCCGGATGAAATTTAACTAAGTGATTGTTTAAATTATCAAAAGTACGAAAACAACAATCAGCTGCGTGGTTAGCGGTGGAAAGACCGTCAGCTGACGCACTAAGGATATAGGTCCAGCTGACAGAACTCCCCTGTCCGCCCCCAACTGACTGATTGTTTTTGCAAACGTAACTATTAAATTACAGTCTTGTCTAATTTCAACCGGCATATTGAAAATTTAATGATAATCTCGAGAAGTTTATAGCATGTGTAACAATATCGTACGAAAATATTTTGCTGTTTTTCTTGTTTTATTTTACATAGATGAAAGAAATGCATAATATAAAATAATATGGAGAGTAAAATGGAAATATCATCAACGGAATTTAAAAAAAAAGAGATAGAAAGATAGAAATCGATATAGAATTATTCGTAATCGATAGTATCGCTATCGTCATCGTCCCCAGATGAATCGTTATCAGAACTTTCGTCTGTCAGATTTTTCTCTTCATTCTTTTTCGTGTTCCTGACCTCGAGCCTCTTCTTCATCACCTGATGGGGGTACTTGATACCCCTCGAACCATTTGAAAACATATTTGTCTTCTTTTTCTTCCCATCCTCAGTCAATGGGAGATAATTGAGAAGGCTCTTGAAGGTGAGCATGGCTCCAAAGGTGCGCGATGTATGAAGTACGCAGTAGCTCCGATTTACATGGTGGGAAGATAGCTCCATCGATACGGTTTTTCCACTTCAGCATATCGTTCTTATTATTAGTTTCGTAGTTTTTACTATAGTTAAACCGCCGTAAGCTTGGCCCTCCTGATCGTTTGCGGGACGCGGGGCGGGGGTGCATTCAACCAATTAGCTAGTGCATCGCTGTCCGCCGACAGTGACTGACGTGAAAGCATGGCTGTACTTGTTATTTTTCTTAAGACACACACACGGTATTATTTTGCAAAATGGATAATCTGCCGACTCTGCGTCACAAAAAGATTTAAAAACTTGAAGTTCGGCTTACAGAGGTTCTACTGTTAAAGTTCTAATAAAGAATATTTATTATTTTACTTAATTTTTAAATTGTATCTGAATATAATTTATATGATGAAGATAAGGTAAATTATTTTACAATTTTGTTATTGAAATTATTTTACAGTATTAAAGGACAATGGCAGGTCCCCATACATAATTTTATTTGAACTGAAATGTTAGCGTTTAAATATCAAAAAATCCTTAACACTTGAGAATTTATTCTTGACCATTCTCATATCAAAATTACTTGCGAAAGAAGTCTAGGAAAAAAGATATTGGATTTTGAATGTTTCGAGGTTAAGTACTAACATATTGTTAATATTTTGTTTGAAACTAGATGGCGTTATGTGTCAGATAGCCGAAAATATTATTTTCATTATTATTACAGTATATGAAATAAAAAAAGTAAAAGCATAAAATCTATTCGAGTTTAACACTAAATTAAACAAAAATAAAATAACAAACGTGGTGAGTCCGGAACTTGACAGGATCTAAACCACAGATTAAGAGATATGTACTAAACGACGACGTATCGACATTTTGAAAATATCGATGTATGTCTATTTATGTGCCGTTATCAATGACAATGTATTTTTCTCATCACACTGTGTAGTGAAAATAACGTAACTATATTCTATTTCTTTAGTGTGTTTAAAATCGTTTAAAGAGAGTCAAAAATATTTTAAATCATTTCTAATTATGTTGATTCAGTCACTCTACCGTACGAGTGAAGACGTGGGCAGAAGCAAATTCATAATCATAATAGTGAACCTTCGGTAAATATTTCAGCCAAAGCTATAAGAATCGATTATCGATAAATTGTTCCATAATATAATATTGCCACCACGCATCCCTAGTCAGTTATACGTGATGGCGAATCTGACATTACGTACTTAGGTCAAATAAAACCTTCAAAAATATCTTATCTCTTATAAGACTTATACAACACATGGTGGTGTAATGATAAATCATAGAAAAAATTTTGATTAAGTTTACTGTGACTCGATTTTTTAAACGCTTAAGTTTTAGGTAAATATGTTTCTGCCATTGTTCTTTTACAATTAATCATAAAAACTTACAATACACTGACATTATAGTACATGGGAATAAATTCGATTTTCATTACATCGTGTGTAAATTAAATCTCAAACAAATAAATAAGAACCGAGAATGAAGATATCGAGTTAGTACATCGTGTCATGTACCTATAGCCGAGCGCATCACCCGCCCCGCGTCTCGCAAACCATCAGGAGGGCCAAACTTACGGCGGTTTTACTATAAACGTGGCGACTCGTGTAGCGTTGACATCGTTTATCCCTTTGAATCCGTACAGACGACAAACAAATTCTTCAATAGTTGCGAAGACGTGGTCTATTGTACAATTCGGGATATTTGCGTCTCGTTTCGACCTAGAAGAAAATATTTTGTTCTTTCACATGAAATGACCTTGATGAAATTTGTATCGTTCATATGTAATGAAATTCTGTTTTATCTATATAAGAGGCAAACATTTTAAAAATCTTATTTTAAAGTTGAGAACAAAAAAAGTAAATTAATTTTTTTTAATCCTTTCAGGATTAAAAAAAAATATTTTTCGTTGCGTATCAACGCTACAAACTTCGATAATATTAATATTAAACAGTATTAATCAAAATGAACTTCAATCAACATACCTTGACGCTGCAGATGTTGAAGGAGTATCAAAAGTTATCCTGTATTTTGGCGGTAAAGCGGTAAATTGCCGATAACACTTTGAATGATATTTTTCAAAATCGTTCAATTCTAACGGCACTTTGACAGTTTTCAAAGATAAATTATTTTTCTGACGAATCTCCAATATAGAGGAGCATTTTTTTATGGTTTTGTCAGAAAAAGATTTTAAAATTTCTTTTTTTTTGCCACAGAATAGACAGAACGGTTGGATCTTCGACATATTCGAACTTGCGTCCGTTCTTTCAAAGAGTACAACCGAAACTGATGTTCCTTTGAAATTTTAGGGGGAGAGGCTTGAGTAACCCGAAGGTCGTGTTATGGTCTCAGGCAGCTCCAGAATCTATGTCGAAATATGTGTTTAAATATGTGTTGATTCCGGTTTCGGCTTGGTAAGCAACAGACGTATCAGTCTCGACAAAAATATCTCGAAACTGTACTTATACCCGAGCTAATAACACTACTCTGCTACTATCAACAAAGATCAAGTTGTGGAAAGTGCAGGAAAATCGGAGTCACACGCGATTAATTACTGTGAAGTGAGAAATTTGCGAGAAGTGACTGGTGTGAAGTCGTGTCAATTGCAAGTGACACTTGACAGTTCTACCAACCTTAAATATCGAGGAGTGAGACAGAATCTATGTCGAAATATGTGTTTAAAAGGAGACAGCGTAGTAGCAATGCTCCAATATTTTTAACTTTTACTGCGTCAGCTGACGGTCTTTCCACCGCTACCCACGCAGCTGATTGTTGTTTTCGTACTTTTGATAATTTAAACAATCAGTTAGTTAAATTTCATCCGGCGTACTATAACTTTATTTTACGTTTTTTTTTACAAGTTCAAGCGAGCGGCTGACGCATAATCCCCCCTCCACTATGCAGCTGACGATTTTTTTTTAGCTCTGTATGATGTAAAATATTTATGAAAAGAATTTCAGCCGGCGTACTATGACTTATTTTTTTATTTTATTTCACCATTTCCGGAACCACACACACCCGCACCCACCGCTACTTGAGCAGCTGACGGTTGGATCACTTATTAGTCATATTAGATCAATCATCGATGACAATATCAGCCGGCTTACTATGACTTTTTCATTTGCAACGGTACCTCCCGGACTATTTTAGTTGTAATAGAAATTTCTTATTTTATGTAATTATATGTAATCAGTACTGAAAATTGTTTTTTTGTTAATTTCTGTTACCCTACCCCTATTTTATATTCTTCAGTGGAACAGTTAAAACAAAATGTATATGGTAGGTGAATCATAATAAAATGTATCTCATAAAAAGTCAGACACAAAATATTAGACTGTATTCTCTTTTTAAATAGGTGTATACTTATTTTCCTCATAGTTATGTCCTATTGTCACAATCCTTAAATTTGGAATGAATACGTGAAAATTATTTCCCTTTCCATTGCTTAAAAAAATAGTAATAGAATCACGACGAATCTATATTTATATAAAACTGGTTGCCTTCCTCTATCACTGTTAATATATTTGTCATTCATATATATATATGCTGATTATATGTAACTGAATCAAAGATTTTTTATGTTGACTTATAGCAATCGCGACAACTTTTACCCAACAGTATCAAGGT